TGGACCCTAGGCCCAGGGCAGGGCAGGGCCAGACTATGACATCATATATGACATCATAAGAGCACATGATACTTAGTAATCCTTACCCAGCTAGGTACCAGGGGTCCATTACCGGTCCCTAGGGGGTTTTCCCTCATGTATATAAGGCAGCATCCTGGGGCACCCTGTCCCCCAGTTCTATTCACTTCGTTGTTGCGCTTAACAGCATTACCTCCCCATACTTAAGTGCTATTATCTCCCCCCCTCAATATCAAGCTATAAGGTGGGTTTGTAGGTTTTGTGATAGTCTCTCCAGTTCGTGGCCTTGGGTCGGGTCCTTGGTACACGGAATACATATCATCATAAGATCGAACATGGCACCAGTTCACGTACCTGGATAGAGCAGTAACCAGTGGCTGTGTTGATGGATGCCAGCTCGATATATGGGGAAAGCTTTTAATGATTTTGGAAAGTCCCAGCTGAATATGCTGAACAATAGCGAGGCACCACCAAGCTGGCTGTGACTTGAAAGGACATGTGGGTGCTATTGTGGGAATGATAGCCGTGGAGACCGAAAGGGTCAAGAGGATTACGACGAGAGTGGTGACAACGCCGAACACAATTAAGTTTAAGGTCCAAAGCAATACCAGAAGTCCAATGAGGAACAAAGGGAGCAATGTTTGCAAGAGGACAGGCAACAAACTGATAATAAACGGCACATTCCAGGAGTTGAATCCACGATGCCGGAAGTACCAAATACGGACACTCTGTCGATATCTTGAAGCAGGCTGATCAATGTGGTGATGAAGCCATTGGCTAACAGAGATGGCAAGCGAGGCAGCGCTGAGGCTGAACACAAGAGCGGAGAACCAGAGCGTGTTGATCACAATAACATCGATTGGTGTTTTCGCGGCGTTGCGTGATGTAGTGAGAGCCGACAATGTGGGTTGCAAGATATCTGTGGCATCAGAATTTGCTACCAGTGCGCTCATCAGGACCAGTATGGCATTGGCAATGGGATCTGATGCCTGGGGTTGCAGAAACACGTAGTATTGGACATTGAACGCAGTAAGCGCTGCCGAGAAGAGGCCAGCCTGAGTAGTGGTTGTCAGTATCATATCACAAACGTCAACTGAGAAGCAATGCCACTTACGAAGGTCAGTAACTTGTTAATCTCGTCTTTCCATTCTGAACGACTGCTTGTTCTCTGCTCCATACGTGTTCAGCGCATTTCTCCCACGCGTCCGAAGCATCTAGTATTGGCCCAGTGTTGCCAGTGTTTCCAAGTACAGAGCTTCGACCACGTTCGGTATCGGACTCAGAGAAACCCCGTTTCGAGGTGTTTCCTGGCCCTAGTGACACAGCCTTCCTACGGCGACGATGTCCACCGTCAGCGACATCGTGAAGCCTGTTCCCTTCAATCTTTATTCCACATTGGTGACTGAGCGAGATAGCTGATATGATGGGATTGTCCTCACCGAGAGATCAGATCGTGACCGCGAGGGATTTTGAGATGCAGGTTCACCCGAGCTTGGATTGTGAACGAGAACATCCATCAAGGGATCATTTACTGAGCTTGAGTAAGCCTCAATGAGTGGCATGACGTGCTATGAGTGGACAAATTTGAGTCGAGTCTGTTTTGCGAACAGTCCTGGGCTCGAAACCGTGGATGCGAATTGTGCTGGGACGACAGGCCTTTGCGCGTCTCCTTTCAGTACAGCCCTCATGACATATGTTCACGTAAACAAGCGGATCTCTGCGGCCACAACTTATTCCATCCCGTATTACTTTTCGTGGCGGTCCGCGAACAGCCCATGGTGGCCAAGAACACGCTCCGGGTCACGAGTATGTGAGCGCTTCCTTCTCTAGATAATGCTGTAGAGTTCTCGTCAAGTCCTCTGCTGGTCGCTCGACTAATATCGCAAAATAGACGACGATTCCAAGAATGAGTGAGGATTTCTTCAGAGAAAGCATTCCTTTCCAGGATTGTCGATATACTAGAGTCTGGATTTTTCAATCTCCGACTGTGCATCGGTGGCTGACATAGTTCTTCAAGAGTGCCAACGCCGTGCAATCCTTGAATGCTCTTCACTGCATCATTCGTATACGGTATGCAGGGAGTTTAGTAGCCGACTTGAAAATGTGTTCCGGCACAGCACGGCGGTCTGCTACAGCCGATGTCCTGTACGTGGACAATCAGGACTCGCAGTCGCCATCGTTCTGAATACTTATCCGACCACTTTGACATTCGAAGTTCTGCATCTAACTTCCTATTGAAGGTGAGACGGGGCATTCTGATAGCGTAGTGTCACGTCGCTTGGAATAGTGCAAGGCCACAGAGTGGAAGAGTTGGCAGAAGACCAACGCGCCGCATGCATCAAGGCAGTCCATCTGTTGGTGAACGTCTTCGAGTTACCAAAGATATGCATGGATGAGACTCATATTTCTTTCTTGCACGCCCGGCGCTTGCGAAAACTTCTCAGGGATTGTGTGAGAATGTAGATGTAGTAGTACGTTTAATGGATGAGGTTTATGTTCAGCCTCATAGTCATGTATCGCAATCGATTCGCTGATAAAGTCTTTCCAAGAATGGTAAAATTGCAATAGCGAGACTGTCAGGACAAGGGCTCCCGGTATCGAATAGATCCGGCCCTGCTTACACTTTCTTCATGAAGTGGGTGGGGAGGCGAGACCCGTAGCAGCGAAGCCGTACAAGAGATCGTGTCTTTTGAATGGCTTCAAGGTGTCACCATGTATGTGATCGACGATGATGAACGTGAGGAGAATGAGGTCGGCAAACCACTCTCCTGCAGGACTAATCTCCAGTGTCAGGCCCTGCTTGCGGCGAACCATTGCGGAGAATCCTGATCGTCCTCGTGAGGGACGCGCGATGACATTGTTATTGTCATCCACGAGCTGTGACAATGCACGCTTGAGTTCTGGAGCGGATAGATAGCTGACACGACTGTAGCAAGCGACTTACGATGTATTCGCGGCCGGAACCGTTCTTGCGCCAGTATAAATCATTTCCCTTCGGGTCCTTGAACTCCCGCAGACTGTTTGGACAATCCATCAGTGTTCTCCACCCCCCGCCGATGTCAGTGAAGACACGCACATTCCTGTCGTGAAGCTACCGCTCTTCATGAATTCCTCAAGCGAAGTTCGTTGACCAGATATCAAGATCTGTGTTCCTGAGCCACCGTCGCCGGTCTGCCACTCGATGACGCCGCAGACAGGATCTACGTCGCGTGCAGATTGTCCAGCTCGTCGCAAAGTCGTGCTGTGCGCCCCTGATTTGTCTTCTGTCGTTTCCACTTCATAACATACGTCGTTACTTGCAGAATCTACGACGGCGGACGTCAAGGGCTCGTCGTTGACGAAGGAGAGTTTCATGATGAACGTCGGGAGAATTGTGGGGGGCGTTGCAGAGTGAATACTTACATGCACTGCCCTCGCTCTGTTCAATGCACCATGGCATCCGTGCGAATTGTTGGCCGCACCTACAACGTCATGCCAGCAAGAATATGACGGCGATTACCATTTTACAAAGCCCGGTCAACATTGTGATCGCATTGATCAGGTGGGCAGTGACTAGAGCGCGTAGTTAACGGAACACCTTAAAAATGTAGTGTTGAACTGTTGGTTGCTTAAACCCGACACGACAGTTCCTTCATGCGTCGGTGGAGCGTATTGAGCATCCGCAGCCCGTCGCAAATTCCATGCCTCGAGAGGAAATTGCTACCTAATGCAGCCTGGGATGCATAGGTTTCATTTCGGAAGGGTGGATACCTGCATATCGGAAGTGTGGGACCCAGTGGAAAATGTATGAGACTCCAACCAGCAGGCTGGGGCTGCAGCCGCCGACGCGACACATGCCAAATTTGGTAATCCCGACTAGGGGCCGGAGCGCGTTGGAATGAGCGCCCACGTGATAAGTCGAACATCAGATCCAGTCGGAAGAGCGGAGGTCAGAGCCCCGAAGTCCGGGTCATTGGTCGCTGGCGCCACTGGGGAGGACTCAGAATGCCTGGCGGACTGGCGGGGCAGGTGCTCCACAGCGATGAACGCAAGTAGGATCAGATCTGCGGAGTCGGCTCCTCTCTCGTAGATGTCGAGCGACATGTCGTCGCATTGTTGCGTTTGCCGGAGAAGAGCCCATGGCGTGGGATTACTTCACGATAAATGTCGACGAGTTAGCAGTTGTAACACGCATGCCAGCGCACGTATACCGGGTTCAAGTTTTGTACGACTATACACTGATAATGAAATGATTACTTTGCCGTCTCCGAATACGTGCCGCCTCTGGGATCCTTGAATTCCCTCACCCTTACCCAGACATTAGCTTTTCGTTGCTGGAGGCAACGGCCTGCGTGCTTTCAGACGACGCACTGAGGGACACCAATCGCTTACGCCGTGTGGAGTTCATGAACAGCGGTTTGAACTATTCAATTCATCACTAAGAAGCTATAGTGAAAAGCTGCAGTCACTAGCGCAACGTGTACCAAATCTGGTTGCCACGACTCGTAGTCAGGGCGGACACACAAGCCACTAGAAGGGCATGCATACAGAATGTACAAGCAGCTCAGCACGCGGGAGGTGGTGGGGCAGAGGCGGCTACAGTTGCTCTTAAGGCAGCCTGATTTGCGGAATGCCTAGCAGCCACACGCTGCAGGTGCTCCACAAGGATGAACGTGAAGAGGATCAGGTCCGCAAAGTCTACTCCTTTGTCAAATACGTCGAGCGACATATCCCGCTTGTTGGAGAAGAGCCCATTGTGTGCACGGTGGTGGCGCGCAATTGCTACCTCAACGGTATCCACGAGCTAGCAGTTATACGACAATGGTATGGTCAGTACACGTACACTGCACCTTGTATGAGTATGTACTGACGATGAAGTGATGCATTTGTCGCTTCCATGAGCACGTGTGTTCCCTTGGGTCCTTGAACTCTCGCACCCTCGTATTGATGTTAGCTTCAATGATTGCAATGAACATCGGCTACACACTTACACACTAGAGAAGAATCCGCCTTGCTTCAAGAACTCGTTGAGGGTACTGTGACGACCAGAAAAGACGACCTGTGTCTTCCTCTCCTTTGACCGCCATTCGACGCTCGCAATCTCTTGTCCTGCGCGGCGCAAGACTGTCTTCTTGCCCCCAACCGCTCTGTCCGTCATTACCTCGTATCGGGCAGCGGCATTGTCGTTCCTGGTGATTTCAGAGTGTAAGGGGTCATCGCGGAGAAACGTGAATGTGACCATAGTGAGTGCGTTAGGGTATGGCACCTGCAGGGCTCATGCACATAGCATTTATAGCTTGTTGAGGCGGCTAATTCATGACATTAGTGCCGATAGCGACGGACGACCAGCCAAGCTGTGCTGCCGTGCATCATGTCCTGGAGAATGTCCTCGTGATTCAGGCGCAGCTGAGCCAATTGACACACCAAGCAGAAGGTGCTGAGCGAATCGAGCCCGCATGACAGTGTCCAAGGAGATCAGGGAAACGTCGTCTGGCAAAAGACCGTCAACAACGATGTCTGTTTCTTGACTAGGACCGTCCAGTCCTCGACGCGGTCCGAAATGTTTGCACGGCGGTGCGAGGCCATTGACACTGTCTCGTAACGGGCTAGCTGGCTGCAGAGCTCAGGAGAAGAGCGGTGGAGGGATGTTGTGGCAATAGTTGACAGATAGCTGACTCGGGACACGGATGATGCAGGTTTCGAACAGCTACGCGTAGACCTGCTTGCCGAAAATTGGTGAATTATTCTCATTGCACTATGTAGAGGCACTGAGCCAAATACAGCTACCTGAGAAGATTTGAGCGCAAGTGGGGTTGATGTGGAATCTCCGAATCAACGATGTGGTCCAGTGGCGCTCCCGACATGGCTGGCCCTGGGGTCACAGCCACAATTTACCAAACCGGGTCATTTCTTCCGGGGTCCGCTCATCCCCGCCAGAAGTCCGCTTACGCACATATTGAGTTAAACGGGTCTAATGATATGGAACCAGGGTAAGTATCGACCTTGGGGAGCCCTGGAGTCGTTGTGCTGGTCATCGACCAGCTCTGGATATCCGAAATGTAATTTGCCAGATCTGGACTCCTGTATCAGGCTACTTTCAAGACGATACGATGTGCACCCCATCTACATGTCGTCTGGACGGTGCGTTCAACATCGCGTGACATGTTCTCCTTTCTCCGTCTTTTCATCCCCGCATACCCACCCTTCCAGTGTGAAGCCGTGTCGCCCCCGTTGCAAGTCACAATATGCATTTTGCCTTTGAAGAAGCCATTTCTGTTCTCATACACACTCATACAGATTACGCTGCTCATCAAGTTGCAGACTATGCATGTCGTAATACCATTAGATTCCTGCGCAAAGGATGCGCCCGACATTCCAGCGTGAAGCACTGCCAGCCGCGGCATGGATCCTGAAGAACAAGACGCCTATCCCCTCACTAAGAATAAGCATGAGCGACGATGGTACCAGTGAATGTCAAGCCGGCGGGGTAGGTGCGACAGTCTTTGAGGTACAGTTTGGCGTAGACCGATAACATATTGCTCGACGCAAGGCAGCGAATTATAGTATACATACAATCAACATGAAAGCTGGGACAAAACTATTTGGATCGCTGCAGCACCGCATGTGTCTCTTCTTGGCCTTCCACAGAGAGCTCGCCGACCGCGAACGAGACGTCCTTCTTCACTGCCTTCTGTGCCCTCTGCACGGCAGGGTGCACAAACTCGCCGAAGTAATTGGCCAACGCAGTCCAGCCGTCTAGCGGTGCCACGCATCCCACGATGCCGTCGGGACGCAATGCCACCAGCGCTCCCTCCCGCGCATCCACTCCATACTGCGCGTACGCCTCACCCGATAGGTCGTGTACGGCCCGCCCCAGCGGGAGCGCTCCGAGCGTCTCCGAAACTTGCAAGGTGCCCTCCCCACGAAGGATTGTCAGCAGCTGGAAGACGTCTGCCAGGTTCCTCGAGAATGCACCGGGTGAGTCCATGTAGTGCCGCAGCGCACGGTACTTCTCCGCGCATGGACGATTGAGGCGCGTTGCATCGCCCTCCGGTTGCACTTCGCCCGCGAAGACGAGGAGCGTGAACCGCCTTCCGTAAGATGCCGCGAGCTCGTACAGTCGCCGCGGCACAGGCGAGCCATGGCGGTACACACGCGCGTCGGGTGCGCGGTGCCCGACGGGGACGCTCGTTGGTTGGCGTTCCCACGCGTGTGCGCGGTTGAGGACGTTTTTTGCATAGGAGATTCCGAGGCCGACAGTGAACCCTGCGCTTTCGCGGAAGACCCTGTCGAGGTATTCGTTGGCATCAGAGCCGGGCGGTGCTTGGAAGCGATCTGGGATCTTGCCCGATATCAGGGCCGCAACGTCTCGATCAAGTTCGATTAGGCGCTGTGCGCTCGCCCGGCGCTCTGTTGAGTAGGTGTCTAGGACATCCTCCTTGTACCAGCCCTTGATAACGCCTGCAAGCTTCCACGCGAGGTTTGTGGAGTCATGTATGCCAGTGTTCATGCCCTATATCGATCGCGGTCAGTTAGCCTAAACATACGCCTGTGGATAAGACCACATTGAATAATGATCTACCTGTGCAGATCCGGACGAGTGGGTGTGCGCCGCATCGCCGACCAACAGGACTGGCCCATCTCTGAACTTTTCGGCCACACGCTGTCCAATCGCGTACACCGTCCACCAATCCAGCGTCACAAATTCTAGTGAATTCGGGCGCAGCGCCTTCTTGGCCTCTTCCATGACCATGTCGACGGTTACCCCCTTGCCCTCCTCGCCGTACAGCTCATCCGGGAAAACAAATCCGATGCGTGTGCGCCCGTGATCTACCGGAAGCCAGAGAACGTTTCCGTGCTCCTGGGACTCAATGGCTGTAGCTGTCATCCGGCTACACGGCATGTCTGTTTTCACCACTGCATCTAGGCGGACCCATTTATGCGGCGACATGGTGCCCGGAAATCCAATCATCGAGAGAGAACGGACTGTTGAGCGTCCGCCGTCCGCCCCTAGAAGGTATTTGCTAGAGAATTGCGTCCATAAGAACCGCCCACAGCCCCGAAAAGGCGGCATACCTTCGTACATGAATAAATTCGCCGCTTTGCAGGTGCAGTGTTGACGTGACCGGAAATGTGCCAGAGTTGTCGACAGTGTAGTTGAGGAATTTGACTGGAGCGTTGAATATCTTTGGGTTCACTTGATCGAGGGCACTCTTTACTGCATCTTCGACGTACTTCTGACGGAGGTTAAGACTACGAAGGCAGAAGACAGACAGTAAGCACAACTGCGTTGAGTAGCGATTGAATCACTGTTTACTGACCAGAAATCCAGACAACAGTGCCCGTTGATTACATCCTGCACGAAATGCCAGCCTCTCCCTGGAACCACCTTCCCATCGTTGATTGTGACCGAGTCTCTGTCGCCATGTTAGCACCTCGCACTGAGACGCAAGGGGAGACCTCACCTGATTATGAAGCCCATATCCGCCATGTGCTCGTACAGTCCGTTCAAGTCAAGTAGCTCCAAGGAGCGAGGGTACAAAACACACGCTCGCCCATACATGGCTTGCTCCTCGCGCTCATATTGTTCTATATGAACATAAATTCAGTCATGTCATTGAAATCTGGGGACACGACTAGCACACATACCGACGATCATGACATCAACACCATTCTTTGCGAGGATAAAGGAAGTGATAAGTGAGGTAGGGCCACCACCCACGACGACGACGTCAACAGTACGGGGGGTGTTACGAGCAGGCATGATTTAGTTTAGGTGAGTGTCGTTGATGTTGTACATCGGCAGCACTCCGGATGGTGCTCTCTTATATGAGAGAATGTGCTAAAGCACTTTCCTATGATTGCCGCGACTGTTGACCGTGCACGCAGGCGTCAGAGAAGATTTCCCTTGCACGATTCCCCTCCCTCGGGCTCGGGTAGTCGCCATATCGGCACGGCAAGTGCAACGAGGCTTGACATCGTGTGGCACATTGAAACAGGATAATACAAAAGCAGAGTAAGAGGATCCGAATGAGGGTAGCACTGCGCTAAGGCACCTCGGGCATCGCCCGCCCAGGGCCGTCGATCGCAGCTTCGCGACGAAGGAGAAATGCGCGGCCTCAGTCCGCGATGACCGAACGCCACGGTCCCGCAGGCTGTAGGACCCAGTTTGGCCTACAGGCTATCGCATTCAGGTCGCCGATTCTCAAAGATACGAGTATTCCGGCGGAAGCGCTGTTGTTCTGGGATACTCCGAGAACGTTGTTGTATGATGCCAGATCGAGTGTACCAGCGTGCGACAGGAAGGCATTACATGCGCATATCGGGGAGGTGCGTTGGATTGGACTTTGTGACGCCTCTGCTTCCGACATGCCAAGTTCCAACAACCACAGAGCCATCCGAGCATCGTGCACTTTAGTGCCACTATTCGTACTCTCAGACGTGTTGCTTCCAGACCCGGCCTTATATGCATCCACTGCACTAGCTTGAGCAGATTCGGCGGACTATCGTGGTGGTGACAATCTGAGTGGGTACCTCTGAAACCGTAGATCGGATGTTTCCGAACAAAAGACTGTCTTGGGCGTAGCAGTCAGTCACGACTAAGGATCACGTGGCCGTGTGTACGGCGCGTATCGAGACCGCAGTTATGCAAGTGGGAGCGTGTCGGACTAGCTACCACGCCGTGCGCTGACACAGCTTCAAGAGTGCCGTCGGCGAGCAAACATGTTTGCTTCGGGTAGGACGCGGTCGTCATCGCAATGCCCGAGACCTCTTACAAGGAATGGCAGACGAAGCGTAGGGAAGTCTAGATCGGGGCTTATCGAAGACACTTTCCAGGCGCGTGTTGGAGAGGCTCGTGAGCTCGTCTCCGGTCAGGGTCTCTCAGGACCCGGTCTGGCCTGGGAATCAATAACAATGCGAGTTCAGTGCGTACCTTGACTGATCAGCAATGAATGACTCGACTTCAAATTCCAGCCATCAACTAGGGACATGTGCACGCACCGCTCGGCCAAGCCCGTCTTCCGTGAAACACCACTTGACTGCAAAAGCATTTGGAGTATATCTCTTATTATGTCGCTTGTATGTCAATTTCAGCTCCTTCAAGGACCCATCGTATTGCGTCAAATCAAGAGACACGCATATGGAGATCCGTGTGTTACAGTGTAACCTTACTTGCGACCACGAGTCTTTCTCCGCCGTCGCCGAGCAGGCAGCGAAGTGGCGGTGCATTGAATCGCAATTTCGAAACACAGACTCTGGCATACTGCGAGCGAGAACCCATGACTGTTCTCAACTGGTACCATGGGATTCTCACTACTGGACGGCTTCGCGATAGTTGAGTAGCCCGCGGTCTCAGCGGCCATCTGGCCGAGGGTTCGGATGGGCGCAGACCGACCCCGAAGGACTGGAGTCGTTCGGGGAAACAAGGAATCTCGCAGCGAAGAGGCCGTGGAAGACGGAGGTATGTGGTCTGTGCACTTACTCACCGTGCCCTTGGCGGCTAGATCGAAAATTCGGGCATTTGAGAATGCAACCCACTGGCATTCGTAAGAAGATGCACGACATTTCCCTGACCGTCTGGCGGACGCCCTCCGTCGAGCACGCGTTTGTGTTGGCTATGTGCTCATAAAACTTCAGGATCAAGGCCTTTTGGCAGGGAGTTCACCAGGAACAGATCCCGGTGTCTACTCGACATTTTCATTGGGCAGGTTGGCGTTGTGGGCGACTGAATGGTACGTGCCTTTGCCTCACCCGACTGAGTATGTCACATTGATGTTTCATGAGTTACAACACCTCACGCGTACATAGATCGAACGTTTCGTAATGACACTATCGGCTCTGTCGCGCAAGCCTCAGGTGTTCTACTCGAACTCAAAAGTCCATATGCTACGCGGTCTGGGATAGCTGTCCCGAGACAGCACATGAGAATGTTCAGATTAGGCATCCTATATGGTTTAACGGACGATTATCAAGGCTTGGTATGGTAAGTGTTCGCTCTAGTCACCGATAACATTCTTGGAGAAGCAAGCTAGGCTTGAGAAGATGCATGACCTCACGGCATTCCAGAGCTGAGCGACTTCCAAGCAGGCGCCAACATGCCGTGCTTGTGACAACTCGAAGCGTAAGCGCTGGAAAGTAGAGCTGGGTACACTGCGGTCCAGATTTTACCGCGCTTCTCTGATGTATGTCCGATAGGTAGGCTGACATGTGGCGTAGACCAAGCTATGATGAATACATCAATCATCGACAACTTTCAATAGTAGGACCTCAGGCACGAACGTTTCCTGCAACGCGACTGGCTGATTGGATACTCTGCCTGTGCAGGTGGTCGTCTCTATGACACATTGATCCGCTTGTAGCGCTTAGAAACTGACTTTCCACGAACCCAGGTACGATGGGCGCGACACTGACTGTCAACTTAAACGCTCACCCTCATCATTGAATGCCGGAAATTGACGTTCCCTGTCCAATCAAAGATCAATATATGACGGCTGGTGCGTTTCATACAGACAGCCTCAACCAATTCAATACGTGACCCTTTGGTTGCGTTATAATTGTGGTATGTAGTCCCCTCAGCAGCTAGAGCCCCATACCATCAAGCGTGAAGTGTCTGTGACTGTCTTATTCTCCCAATGCATGCTCACTTTTCTGACGGTTCTTCTGTATGTTTCACGTTTATGCAGTCGTTATGTTCACCATTGCATCATACCGTGCAGCAGCAGCGCCACCACCCGGGGCGCTGTGTGGCGCGCCGCAGTAGGCACCATTGCCGCACGTTTGTCGCAACGGTGCTCGTTAGATCAGGAACATGACTCGTTAGGATTTATTTCCGCGTTCATACGGCACAGCGCCCCACCGTTGATGGCTCCTTGGGGCAAGAATGGAGGCTGAAACGGCCGGGTCATCGCTGCAGTCGGTCTCAAATTCTGTGTTATATAAAAGCTCTGGATGCACGGGATGACCGCAGGCCCCAAGCATTCGTTCCGCCCTCAATACTCGTTCTCTACACTTCGACATACCACCATGCAATTCATAGTCAAAGTCTTCGCCGTTGCCCTCGCCGCTCTCGCCACCCAGGCGGCCGCCACACCCGTCGAGGCTAGAGGTGTGTTTGAACGCCTCTATATGTGATTTGTATTTGTGATGGCTGACAACCTTGCAGAACCATGGGGTCCTGGACCGAAGTGTGTCTCGGGTATTCCTAGTATGTACTTCACATTCTGTGACGCTGGGCCCTAGCTAACAATTCGCCCATCGTAGCGCCGACTGGCAGTGTAAGTCATGGGTAAGTTCTGCAGAGAATTGCTAACACGTCTTGTTTCTAGAATCCTATCTACACCTGCCTGTAACGGCAGTATGATTACTGCGAGGCGGACATTAAGGAGACTCGTGGCAAATGATCATGAAGTCCGGCCCCTAATCATATTAGATCAATAAACGAGATCTTCCGTATAATTGCTTCTTGTCCACTGCACATAGCTTACAAGCGATATCATGTGTCTTTTGCGTGAACTTGTCTCATACCAACGGTCTAAATCTGAGTTCTAAGTACCGTAACGGAGGATAGAATAATGCTGTCGCCGCAAACGCGACCTCGAATCCAATGTCTCCCGATGTCTTCGCGAACGGCCCGACGAACCACACCTGGTTCATCGACGGGACGATCAAGCTAACCGCAAGAATGCACGCGCCGATAGCCGCGAGGCCTGTGGGCAGTTTGTGGTAGTTGTTCCAGTAGCGTAAATCGTATGAGGAGAAGTTGCCCCGGCGGATGACGAGGTGCTCCATGAGAATGACGGCGCCGAACGCACTTGCCCAGTACCCAATGAGCCCTAGGAAATTACTGAGAGCGTCATAAAATTTGTGTTGTCCGACGATGGACAAGGGAATGATGCTGAGCATCATGTCAGTAAGACCATCGACGTCGGCGGGATAAAGGATGTATGCTCACATAGCAGTTGCTAAAAGGGAGAACATGTACCGCGGCACGGCAACCATCGGTGGGATAAACACCTGGAAGCAGAGGCAAAACGAGTACAGCGTTGGCGCGATGTTGCCGGTCACACTCAGCGCCAGGAGCACTGTGAGGAACTTCCCGAAGTTTCCCGAGGGACTGAGCATAGCTTCGAGCAGCCCCCCGACATTGCCATCCGCGTAGCCGGCGTTCCATGAAGGGACATTGGTCGCTACTATAGCCGCGGCCGCGCCTAGGCATTGGATGGGTACCTATAGCCGGACACAGTCAGACCCGTGCAGAAATGGCTCGACGAAGAGCTACTTACGATCGATGCGTTGAATCCTAGGAAGGAGTATATGAACAACTTCCAACTACATCATGGATAGATATCAGAGAAAGTGCAACGAGCTGCGTGGAGGGGGCAAACCTTGGAGCATCGGGTATATAGTAGATAGTGTAATCGGACGCCAGTGGTGCGTAAGTGATGACAAAGCCAGCGACGGTGGATGCGAAAGTCAAAATGGAGGAAGCTGTAGCGGGTTCCGCAGGTGGGGGGTTGCCCAAGTGTTTGCCACCAAGGCCGAGTGCCACGACGTAGACGACGAGTACTGGGATCCAAGCAAGGCGCTCATACCTGCGATCGTACGTTAAGAGGCATATGTATGTTAGGAGGACAGACGAACCATGTAAGGACTTTCATGCCACAAAACGAAACCTTCACACAGGAAAATAAGTCACAGAGGAAAGAGTAGAAATAGTCATATAGACGTACAAGTAGAGAGATGACAGCAATGATGACTATTCCGACCCTGTGTGTCTCTTGTCAATAAGCATTGACTGCCCCACTGCGTGACCACCTACGCACGTCCAAGATAGATTTCCATTCGTGATGCTTGACAGTGTCTGCCCTCCAAGGATGCAATTCAAAATACAGTATCCGCACATCACAGCCAGGTTGATCACACTGGCTATGATAACGCCGAAGTACCTGTGAGGAGATTAGATCAACGGCATCGATCAATACGTGCTGGACACGCACCCGAAACTGTATCGGGCTTGGCACATCTGGCGGAGGCCGAGCTTAGGTCCCCAGGTTGTCCTAAACGACGATCATGCGATTAATTCGTGCTTGAATTACAAGACCACTCACAAATACGCAGGTAAAGCGCTGCACAATAGATTGAAGAATAAGATAACGAGACATGAGTCTCGCAGGCTGAGGCCGTAAACCACGGGGCCTAATGTGCCCGCAGAGAATCTTCGGTATCATCTGTGAGGTTAAAAAATCAAGAAAACAGGATACGACGCACGATAGAATGTTGAAGTTGAACGATAACCATATGAAGAATATTTTACTGTAGTGGGTGTCTGTTCGCTCTTCTGGCTGTACCGGCAGGATACCTACCTCACATGGATAAGACACGCGCAGGCGATCGTCGGACACGGACACAGACGCACCTCGTTCCTCTACGCCCCAACTCAGCAACTTCTGCGCCAAACGGTTGTGCAATCGTGACCCATTCTGGCTCCACTTCGGCGTCTCATATAGCGACCCAGCATCCTTCTCGGTGTCGAAGGTACGATCCAACTTTTCTTGGGATGTCGCCATGGTGGTCATTTAGTGATCAAGAAGGATTTTCAGTTCGGCATCAAAGCCCCAAAGAAGCGATAGCTTGTGGAGAGTGGAGGGAAGATCTGAGTCATGTCCAACATGGGGTGGAAAATCGGCGCCCCTTGCTCCGGAAGCAAACGATAACGGCCCCTCGACATACAGAACCTTGAGTTTTAACTCTATTCTTCAGGTTGACATGACGAGACAACATGTTTATACCGCCCTGTGTGTAGAACTGGACTATAGGTTCATATTCGACTTAGGTACCAGCGTGCAAGTAAGATCACCGGCGCTCAGAATCACATAGCACGGGCATAATGGGACCCTTCAAACCCAACCTAAGTTCATGGTTAGGGTCAACTGGTCGTTTCGTTTGCGCGCTAAACTCAAGCTCAACTGCAAGCATTTTGCCACTCTCGCACATCGGTAACGCAGGCAGGTAGCGCACCCCCTCGCGATTTCATCATCATCTATTTGGAGGTTGAGGCGAAGTTTGCGGCGGGATAATACAAGAGGTGCGTATAGTATGTATTCCGGGCAACGATGACTCGTTGTGACAAATTTAACATGATACAGGAGACGTGAACGTGCGCAATATGCAGCTATGATAGTGCGCGAGCTATGCCAACGGACATATTACCGGTCATTACAGATCGTGACAAAGCGTAATGCTGTCATATCTGCAACACACAAGGGTGTCGCATTCGAAAAGCGATCGCTGGCCCTCTTAGAGGAGCATCTGTCCATGTCGCTCAGGCGTATAGGCGGCAAGGACGACGGCGGCATCGACCTCCTTGGGTGGTGGTGGCTTCCTATAATCCAAAACAATCCTGCAAGCGCAGGGCGCACTCAGATTGACGACACACATAACGGCCAGGTTCCTTCTGCCTCGGACGCACCCCGCGCGCGCCTACGCATCCTCGCGCAATGCAAGGACGAGAAGAAGAAGACGACGCCGAAGTACCTCCGCGAGCTCGAAGGCGTTCTCTACCGCTATTTGGCCCACGTTCACGCCTCAGCCCCTACCACGCAGTCAGATTGCGCCTCTGATGCAGAACCAAATGCGGACTGGCTCACTTCGGTCGACCCCGTTGTGGGGCTGCTCATCTCCTCCGCGCCATTCACGAAAGCTTCATTGTTACGCGCTCATTCATCCCCGCTGCCGCTAATGCTCTTGCACATTCCTCCTAACCCTACAAACGACAGCTCCTCTTCGAGCGTGGCTGCCAACCCCGAGCTGCCACACAAATTATCCTATGAGTCGAGCAGCGACGAGCCTTCTTCCGAAAGTAACACGGAGGCTCCAGATGGCATCATCGGATCATTGGTCTTCAATGCAGCTCTCGGCGGTGCATCAGGGTTGCTGCAGGGCCATGTGCAACCCCGGTGGGAGTATGCTGCAATCTCTACGAGTCTCGGCAGTGGGCGACCTGGGCTGTGGTTCGAAGGACGGCGGCTGCAAAGCTGGACACCCGAACGGCAGATGTCACCCCTGGCAGTCACTTGACCGGTCCCGGGTCTTAGCACTGAGACTTTGACTGGCGCATGCGATGTGGGCTATTCGTTCCGAATCCCTGTTGTTGCGCTGCTGCACGCCGACCGTCGTTCTTTACTCAGCTGTCATCGTCTTGCCAATCAATCGTGGGAGCCATAACCAAATAATGTGTGGCGATTCTCAAGCACAGCACCGGAAAAGTGCGCCTGTCATGCCTTCAATCAGCCGGGAGAAATGCTCATATATGGGCTCACGGGCGTAGCATGATGCACCGGAGATAATGCTGAATAGAAGAATACGGAGCGCATATGGTTTGATCAGATCCGTGTCGTGTTCGGCCATTCCAAGAGTGGGGAGGCGCGCAAATGGTCAAGACATCGCACGGCCGGTCTCATCCGGCGTCGAGTGAGTATTTCGCGAAAGCAAATGGATCTAAATCCTTCTCGCAGAGTAAGTACTCACGTGCCACACGTGTGGTGGAGGACCTCTTGAAACCGTTGTTCGCGGTCACAATCCAACAAAATCCGCGGACATGCGACTGCGAGAGAGATGCCGCAAATGAGCAGCTTCATACGAACTACAGCGTTCAATCGTCATCATTATGTCGTCGTTATAGGCTCAGAGGCCTGGGCAGTTACCAAGGCTACTGACTATCTGGTCGCTTGAGCCACAAAGACAACTTCAGTGCTAATAGCGTTTCGCAGCGTTCAAAGTTGTTGCCGGTTAAATGTCGCTGAAAAACAAATGACTTTTCGCTGCTTCAAAGCGCTCAGATGTGGCTGATCAGCCAATCAGGTTGGCGGATTACGCAAGCCTGCCGTAATAAGTCAGAATCTGCGAGCGCTTGCGACAAGCAGTCGCTTATTTGTCGCTGTCCGAGGAGGAGATATGAGATCCTTGTCGCTTGCTTTGGTCACTTGATTCTCTTTTTTTCTTCAGCAATATTTACAGCGCTTTCCGAAATCTTTAGGTTGCGCCACATATTCTTTTGCATATCCAGGCGCGGAGACATCCGGGATTGCCTAATAAGTCAGGTAGATAATGCGAAACTCATCAGATCTAGATCAGCGCGAGCAACGTCGACCGACAGCGTTGATATACAGGCTTCACACCATATGTAAAGCATTGGCAACTATTGTACCATGTTCTTGAGGGCTCCAGTCCACAGAGGGATGGGTTTAGCAGAGGTTGGGCCTAATCGGGACTCAAGCGCGTGATATAAGCGCTAGGTTCCCCGTCTCGAAAGACAGGTTTTCGGAAAGCGCTGTAAGCAGCAACTTCGAGAGCTAATTCCATATAGATAGACCGAGAACATTTGTGCGCAAGCGGGGCTGACGCACAGCTAGGAATCAACGGTCACGATCGTGGTCCCGACCTGGCGGGACCCGCAAAGTAATGACTCCAGCCACAATTCACCGAAGTTATGTGCATAGCCCGCCCATTCCCACCCGAAGTCCGCTTACGCACACATTGAGTTCAGCAGGTCTAACGATACGGAATCAGCTGGAACGCCCCTAATGGCGCTCTTTGCTGTATCTTTCAGAACATCTGGACTGTCTACATGCATCGATCAATGCCATCACCACCCTCTTGCTCAATACATCTTGTGGCCACAGCGCGTCATTTCTTCGTTGCACAATGTGAGTACCGGGGCCAGGGCACAGCACTTCAGATCAATAAGCTGACTCTGTGCTGCCAGAACCTTGTCTTCGTCCGTCTTGTACTGACGGTCATCAAGTTCTGCAGTGTGCTTCTCATGGCTCACGAGCGTCACAATCAACCTTTCCCGTGAAACATCGGGCTTGAAAGCTGTGCCTCCCATTAAGCGAAATTAAGCGAAGAACACGCTTTTTTAGACACTGTCCATGTCGAGCGCCGACGGGTGTGAGCCTTCGAACAGCCTGTGCGTCACGGTATGCTCTTCGCGTAATACCTCAGTGTCAATCAGATTCCCAACAGCGAACGTGAGACCCACTGGATGACTTGCGGATATAAAGGAAAGTCAGTTCAATGAGCTCTCATATTTCTCCAGCACTCCTTACCGATAGAACGACATGTCTCCAATCTTGCGCTCTGTCATAGTCGCCACTGCTATTGCTCTGTACCTGCCTATCGTCTCCGCCAACTACGCAGGCAGCTGCCAGGATGAACACCTCGACGGCCAGAACTTGGTCGCTACCTGCACCGCTGACGACGGATCGCAGGTGAGCTCGACGCTCAACTTGGATGACTGTGTGGCAAACTATGGCGGCACCCTCAACTGCGTTCCGAGGTAATTGAATATTGCATGCCTCCTCTTTGAGACCCCCAACGTTGACATGTCCTGTACAGAGGCGAGTTTTCCTACTCATGCGATGTCGCATCATGTGGCTTGACAGGCGGCGAGTACATGGAGTGCTACTGTGGTAATGGCCAAAGTGGCCAGACCGCGTCCATTGTCGATCTAGGTCCGTGATTTCCTTCTTCAGTCTCAACAGCAGTTCGGCTTATCTCTCTGAGCCCAGGCTCATGCATCAATAATCATAACGGCGTGTTGGCGTGCTAATGTAGCTTACTATATCTACGGAGGTGCTTTCTACAGTCTTGTACTCCTACGAGCCCTGAACCTTCCGTATGTGCTTCGAATGGACTTGCATGTTGCGTGAACACGAGTCTCAGCACATTTTGTGTTAATTTTCTGGCAGGGATTGAGAGTGCAGAACGACGAGATGAACAGTTTTTAACACGGCTTGTAGCCAGCAAACACGTCAGGAAACAAGTACAGAACGAACGGCGTAACTTAATTCTATACATGGACAAGTGATCTACTACCGTAAGTATCGACTGTACTTCCAACATTTTGGTCGGCGCACACTACGGGGACAGCGTACGGCAACAAGTCTACCATCGTTGGCTAGTTTGCCTGAGATGTACGTGGTAAAGTCGGAGTGACTGAAATCGGCTGCTATAGTTCATAGTGGGGAGGGTGACTGTGATCTCAGAAAGCGTGATAAGTCTGTCGCAGCCTTCTTCGCTCAATCGGAAGCAGTCCTTTAAGCCTCACACAGGCTCATACATGGACACAGCGTTGCGACGGGGATATAAGTACACCAAACCCACTGTCAGTGATTCACTCTATCGCAGATTGTATGAATCAAGCAAAAGAATAGACTCTACATCGTCGGTCTCAAGATTACGCCATGCGTTTTCGACGTCGCACTCGGCACCGCTTGGTGCTGAGGATCACTCTGTGTATCATACCTTTCGCTTATGCAAGGAAAGCAGCACCGTCCTGTGCATTATCTTATACGCGTATAGCCGTGCGGAATCCACGCACTGAATGTCATCCGGCATTTTGTCATAGGGAAACAAGTACAACTGATAGCAGTGTTGATTGAAGCTGTTATATGTTATTGTACACGCGAGGAATCGGCGCTGGCTGGATCGGAGGGCCGTACACTAGATGCTCTAATGTCCCATTACCTTCAGCGGGACATAGGGCTCCTCCAGATACTTGATTTCCTCTTCGGTCAGCTGCAGGAGGGCACCCTCTGCAGCAAAAGGTATTCGGTCACCAGAAATACACACAAGGCACGGAAGACGCTTACCTATGATGTCCTTGAGGTTGGCGAGGCTGGTCGTACCGACTATGGGCGCAGCAACGACTATATTGCGGGAAATCTCATCAGTCGGACATCGTCAAGCTCGTTGGACAAATGAATGAGCATACCATCCTTGGAAAGCGACCAAGCGATGGAAATCTGGGCCATGCTCACGCCCTTCTTCTTCGAAAGTTCCTCGACCCTACACGAATGTCAGCAAATCCAGTATTCCCGTAATGGTACTTCATCTACCCACCTGTCGATGATTGCCTTCAGAGCGGGGTTCTGCTGGTACATCCCAGAGTACCAGTCGCTCTGCCCTCTCGCAGTGGCCTTCTGTTCACTGAAGGGCCTGCAGAGCAGACCACGGCCTAGGGGAGACCAGGGAATCGACGCAACACCAAAGTGCTGTGCGTGACAAATTCAGCGAGACATCCTAATCACCATGGCAGGCCTAGCATCTGATATACCTTGAGAGTCGGGAACATCTCGCGTTCTTCCTCGCGGTAAATGAGACTGTGATGGTCTTGCATAGAGATGAAGGGTGTTAGACGGTTGCTGATGGCGTAGCCTAGTGTCTCGACGTGTCAGTCGAGCAAATACTGTCTGGTCAGCACAGTATACTCACTCTGCATAACATGGACTTCAAGTCGGGGCGATATCCGGTCAGCGCGAGCAAGTTCCACGGATATTACCAAACATACACTGCCAAGCGTAGCAGGAACTCATTCCGATATAGCGCACCCACCCAGCCTTGACCACGTCATGAAGGGCTTCCATCTGATAGCACGGGGTCAAACATGATCTTACAAGTGTACGCACTGTACTCACCATCTCTTCTATGTTGGCGCCGTCTCTGAACCTGTGCACTATGAGGAATTGCGTGAGCGTACACCATCAAGTCAAACCAGAACATACCTTGCAGGACGTCAATATAGTCCAACTGCAGACGTTTCAAGCTAGCCTGCACGGCATCGAAGATGTGCTGGGAGGATAAATGATCAGTCAACTACTTGTGGGTGGCAGTGGTAGCCGCCAAACCTTGCGACTGGTGCCGTATTGGTTGACGCAGCGAATTTCTGTTTCAGCCTCCTCTGGATTAATCACGAAGTCTTGGACATTCTTGCAGACATGGGCGGTGAACTACGAAAAGCACAATTAACGTCGGCATCAGCTGCGGTGGTTGTGTAGCCGACGTGAACCACTGACCTTGGTCATGACCACAATCTCCTCGCGGGGAAGATTGAGCTTCTTGATTGCCCTCCCGAGGATTTCCTCAGACTGGCCGTTCGAATAGACCTACGACGCCCGTGAATGATGCAAGAAGACCACGGCGACCGTCAGTCTACTCACGTTGGCAGTGTCGAACGTCTGGATCCCAGCGTCGTACCTGTCGCCGAGGGAACGATGAGCGAGTGAATCTCAATGTACGTAGAATGACAACGGTACATACGCATATTTTATATGCTTTACGGCCTCTTCCTCGGAGAGATACCAGTTTTGACCGGCCCACCCTGTACCTTCACCGCTGGAGTATGTCATACATCCTAGAATGATCTTGGAGACTTTCAGGCCAGACTTTCCCAGCCTCACTGTGTGAGAACCTCGTTGTCAGCTTGTCGGATTGGTCTAAGTGGCCAATTGCCGTACCGTATGGGATTCTCTTTGAAGGGAGCTCTGGGATGGCAGACATCGTTTTTGATGTGGTGGGTAGCAATGTGCCTTGTGGCCTGAGTCAGTCCTACATGATGGCTCTTTATACCCCGCAGGTATGCTTCGAAGTTCGAACGTATGTCATTGTCTATCCTCGCTACTACGCCGAAGGGAGACGTGTACATCGGCGCCAGTGTGCCGGGTGCTTCGTACTGCCTTGTTGGCACATGAACACGGCAGGAAGGGTCTAGGTTAGTACGCCACGGGCCGACGACAGCTTTTAGTCAGTGCAAAGCTGTCGTCCGGCTACTCCTCCATCGCACAATACACCCTTCGAGAAAGAAACGCTAAGCGGCGGTGGTCACTTTAAGGAGTCTCGTCGATATACGTGTGTCCCATCCTATGCACCCTCAAGATCCTCGCAGTGTCGTTGTGTTTTCAATGGTCCATAGTCTGACGCAATGGCGTTGTCGAGTGCTGTAGATGGGTTGGGAATATGCGACGCAGACACAGCGATAACTACGATCGGTGATTGTCTTGATAGCAAATTCAACGATCGGTCAGTGTTCCATCGCTTGTTCACCGACCTGCATCTCGCTAGGCCTTGGTCGATTGACCCACTAAGCTGGTCCTCAAGGTTCATCTCATCTCTGTACTATAGCCCATGTGGCCTTGCGTCCAACATATGGGAACCTCAAGTACTATGCAGGGCCTGTCACATCTCACGGCGCCGTTCTGAGAGCAGACATCGATACTACCTTCAACCATCCTCAGGCTCCGGTTGTCCGTGTCTGACCCGCTTCACATCCTCTAGCTCCCTACTCTCTGGCTCTCTATACGGTATGGAATCTAGTTAGCTTGCTACGCTCCTCGTCATTCTTGGATCCATCGTCTTCACTGATTGCTCGTATGTTATCCTTCACTCTGCGCAACGGTTCCTCTACCACCCTGAACCTTCTGACGACATATTCAAGGATACAGAATTTGCCTTGGTGGACCCAACTATTGTACATGAAGACGACCCTGCCCGCTTTGGATGTTCTTCCCTTCGAACAATCTCATACCACGGGCCATTTACACACCCCAGATGAGCATGCTTGGAGTGAGCTGTTATCTCAGCTGGTGTATAATCTGCTGCATCGACAATCTAGCAATAGCAAACAAGCATCTATCTGGTCACGGCAACCTGCGCCTTCGCGGTGGTTGACTCTGGAATGTGGTCTGTGCACTCCATACGCCCTTCCCTTATGCAATCCATTTTCCATTTCGCTGAGCACATACCCATCCCGGTCGATTGGCAGCATCTCAGTCATCCATCACCTCGCGCATTTCCTGGCTTTGCTAACGCTCATCGGCGCGCTCATTTCCAGGGACGAGCCTCGTTTCTTGTTTAAAAGAGTAAAACGATATACAGCCCTGGAGATCGACATGGTTCATACCCTGACGGTTGTTGAACGCCTCGTCGGAGTGTCGATAGGAACACCTGCCACTATGTGGACTAGGCGTTAATATACTCAACAGACATCATCTTGGTGTGCGCGGCAGAAGTCTTCCAGTATGCCTCGTCGGGAGGGGGGGGGGAAGGTTCCCGTTGAGATTATACGCTCAATTCACATTGACCGTCATTCCTATTAGTATATGGTCAACTGCGCAGACTATTAGACAGGTGTATAAATTAGCTCGCATTATTGTTACAGTACATGTAGTATAAGTTCTTGTGACAGATTGCGGTTACCGCCGCAAAGGCTGGAAGATCGGCCCAGCGAGGTGTTCCCCGCCAAAACTCTGGAGTCAATCAGCAGTTCTCAGAGCTTCGTTGTACTAGGGTAAGCAGTGCATCACGCATCACTATCCTACGAATTGCCAGGTGTATCATACGCGCCACCGCATCAATCATTTATTAAATATGAACATACGTCCACAATTCATCAGACACTGTCATCCCCACCCTGTGTTACAAACACGTCCAGTATCTCAGAAGGATCCGCGATGCATGGACCGATCCTGTTGTGCCAAAATCGTGGATCGTGATCCTATGATATTATTTACAGTGAATGAAAAGATATGGCCTTTCTAAAAGCTCATTTTGCCGGGTACTGGCATGCATCATAAGTGACTAACTAGGGCTGTAATACAGTTCTTTTTGATGCACAGGCTACCGCACACGGCGATCCGGAGAAATGTATCTTACCAGCAGCCCGGGTATGAGTATCATCTCTGGCTAATGGAGACCACATCCGGCCAGCGATCGACTCCGTGGACTGTAGCGGTGACACATATTGCATGGCTTCTCGACCTCAAATCCCTGGAGCGCATCTGTCATATCTTCTCCCTTGGCACATCATTATCCTTCCTGTGTCCTCTTCAAACTCATCGGCATACTCGTCAGCGCCCCTGTGGGCTGAGTATAAAGCTCAACAAGCAGTACTCATATATCCTAACCTAGTACTCTTTTTCACCCCATTCTACATGACTGCCTGTACAGCTTGAGGGATCATTCCATTCTGACCCTGCCACTGCCACATCAGGTTGCTATATATGCTCTTCCAAATTCGCATTCTCCTCGATGTGTGTGGATCCAGGCCCATCAGCAGGCGGCTCATTCGGATCAGCGAACGGATCGTTTGTATGAACGGAGTCTGACCCTAATTATGCATGAAACTAAGTAGTGAGTGGGCCCGATACTATGCGCCACTGCTGGCCAAGAGAAACATGTATGTTTTTCTCGCTTACCCTTATCTGCATTGCGTATAATATGCTCCACTTTAGCGCGAGCAAGCTCATTATTCTCTTGCATCAGTTCTTCTAGAGCAGGAATGAGACCATTCTCGTGGAGGTGATCCCTACTATCATCGTCTGCGGCCAGATCGATGAGTGTCAAACAGTGCAAAAAGTGTAGAAGAGAATCCTTACCTGCCATATGTGAAAGAACACAAATATAAAACGTGCATTCTGATGTGTTGAGAGGCTGCTCTTTCACCCATGTCAAGAGCTTTTGGCTTAGGTTCGAGCTGCCGCTGGTATCAGCTGTTGATCGTATCAGAAGGTTGCTGATCAGCTCGTAATGCGCCCACACAGGCACGAAAGGACATACATGAACTCCACGAGTCAAGAGATACGAGATCATCGAGAGATACGATGCTTTGTGAGTCAATGAGCCCTACTAGATTATCAAGAAATCCAAGTCGCTGTAGTTTTTGAGCAGCGTCATCTATCAAACAATCCATAGTCTTATCAGAGAGAAGGAACCACAGAATCTAGAGTATAAAGCATACCGTAACGGCCAAACAATAGTAAGTATTCCATAGCTGTCATTTTTTTCGACCATGAGCCTGATTGTCGCAGTATCTGTACGTTCGTTGCCAGAGAACTACCATCATCGCCATCAATGAGCGCTTTACGAATGTAATCTATGACCCAACGCAGTGAGTATCCTTGCTCCCTGTGGATTTTACAGATGATCATACCGTTTCTTATCAAGTCGCGAGGAGTCATTGTGTGAAGAAACCACCAGATGTGACGGCCATCTGGGCGCTTCAACATTATGCGCAAGGTCGTAGTAAACCTCATATCTTCCAAATAGGTCGTCCTATGCCCACCATCTATCTTGCTCAACAATATACATCCCCTTGTATGATTCGAGTGACTGACATACCAGAGCAATGACTTATCAGCCTCGCAATAAGTGTCATTGAACGCTCCCACAGATCTGTCTCGTCATCCTTTAACTCCAAAAGTCCATATAATGTGTCAATGAATTGGAGGCCCCGCATTGTGTCGCAGGTTTTCTCTGATACATCAATACGAAGCACAGAATGCCTCTTCAAGCAGTGATGATTGGCAGCAAGTCATAACTCACCCATATAGCTAAGGTGCCGAACACCAGAAAGGGCATATTTTCTTCTCTTTTCAATGTTCAGATCGTCCTTGAGAGTCTTCATGAATTTGCCATCGCAGACGTTCTCGCGGATAGAGCCTGCAAATCGGTCGAATGAATGGACGAAGTATATAGATCCGATTTGGCAACAAACTGCTCCCGGAACGATATGCCAACCACGTGAGAGACAAAAGAATGGTGCCATGCCCCTCGGTTAGTTCCTTCTCATACTTTTGTGCGATCCAGTTCATGAATACTGGTCTCAGAACCCCTGAAATCGGTGAGCCGAATATTCAACCGAGCCACGGTTATGTTTCGACACTCACGTGTACCATGCTCTTGTACGTGGTTGGTCCAGCTTGTCTTGGTGGTCTCTGTCTTTCTATGTTACAACAATGAACTGAGCATGGCAGGGATTGTACTTGTACCGGTATTCATATCGTGGCTTGCGGTATCGGATTTCCGAAATATGACCCTATGTAGCTTGTCATGCCTAAGATTTGTTTCTTACGGTGATCGATGCATGAGCCTCCTCCATCGAAAACTATAGCGTCAATTCCGGGGCATCCTCACCTCGCGCCTGCGTAGCAATCTCTCCCACGAGCCATGCCCATATTTCCTTGGAGATATAAGGTGAGCTGAAGGAAGTTTGATGGTTACCTAGAGCGTTAGACCATGACCATGCGGATCATTCATTATTGTTACAACTTATACCCACCAGTATTTGACCCTCGGTTGATCATTTTGATAGCGGACTGAGCAGACGTCGCTATGTACCTCATGATACCCTTCTTGGCATTAGGAGTAACCATTTTGTTTTCATCTGAGATCATAACATGGGCTCAGCATTTGTTTAGAGGCTAGAATACAGCACTTACATTCGTGTACGTATTCTGCCAAGTGTCGGATAACGGACAGCAGAACGGAGTGTTGCTCCGGATCGAGGAGAGACTTGATTGAATCAATCAAGTCTTGAACCAGCTCGATGTCAGGAGATTCGCACAGTGCCATGGCTAATAATATCGATGATGTCAAGCACAAGTGTCTTACGCAAATTATGAGGGATCCTACTTTTGTCATAATCGGTCAGTCGATCTACAGCGGTGGCTAGAGAGTGGTATGGCATGGTTATGTCCTTGAATAACTTCGTGAGATTGCGCAGTGATGATATCCGGTCAACTTGGTCAAGTGCTGTGTTCCAAATATTCGTTGATTAGCTGAATGTTGGCATCAGTTCTGATATGCTGCTTAGGACTTACGATCGTTTTCGAGAAATAATTCTAGGGCAGACACACCGGATGCCGCGCATGCCGTTTGCAAGGAGGTGATCACGACATGCATTGCATCTGTTGGGAATTTGTATGCGCAGGCCCTGTCCCCCTGTTGCGGCGCATAAAGTTGTAGGAAGACAGATAATTCAAGCGGAGGCATTTTCATCGGTTCATTTTTTCGGAGGTTGTTGGCTAGGTCTTGCGCAATATCGACGTGCCATAATTGCTCCAGTCCAAGCGCTGTGCCGAATAGGTCAAGGCGGATTGATAAGGCAATTTTGTGCAGCATTGACATACAATCTGCAGCGACCCTGCTGATCAGTTTCAGGGCCTTTGCCCTCAGAGGCGATTCAGTTCCATTCTTCTTGATAATATCTGAAAGGCACACGCAAAGATTTTTATCTGCTTCTATGATCGCTCGTGTTCGTGCTCCTGTGAAGGTTTCAGCAGAGCAGGACAGTATCCGGAAAGCCACGCACGGTCAAGAGCTAGGATACGTAGACGATCCAGCGAGTCAGAGACGTCTGTGTTCCGCTTAAGTGCACCGATGAGAACTGTAGCTTTGGAAATGTCGTGAAGATCAAGCTCGAGATGGTCCCTCAATTCGTCCATCCAATCATTATCGGATACGTCAAGTGTCTTCCCAAGTATGTCGTCCCAAGTCGGTGTCGTCGACTTCCACGACAGAGAGGGCACAAACTGCGCAGCAGGTCTGTATTTACCCTTGAGAGCTACAGAAAGGTGAATTTTTTGCCCTGGATAGATGAAGCGGTGTGCACCAAAATGAGGAAGAATCCTGCGAGAAGGTGAATATCAATTAGAAAGGCGAGTTCACATGCACGTGCGTCCTACCATCGTCGAGGGTGGGGGAAATCATTCCTTCGGCTAAGAAACGGTATGAGCTCAAGCGGCCACCATTCTAATGACAGAGAATCTGGCGGCGTCGGCTCCTGAAGCTTGTCGTCGTCCCAGTCGAATTTAGAGATCTTCAGCTTGAGTCCCTCTGCCTGTGCTTCATTTGCCATCCATAGCGCAGGTATCTCGTCCATGAGAAGCTTCTCGTTCTGTTTGTTCCCTCCTCCGCTACTCCATGATAGTGAGTTATGGCAAGGCATAGGCGATTTCAAGAACGAGAGCGTACACGTCCGAGTGACACCCCGCAAACCAGACTTCTTTGACTCGTTCACGCTCCTCCCCAACACCCTTTCTTCCCTCGCTTTGCTTTCCTGGCTGTTCCTTCTGTTCCCTTGAAGACTTCTCCGTCGCACGACTCACAATAACTCCGTCTACATCCTGAGGTTCACTAAGGTTGACTTTACGACTGGGTCGCGGTGATTTTATGCGGAGAACGTCCTCTGGGGAAAATCTGACTCGACGTTCATCGAGTGCTAAGGCATGCCGAAATTGGCAAATGTGGTGGGTTTTCTGCGTCCTGGGTAAATCCTTGTCCTTGTTTCGAAAGATACCGATGGATGACACAGTGTCCCTACATAGATGATTTGTTTCGATTGGCACTGATCACGTGATTGTATTTACCATACGCCGATGAAATGGACTTTGACTTTTGGACGGGAGAAAGTCTCCTTGAACCGTGCGGTCATTCGCCTGATATAAGATACCATCAGCCGCAAATTTACTACATGCAAGCTGGAGCTTACGAGTTGATCTCGGCCGCGCCGGCTGACGCAGCATACAATTCATACGCGCTAATGTTGGCCGCATCAGCCCAGCAACAATCATGGCTGTTATGATCAATCATACAAGGGGATTTGCTCCTCATTTCCGGGATAAATGAGGCCGACCTAGACCCGATATGGTGGGAAACATAGAGTCATTCACGATGATGGTGTGATCATAATATGCCCATTGGAGAAAGCGTACCTCTTCAATCATTGCTGCAAGCACCCTAGCCTGATATGCACCTCGTGAAAAGCCTGAATAATGAGAATCACTTGCTGAATTTTAATAGGCTACGTTAGTGTTCCTACCGAAGAGAAAGATCCTGTCGCCATCCTTGTAATGTTCGGACAGCCACCTGTATGCTGCCAGAATGATTCTTTCGAAGTTCCTGGCTTGCTAATTACTTCATGATACACATAAATTGAGATTCTACTCACCAAGCTATCGCAAGGTCAACATGACTATCAAATCTAGTCTTGAGAAAGCTAAGCCCAAAGCGCCAGGATGGTGTGGCATACGTCCCAATGCCGCTGTTGTAGTATGTGAGCTGATCCTCCCCCTTGATAATTCGCGCATATATCTCGACAACGTTTGAGTTCTGAGCATCGCAGGAAAAGTACAACCGCTTAAGTAAACATATGAAGTCACATACCTTCAAGCCGAATTGATTCATGGTACCATCCAGAGCAACAACAAGCCTCCGTGCATTCTTGTAAGTCTCGCAATGCTTGCAACACTCTACATCGCCCGCTTCAGTATTTCCTTCCAATCCAATCTCTTTAGCAGTACCTTGATAGTTGGTTTTGGCCGACGTCGGCGGAACATTTGGATTAGTTTCAGAAGTACCTTGCTGAACCTCGTCCAAGGTCTGGGAGCCCTGGTGGTTATCGAGTGAGTTCATGACTGAGGTCTGTACAGTCACCTTGACAGGTCGAATGCCCATATATATAGAGGGAGCGATGGCGTCTGAGCACAGTCATGAGATAGGCAGCATACCTCACCTGTGTGTCCTCCTCAGCAGAAGAGAACTGAAGGTATGATAGGACCTAATTCAAGTGTATGCGATAGCAGGAAGATTTGATATATCACACACATCGGAGCCTAGAAACTTCCACGACCACAATCAATGCATGGAACCTGCCAGTGCTGTCCTCATGTTTCCGTTCTGCCCAATGCGGCAGAACTGTATAACAAAGGCAACCTTCCTTGACCCTATTGGAGAGAGTGTATGCGCATGCGTAGTTGACGCGGATTTAGGAGCCCAAAGTCAGGCTCACGCACAAGGGGCAGGCGCTCTGTTATTTTTTCACTCCAACCCTCGTTAGTTTAGCGCTGGCCCCAGGTCACCGATTGGGTGGGGGGGCATCCTCCTTATCTCTGATTAGATCGTCCACACTACAGTACACTGACGATCTGAGTATTGTATTTCTCCTCGACAATTTGCACGTTGGGTCTCTTATTACTATTGAGACTGCTGGCTTGCAGCCAAACTTCATGATGCCTTGATAGCATCGCTAATTGGGATATCAGAGAAGGTGGATCTCATAGAGATTCGCAATGAGAAGAACAGTGGTCGAGAAAAAGCTTACAGTATACTACTGAATCAGAAAAATTGCATTATGTTATATGGCGGATCATCCATTGTTATTTCAGAATACATAATCCATGCTTAAGTTATGTATTTCGTGGTATATATAGTACTAGTACTTCTGAGAGAGTACGAAGTGACAGATCTGATTAGATTGCAAGATAGAATGAGCTCAAGAGGGGATGGGCGCTAATAATACAGCGAGCGCGCAGGACGAGACAAGCGCCCAAAGGCCGCACTTGGTATTCCTCACGCACGGAACATTGTCTATCGAACTGACATTTCAAGTGCACAGATACCAAGTGTATGTTGGGTATGTAACGCTACAAACTTCCAGAAGCTCCATTTGAAGATTCGCGCTTGCAGAATGTTATTTACGGAAATCGAGCGAGTTAGTGAATTTGGGGACCCCGGTCACCGATTGTACCACTACCACCACTAGAGTCGATAAGAGTAATCCACCGATCGCCTGCCCCTTGGTCACGCAGAAGCCAGGCAATGCGTCGTTGTATCGACTCGACTAGTGTTCAGTCCCGGGTCACAGGCACCTCTGAACAGGGCTGGGAGTTCATTTGTCACGGTCACAACGAGTTTTGAACTCGGCGCAATGTACTTTGTCACGATGGCGAGAAACTCGTTTCTTCGCCTGCTTAACCTGCACAGCAGCCTTAGAGAATATTCGCAATGTATAGGAAGTATGCACAGTAACTTGTATTCTAAAATCAACCCACTCTGGGTCTCATTATGAGTTGATCACCAATTACTGCGAGATTTCGAGGAAATTTGTGCTGCGGCATCACCAACTCTAGCTCACTACAACTAGTTGTTATGGAAGCAATGTATTACAGGCTAGTAATAAATGCCACGGTGTCCCAAAATGAGTCGCGCACCTCTGCCGCCACCCACGGGACTATCCGCTGTCTGCACAGGGTAAGTGGAGCGTAACGTCAAGATGGCCTCTGGACAATTCAGGGACAACAGCGAATGATAATAAAATCAGATGGATCGCACACTATACAAGCTCTGGGCCAGCAGGAAGAAATGTATCGTCTTCGTGTTAGCCTCGACTCTCGAGCAAGGGGAACGAATGTTGCGAAGCGACCGCCGTCTCTGCTCGGATAAGGCGTCACTAGCAGCGACTCGGAGCGGTGCGTAAACCTACCTACAAGCCTGCACGTCGGTGATCCTTGGCGGTCCCAGATTGTTCCCCACCATGGATCGCTCGATGCACACTGGCAGGATCACGTGTACGCCTGTGTCGGTCAACATGATGGCTACGGCGTTCTTGGTCCTCGCAGGCATGGACTCGCCTCCTGAATCGCATTAGATTCATAATCTGCCAACTACTGCTTCTGTCGTCTCGCATGGAACGTGCTGAGGTTATCTGATGCCCCGACGAGCTGAAGTAGAGCGAAGTAGAACAAAGGTGTTCGTCTGGCAACTGGATCACTGAAGCTCTGAATGTGCCTGCTGGAGCCGAATGGACGTTCTAGAAGCGCTAACTCAGTGACTCAGAGAAGTCCCAGTTTTCCTATTGTCCCATTGGAGGCTGGATTGTGCAGAGGTTATACCTGCTTATATGGGCTTCATTGTCTCGAACCTTCCTTTCGGATCCACATATCCGGGGCGGTATGCTGGAATCCCTGATCTCGGTGAACTCGACCATAAGGTCTCCTAATGTTCCTGGAAAAGGAAGCGCTCACATACTTAAATACGTAGCCCGAGTGCATTATGTGCTTTGATACTTGTTCGCGGTCTGCCATGGAAAGTATCACGGCATAAAGTAGAGTTTGACACGCAGAAATCTTTCCATCTGACAATGTGTACATGTAGTACCATGAGGCTTGTAGAGGAAGGAAGCACCGGATGTCTCGCAGATATAAATACAAGCCAGTTCCATGATCCCTCAGGTTTCTCCAGCACTCCTTAGGTGACCAAGAGGACAACATGTCTCCAATCTTGCACTCCGCTATGGTCCTCACTGCCGCTGCTCTGTGCCTGCCTATTGTCTTCGCCAACTACGCAACCACCTGCGAGGATGAATCCCTCGACGGCCAGAACTTGGTTGCCAGCTGCACCGCTGACAACGGATCGCAGCAGAGCTCGACGCTCAACCTGAATGGCTGTGTGGCAAACTATGACGGCGACCTCAACTGCGCCGTGAAGTGATTAAAAGTTGCATCCTCTTCGAGACATCCAACGTTGACATGTCTTGTGTAGCGGCGGGTTTGCCGCCTCCTGCAATGTTGGATCATGTGGGTTGGCAGGCGGCGAGTACATGCAATGCTACTGTAGAAATAACCAAGGTAGTCAGACCAGCTCTATCGTTGATCTAGGTGCGTGATTTCCTTCTTCACTCTCAACAGCAGTTCGGCTCATCTCTCTGAGCACAGGCTCTTGCATAAATAATAAGAACGGCACGTTGTCGTGCTAGCTTGCCATATATCCGGAGATGTCTTTTGGGATGCTGTGTTTCCAGGAGCACAGATTCTTCCGTACGTGCTGCAAATGGACTCCAAGTTGCATCTTACGCGAGTACAAGCATCAGCACATTCCAGTTCGCGCACACTGTGGGGATAGTAAGATAGTATCACCACAAGTCTACCATTGCTAGTTGGCACACCTGAGGTATACGTGGTTAAAGTCGACGTGACTGAGGTTCCCCGATATGATTCATAGTGGGAAGATTCTGAGTGCGCCATCAAGTGATGTTTTTGTTCTTGTTACAGTCTGCTTCGCTCAACTAGAAGTAATCCTTAACGTACATAATTATACATCAAAGTAACATTGCGCTCAACCAATCGACAAATTCATCAGTCCTCATATAGATAGAGATCCGAACTACGATTATCAATCTGATCGTAATTGTCAGTGCGGTAGTCCCCTTACTCCTTTCTATCTCAGACAATACCAAACATACCAAATAGTGACAGACCACACGCCGGACTGTACTGGGCTGCAGTTGGAAATGGGTATTGCGTATGTATTGCGGCGAAGGCGGCATGAATGACTACAGGGTGAAGCTACTAGTACTACAGTGGAGTTCGGCATCCGAGATCTAGCACGACTCTTCAAAGGCCGGCGGTGACTATAGTAGAAAGTAGTAGGCTGTGTATAGGGCATGAACGCTGCGCGTGATGACGGGAGTCGGACATCGACAGTAAGGGTACAGTTTTACATCTGCTGCTCGCGGACTGCTGGATAAATGGAGGGCAGCGAGATGGGGGGGTAGGGAGGGGGGGGAGGGGGTAGGGAAGAGGAGAGCAGGACAGCGAGAGACAGCAGGCGATCGGGAGGTCTATATGTGCGAAATGGCAATGAGAGCTTCTTGGATCGGAGGGAATGGGGAAATCTGGGGATTCGATAGGGTAAAATGGGGAAAGCGTGAGCGTCGGAGGCGCTATATGAATAGCATAGAAGAACATGTTGGGGAACACTCTAGGAAAGAGGTTCAAACGACCGAGTCGTCCGGATCCACCGACTCATGGTCGGCATCGCCGTCATTGTTCTCGATGTCGGCATCCTCGTCCTCTTCCCCACCCTCATCATCATCATCATCTTCGTCATCATCATCGTGCGTCTCGACGGTGCGGAACGTCGTCTGACTGTGCTGTCGGTTGTTCACGAGCTACACGACACCTCAGTCAGCGACCCATCTATCACACAGTCTAGGTCAAAACACTTACCCCACCAATAGGCCGCGAATAATCCACCTCGTCCCTAAAGCTGATCGCGCCCTGACTACGCATGGCTACCGTGCCCAGCTGGCCGAGCCGCGGGTCGAGCAGCCCCTCGGGCGCATTATGGCTCGAGCCCTCCGTCGGCGCCGGCGACGGCATATGGTCCGCCACGACGCGCCATGCGGGGAGCGGCACACCATAGCCGTGGCCATACCCGCCATCATACCCATACCCATACCCTGCCTGGCCCTCGGCAGACGGCGACGAGTCGCTGTTGTCCGCGTTGGCGTACGGTCGCGCGAGGAAGGCCAGAGGGGGCTGCCGGAGGGAGCCCGGCGGGAGCGTGGGCGAGTGCGGGCGCGCGAAGCCGTGGCGCGGCATAGACGCAACCATCGACGGCGCGGCGGTGATCCCGGCAGGCATGGCGACAAGCGGGTCCACGCCCATCGCGCGCGGGGTGTAGAACGACGTGACGGGGCTCACTCGCTTGTTCATGGCCGGCGAGTCGCTCGCGCTGCCGCTCGTCGTCCCGCGCGCGTACGAGCTCCTCGTGCCCTCCGTATTTGACGTGGCGCTGCTGCCGCTCGTGCGTCCGCTCGCGCGTTTCCACGGCAGCGGGCGGCGCATGCCCCCTCCGATGCCCAGGAAGCTCTTTCTTCTGCTGGTCTTCTTCCGCCCCCATGTACTTTCGCCGTCCTCGTCGTATTCGTCGTCGTCGTCATCCGCGCGAGGGGCACGGTATGCGGTCGGCGGTGGTACGGCTGATTGTGTTGGCAGCAAGCTCGAGGGACCTGGCGAGCGCCGTCCTTCGTGCACGGGTGCAGTCGCCGCGTACGTGTGTCCGTTCTCGCTCGATCCAGCACCGTGTCCGTATGCCGAGCCGCCAGACGCGTACTCGTGTCCGTGCGCAGAGCCATGGCCCTGCAGCGACCCACTGTGTCCATGAGTATGAGTCGACCCACCAGAGATGTATCCACCGTGCCCATGCGAAGACCCCGACGAGATTCCCACACCAGCCACGCCTCCACCTGCACCAGCAGCCGTCGCGTGGTTAAGCTCCTCGCTGCCCGACCCGCTGCTGCAGCCGTTACCAGGATTCACGAGCCCGTCCCAGGCCGTGCGTCCGGCGTCGTCCGGCGGATCGCGGAAGGGGTCTCCGCTGTCCAAGCGCGCAGCACCGCCGAGTGCGGGGCTGCCGCCGAGATTGACGTCATGTCCGACAGACGACGACGCGGACATCGGCACCGTGGCGTACACACCCTCACCGGGACCCCGCCTGCTCAGCCACGCAGCTGGCTCGAGACCAGACGACGAGCGCCGCGAACGCGCAGGCGAGCGCGCGGGGCGCGGGGGCGTCGGGCCCACGCCAGTATCCACGATCGGGATGGGCGGGAAGAAATCGCTGTCCGACGCGCGCGCAATGAGCGCGTCGCCCTCGCCCTCGCCGCTGCCCGTCATGCCTGCCTCCTCTTCCGTCGGCGTCCCCCCGCCGTTGCCACCCTCCGCCGACCCCCCGCCAGACTGGAAGGTGGTCGAGAGGCGCGAGCCGAATGCAGAATCGGTGAACGCGCCCGAGTTGCCGCGCGAGCCGCTGTTGGAGCCGGTGCCCGCGTGCGAGGCGCGCCCGAGCGCGAGGTCCGCGAGCTCGGTGGTGCTGCGCGGACGCATGGACCCGGGGCCGTCGGGGGCAGCGAGCACGTCACCGGAGCTTCCTCCACGGAGCCTATTGTATGTGTAAGGTGCACCCGCTGCCGCACCTGCGCCCGCCCCCGCCCCGATACCGGCCATGAGCGAGGCCGGCGCGCCGACGTGCACCATGCCAGCGCTGTCGTCGAATGGATTCGCACTCCGTGTCGCGGCGGACTCGTACGGGTTAGTGCTGGGCTCGAACGGATTAGTTGCGGAGACGGGCGATATGGGCGGAGGTGCATCGTCGTCATCTTCATCCGCGAGCATGGGCCCCGAGCGGCGCGAGGTGTTGTTGGCAAGGGCAGCAGCGGTGGCCTCGGCGGCGAGGTGCTGCGCACGGTGGCGGCGGTATGCGAGGAGACCCCACGCGAGAAGCAGCGCAACGAAGGCGATGACGCCGACGACAAGGCCGGCAAGCGCACCAGGGGAGTGCTCGAAGCTGCGTGGCAGAACGTCAGTTTGCGTCGAGGAGAGACAACGTGATACATACATGTTACCGTGGGCTTCGCGCTGCTCGGGGATCAGAGTGCCGGTGACCTCGGTCGTGGTGTACTGCGTGGTGCCGACCCAGCCGTCGGACGTGAAGGTGGAGGTGACGACCGTGGTTATGAGCACCGTGCTCAAGCTCAGGGATACACTCGAGTGCGTTGCTACCTGGGTGCTCGAACTAGTCCAGGGCGCGAGCACAGGTGATGGAGACGTGAACGAGGTCGACGTTGGCGAAGGGGACGAGGTGAATGTTGAGTATGCGGGGAAGGAATACGTAGCGGTGGCCGAGGGGGATGACGGCTGGAGTTGGGGATAGGAGGAGGAGAAAGAGTATGTTGGCGAGGGCGAAGAGGACGGCGGATCAGAGGTGGACAAGTCCGCTGTCGTATGCGGATCAGAGCTGTATGAGGACGCCGATGACGCGCTCCCAGAGGTTGCGCTGGACAGATAGTCCGAAGAGCGAGAGCTTGCGTCGGTTCGGAAGAGAGACGTGCGCAGCGTGAATGTGGGTCCCAGAGTGGACGAACGGTCGCTCGCGGAGGTCGCAGAAGACAGTGAGCGGGATGCCGACGACGCTGAACTAGCCGACATCGACGATGCACCTGACGCCATGGATGCAGAGGACGATGTACCAGACGTCACGGATGCAGAGTATGACATGACGGACGAGCCAGACCTAGAAGCCGAGGATGAGGGGGACATGGACGCAGACGACGAACCGCTATAAGAGCCAGACGTCGAGACCGATGTTGAGCGAGACGCGCTGGATATGGGCGGAGACGAGCTGAACATGGAGGTACTGAGAGATAAGGGCACGGAGGAGGGCGGGTCCGACGACGCGCTCGAGGGTGATGCAGATGCCGTCGTCGCGTGGCTGTGGGTGGTAACGACGTTAGACGAGCTTTTAGAGGGGACATGATTAGAAGAGGAAGATGCATGACCGGAAGAGGAAGGCCCATAACCAGAAGTGGAAGACGCATGATCGGAAGAGGAGGACGTATGGACAGAAGAGGAAGACCCATGACTAGAGGAAGATGCATAGCCAGATCCAGACACAGAAGACATAAAGGAGGCTGTAGCAGAGTCATGCGTGGACGTCGGGAGCCTAGTCGTGACCGAGGCCGAACGTGATGCAGACATGGATGGCGAAGAGGACGCCGTCACAGGGGATGTGCTGGGCGCGCTCGTCGATGTGATCCCGCTTGACGTCGGCATGGAAGGCACGCCGCTCGTGAACCCCGAGGAGCGGGTACTGGGCGACGAGGACGACGCGCCATCCGTGGTGGGTAACGTGACCGCGCTAGATGACACGGGACGGGAGGAGGCAGAGTACGTCGACACAGGGCGTGACGGATCGGGCGAGCTCGATCCCGCGCCAGACGTCGTGATCGAGACGGGACTGACACTCGACACGGACGACCGGGCCGTGGTACGCGCGCTGGTAGACCCACTGGTTGACGCACTGGACAGACCGGTCCCTCCGCTCGTGGACTCGGAGTACGAGCTTGGCCGCGCGGTCTCCGTGGAAGACACCGTGGGCGAGGCATCCGCCGTCGTGCTCGCAGACGTACTCGCGCTCACCGCAGACGTCTCCGTAGCGCTCGTCGTCCACGAGGTCGTCTCCATCGCGCTACTGCTCGCCGTGGTCGCACCGGAACTCGAACTCGAACCCGACGCCGTTCCGGTCGACGCGCTCGCACTTGAGTACGAGCCCGTGCTCGTCGTCCCGCCACTCGTCGAGCTCGCCGACCGCGACGTCCAAGTCGGCACGCTCGTCGACCCTGGCAGACTCGATGCACTGCTGCTGTTACATGTTACGCGTGGACCATCCGCAGGACGATGAACAGTGAAGACCGGGAGGGAATGAAATTGAAATGATAGATATCAACAACAAGACAAAAGGGAGCAGCACATCAGACGGGTGACTGCTCCCACGAAACACCACCACCGCTGCTTACCTTGACGAACCGCTCCCAGAGCTGGACCCTGTCGCGCTAGAGCTGTCCGAGCGTGAGCTGCGAAGCGACCGGGCAGCCATCAGTCAGTCAACGCATACTGCCCAGCCGGAACAAACCGCACCCACCTCGGTGTCGGTCCTACGCTGCTCGTCACGACGCTCACACTCACGCTCTCGGTCTCGGTCAGTGAGAACGAGGCCGACAGCGGGTTGCTCACGCTGAGGCTCAGGCTCGGCGCCGAGAGGGACACGGAAGGGGGCGAGGGCGACGTCGAGGGGAGCGAGAGTGATGTTGAGGGCACCGAGAGCGATGTGGACGGGAGCGAGAGCGAAGTTGAGGGTACAGAGAACGTCGAGAACGAAAATGGAGCACTGTATGATGAGAATGAGAGGGGCAATGTGGGGGCGGAAAACGAGAACGAAGACGAGGACAAGGACGCGGGAGTGGAAAGCGGAGAGGACACAGACGGCGGGGTGTACGACGAGGACGGCGGGTGCGAGGACGAGGGAGCGGGCGACGAAGAATATGTGGACGACGGCTGATCCGCGGACGACGGTGTCACAGAGGACGAGGGTGGGGGCGTCATCGTCGTCGCTGCAGAGGACGACGGGACAGATGAGGGTGGGGATGAGGCGGGCGTGGACGCGGACGTCGATGGTACAGACACAGAGTCGCTCGCAGACGCGGACCCACTAGATACTCCTGCACCGGTACTACTGCCCGCATCGCTGCTGCTAGACTCTGCGCTCTGCTGCCGTAGAGCAAACTGCCTCGGTGCCATCGGGAGCGGCCCACTGGGTGCCACCGCAGGGCGCACGCCGGACACGATGGGCACCCCAGGGCCTTGCACGCCGTCTACTAGCCCGGACGCTTGGATCGTGAGCGCGGAGGTGGCGATGGGGGCAAGCGCGAGGGTCATGAGGGACAGCACTGCAGAAAGGGAAAGGGACGGCCGGGTGCTGGAAGCAGGAGAGAGACATGGTCAGTAAGAGGGACCCGACGCGCAGCCGTCAATGGGAGATGTAGGACGAACCTGCGCAGACTCGGAACATCGTACTGGGAGCGCGTGGGCGCAGCGACTGTGCGACCTGGCGGCGGACGCGTGTAGATACAGCGTGCGGCGGGATCACTGGCAGGACGAATGGAAGTGGGTGTGGAAGTGGATCCAGAGGGGTGGTGAGCACGGGCAGGCGGGTCGGCGCGAGAAACGACTGCGGAGGTGGATGGGGTATCGTGGGCTAGATGTGCAGGCGTGGGGGGCATCTAGTTGAGCGTCGCGGGAAGAGAAACGACGCGAGAGGCTATGCGCGAGGCTATTAACAGGGCGTTAGCGTACGGGGGCGTAGACAAGAGCAACGTGGGCATCGGGAGCGAGCTCAGCGGACAGCAGCGGCAGGGAAGACCGGGCAGATGGCGTCAAGGGCGTGCACGACGCTGGAGCAGGGTGGAGAGGGGAGGGCAACGCAGGCACGACGGGGGCGTGCGTGGGCAGACGAGGCGAGTGGCCGCTGCCTGAGGTGGTATAGGCCCCACCGCACACGCTCAGACTTCATCCGGCACAGGGACGCGGACATGGGCGACGATAACAGACGCCGGCAGACGCGTTCGATCGTCTGTCCAATCAGGACCCCGGACAGAGGTCCGATCGCAAAAATGACTCTAGAAATGACCCACTAGGGGTGCTCAATTTTTGTCGCTCGCTCGTTCGTTAGCAGAGCGCCCACCTTTTTGGTAGGTATTTCCAACCCTGACTGATCCCTCAGGCGCCCGCCATCGACGCGAATCGAGTAAGTCTACAACTTCGAATCAGTACTGGTACGGGGGGAAAAGACGAGACGAACATACCTCAGCCGTAGTGGTACAACGACTGAGGAGAGAAGTGGGAAGCGGGGGAGCGAGGTATAAGTATGTAGAGTAGGTATCACGTGGAGGTAGACAGAGAATGTGCTACGGTGTCGGATTGACGTAGGGAGCGCGGATCGCGACCGCGGACGTCAAGTGTTCCGATCAGGGAAGTCAGAATCCGGCACAGATGTATTCTAGAGAAACAGTCTTCACTTTAAGCTTCAAGAATATACTACAATCAGCTCATATATTGCAATCGCAGGCAGTCACAGTTGCCTAGATCATTCATTGAATACCTTAGAGTCTTGTAAAAAGCTGAATCATTGGCTATATTAAGTAGTGTTTGCATAATCGTTAGTAACCATGAGACTTGCGATTGGAGCTCGCCGTGGCGTTGTCGATCGCGGGTGGCTGAGGGACCATCGATCAGTCGGGGTTGAAAATACCCAAAAAGGTGGGCGCTCTGCGAACGAACGAGCGACAAGAATTGAGCACCCCTATTTACCCTCGAAACTGGGCATTTTCGGGATCGGACCTGTGGGGGGACTCTCCGGGGTCCTGTGCAATGGCCGCCCGCGTCGGGACTTGTATGCGTGAAATAGACTCGGCGCTGGAAGCCCGCGCTGGTCTCTGCGGTGTGCAGTGCTGTTGCAGACGAGTCCGCGTCCCTGCACACTGTACGCGGGTCGCTGCTGGCCAGGAACGCGTCCCCGTGCGACGTCATGGCGCGCACGGCTAGCAGGCATCTGATCACGCTCTCGCCTGCCATGACGTCGCCATCCTCATCCTCCGGGCGGACGGCGCCCACCCGCCCCGCCCAGGTCGCCCTCCCACCTACGCATCATGCTCATCGTTCATCCCCGTTCGCCTCGCCCCCTGTGCTGCCGTTTCACCCAGGGGCTTTGTCACTCGCCGCGTTGTGCTTATCGCTGAATGCATTGGTCTCAGTGCTCCACTACCACCCAGCCTCGCGATCGATACTGCCTCCTCACCCCGGCACAGCCCCGGCCGCCATATCACCGTTCTCCCCTATGCTGCTCCTCTCCCCGCGGTCCGAGGAACCGCGCTGGTACGCCATTTCCGCGTCAGGTCCGCGTCGTCTCTCACGGAGGCGTCCTCGGCCGTTGTCTGCTCTTCTCGCTGTGCTGCGATCGCGCCTGCCAGCCCATCGCCTTGCAGTACCAATGCGCTCTGCACGCGTCCACGAGCCTGCCTGGTCATCGGCGTCGCCTTCCCGTCGACGCGGTGGCACCTGTCGATCAGTCTGAATCTTCGCACGTCCGATGTGCCCCTTCCATCTTCCGTCCGGCAGCCTGCGGACAGCACACAGGCTATAGATAGCTTGGTCTTGGCACTTCCACCTCTCTTTGCATCTGCGCGCCTCGACTCGTCCGTTACACTCACACCGCCTGACCAACGCACTCCCACGCCGGTGTGGCAGCCCTATAATCCGCGCGACGACATTCGGCCGGTACTGTATATGTATTCAATCTGTATCTGACATCTGTACCACACCACGCCAGTTCCAACATTCAATAGCGATGCGGTCACAGCGGCGTCATTGCACGGCCTGCGCTCGAGCACGGGGCCGTCTCCTTGACAACCCACTTCCACTATGCGCGCACCATGGTCAGTGCCGCCACAGGGCATCGGTGACAATATCGATGCATCACCGTCTATTTCAGGGCGTGAGCATAGACTTGGTGTTCGATAACTATGCTGGGAAAAACGGTGGTCAGCACAACACCCCGTGGCTGCGCCCAATTGTCATCCTTAAGCTTGTCCGCCAATACGCCATCATACGTCGCCAATGATCTAGAGGAATGATAGTCTCCGCGTGCCCTTCGTCGCCCCTTCCGCCGTCCCTCAGCATTCCTCCGTCAAACTTTGTCCCCGGTCAGCGTGACCCGACAGCGGAACATAGGAGGACGCTTGCCGAGCGCCCACAGTTCTTTGTACAATACAAAGCGAGTTTGGCAGCATGCGTTCAAGAATACTTACTTCCGAAAGGTCTCTTTTTTCCCCGATCATTCTACAAACAAACGCGATGATCTCGTGCGTTCTCGCAAGTGCAACGCCGGACCTCGCTCAGAACCTTAGTACTTGTGAGATGACGAGGAACCCAAGCACCCCGTGACGCACACGGTACATCGACAGCAGGGCTTGTTTGCGTAGCACAAGTGATTGACTTTAAGCATCATGGCTGTGCGCGCACAAGATAAGAGTCGGAAAGCGTTTTGTGGTGAGTGGGGGCCTGGAATGCACGCGACTCGAAGTCACTCCAGCCCAGAACTTTGACCGCGATGCCTACAGAATCTCGCGGGAAACCGAGTCATTGTTTTCCGTCACGGAGGACCCACACAATCTCATCGCATTCTGCCACGGTCCTTGCCATACGAGACGACAGCTAGGACAACAGTGCATCAGAAGATCGCGATTCGAGAGGCAAGTCCATGCCTGCGAGGACCAAGGACATCGGAGCTGTGTTGGCCGAGACAAGTGTACGCGTAACCCGGCCAGTGTGTACCGAACATTCCATGGTGGGGAGCAATCTGGGACCGTCAGAAGTCACTGAAACGCAAGCTTCCAAGTAGGTCTATTCGCCCCTCGCTGCCAGCGATGGCTTGTCCATCGAGGGCAGCCCCGAGCGGAGGCGGCGGTCACTTCGCGACATTCGTCCCTTTGCTCGAGGCTGATACGAAGATGGCACATTTCCTCCTGCTGCCCGGCGTGCCGGAATAGCGGATGTACACCTTGCGGATCTCCAAGAGTATGTCGGAGAGGGCAGGCATGCACTGCTACAGAGCCCAGAGCTTATTGTCATGCCTGACTCGTTCAGAGGTCGCCTTGACGTAGCACTCCGCTCACTATATGCAGACAGCCGTGGGCTGCGGCAGAAATCTCAACATTGGCGTCATATCAATATCGTTGTTCAAAATCAATATCCCCGACAAATTTGTCGTGGACTGGGACTCGGAGTCGATGTAAGGTGGGTGTGGAAATAGGTGTCCTGACTGTGTTCAATGGGTTTGATTCAAGCCTGCTCACGACGCTGTGAGCGGTGGACGTCGAAAAACCTATCGAGACATTCAAATTATCTCCGTGTACTCCGACTATGCATCTACCAGTGCAACGAGTCAATCTAATCTAGTACCGAGATCTGATGGGTTTGTCATTATTTACCTTGGGGACGAGTTTCGTGGCGATTCGCGCCCTCTAACAGGCAGCTATTCCTTACTCTATGCCTTGTAGAAACGAGTGTCGGCGTCGGGTTCGAGCGAGCGAGCGGGAAGGTTTACGGAAGCAAGCGGCGCGGGGAAAGATCAAATACGAAGCGGTTTGTCTCGTCCTCGGGGCAGGGAGGCAAACACGCGAAGTAATTACATGCGAGAACTCGGCCTAATATAGTAAACACTTATCTAAATCAGGCACTATCGCGCCGCAGCGCGGCACGTCGGCGAGCCGGTAGTCGGGCATGCGCTCGCCCGGTTGTTCCAACATGCCTCTGTGTATACACTCCTGTAGACTTCTCTATAATATAGGGATCGGATACAGCGCATACTGGGGTCGGGGTGAGTGACGCTTTACAACCAGTCGCTGAAACTTAATCAGGTGTATTCTAGCAATATGAAAGTCCGTCGATTAAGTTAACTGCTTCACTCCTCCACAAAGAAATTATCTCCAAGAACCTCGCGCAGTCGATACCTGGGGTCATCCATGTGGAATTTGATGTATCCCCTCACGAAGGCATCCCACGCGTCCCTCTCCTCCCCTTCCCCTAAAATGCTACGCACTCGCTCCGCTGCAGCGACCGTCTCGCCTATGACATCACGCAGTGCATCTGAGGTGGATGTCCCCGCCACAAGAGCACGGTCATGGATGTAGTTGACTAGTTCGTTGGTGAGCTCCTCTTTATAGAAGGAGAGGATATCGCTAGGATCAATGTGAACAAACGGCTGCATTTAGATAACCAGTGACGACACACTTCAAGTAGTCGATGAATATGCAAGCATCGCTGTTGGGTCGTGTGAGTATCATCCTCAACACTTTCATAGGCTAGCTCTACTTACGGAATGGCCTGTATATAGCAATTGACAGCGGGGAAACGGGTCTTCTCCCAGATAAAACAGACATACACCTCTGGAATGCCACTCAGGAATCGCCGGTACTCCACAAAGCCCAGGGCCTTCGGATGCAGCATCGTCCCTCTGGTGGCGTTTTCCAAGATGGAGGCATTCACGAACTGCAGCGCCGCAACCAATATTGCGCCAGCTGCAAAGCTCGGGTAGCATGCCGCCATTTGGCTCGTAACCTTGGCGAACAAGCCGAGGGGGCTCTTGTCTCCGTGGACAGTACAGTCCGAGTGTCGGCGATGGAATTGGTCGAATGCAAGGCCGTCAAGCGCATTCGGGTCGTCTACAGACGTCGCGAGCGCCGTGAAGATGGTGATAGCGACCTTTGCATCTAGATCGGTGAGATGGCCGTAAGCGGACTCTGTGATCACGAGCGCGGTATTGATGTGAGGGCGCGCTGTCTCCTTGAAGTCCCAGGTATCGGTGATCTCAGCCACACGGCGACGAAGCTCGCCATCTCGGTGTCTCTTGAAGTTAACGAATTCCATCTTATCCAAGAAGTCTTGGACAGCTGCTCTCGACACGACCGCGATTCCTTCCTATCGATCTCCCCTCAGGAGACTGAACAAATGGTAATGAGCGCCACTCACCAGACCCATGCTGTCTCGATCTAGTATTGATGGTTGGGTATACTGGGATACCCGTTTCAACACTATGCAGATTGTACACAAATGATCGCGACAACAACGTACCAATGTCCGAGGTGGGATGGGCATGCGCTCCAGGACGGTGCTCGGGACGCTACACATGCCTGTCGGACCCCATATATACGACAACGAGGCGTCAGAATCATCGTCAACATCAAACCATGTCTTGCTTTCTCGCAATTGCACTGTGTCGGTCGAAGTTCTAGTCCGACAGGCATATCTGGTCTTATACCCAGACTCACCATATCTGCATCCGCGAAAAGGGAATAGATGCGCCCCTACTCCATTGGAAAGGTCACCGTACACTGATCCTCGCGCGCCGCGGCTTCGTCGTCCATGTGAGCCATCAGCTGGCAAGTGCTAGCATACTCGAAATGCCGCCTTACGGTTTCAGGGGCACGTTTTGACGCAGACGTATAGAGCGACCATCTTCCAACCTCCAGAACGTGCGCTCTATCTGTAGGCTGCCTAGGGAGACTAGGTCGATGAACGTTTGAAGAAATGCGATGGATCACTGACACGAGAATCGATCGTGCCATCAAAGCGATCACCGATCGCGGCTACTAAGCTCCCGGCACACTGGCGCCGACTCTGACAGATATACACGTCTCCCTTCGGCGCAGTAGTGAACGTGTGAAGCTTACCCGTGTGGATATAAAGAGCTATCTTATAGGACTAGCCTGAGCTCAGCTAACTTGAACAACGCACATTGCTACCCAGCGGAGCAAAAATCATGTCCGCCATCCCAGAGCTCCCTTCGAAGAGAATCCCATATGGTACTGCCCTTGGTCACTGACACCGATCGGAAAAAGCTGATAACAAGGTTCTCTCACAGTCAGGCTGGGAAAGTCCGGCCTGAAAGTCTCCAAGATCATTCTAGGATGTATGACTTATTCCAGCTATGAAGGCTGGGCCGGTCAAAACTGGTGGGTCCCCGAGGAAGAGGCCATAAAGCATATAAAATATGCGTACGTACCACTGTCGCTCTGCATATATTGATGTTCACTCGCTCATCGTTCCCACGGCGACAGATATGATGCTGGGATCCAGACGTTCGACACTGCCAACGTGAGTAGACTGACGGTCGCCGTGGTCTTCTTGCATCATTCACGCGAGTCGTAGGTCTATTCGAATGGCCAGTCTGAGGAAATCCTCGGAAGGGCAATCAAGAAGCTCAATCTTCCTCGCGAAGAGATTGTGGTCATGACCAAGGTCAGCAGCTCACGCCGACTACACAACCACCTCAGCTGATGCCGACGTTAATTGTGCTTTCCGTAGTTCACCGCTTATGTCAACGAGAATGCCAAAGACGTCGTGATCAATCCAGAGGAGGCCGAGACGGAGATTCGCTGCGTCAACCAATACGGCAACAGTCGCAAGGTTTAGTGGCTACCACTGCCACACACGAGTAGTTGACTGACCGATTTCCCTCCCAGCACATCTTCGATGCCGTGCAGGCCAGCCTGAAACGCCTGCAACTGGACTACATTGACGTCCTGCAAGGTAGGTTCTGGTTCGATGTGCTGGTGAAAGCTCATGCAGCTCCTCGTAGTGCACAGGCTCAAGGACGGCTCTAACATAGAGGAGATGGTGAGTACAGTGCGTACACTCATAAGATCACTTTTGACCCCGTGCTATCAGATGGAAGCCCTTCATGACGTGGTCAAGGCTGGGTGGGTGCGCTATATCGGAATGAGTTCCTGCTACGCTTGGCAGTGTATGTTCGATGATACTCATGGAACCTGCTCGCGCTGACCGCATTATCACTCCGACTTGAAGTCCATGTGATGCAGAGTGAGTATACCGTGATGATCATGCAATGGCCGCTTCGACTGACACGCCGAGGCACCAGACTACGCCATCAACAATCGCCTGACACCGTTCATCTCTATGCAAGACCACCACAATCTGATCTACCGTGAGGAAGAACGCGAGATGTTCCCGACTCTCAAGGTCTGTCAGATGCTCGGCCTGCCATGATGATCAGGATGTCTCACTAACTGTGTCACGCACAGCACTTTGGTGTTGCGTCGATCCCCTGGTCTCCCCTGGGCCGTGGTCTGCTCTGCAGGCCTTTCAGCGAACAGAAGGCGACGGCGAGAGGGCAGAACGACCGGTTCTCGGGGATGTACCAGCAGAACCCCGCTCTGAAGGCGATCATTGATAGGCGGGTAGATGAAGTACCATCACAAGAGCGCTTGATTTGCTGACATTCGTGTAGGGTTGAGGAACTCTCGAAGAAGAAGGGCGTGAGCATGGCCCAGATTTCCGTCGCTTGGTCGCTTTCCAAGGATGGTATGCTCATTCATTTGTCCAACGAGCTTGACGATGTCCGACTGATGAGATTTCCCGCAATATAGTCGTTGCTGCGCCCATAGTCGGTACGACCAGCCTCGCCAACCTCAAAGATATTATAGGTGAGCGCTGCCCGTGCCTTGTGTGTGTCCTAGTGGCCGAAGACCTTTTGCTGCAGAGGGTGCCCACCTTCAGCTGACCGAAGAGGAAATCAAGTATCTGGAGGAGCCCTATGTTCCAGTGAAGGTAATAAGACATTAAAGCATATATTGTATGGCCTTTCGATCCAGCCAGCGTTGATTCTTCACATGTACAATAATATACAACGGCTTCGAACAGCACCGCTAGCAATCGCATTTCTCTCCCTCAGAGAAAATGCTGGATGGGATTCAGTGCATGGGTCCCACACGGCTTTGCGCGTATGAGATGGTGCACATGTGTAACGCGGCACGTTGCTTAGCAGAATCATACATAAGCCACTTCCTAATCAGTACGTACTGTAAGTGTGTAGGCGCTCTATCATACCCTGCACCTAAAAGGGGCAGGCGCACGAGCGAGCGCCCAACTTCTACTCTAACCACGGTACCCGCACGTCTCCAATATAGAAATTGGTGCAACGTACATTGGATCTGTGTGAAGTGTTACAACATGGCCGTGCCACTACTCTCATAAACGAACGGAGTGATCGTCAGCACACCAAGCGAGGCTGATGATTCAAATCGAGTGTAGCGTCAAAAATGCCTGTCGGCAAAATCATTAGAGCGATGGTTCATTCTTTTACTTGATTCAAACAATCTGCGATAGAATGAAATCTCTGTTAGTGGGTTTGATGTACTTATATCCCTGTCGCAATGCTACGTCCATGTACGAATCTGCGTGAAGCCTATGCGCCCGTTTCCAATCGAGCGGAGAAGGCTGCGACAGACTTATCACGCTTCTGAGATCGCAGTCACAATCTCCCCACTATGAGTTGTGGCGGAAATTTTCAGTCACCCAGACTTTACCACATACATCGCAGATAGACCAGCCAATGATGGTGAATTCATTGCGGTACTATATCGCTATCCCTGTAGTGCGCGCAGACCAAGATGTTGGAAGTAGAGTTGATACTCACAGTTGTAGATCACTTGACCACGTATGGTACGTACGTTGTTCGTTCTGTACTTGTTTCCTTACATGTTCGCCGGCTGTGTCAAGAACCATTAATTTCATCGTCTTCAATCTCAATTTTTACCAGAAATGTAACACAAAATGTTCTGAGACTTGCGTTCGCGCAACATGCAAGTTCATTTGAAGTACATACGGAGGTTTCAGCGCTCGTAGAAATACAACACTGCAGAAAGCACCCCCGCAAATATGGCAAGATCTAGCACGCCAACACGCCGTTCTGGTTATCGATGCAAGAGCCTGGGTTCAAAGAAATGAGCCAAACTACTGTTGATACTGAAGAGGGGTATCACGGACCTAGATCGACAATGGACGCGGTCTGGCCACCTTGGCCATTGTCACAGTAGCATTCCAAGTACTCGGGGCCAGTCAACACACATGATGCGACATCGCAGGAGGCGGAAAACCCGCCGCTGTACAGGACATGTCAACGCTGGGGGTCTGAATGAAGAGCAATGCAATATTTAATCACTTCGGGACGCAGTTGAGGTCGCCGTCATAGTTTGCCACACAGTTATCCAAGTTGAGCGTCGAGCTCACCTGCGATCCATCGTCGGTGGTGCAGGTGGCGACCAAGTCAATGCCGGTGACGTATTCATCCTGGCAGGTGTCTGCGTAGTTGGCGGAGACAATAGGCAGGTACAAAGCAACCGCAATGGCGACTACCGCGGTGCGCAAGATTGGAGACATGTCGTTCTACCGGCTAGAGGTGCTGGAGGAACATGAGGGCTCATTGGACTTGCTTTTATATCCGCAAGATATCCAGTGACCCTGCAGGGTCTCCAAGTAGGTCTCACGTTCGCTGTTGGGAGTCCGGTTTGACACTGAGGTATTGACGCGAAGAGCATAGCGTGGGATGTACAGACTGTTCGAATGCCCACACCCGTCGGCGCTCGACATGGACAGTGTCTGGAGAGGCATATTCTTAGCCTAATGGGAGGCACAGCCTTCAAGCCCGACGTACACGGGAAGGGTTAATCGTGACACTCGTGAGTCATGATGAGCGCACTGCAGAACTTGATGACCGTCAGTACAGGACCGACAAAGACAAGTCTCTGGTAACATAGAGCCAGCTGATTGGTCTTAATCATTAGTATTTTGGAGTGCTGTGCCCTGGCCGGTAGCCACAATGGGGAACGATGAAATGACGCGCTGGTGGCCAAAATATGTATTGAACAAGAGGGTGCTGATAGTACTGATCCGAGATGCATGTAGACTTAGTCAAGATGTGTTGAAAGATACAGGCAGCAAGGAGCGCCACTAGGTGCGTTCCAGCTGATTCCATATCGATAGACCTATCCGAGAATATTTGTGCGCAAGCGAGGTTGATGCGGAGCTCGAAATCGACGCTCGGAACTCGGCAGAGTATCGTCACAGCCACAATTCACCGAATTAGGCTGTTGTTTCCGGGACCCGATTATCCCCGCCCGAAGTCCGCTTACCAACAACTGTCAAAGTCGACGCTTATACCATGCGCCTGAGTCGGCCCACGGTCCCTTCCCCCCTCTAGCACGGTGTCGCAGCCGGCAGCGGAACAAAGGAGGACGCTTGCCGAGTGCGAACCTGAACTCTGTAACGAGCACTTGCAGTTTATAATAGTTGTGTATACAACGTAAGCGAGTTTGGGAGCATGCATTCAAAAATACTTACTTCCGAAAGATCTCTTTTCTCCGATCTTTTTACAAACAGACGTGATGCTCTTGTAAGTTCCTCACAAGTGCAACGCCGGACGTCACTCAGAAACTTGTAAGACGACGAAGAACCCAAGCATCCCGTGACGCACATGATGCATCAGACAGCAGGGCTTGTCTTCCGTGACACTAGTGATTGAGTTTGAGCGACCATGCGATGGCCATGCGCACACAAGACAAGACGCTGGAAGCCCTTGTATGGTGAGTGAGAGCTTGGAATGCAAGCGACTCGAAGTCACCCCAGGCCAGAATTTTGACCGTGGTGCTTCTACAGGATCTCGCGGGGGATCCGCAAGAGGCCAACACAGCCCTATTGCCACGGTCCTTGCGATGCAAGACGACAGCAACGGTGGTAGCATATCAGGAGATTGCGATTTGAGAGGTGAGTCCATGCCTGCGAGGTTCAAGGACGTCTTGTCCATGCTGGCCGATACAGGCGTACTGCCAGTGTGCATCGAGCGATCCATGGTGGGGAACAATCAGGGACCGCTAAGGGTCACCGACATGCAGGCTTGTGTGTAGGTCTATATAGCCTCTCGCTGTTAAGGAATTCTCACGCTAAGAGGGAAAACGAGGAAACCCTCAGGACGGTATCGACGCCACCATCATGATCTCCCCAGCTCCATCGTCGAAGCCACGCATCTTGGCGACGCAAGTCAAAGACTAGCCTTTCCTGTAGAGCTGTGGGATCTCATAGTGGACGAGCTGTGTCACGATCGTGTCGCGCTTCAGCATTGCGCCTTGGTATGCCGCAGCTGGGCAAGGAGTTGCAGCAGGTATCTCGCTCCGCTGCTCACTTTTACAAACAGAGCCGAGGTGTTTGAAGCACATAGGGAGAGACGCTGGGATTGGAAGTGTCCGCTGCGCGTGACTATCGAGGGCGACTCCGAGCAGAGGCGGCCGTCGCTGAGCCACTTCGCAGCATTCGTCTCCTTGCTCGGCATCAAATGGTCAGATGTACAGTCTCTGAGCATTGAGTGCGGTAGCTGGCACCACACGGACTTCCACCCAGACGTCTTCACTCATCTCTCTGTTGCACCCAACAATCGGCACCTAGCGCTGGACGACATCACGCTCCCTTCCGCTGTTGTCTTCAGCAATCTGATCACGTCATTGACCCACAACTTTGAAGGCCTCCGTCACTACCTCAGCCTGTGTCGCATCCGGTTGACAGCCCTGCTAGACCTGCCCATCTCTTGGCGCGAAGGGAGAAGATACCCAGGGTGGGCAGTGCTTCAGAGTATGCCCATTTGCACATGACTCTACGTGACCTAGACCATATATCTCTTGGCGCCATCATACGCCTCGTACTCGCTGCCAAGGTCGGAAACCTGCCTTGGGTGCCGCGGGTGACTCTGTCCTGGGGGTCCTACTGGATTCACGAGCCTCCATCGAGGGCCGCTATCGGTCGGTCGTGGAACATGGCTCTGGCTGCGATGCTTGTGTGCTACGTGTGACTCAGCCAAGCGGCAACAAGGGAGGCGCAAGCATCACCGAGGAAATGTTGAAGCAACTCCTGCCGATCTGTAGAAGGATCGATCGACTGCTCTCTCGTATCCTCGTCCTCTTTCACGTCGACGTTGGCGTGTTCCTCTGCCCCTGCACGAGTCTGGACCTGTCAATCTGGTACGGAGCTACGGGCGACTGGTTTCCTGGAGTTCAGCATAGGGGGGTCTCTATAGACCGTGATCCCTCGTGGGTAGCGTTCAATGGAGAGAAAATTAATCTGCGTTTCCAGCTCACAATCCTTTTCTAGGCGTACTACGCCAATGCTCCGATGTAAACATTGTCGAGAGCCCCTCTGGGGATATGCGCATCCGCTCAAGGGTGGAGATAAGACTATCTTGGCACGACCAGTAGACGTGCAGGACACCTCAGCCAACTGTAAGCTTTGAGGTTCCTCATCGTATGGCAGTACGACGGTGACGGGCTGATATGAAGGGAAGGATCCGTTCAAAGTGGGAAAGGCCTGGACGTGACTATGGGATGCGGTTTGTCCCTCCCTCAAACACTGCATGTCCATTCTGGCCCGATCAGAGAACATCAAACACAGCGCCGGCTACCGTCCTGCAAGAAATGCTTTTATTCATCTCTCGTTGACTAGCAGGATCCACGTTTATTCAAACCCATCTCAAAGCTTTCTACTTTGAAGCAACTTCGGAACGAAATAGAATCCCGAGCGTTAAAGTACAGCATAGCGACATTCAACACAGCGACATCCGGTCAGTAAAAATATTCTGATAAGCACCCTTCCCGGGCATCATTAATCGAGAGCTAGTCTACGGTAAAATGATACAGAGTGCAACCGACAGCACAGTCAGACGATTTTCTGCCCATCGAGACGCACGAAGATGACGAGGACAAGGCACCGCTAACGAGTCGATGTTTGATTCTCTACCCTGGCGTTCCCCAACGACTCCTCTATGTTATCTTTTGTCTAAGCTTTCTCCGCAATCATACGTTCCCGGATGTTCACCTATCTAGCAGTCCGCAAGTAGCAGACGCATGTCTATACGCTATTGAAATTGATGAGCGACGGACGACAACGAAAATACCCTCTGCAGGCATTGTGGCGACTCGTAAGAGGGGTACCAATGCGCGAGGATATGAGCTACAACCGGTCAAGGCACTATGTACGACCAACATTTGAACTGAGCTGATCCACTGCGCAGGCCCAACTCTGCCCCACTCACCGTGTGCAGACAGCAGACAACCCTGTGGGCGGCGGCAGAGACCTCTAGATCGGCGGCGGCAGAGACCTCTAGATCGGCGGCGGCAGAGACCTCTAGATCGGCGTCGCCAGTCTTAGCGTCGTATCAGTATCGTTGTTCAAAACAAATATCCCTCAAAGCGGACGCAAACCGTTGTGGACTGTGACTTATTGATTGACATGTTAAGTGGGTTTGGAAACAGGTGTCCTGACGATGTTTGACGGGTTTCATTCAAGCCTGCTGTGAGCGATAGACGTCAAGAACCCCATTGAAGCATTATCATCTCCGTCTACTCTGACTATACATTTGCCAGTCACTGCAGCTAGATTCGTTTTGTTCCAGCGACAGGACAGTTCATTGATTGAATCAAGTGCTTCACTCTTCCACAAAGAAATCGTCTCCAAGAACCTCGCGCAGCCGATACCTGGGGGCGTCAATGTGGAATTTGATGTAGCCTCTCGCGAAGGCATCCCATGCGTCCCTCGCATCCCCTTCCCCTAGAATGCCACGCACCCGCTCCGCTGCAGCAACCGTCTCGCCTATGACATCACGGAGCACATCGGTGGCAGATGTTCCCGTCACAAGAGCACGGTCATTGATGTAATTGCTCAGCTCGTTCACGAGCTCCTCTTTATAGAAGGAGAGGATATCGCTAGGATGAATGTGAACAAGTTACTGCACTTGAGAAAGCAGCGATGACGCACTTCACGTAATTGATGAATAGGCAAACATTGCTGTCGGGTCGTGTGAGTATTATATAGTGTTATCCTCGACACTTTCATAGGCTGTGTTTACTTACGGAATGGCCTGTATGTAGCAATTGGCAGCGGGGAAACTGGCCTTCTCCCAAATAAAACAAGCGTACGCCTCCGACACGCCACTCACGGATCGCCGGTATTCCACAAAGGGCAAGGCCTTCGGATGCAATATCGTCCCTCTCGTTGCGTTTTCCAAGATGGAGGCATTCACGAACTGCAACGCCGACACGAGTATTGTGCCGGCTGCAATACTCGGGTAGTATTCCACCATTTGGTTCGCAACCTTGGCGAACAAGCCGAGGGGGCTCTTGTCTCCGTGGAAAGTACTGTCTATGTGTCGGCGATGGAATTGGTCGAATGCGAGGCTGTCGAGCACATTCGGATCGTCGATAGTAAAGCCAAGCGCAGTGAAAATGGCAACAGCGACCTTTGCATCTAGGTCGGTGAGATGGCCGTAAACGGACTCTATCATCTCGAGCGCGTTATTGATGTGAGGGCGCGCTGTCTCCTTGAAGTCCCAGGTATCGGTGATCTCAGTCACACGGCGACGAAGCTCGCCATCTTGGTGTCTCTTGTGGTTCACGAATCCTATCTGGTCCAAGAAGTCTTGGACAGCCGTTCTCGACACGGCCGCGATTCCCTCCTATCGATCTCTCCTCAGGAGACTGAACAAATGGTATGATCGCCACTCACCGTGCTCATTCTGTCTCGATCTAGTATTAGTATTGATGGTTGGGTATACTAGGATGCCCATTTCAGAAATATGCAGATTGTGTGTAAATTTTCACAGCAACAACGTACCGATGTCAGTGTGGGATGGATATGTACTCCAGGACGGTGCTCGGGACGCTATACATCCTGGCGTTGAACCCCATCATTATATATGAAAACAAGGCGTCAGAACTATCGCAAACATCGAACCACGACTTGGTTTCCTGTCACTGCACTGTGTCGGTTAAAGTGCTGGCCCGAGCATCATACTCGGTCTTGTACCCAGCCTACTGTTCCTTGAAACACTCCTCAAAGCGTTTGGCCGCTGGCGCCGGAGAGTGTTATTGACAGTTATTAACTAGTTGTTGACATAACTGGTAATATAAGCCTCCAAACAGCGCCTACACCATCGAATCCGAGTCCTGCACGATACCAGTTGAGATGCAAACACTGTTTCCGTATCGCGGAGTCTTTAAATCACCACTATATTCGTGTGATGGTTCACGACCACCAGATGACCCAGTAGGCCCCAGCGCCACAGCGTGGTGCGCCATCCTGATATCACCTCCGTACACATGTCGGAAAAACCCTGGCGTGCTTGCAATGTCACGTTTTGTCACGTTTTTGATTGAGAACCCATTTTGAGCACATTTTGATGCATTGTGATCGGCCAAAAATGTGACAAAACGTGACATTGCAAGCACGCCAGGGTTTTTCCGACAACGCCACCTCCGTCCGAGCTGAAACCATTTCCAAAAGTCAAAAATTTGCTTTGATTTGTTAACAGCATTGGTAGTGGTGACTGCCGTTCTTGTCAAGGGCGAAGGTGTCTTGCCGCATAATGGCTGAGCCTATTGCAATGCTCCTTAGTGACTCAGAATGGCGTGGCGGCCTAGAAGATTGTACAAGGTTCGGACTCGGAAGGACACTTACAGCCCTGGAGAGCTTGCAACATCGTCGTATATTCTAAACACCCAAGAAATGCTTCAAGCTTTCGACACAGTTGAAAGCATGCCAAAAAGTTTCAGTTACGGAAACGGACTCGATGCTGCAAGCCGTCATGCAAAGCAGGCGGCTGTAACTGAAACTAACTACGTCTAGTTTGCGGAAGAAACCTCTGCTCTCGTGTGCGTCAAGCACTTGTGTTTCTTCAGTCAGGCGGTCGCCGTCGGGTGGCGTTCTTGGGTGTAACACGTTCTCGTTTGTGGCTTGTGAGGTCGCTGCCAGGTGCAAGACGCGATTTGTTAGGTGTCGCATGTTACGTGCGTGTTCGTCTGGCGGGCCTTGGTCGGCGGGGAGTTAGATCGGTCGCAGGGTGAACCCGGCCTGATTGCTGCAGTAGGGTCTTCCCCATCAGGGTCGCCTACGCAGGTACTAACCATCGGTCTACCCCGGGAGGTTGCCCCGAGAGTCTCGTAAGGGTCGCCATACGGGTTGACGGCGGAGACATGCTTGGCAGTCATCAGCAGCTGGCTTCGCGGGAGTACTCCATATAGATAGAGACCCGTATATTTGGGTGCAGAAACCCCGCATTTCTGATTGGGACCCGTGCCGGCATATACATTCCAAGCTCCTTCCTATCAATTCAAGTACTGGCTTTGATTTTCCCCGGCGTACATCCGATCTCCGGGCATGAATGATATGATAGCATCTTATTGTAACTAATGTCCGCACAACATACTCTGTCTCGAATACTGCGTTGGATGTTTCAATCATGCACCAGAACTCGAACGTAGGAAATAAACAGAGCTCTGAGAATTTGGTCCTCGCAATCGGTCGAATGCGTCCTCAGGAGATTTCCTACATCAAACCCTGTGGGCGCAATCATATCTACCCCATTCTTGTCTGACTTCAGAAAACCAACCTAATGAATAATGACGTCTGTGCTTTATACCTGCTTTTGTACTTGCGAAGCAAAAACATCGTACATTTCATTCCCAAGGTTGTGGCCATCCTAAATCTGACATGTCTTTGTGCGTACTACGTCTGCCCTATCCATGTAGGCGGACAGATGTTCCGAGAGGTATGAATGATGTGGACTGGAAAATAGTCCCGAGAAGAAAGCAACACCTCACAGTCCTTACGACATGTATACGAGCCGACATACACGATTCCAAACTGTTCCTTGTGGGCATGTGTTTCATGTGCTACTGACCAGCAACCTTTGTCGTTGTGGATAATCATCAGCTCTAAGTCCAGATCATGAATACAGCGGAGAAATTCTGACGTTCTTAGGGTCATTCAAACCATGGCGCCGTCACGGTGTTCTTTCTCGGCAAGGACTAGTGTAGGCGCTATTGTAGACGATGCACCATCCAAGGTCTGACGCTCTGTAATCGGCGTTCCCAATGGAGGAGAGGGTTTTGCCACAGGGGGGGTCGCCGGCGCGATCCAGAACACCGGGTACCTCCGCTGGATATTATTGTTCAGCAGCGCCGTCGCGAGCACAAGCATGCTCGAGAGGAGCACGACTGGCAGGTAGTACCAGCTCAGCGCCCAGATGTCGTCGTCCAGCGCGGGCAGCAGCGCGGTCGCGCCCGCAGGTGGGTGCGTCGTGCCGGTGATCTGCATAGCAACGATAGCGACGGAGGTGGAGAGGGATGCGGCGAGCCAGCGGAGGGACTGGAAGTGCGGGGAGAGGGAGAAGAGCTTGGTGATGCAGAGCCCGAGCAGGGCTGAGATGAAGTGTCCGAAGACGAGTGCGCGAGGCTGAGCGAGAGGCGCCTCGATGGCACCGTAGCACAGGACCGCAGAAGCACCCTGAAATTTTTAAATTAGCAAGTGGAAGGAGATGTGGAAGAATAAGCGACGTACGAACGAAGCGACCATGGAGGGTGTACCCCGCTCAATAAAGTAGTGCGCATGACCGAAGACAGCCTGTAGGACGGAGAGGCCGCAAAACGCCCCGATGAACGACCAGAACCAGACGATATAATCTGGACGCTTTGGCGGGGTATTAGCGCGATAGCCTATCCACCGTGTGAGCCACGATGGGTATCGAGCGAGGCGATGTGGGCGCGAGTCCATTGCTGGCTTCGGGGTCTGGAGCTCAAAGGAGGAGGCTTGAACCTTGGTCTAAGTTGCACCTGCCGTGCTTATAGGCAATACGGCGCGATGATTTGAGAACGCCAGAGGGTTTCAGCAAAAGGGTTCGCCGAAAGAAGCTCATAATTACTACATCCGCAATAGGCCCACTGTGATGAATAGAGCCTAGACCAGCATGACCACATTACTACACAGCGTGTCCAAGCTCCGATGTGCAAGTCGGGTGGCAATAGATTCAGACATGCTTGGACGGCGCTCCGGGAGTGCAGTGACATCAAATGGATGTCAACATGAAGCCAGACTGACAGGCATTTTTTCCTGTCAGGGTAGGCGCGGAGCGTGGAGAGTCTGTCAAGACAGCGGATGTCGCAATCTAAAATTTGCGATTGAGGACTAAGCATGGCGATGTTTTATTTTTATTTCATGTGTAGTAACTCTGGTTAATTCTGTGATGAGAGCTTGACGCCTGGTCCGAGAGTCTAGTAGACTATGCTTCCTTCAGTGGACAGGGTGAGACGTAACCTAAAGGGGGACTCGTGCTTCAATATCAATTGAACGCAGTTAACCAATCAAGATCTGACATATTGATCCGATCCGCACCGCCCGATACCCTCCGGGCGCTCTGTGCCTTACCGGGCAGTCGGCAGGCCAATCAGCGAGGAAGATCCCCTCCGGAATATTTCGGGATGCTCGATCAATAGACTTCGCTCCTGGGCCAATCAGGCAGGTGGTGCCGACTGGGGAATCTGCCAACTGCCTGGGAAGGCATATACTTCAGAAAGAAGACCTGCAGGCCACAGACAATTAGACCGGCATCGGCAGACATGCGTAGCATTCAAACGACTGCGCTCACCGGTGACAGCATTACGATGGCATGCACATGATCGGTTGAATAATGCATTCGCGACAGGCTGGACTCGGACATGTGCACCACCATGGCCCAATGTTCTTTCCTCCATTGCTTTGCAGTCGAGCGCGTTTTATAAGGCTTACCGGAGCAAATATCGTGCACAGGCGCAACTGGTGCGAATTTTCGAATGAAGAATCGAGGTCGCAATTCTCCAAACGAGGCTAGTGTTTCCAGCATCCGCTTGAAATTCGTCTATACATGCACCAAGTTGCGTCACACGCGCTTAGCCGTAACCACCGTGCGTCTGTTCTCGTCCGATGTCGTAGCTGCCAGCGTACTGACAGCAGATCACACAGGGCTGACAATCATCCTTCAAACAATATGCACATACTAACTCCATACCGGCTGGCAGGACCCACGTTTATTCAAGGATGTTTCAGGTATCTCCGCTGTGAAGAAATACCGGCACTGGATATTATCCTAAACACGAAAAAATAAAGCGACAATAGCCGGTAAGTAAAAGCAATCCAACGAGTACTATTATCGGGCATATCTTGATGATATCTAACTTGTGAAAAGAACAAGCCAGAAATCCGCCGTGTTCATGTTATAGGAATCCAAAAACGGCGCCGTTTTCCAGCTCTGACACTGTTGCACATATCTCCGAACATCTGAGCGCTGTGGTGACCACTACCACGGTCTCTGTGTCATGAAAAAATGCCCCACAGTTGTCACGATCATGTCTGACAAGAGACCAGAATTATTGGACCATGAGAATACTCGCAAAGTGCCGCTCACAGTGTGTTCATATATCCGCACATATAAAATGCGCATGCATGCCACGTATCTTCCCCAGCGCACCACTGAGCTAGCATGCCTCTCTCTCTCTCATCTTTGGCTTCCATGCTCATAGACAGCCCTCACGTCCTCACGGACATCGCTAGATCGGCACAGGGAATTGCAGCCATGGCCGCCTTAATTCTGGGAATCCTCTGGCTTTTGCCATTCCTCTCCGGTCATAGCTACGATGTGTTTGGCCGTCGACCGAGAGACAAGGACAGCTTGTCCATACCAGATGGCCCACTAGGCCTTCCGATCGTTGGTGTGTCACTCCATTTCCACTCAGTCAAACTACCATAGAGACTCACTTTGCTCGTTCTCACACCATCATACCAGGATCGTTTCCCTTCCTCACCCATTACCCTGAGCTTACGTTGCACAAATGGCGCAAGAGGTTTGGGCCGCTCTACTCAATGTGGCTTGGCAATCAATTGTTCGTCATCGTGTCCGACCCCGGTATTGCCAAGGACCTCATGGTCACCAACGGCGCCGTGTTCTCCTCCCGTAAGGAGATGTTCATCAAGAGCCAGATCGTCTTTGCGGGGCGCGGGATAACAGCTACTCCGTACAACGATCGCTGGTGTGTGGAGCCCGTCCGCCGCTGTCCGTGCATAGTCTTAAATCAACGTATTGCTTCAGGCGCAAGCACCGACGTATAGCGACCGGCTGGCTGAATCTCCGCGCCGTCATCGACTACTCTAACGTGCTCGACTACGAGGCGACGGTGATGATGAAGAATTTGTACCTTACAGGCAAAGGGGGTGACGCCCCAATCAACCCTCAGCCTCATGCCGGACGGTGCTCCCTGAATAATATGCTCACGATTGTCTTCGGCACACGCACCGACTCTATCGACAACCCGCTAGTCAGCAGAGCACTTATGCTTTCTCGCGAGTTCATGTAGGTCGTCTCATGTCGTACCGTTTGCTCCGGTCTCACAGGGCGGGAAATAGGAATTGCACCGGCCCTGTGTCGAACCTCGTAGACTTTGTGACCCCGCTGCAGTGGTTACCCACGAGCATGTCTATTCGCGGGAAGAGGCTGCACAAAGACCTCGTCGAGACATACGGTGGCATGATCAAGGACATAGAACGCCGCATGAACGCGGGTGGGACGGTCCCCGACTGTCTCGCCAAGACGATGATCCTCTCCCGCCAAGAGGAGGAGCTGGACCATCTCGACATGGCCATCTTGGCATCTGCGTTCATGATCGGGGGCGTTGAGACGGTACGCAACTTGCATAGGCCGCTGTGTTCCTGCACAGTATGGAAGTCTGACACGTCCTTCTGTCCCAGACGGCATCCATCATGCAGTGGTTCTCCGCACTCATTCCCGCATACCCCGACATCCAATTGAAGGCACAGGTCGAGCTTGATCGCGTCGTTGGACGTGATCGCTTGCCGACCGTTGAGGACGAGCAGAATCTGCCGTTCTGCCATGCTATCATCAAAGAGGTCGAGCGATGCCACAATCCGTTCTGGCTCGGCACCCCGCACGTCGCTTCAGAAGACTTTGTTTACGAGGGCCACTACATTCCGAAAGATACAGTGGTCATTCTCAACACATACTCGATGCATCACGACCCGGAGAGGCATGTGAACCCACATGACTTCGATGTGCGTTACTTAGTCTTGGTTTGAAACACATTGGCTGACCGGCATTCGTACTTGTTAGCCGGAGAGATACATAAAGGACAGTACCAATAACACCGAATCCGCCAACCTAGCGAACCCATATGACCGCGACCATTGGATGTTCGGTGCAGGGTGAGCGCCACACTTGCTTCTGTGTCGCCACATCTGTTTACCTCTAACGATCATACTATAGACGCCGCATCTGCCCCGGCATGATCGTTGCCGAGCGCGAGATTTGGCTCGCCATTTCACGGATGCTCTGGGCGTTCGATATGGTTGAAATTCCTGAAGAGCCCATCGATCTGAAGGAATACGACGGTCTTTCGGGTCGATCTCCCGTTCCGTTTCGCATCAAATTGATTCCTCGCCACGAGAACGTCGCGAAGGTCCTCGGGCTTGAACAGTTGAAAAGTGTAGTGGAGTCCGAGATACTCAATGTATAGTACGTTGGTTGCACCGATGCCTGTAATACAGTCACTCTCTACTGTAGCAGTTGACACTCTGTGATGTCACCATTCACCGGCATGATCTGGTATCTTGTTCGAGGTCCGCTCGGCAGATTGCGCCTCGTATAAGATCGGACCCCTAGTGGCGCTAAAGCGCGTGCGCTTCGGAACACGAGTATCAATAGGCTCCTAGACTGATGCGCGTCCTCGGAATGCTATTCTTTCGATTTAACCCAAATAAAGGCCAGGCCACGGAATATGCAAGTTTTGCCGTGAATCTTGAACCCACAGCGGGATCCGATCTCGGTGCTTAGTACTAAGCCGTCTCCGAAAAGGATGGAGGTGGGAACTCCATATTGTTTTGTGATTATGGGATTCAGAGAAATTCTAGGAGACAACTGCTGAAGATTCACGGGCACAGTCCGACGCTAGGAAAGTCATTCGCAACAAGTAGACGCTAAATAACCTGATTAATTGCTCTATAGGCACCCCAACTGGCAGGTGCATGGTGAAGCTCCACCAACAGCTGCACACGTTTCGAACCGTTGCGGATTCTTGCTCGATGCATTGATTCCCTTGGATGCTGGTAATTGATAGTGTCCTTCTCTCTCGTAAGAGCTGACAAAGAGTCAACGAATACGTTGATAGAAAAGTCGACGCCATATGAACAACACAATGGAGTGGATTCCTCTCTGTCTCTGTGAGTCACTGACTGCAGTCTTTCAGGCAGCTGCTCAGGCATCTCGGAGACAAAGTGAAAGTATTGCTGATTTATCCAACGAGAAGCGTTCAGAAACAACCTGACCCCGAAAGGCGCCCATTTCGAAGGCTCACCCCTCCCCCGGAAGTCTGTGATATGATCGTCGATCATTTGCAATACGACCCTTCAGCGCTGGCGAATTGCCTGCAGGCCTGCGAGAGCTGTTTCCAGAGATGTAGAAAGTATCTACCGGTGGAAGGGTACGCGTTCAAGAATAAGAGGGAAGTCTTCCTCGTATTACGTGAAGATTCGGGCCCCGGAAGCAGGTCAGATTTGCCCGGCACTCCATTATACGCCATAGGTCGTCACGCTGTGTATCCAATCGCTTTCCGGGAGAGCCAGAGTGTGATAATAGAGGGCGAGGACAGCATGCCCACGCAAGGAGAACGACAAGTCAACCATCTCGGCAGCTTCGCTGTGATGATAGCAGCGAAATGGTCGGAAGTGACCACTTCTTTGACAATCAGACATGGGGCGTGGTCGGCTGGCCATCTTCACCCGGACGTCTTTCTTCATCTCGCTCACTGGCGATCGATCAAGGAGCTGAAATTGGCCGAAGTGACACTGCCGTCTGCCTCCGTCTTTGGAAACCTAATCGCTGCTCTAAGCAGCAGCCTCTTGTATCTAACTCTTTCTCGTGTCACATTTTTAGACGCTTCTAAGCCCTTACATCTCCTGACACGCAGTAACAGCACTGCACACAGACTACCCTCGGGCGATTCCGATCATGTGTCGTTTGTCCTCACTATACACGACCTAACGCCCGCTTCATTAGCTGTCGTCGCCCACACATTACTTGCAGCCAACGTCGGCCAAGATCCCTGGATTCGCAACCTGCGCGTCGTCTGCCATAATGAAGCGGTTGGAGGATGTCCATCTTGGACTCCGCAGGGGCTCCCATGCATCCTACGAGCGGCCGGCGAAACGCTGCGGTCGATGCGCTTGACCCTGCTGGCGAGCATGCGTGCGTACCCAGGCGGTCATATGATCTGAGCAGAGGATCTCACAGCAGACGCTTCCAGCCCTCCGTCTCTCATTTGCGCACAACACCCGCATGGTATCCCTCCGCCTCGACATCCACATCGACGAACCAGATGTCGAGATTGCGTGGCTGCAGAGAGTGTTGTCGACACTGCCGTGGAGTGCCACCGACCCAGCGTTGCGCTCGCTCGCGCTCTGGTTCTGGGTCGACGTGCACGTAGAGGATGGCCATGCCGTGACTCAAGGTCGACACTGCAACGGCTGCGCGCGTCGCTCGCTTCCGATGAGTCCCCTCGGGGCACCTGCCACTACGAGCAGTATCGACGCCGTGCTGCGGAGGTTGGCCATGCGGTGCAGGAGTATGGACTTGCTCTTATCCCGTCTCTGCTGCCATGTGCGGGACGTCAATGTGCGGGTGCTAGTTTGCAGCTGCGCGGACCTCAATCTCGAAACGTGGGGATCGGCCGTCGGCTCCTGGTTTCCCGGCCTTCGTGGGAGGAATATGTTTGCTAGTGGCCAAAGGTGAATCCTCGCGCTCTCTAGTGGCTGCCGTCGCCGAGGTCTTATGTGCGCCATCACGGACGGTAGGTCTGTGCTAGCGCTGGAATGCAGACATTGCATGAAGGCCCTCTGGGACGATCCTGCTTCGGTCGGCGGCGCCAACACTATGCCCGCCCAGCGCGTAGACGATTATGCCCTTTGGTGGTATCCGGCGAGGACTCTATAGCACTCAAAGCTGTTTGTGGCTCATTAGCCATCCGGCGGACATTTCTATGCCAATGACAGTACCAAAGTGCCGTTTGCACTGACATGGTGGCAGGGAGACTTGAATAACGTGTACTGGTGTTCAAATAAGCATAAGAACAAGCCTATTCGTCGTACACGTTGCAGTCCGTTTCAACATCCGTGGCTGAAACCAAGGGACCAATGAGGTTGAGGTTTGAAACGCCTGGCCCCGCAATACGCGGGTACAGCGGCTATTAATCATTAGACCAAGGCGTAGGCGCACCTATCCTGGCATCAGCATATCGGACAGTCGCCAAGATGTTTGCCATCTTGACGCCGCAATCCGGAATACGTCAGGTGCGCTGGTGTATTGTCTTCTACCGTGGATTTGACCTTATCCTCTAGAGCGTAGTGAAAGCATACGGATTCAGAGTTTCCGGTAATTATGATTCAGTCTGTGGGGACTGCATAGACCCCTCTCCGATTCATCGTTCCTGTGGCACATTGTGTACTGTACATTGACACGAACATGATTCTTCCATGATTACGGCGCATATATCGTATCCCCTTCATATTGTACTACTTTTGTTGCTGGAGTCAAAGGTTTCCGTGCCAAGTCCTCACTACTGGCTCAGCTGCAGATGTTTCTCACCGTGCACCGGAAGATCAGACCATAGAATCGTTACCGCCTTCTTTCCCGGTAGGAACTGGTGTAGGCGCCGTCACAGACGACGCGGTGTCCGAGGTCTGTTGTTCTGCGTGCGGCGCGCCCAATGCAGGAGAGGGCTTCGCCACGGGCGGAGTCGCCGGCGCGATCCAGAACAACGGGTACCTCCGCTGGATATTATTGTTCAGCAGTGCAGTCGCGAGCACAAGCATGCTCGAGAGGAGCACGACTGGCAGGTAGTACCAGCTCAGCGCCCAGATGTCGTCGTCCAGCGCGGGCAGCAGCGCGGTCGCGCCCGCAGGTGGGTGCGTCGTGCCGGTGATTTGCATAGCAACGATAGCGACGGAGGTGGAGAGGGATGCGGCGAGCCAGCGGAGGGACTGGAAGTGCGGGGAGAGGGAGAAGAGCTTGGTGATGCAGAGCCCGAGCAGGGCTGAGATGAAGTGTCCGAAGACGAGTGCGCGGGGCTGGGCGAGCGGGGCCTCGATGGCGCCGTAGCACAGGACTGCGGAAGCACCCTGAAGGTTTTGAATCAGCAGGTGACAGGAAAGCAGGGCAAATGGTGGCGTACGAACGAAGCGATCATGGAGGGTGTACCGCGCTCGATGAAGTAGTGTGCATGACCGAAGACGGCCTGCAAGACACAGAGACCGCAAAACGCGCCGATGAACGACCAAAACCAGACGAGATAATCTGGAAGCTTTGGTGGGGGACTGGCGCGGTAGCCTATCCACCGTGTTAACCAAGGCGGATATCGAGAGAGACGGGAATGTTCGTTCATTGCGCCTTGTAAGAGCTCAACCTGGGCAAGGAGGCGAGGATTAGATGTTAGCTCAGGATTCGTTTGCGTCGCTTTATATAAGACGGGGTAGGAGCAGGACTACAGAAATAGGTCCGGGGAAGGGCGGAGTTGTGAGGCAAAACTTGTAGCAGATGCGAGCGGCTCGCGTGCAAGAGATGAACGTGGTGTCCTGGAAAGGAATTTAGGGAGGGATGCTTACGGCGTCGATAACACTTGTATCCCATGCACAGTATGGAACCTTTGAAGGCGGATTGCTACGGCGTGAATGGACGAAGCTCTTCGAGCGTTAGCTGCAAAAAAGGGTTCAAATCGGCGGTTCGAATTATTCGCGGTCACAGTCGGGGCTCGGGAGGGAAGCAGCGGGAGGAAGGATAGATGTATTTGCCGAGCCCGTCCGAGTCCATGGCGGTGCTGTGTGCCATTGCTGACTCGCTAGGGATGGCTGAGCGGATCTAACATTTTAGGCCTGCACGTACTAAAACTCCCGCGCCACCAGTCAGATCGGAAGTGAGATCTATTCCGCTCGGCGCTGTGGCGTCCCAGTATACCTTCGCTCAAAACCCGTTAGTTCAAATTTTTATTTACATCGCCTCCATATAGTAGACTTCTATTCAGCAAATTGTCATGAGCGCGTGAATACTGAACCAGACCACAGATTTGTGAAGTAGGAGCTAAGTGCTTGCACGGGCGCCTCACAGGATGACGCCACTACCAGCACGGGACCCGTATTCCGCCGCAGATTCTGCGCACATGTCAGGTGTGGCACCATGGTGTGTCCAGGGAGTGCATGGAAGTCGAAGAGCTAGAGCGGCCATGGACGATAGGGGCGTTACTGACGCGACTTGTCACACGGAGGTAACGGCGCGTACGCGCTGTTGATGCGTGTTTGGCGTGCGGGAGACGCCGAGGCATTGTTGGAAACGGGGCGTTGTGTTGTGGCCCGTGGACGCGCTCTCCTTCCCCCGCGTCTCGCTTTCCTCTTTCTCGCTTCTCCCTTTTCACACATTCCTCAGAGTCCTTTTTTCCTGCAAAGACGAGTGCCCTCCCCGATGCCCACAACTCGTGCATCCGCCGCCGTCGCCGCGCCTCTCGTCGACGCTCCCCCATCTCGCCCCGCACCCGTCAAACGCTCCCAGTCTCTGGCGTCGCTCCCAACGCCTCCGCAGACTCGCCATAAGCGCAAGCGCGCACGCTCACGGGTCACCGACTCAGACACTGATGAAGATGAACGCCTCATCGTTGAACGCGATCTCACCGATGACGATGCCCCCCGCCATGATGCCAACGGCGCACTGATCGTCGGCAACAAGAAGCGCAAGACTCTAGATGCGATTGCGGAGGAGCTGAGCGAGGCGGCAAAAGCGGAGGATGCGTTCTGGATGAGTGAGACTACGACTACAACCAACACCGCGCAGGATCAGCCGAAAGCTGGACCCCCTCCTCCACGAGTCCACTATCGTTTACGAGAGCGCTCTAGAACTCGCTCGCCTTCATCATCCCCTGCGGTTGCACCTCATCTCTTACGCCGAGGGCATACCGGTCTTGCGTCCCCGCCACCCTCGCGACGCCAGCCAAGAACTCGCGTGCAAGCGCGTTTGCCGACACCCCCACCCGCTCCTATCCCTTCTCGGCTGCGAAAACCTGGCTTGTTCCCCGTACGCGACTCCCCAAACAATCCATTCCTCGCGGACGAGGAATCGGCGACCGCTCCTGAAGCCGAGGCTGAAACTGAAGCTGGGCCTAGCACGCCCCAGTCACGAGCCCCTGAGCGATATGTGGAGAAGCCGACGATGACCTGGGTATTGTGAGTCCTTTGTGCTTTTGGCCTCCCTCGAGGGGTCTTGCGCTCTGGTCATTTACCTTTTCTCTCCTTCTCCTATTTTAGCCGGGGTACTCGGGTTACGCTGGCTAACCCACACTACAAGCCGCCAGGCGCAGAGGGGGAAACCGATGCTGAGGCGGAAGGATCTTCTCTTCTGCCGCCTGAACACCCCGAGTTCAGCCCTCCTCCCACTTACGCTCCTAAGATGCTCTTCCCTGAGGCCCGCCGTGACATTACTCGGCGACGCACACGCGCCCAGGCTGCCGCAGAAAGGGCAGCGGAACAAGCAGCCACTGGAAGTGCAGCCGCTGAGTCTGGTGCTCCGCCTGTAGCTGTACCATCAACGCCCCCGCGCAAGACGCCGCCCATTGCCTCCCGCACACGCGCAAGTTCAAATGCATCCTCACGCCCCGTGTCGACCGTGTCGAGCCGTCCCGAGGAACCTGCAGCACATGATCTGCGGGCTCGACGCGCACGCCCGGCTAAGCCGTCCGACGCTGAGGTGGAGGCTGCTATGCAAGCCGCGATGGCCCGCCGCCTGGCGCGTGCGTGCCCGGAGCCAGGGAGCGGGGAAGGCCCGCGCACGCGCACGCGTGCACACGGTGCACCGCGGCTGCCCGAGAAGGACAGCGACCTCGTGCGGCGCGCGATGGGTCCCGCTCGGGTGGCTGCGCCTACAAAACGAGATTCACGCTAAACATGGGTGTGCTTTTGGCGGACCCTTGCGACGATACTTCACGTTCTGCTCATTGACTTCCAGTGCTTTCACGGACTAGCCGTATCCACTCACCACCCTACTGCGACACCCCATACCTGTTTTCTTTTCGCGATGCCTTCCCCTCCTGTCGTTGTATGTCCCTCGCTTGCTGATTTGTGCATCGATTTGGGTATTGTGCATGACTCGTGCTATATGAAAGGCCGCCGCGACCTAGTGTAGTCCCTTTCCCTTACTCCCGCCTGCGATACCTCCTTACTCGATATGTCCGCTTATCTCTTGATCTACTTCGCTTACGCGCTCATGCTCGAATGTTCACCCCGCATCTAGTTTTGGTTTAGCGATTTGTACATGTTTGTACCGACGCTTGTGCTGCATTGGTTGGGGCAAGATAATAATACACATGATAGCAACTCGAATGACAAAGGGGGGAAGCAACAAGAAAACAAGCAAAGAACTACAAAAGAGAGGATAGGAGCGATCATTGGTTCATGCTCCTATTAAGGACTCGAATGTACCGGCTGCCACGTAACAATTGCGATCTCAGTGAATTGCTCTTGAGGATCGTCGCGCATCTCCTCTTCAGATAGGCGTTCACCTTTCTGTGACGACTCGGACAGGGGTCGATCGCAGTACACAATACCGCACGAGGGGAGCTGTAAAAGGGGCCACACCTCCGCAGACAGTCGCTTGCGCTACTAATCGATGTCGTCAGTCAGTGACATGGCCGAGGCCAGATTGCGGGAGAACGAGCCATGCGGGGAGACAGGGCGAGCAGACGGGATGCGCACCTCCGCGACGCGCCGCCGAACGAGCGTGTACCTCTGTCTGAGATCCCGCATGTCGAAGTGCGCGCGCACGTCCGTGTCCTGCTGCGTGTCCTCGGCGGCCGGCGGCGCTGCCTCGGGAGGGTCAGACGGCGGGGGCGACGGTAGAGCTGTGCGAGAGGCGGGGTGGGGGCGCGACGGCGCCGATCTTGCGGCCGGTGCGTGTTTGTCGGCGTCGTGCCCTGCGTCGGGCGCACGCGCACGCGACATCGGCGGGACGTCGAGCTCCGAGCCTGGAGGAGACGGGTACCTCTGGAAACGCGGCTGGTGCGGGCGGCGACGTCAGCACCATCCCGTGCGCGCCTGATGCGCAGAATACGAACAGGAACACCCACGCTGCCCTCCTCGTCGCGCGTGCCGGTCGTGACGTGTGGAGAAGGCGCCTTCCGTGGCGGGGGCAGGTAGGTGACCACCCGCGTCTTCTGCGCTACAGGCTCGGGCGCGCGCGCATGCGCCAGCGGCAGCCGGAAGGTCCCCGACTCTCTTACCTTGCCCGCCGGCGCGGGGGCTACGCGGGGCTTCTTGGGCGGGGGCAGCGTAGACCACGCGGCGTCGGGCGACGTAGGGAACGCGGCATAGGCGTCGCGTTTGGCCGGGGCAACGGAGACATTGAGGGGAGAGGCTGTGCGCTTGTGTGCAGGTGAGATCATAGTCTCCATTGCCATGTGTCGGCGGGGGGCAGGGATGTCTGCTGGGGACGTGCGGGAGGAGGGCCGCGCAGCATTGATGTGAGAGATGGATGCGACGGTAGGGGAAACACCGTGACGGGAGTCTGGGCCGCGTAAGGGAGATGACGACTGAGTCATTTTCTGCGCGATATGGGGCCTGCGGAATACTCTCAAGCATGCGGTGAGGGTAATGAACGGACACTACGTACATGTGAACCGGGGAGATGGACATCTTAGGTCCCTTATCAATATTTCTGACGTCCCGACGAATGTGGCCGTTCGACATAGGCGAAGACGAAGCTTCATGTACGGATCGTTGAGGTCGTTTGGCCGACGCCACGGTCCCTGTAGCATGTAAATCGTTGAATTAGCTCCCTGTCGTCTATCTCTGCCTCCTGACACCAAAGGAGAATGAGGACCAACCTTCCCGATGGGGCGTGGCTGGAAGCAACTTGTCGATGAGTCTCTGTGGCTCTGCCCTCGAAGCAAGCACAGAGTGAATCGCTTTCCGTTCAAGCAGGTCATGCTGATTCGCTCCATGGGTATGCGGTGTATTCTGTGTGTCGTCAGTGTGTATATGCGTGATCTGTTGGGGATGATAGACTTTTGGTGCGTCGTTCTTGGCCCCCTGCGACTGGACCGAAGGAGATTGGGAATGAGATGGATATGTCTTGTCCATTACTAAACCATTCGGAGTGGAAACAGACAAGCTCGCTGGAAGAAGAAGACCCGATACAGAGCCGTAACTTGAGGAAGAGACTTCTTGAGCAGGATCAATGCGAGCGTTCAGCGTATAGACGGGTGGTATATGCGCCTGAAATTGCGGGGTTTGGACACCTGAGAGCTCATACGTCGTTTGGCTCTTGCAAGGTGTCGAGGCACCAGAAGAAGGTAACATTTGAGATGCACTCTCTTGTCCGAGCCTTTCCATAGGTAACGACACAAGGTCATCGTTCGCAACAGATGTGCCATTGGGTGCACTGGGATCTAAAGCAAGGATGGGGTATGTAGGCTGTTTCTGCGGGGCAATAGCATTACTTGAGGGGCCAAAGACAGATGACAGAAGAGAAACAGCGGGAACAACACGCTGTGCAGGTGTGTGAGGCTTTCTTTTGACCAGACTCCTTTGATTAGGTTTGCGAGGTGCTGTACTAGACATTTGCGTTACAGAGGAGACAGTTGATTTGTTGCCTATGTGCGGCTTTTTCGCGGCAATGCGAGGGGCAGTTTGGGGCGTAGAACGAACGGGCACACTCTTGCGACATGCAGCATTCACTTTAGCGATGGACCACGGGTTCGACTTGTACTGAGCAGTGTCGACCCGTGAGGAGATGTCTAGGTCATGCTGGCCGTCGTCGGAGCAGGGGTTCTCCCTGGATGTTGTAACTTCTGCGTCCTCAGATGCATCGCTGTCGTCGTCTGAGAAGTCATACGAGCGCAAATTGTATGACCACACGGAGTCGTCCTTTTTCCCGGGCATATTAAGAGATATGGCGGTCTGCTAACAAAACTTGGACGAGATAAGGAGTACGAAACAGAATAGCATGAGGTGCAAACGAGAGTGTAACCTGGCAGGCACGCGATCGAACGATCGCAGTACTTGATCGAAAGGTCCGCGAAGGTGTGAAGGTGCATTAGGTGAGATAGACCGTGTTAAATAACCGGGACATTGTGACAGTTGTAAATTATCGCTAAATTTGGAAAGATCCAAAATATACCGGTTGGATCAAGCTTAATTGAGTGTCCTAGTATATCAACCATACATCGGCTTTCTCTGGTGGAATGGCACTGTAGCAGTGCTCTGCATGGTCACTATGATCGTCGCCGCTGAATATCAAAAGCCAAAATAACCAATTTGCATGCGGCTTCCTTTACACCTTATCCACGAGCCGGTTGATCGACTGTAAATTAGCTAGATGTGGCCAACCTATTTCATCGTACCTTAGCCGCCCACACCCATCTCCGAGTTGTCCATTCATCCCCACAGCTCTGAATCTCACCCATACTAGTAGGTCGTCTCAGTACTCCTGCTGTACGCGTGTGATCCTGAAGCACCGTGTGCGAACTGGCAAATTCATTTTGAGACGTATCATCGGGTTCTGTAGGGACTCACTTAGGCATACATTCTACTCAAGGCGAGTTCCGTTACCGAGCCCGGAAGGGGTATCGCTGACCTGCTGTAAGTCTACCTGTCGGGCAGCATACATGCACTAATCTTCTAGTAATTCACTAGAACATGTCTCTCATCAGTGATCCTGAGTACGTCTATCCTTCTATTTGCGCTCTAAAAGCTGATGCCCTTCCAGCTACCTCATCCACAGCCTTCGGTTGAACTATCTCCGCCATGTAGATGACCCGTATGCGTCTAGCATCATCTCCCTCGACCCCTATTACGACTCCAATCCGTACATAGTTGCCTCTGGTCTCGCTGATGTCGAGAAATGGCCAGAACTTGCCAGGCCGTCCAGTCCAACCCCAAGCGACGACGAGGGCCGCATCAATGCGCACTCTGGCTTCCCCGGGGCTACTAGGCTCAAGTATACAACAACAATTATGGGTCCCTCTCGAATGGGAGGCATGGGTCTTCGAGTAGCGGGCAAGCGCGCGTCCATGTCGAAGAGCTCATATCGCTTCTCTGTGCGCTATGGAACAGACACCCCAAGGCCCACTCTCGATGAGAAAACAGAGCCCGAAGTACACGATGCATCCGCGGCAGAGCAGAGTACCGCCACCACCGCTTCTGGTTCTATTACATCTTCTGTGGCGGACACGCTGAAGTTGCCAGAGCAGGAGGCACCCAAAGATGTCAACGGGTCCATCGACAACGGAGCTCCTCAGGAAGGAGCGGAACCACCTAAGACCATCTCTCCCGAGTTTCACCCCAAGTTCAAAGGCGCTGCAGAGATGGAGGCGAGAAGAAAGCTTCGGATGCAGGCTCGCGCACGCCCCGTGCCTGGCATTCGAGTACCAAATCCACCTGTTTTGCTGAATCCAGAGATCTCGTCCTCTGAATCGGAATCGGAAGAGGACGAGGAGGCGGATGTGGAACCCAATGAGGAGGACGACGAGTTCGACCTCAACGCAGACGTTGACGACAGCATCGACATTGATGCCGACGAGTCTGATCAGTACGTTCGCCCCCACTCGTGGAAACTCATGCGTCCTCATCTGATCTTCCAGAGACTTCCCCGCCACGCGCGGCATGCCCGGCCTCGAAGACATACACTCCGACAGTGACGGCGTGTCCATCCTTTCCGGCACCAACTCCGTCATGTCCACGACCTCCTCCATGATGGGCTCCTCCCTGCAGCCGAGCAACAGCGCGCGGGTGGGCACGCGGCTTAGTCCTGTCCACGAGAGCCGAATCAGCGAGGAAACCTCTGTCGACGTGCTCCCCGACCGCCCTGAGGAGTCCGCGCCGATCGAGTCAGGCTTTGACATGGTCATCCCTGCGCCAAAACCGAAGCCACAACGTCTCAGTCAAGCTGCTGCCCCCGCCGCGCCTGCCGAGCCCGCACACGCGGCACACACGGATGACCTTTTCACGCGACGCGCGGTGTTGCCCACACGACCGGGGCGCTCAGCGCTCGCGGCGCTACTTGCCGACTCGTCTGGCACGTCGTCGTCAAATCCGTTCGCGGAGCTGTACAGCGCGATCTCTGCGCGAGCAGAGGGCGACAGCATGGGCGTGAACGTGTACTTCCCGCACGCACGTGAGCCGGCGGGCCGCGCGCTGACGTTGAAGGTGCGCCGCGATGCGTCGGTGGAGGAGGTGCTTGGGTTTGCGCTGTGGACCTACTGGGAGGAGGGCTGGCTGCCGAAGATCGACGAGGGTCTCGAGGGCGAGGAGGACGCGCGCTGGGAGACGCGCTGTTCGGCGGTGGGCTGGATATTGCGGATCGCAGAGGAAGATGGAGAGGTGGACGAGGACTTCCCGCGTGAGTCGGACATGCGCAGGTCGTGAAGAAATGATAGCTTACAGTGCCGTGCCCTGCAGCCCCTGATCGTACGGGTAAGATCTCAAAGTTCAACTTTGATGCCTACGCCGTGCTGGAGGCGACTGCTAGTCAAGGTCGGTGCATGTGTGCGGCTTTCGCTGCTGTCGTGTGGCTCATATATGTCCACAGTGCAACAGAACAAGGTTTTGGAGTCCAAGATCCAGCGCCGCCTGTCGCGCATCGTCGTCAAGAAGAAAAAGTCGACCGGCCTGCTCAACGCAATGCCCACGCCCGCCACTCTTGCGCCGCCGGCAGATAGCTTCCTGGGTACCAGCGCGGGTATCAGCTCGTTGGTGTCTTCTATAGGCATGTTTCCGAGTTCGCTTGGGCCGTCTTCGAGCCACGGCCAGCAACAATTCCTGCGCATCCGGATCGCGGACATGGCCGACGCGGGCCTCGTCTCTATTACCATTCCTGCGTGCGTCTGACTCGTGCTTATTCTTATTCCGTGCTGTGCTGACGCGTCGTCGACGTCCCTATCAGGACGAGCGGGATGTACACGGCAGAGGTGCTCGAGCTGGCGTGCCAGAAGCGCAAGCTTAACGACCCGAAGGACTACGCGCTCGTGCTCGACCTTGGCCCGACCAAAGTGTTCATCCCGCTGGACAAGACGGTGAAGAGCTTGCAGGGGAAGCGCGACCTGATTCTGATGAAGCGGGACATGCTACGCGAATACGGCGTCGAGATCAGCAGCGAGTCGTCGCGGACGACAGACCCCAATGGTATGCATGTCCGTGATCACGGCAGGTGAGGCGAAGCTGACCGCAAGTTATCTGCAGCGTCCATTATCAAGCGCAACTCAGAGATCTTGGAGCCGTCCTTCAACTCCATGTTTGACTACACCAATGCATACAAGGTGCGTCCGTTCTGTTGCACTCCGATCGATCTGCGTTAACGCCCGCACAGAAATACACCGTGTATCGCAAGGTGCCGATGTTGGTCACTCGCAGTGCTCGGTTATTGGCCATCGACGGTGTCTATATACATGTCAGTCGGCTTCTAACCATTCAAGTTCGTTCTCTGACCAGTCGAGCAGATCATGCCCATGTCGAACAAAGCGAAGCATGTTTTCGACAGTGGCAAGACGTCCTCATATCACCTCAAAAGCGTTGTGGCATGCCAGCAGTCCAGCAAGGACAGCTCTACGTTCAAGCTAGTCGTGCACAGCAATGCGGAGCGGGACAAGCGGTACGACTTTGAGGCTGAGAGCCCCAAGCTTGCTTGTGAGTACATTACACAAGGCGGCTCATTGCATCTATCTCACGCCTACATAGATGAAATCGTTCAGACCATTCGCGCCTTGAAGATCTCGGTGGAGCGTCCGGGGACGATTAAGCAATCGCGGAGAAGTCGACAGGTCACCTGAATGGGGATTTCGGGTTTGTAATATGTTGTAATTGTAAACGTGGAGGCTTTATATCCAGCGATGGAACAATTGTGTTGAGAGAGCGCGCCTGTAGATTACGACTTGCAAATAAAGCAACGCTCCGTACGCAGCTCGGCTGAGACAGTGCAGCAAAAGCTGGCTTAATTACTAGCGGTCATATAAAATCCTGGCGCATCAGGGTGGGAGTGGATAACTGGCCATGATTGGCTTGTAAGCAGCACACGCTAGAAGCCATGCCCAGTACTCACATTACACGAAGACCCATATCTAGCAGTATCACCGAGCCCGACAGATCACCTCACCACCCAGGCCAAGTTGGAGTGCTTCCCTCGCCTCAAGCCACTCGTACTCCGGATTTTTGGTATGCACAACTGCGATTTCGCCCATGCGCAGAGGCTTGATCGTCTGCGCGCGTCGTCCTGAGCATAACCGACGAATTTCGCTGACGTCCATGAAGATCGGCTTGCTGGGCATGCTGATGAGCTCCATGTCATTGAGGACCGGCCGGTCATCGCGATACTTCAAGTCCGCCCATATCCGTCGGTTAGCGTCACCGACGGTCAGGAAAGCTTCTGGTGATGGCAGTTGGACGGTACCGCGGGTAAGCGAGAGGAGGAAGCCAGAGCGGAGAAGTATAGAGAGGATTCCAAGGTTCTGCGTTGTGTGCGAGACCGCTATGTGTCGATGTCTGGCACGGAAGGCATTTTGGACATGCGCACACAGGTTATGCGGGAGAACCATAACCCTGATGCGTTATCGAGGGGCAACGACATCAGAGTGTTACTGGCAGGATTGCACGGGAGACTTACCTCTCTCAACCTGACCGAGGACGAAGCAGTCAACAAAGCCAGACCCTGCGTGACCGCCACAAAGGCGTATTCTCTGTGACAAAAGTGGACAGTGTAACGGTCACACGCTTCAATCAAGTGTGGCCACGACCTGACTTATAAAAGTCTAAGTCAAGGTGCAATACCTCACAAATCTCGTTTCCTTTACTGCTCTCGCCTCCAAGTCTCTACGTTGTCAGTTCAATAACGGGAACGGCCCGCGGACATTGGACCCCGCATACTAATTCGCGTGACTTGGCCACATCATTCGCATTTCAGCATACTTCATCATTCCTGCTAACAGTGAGCTCTTTTAGTGCTACGCTCTTCATAACTCACTGTTCCAGATTCACTATCATGCGACATTTCCTCGACCTCAATTATGATGTTCTCCACTTGATCGTCACACTACTCTCACGAAACGACATACTCCGCCTTGCACTGTCGTGCCGCATGGGCTTTGATCTGGCGCTTCCGCAAATTCTCTACCGGGTCAAGCTCCGCAACATAAGGATACTTGATCCATATCGGTTGTGTGATTTTTGTAGTTTCGTTCTGGCAGATGTCGTTCAGCGAGGCCCTCTCTTGCGGATATTGGAGCTTGATTTGGAAATGTATACAGTGCATCGACGCCTCGACAACCTACGGATCGGGGAGTATGTGTTCCCCACGGCTCTCACAAAGATTTTAGAGCACGCCTCAAATCTGCGGGAACTGGCTTTTAAGCTTCCAGAAAAGTTGATTCAAGACCACCCCTCATTGCTTTCTGCAGCTGTCGCCCTACCTCACCTCGACTCACTCAGAGTCAGTACCTCAGCCTTAGGACAGACGATTATCTCCTCTATGATCTCTCGCCCACGTAGACTGGCACTTAACTCCCATCGGACAACCTCCAATTGTAGTTGGGACACTCTCGTGTCCAGCCTCCTCCAGTCTGGAGTTACAGCGTACGTAGAAAATCTGCACCTGATCGGAGACAGGTATCTCTCTGCAATGCCGTCTCTGAAATTCCCGTGGTTGCGCCATCTCGCAATTTCTAAGTCACACATCCCGTTTGGGAGCTCATTCGATCTCGCTGTCGCCTGCCCGAATTTGCACTCAATCCATTGGGAGGCGAACTATATACATCGCGAGAGGAACAGTTCAACAACTTTAGACAAAAACATCGTCAGCATCACAACGCGGCTGGAGCTGGATCATGTCCATCTCAGACGCTGCGACATACTTCCCGTGGTTGGTCCAGTTCGTCGTCTCACGCTCACTTCATTGTACGACCAGTTCGAGACAGAGAATATCGCCACTGCTCTCGGACGCGCCGCACCTGTCATTCTACACGTGAACACTACTGGTAACAACCTTGATTTAGCGCAGTTACCGGCTGTCGCCCCATCAATACGGTTTCTGCGCCTCCAAGTGCATCCTACTTGGGTTGTAAGCGTCTCCCTCCCTTCGTGAAACAAGATGTTATGCTCATGTGCTTTACGATAGAACTACCGTCCTCCGCTAAGTCTCTGTGAAATGCCACTTAAGGCGGTCTCCATCCTTGTGGAAGTACATTGTCGCGAGAAATATGATTCAAAAGTAGGATCGCTTCTGGCAGAACAAGCGGCACGCGACATCCCGTCGGTCGAATACGTCGAGGTAAATCTCTGCGCCTACCGTCCGTCTCCATACTATGATCATCAACGAGACCGCACGGCGTGGCATCGAGTCACTTCACGTGAGGCAGACAAGTGCACTGTCGAGAAATTGCCGCAATGGGAGAGCGACAAGGTAGAAGATCGACTTCTCGCTATGACGCGTGTGTAGAAGTCCCATGCTTGTCCTGTGATTGTCATAGCACATTTTCATGTAAATTGCGATTCAGTATCAGCCATGTATATTCCGAGTTGCCTTCAGGGCCTTCAATAACCATTTATGTGTAGCCCGTGCTGCGTTACTGGGAGCAAGTCGGTTCATGTAGCAACAACGCAGGCCGTTCTGGTTCATTGACACGACAGTTATTCGGGAGAAAAAAACTGAGTAAGACTCCCAGCGCGTTTCCGACGATCTCAACAGATACAGTACACTGTCCTGGAATAAATGGAATATCCGTAACATTGATGACTGGCCGAGAAACAGCGGAGTGGCACTGACACCACTAGTTGACCTAATTCTCATTGTGTCTGCAGGGCACTTGACAGGTGTTCCTCAATCATTATGGCTACTCGCTCGAAGCTCCTATCAACTGTCTCTAGATATTGGGCGCTGTTATGATCTTGTGCATTCCCTGCTGGCACATCGAGAGTAAAAGATGGCGCATACAATGGGAATGTGGCATGATCTGGGACGTCCGCATCGAGCGGGATATCTCGCCCCAACTATGAAAGTGTGTGCAGTCAGAAAGTCGGGCAAATGCTGAAAGAACGTACCGCGATAGCTGTCAGATACGCCCATGCTCTCGCCGCATTAGGCGAGTTGTAACCACCTATGAGTCTCGTTTGTGTATGCCCAAACCCCCACTGGAACGAACAATACTCACCCCCACCCAGCAGTAGCACTTTGCAGCCCCATTCATTGCAGATACGCTTAATGCACCAACCGAGACTGCCATCCGCGGCACCGAGGGACCAATTCCAGACCGCATGCGGATCTCCAGCAAGGCCGTCGACGCCGCACTGGACCACAGCAATGTCAGGGTCGAACGCTTGCTTGACACGCTCAACGCATGGCCAAATTCGCGCGAATGTCGCGTCGGACGCGCCACGCTGAAGCGGCATCGACAAGGTAAATGGATCGAAGAGGAGATTGTCAGGGTCAGGGAGAAAGGCCAACTCTGACACAGGGAAGAATCCAGGTGCGCTATGGTGGATCGAGAACGTTAACACTTGCGCGGCAGACGACACGCCTGCGGAGGACGAGAAAGCTTGCGAAACGGCATCAGAGAAATGCAGATCGAGGTCCAGATACATGATACGAGGCTTCGTGCGTGGAGAGCGCGCAAGGTTTGTGGCGCGCTTGAGGGCCAGAATAGCGAGGATGCAGTCTGCGACGTAGCAGAACCCAGAGGCCCGTGCTTTTTGGGCGTGATGCCTATTTTAAGCCTTGTTGTCAGAAGGCATAGGCCTATGCATAGAGAAAGACCTTCCACCGTCCCAACAGACGGAAATTTGAGCGTCCCCTGTCGATGCGTACAACGCGTTTGCAGCTGCGACGTAGGGTCAGTGGCTGAGTAATCGGTAGAAGGCTGTGAAAGTACTAGCCTGCTAGCGAAGCACCAGCTATAAGACGTACATATGCAGGCAGCCCAGCGAAAGGTGGACAATCCTACAATTCATTTTGACGTAAGAATCCATGAAAGGGGGATTGAATAACTAACCTCTTCGAGGCCAAGCTCGGCTTTCTGAGTATAAAGAGTGTCCGTATGTAGCTTCTTGGAGTTCAACACAAAGTCCAGGTACTCGCGAGTGTGATATTGTGAGAGAGTCTTGGTATCAGCCGGAACTGGACGTATGATCTCAAGGCAGGTTCTCTGCTGGGTCGAGTTTTCCTGAGTATCCAACAGACCATATGCTTTGACCAAGGAGTGTACGAGTAAGGATCTGTTCCTGTTGGATGGCAGCAAAGATGAAAACTGCGTTCGTTGTAGTCAAGGATGGACCAGATGAGAATGGCGACGACAGCTTGAATCCTATTGACCCCACCTTGACAAGTTCATTGGATACAACGTAGTAGACCACGCGCATGGTGTGATCTCCTGGCACAGACTGATGCATGGGAATATGGGTACAGACCTTTGATTATAGGCGGGAGTGTACTATGCGAAATTGTGCGAATGCGATTGACGCTGATAGAACGCGCTCAGAGCGCGAGACGTCACGAGCACGTGACGCCATGTGTACACTGTCACATAGATCCCGAGTCTCCAACTTGCATCTCGCAACACTGTTCACGTATGAGTGGAATAGCATGCACTGGTGCTCCAAGTTGCCCTCGTCTGTCTTTCGAGTCCCTGGCTGTCACGAGATCACTTATTAGTGATCTTTCTGCTGACTTGACTGCCATTCAGGCTGTTGTTATCATAGCCGCTTACACGGACAGTGTCTGTCATTGCGCCACCCATCACTGACATCCAGTTCTTTGTGTATGTCTGAAATCTCGAAGAGATAACAACTGTAAGTAAATCAATCGCTACTCTGACGCATCCTCTCAGATTCTCCTGGTCGTTCCTTTCTGTAAAAAGTAAACGCTGCATCTGCTGCATTTGCGCTCCTTGCGCCTTGCATCCGCACTTATAAGTCACGGCCAGTCTCATGTTTTAATGCACCACATCCGCGATGATCTGAATTGCAGCTTAGGTGCGACCAGCCGGTGTTTGAGTTTGTTCGATAGTTACTAATAGATAATGGATGACAGCTCCGCCCCTACCGTCTCGCGTTGACTACGCACGGGTATGCATGTTGCACGCATGTCCAGGGATAGTGGTCTGGATTGCAGTCTCGACGATGATGATGCGGTCGCCATCCTCCATTCATGGTGATTGGAAGCGTATTGCAACTCGAGGCCTGTACCTCATGTAGCTCATGTTCGTCTGGTAAATTTTCCCTGCTCGCCGTCCCTTTCTGGCTAGTATTTTGATCTTTTTATAACTTGACGAACGTTGCGCTAGAATGTGGTAAACTCCTCGTGTTTTGATGCGAATCTTACAAGGTGTCCCGAGCTTGATATGTGGTTTCAATGGGCCTTTCTCACGGGTCATTGGTCATCCTTCTGTGCGTGGTCATAACACCTTCGTAGTCATCGTCGTAAACAGCAGGGGGATAAAAGTCCAATCTAGAGTCTGATTTAACGCGTGCTAATGATCACGGCCTAGGCTAAGCCTCCCTGAGTCCCCCGCACGAGCGCACTTGAGGCTTCACGCGCTCAATTATCAGATGCAGGGTCCGCAGTGGTTTGATTACGGTGGTCCGTCAAGCGTGCATCAGCATGTTGTTTCCTATTCCGAGACAGGTGGAGATCCCTTAGACGTAGGCGCTTTGGTATAAAGGCCATCGTGGTTGCTCTCGCAAGGAGCCTAACTCAATCCCCATATTACTCAGGCAACATGAGTACCAACAACCTATCCGGCGTATTCACAATAACCAATCTTCAGTTCCACAATCGTGCATGCCTTCTCAAGGATGACGACAAGGAGCCTATAACGTGCACCATTCCAGCCGATATGTCGACGGTGAATGCCATGGAGCAGGTGCGGTCCGCGTTTGGTCTTTCTGCATTCTATTCACGATGGGCGAATCTTCCAGTGGGAGCTGACGCCTACATCCGACCACCGTTACTCCATCAAGAATGTGCACTTCGAAAGCAACATCACCACTGATATCCGACCTACAAGTTCTGCTACGGTCTTTGCGTCGAGATATAGAGCTTGGTGGATAATCAAGGAAATGGATCCCGCGACATATGGGCCGGATACCTACAGGTGAATTCACGAAGTAATAACAGCATTTTAATAATCTCCGAACTCCCCGTCACAGCATATTCTCAAGGGATTCTTCTGAACTTTGCTGGGGTGTCCGCGACGGAGACAGTGAGACTCCGGTACGTTCATCACAGGATCAGTTTGTCTAGAGGTTCTGATTACCAGTCTTCCAGATTCAACTGTTCCCCTTTGCTCCAGATCATCGCAATCTCTGGCAGGTAATCCATATGCCGATGCGAAGGATGTGCGACATTTTGCTAACTATTCGCGTCGTAGATCGCACGATACCCACCTGTCCATAAGAAGCCTTGTCCGTTCGATATTTCGTTGACTAAAATGGAATTGCAGTCTGTTGAGCATGGGTCCGTCGGTTTCTTCTTCACATCTTCGCTCTGACGTTGACGTAATCAAGGCTTGAACGACGGAATATTTCAGTCGAGATTGAGTGGACCGATCTGCCCCGTGACCACATCATAGAATTTCCTGATTCGTTGGCCGTCTTATACCACGGAGAGGTGATAGCGGACGCCGAAGTGGATGAGTACAAGACCAGTGCTGACACTCCCTTGCGAATGAGCTTGCATGCGAGAGATACTCCTGCGTGAGTCACCATACAAAGGCTGTGAGTTGGTAGAATTACATTGTGTGGACAGGTTCACGGCCTTCGCGTCCTCCATCCTGTGTGATGACCATATCCAAGTCACTCTGGAGGCTCACAAGTTCAGATTTTACCCGCGTAAATCTGTGGAGCGTCCTGCCGATTGGCATTATGTCTATGAGGCACTGCTACGCAAGGACCTTACCTTTGAAGGTAGGTTGACTGCATCAAACCGTCCTGCATTGTGCGCCTCTGAGCCTCGAGCAGGTCTTCACGCTTTCAGAGAGAATGTTGCGCTGAGTGATCTCAAGATCCTCAGTAGTGGCTCTGACGACAAGGAGACGTATTTGGAGTCGTCGGTCAATGTGTCAATTTTCAATACGTCTCGTTTCTCCTGCGCGGCGGATCTTGCCGTGGGGGTCTACTTCGGTAACACAAAGGTGTGTGTAAATATTTACGAAAGCTTGGGTATCGTGATAACATGACGTTATGGCAGATTGGCCATGGACAGTTCAAGGTAGATTCTCATTTTAACGCAATGAAGTATATTTACCATGGCTTGCAGGAACTTCATCTTCGCCGTCAGAATCCAGACGTACATGAACTCAAATGGCGCTTCCGCCCAATGAATCCCGCAAACCAAGAGGTGCAGATGCTCTTGGAGCAGCACTTCACGACAAAACAACAACTGCCCGTAGTGATCAGTGTGGAGAATATTAGTGCTACGATCTGTGGTCGCTTGTTCAACTTACCTCGGTTCAAGATCAATTCGCACATTGCAGGACTCGGCATCAACCTCGTCAAGCATGTTGACGTGCATATTGGTGCCTTTGGACTACTCACGCAACGCAAAGTGTCTTTCGAATTTACGTTCTGTATGTACGACCCCCCCTGTTACGGGCACATCAGCTAACCGAATCTTGTAGCAAATCCCATTAACGCACCTTTGGAGCTTTGCGACATCGAGCTCGACGTGATCGTGAAGGGGATACGTATAGCCAATGTGAAACACCATTTCGGCGAAAACTCGAAGTCGTTCCGCATCGATGTGAGTACATGTTGTATGACTGCCATTTATCGCATCGGGTATACGCATTTGTTCACAGAAGAAGGGAGAAGCAAAGAGTCCAAAAATCTCGAATGCATATCTGGTGGCGTCGTATTTGAAGACAGTGCAATTGGTGACAGACTCGAGCGCCTGTCTTGATATTGAAGTGAAGTCTGCCGCCATCAAGTGAGGCCATGTTTTGCTGTGACAATGCGTTAGCATTCTGACGTTCTGCCACAAGGATTGATCAATACGACTTGCAAGGCCTGACATTCAATATGAAGAACATTCCGTTCAAGTGAGCTTTTTCGGGCTTCGTACGCGATACCAATCACGAAACATTATCTGCTTAGGCTTGGCACCTAAGCTATTCGAGCGCGCTCTCTTGTCTGAACGCGTAGTGGGACCTTGATAGAGCTACGATGTCTGTCGATGAAGGGAGAGACAGTGGTGTCTTGTATCCGCTCATTCGTAGGAACGTCTCCACTCTGTCGCACCGTGTCTGCAGTAGCCTAGCCGTGGCCCATCGCCACTTGTCTGTTTCCTGATGAACATTGTCGGGGTCCTACCGCTGATAAGGATGAGCTCCATCTGTGACTCGATTTCAGACTGCGTGCGATTATGTGTGACCCAGAAAGATGCTCATGATGGGATCCCCACCACCCTCATGCATAACAAGACCCCACACTTCCTGCACAGCCTCACAGCGCTTTTTCAATCTTTGGGTTGCGCCACCTTTTTGTGCATATCCAGACAGACATCCGGGATTGCCTAATGAGGCAGGAAGAGGAGCGAAGGAATTTGGTGGTGTAAACACTTCACTACAGGAGTGCTTTCAGGTAAGAAGTAAGTGCTCCTTACAAGCGCCTCTGCCAGAAATATTGAGGGCACTTGAGGTATCCCACGAGGACCGGGGGCATGGTTGAATCACGGTGGATATACTTAGTTGCGTCCAGACAGCATCTAACGGCGTGGCGGAATACTTCATATTGGAGTATGCCATCCATCTGCTCAAACCTTAACCCCCGTGTCTCTTTCAGAACCCGCGCCGCAAGGGTGACATTTTGTTCATCATCAAGTACGAAATGAACCTCGTCAATCTTCCTCCCGAGCTCCTTGCTTATATTCTCGCCTATCTTCCACTTCCTGGCCTCGCTGCATGCCTCAGCGTGAATCGTCGCCTGCACGACATCATCGTTTCGGATGTCTTACTCCAGTACATCGTCGAGCTGCGAGCTGCCGGTGTCGAGAACAACTCCAGCCCTTCATGCCGCCTTACCATCGCCGACCGCCTTCGTATGCTGCGCCAAAGAGAACAGGCTTGGGAGTGTCTCGAGTTTGGACGAATCACGAGCATCCCCGTGAAGCATAATCCGTCTGGCATCTACGATCTCACGGGCGGTCTTTTCCTGCTTGGTGAATCTCGCTCTCCGACGCGCACAGGCACCAATGCTCTCCACTTTGTACGCTTGCAGTCTGCAATCAGTGTATCAACGGAGTCAGAAGGAGAACATATCGCAGCAGACGCGAATTGGTCCGGGATTGATCTGGGTGCAAACATCGTCGACATAGGTCTCGCGGTGCAAGAGCATGACCTTATTGCGATCGTGACATATAAGTGAGAGCCTTTCTACAACGATCTGATTAATTTCTCTGACTCTTCGTGTCGGCAAAGGTACTGGACCCCAATGTCTCCCGACTTCATGGCGGCGATCGACGTCCATCTCATGAAGCTCTCCTCTGGCAAATATCACCCTGCTGCATCACAGGGAACAATCCATGTGGCAGACATTCCCTTTGCTCCTGGATATTGCAGTGTTTCTGTCGAGATTGTCGGAGACACAATGGGCATTCTCCTCAACGTACGAGCCGACATCGAACCGGTCCAGTTCTCCATATACAACTGGAAATCTGGACGCAAGAAAATAGCAAGTACCGATTTTATGTCTTGCATTGCATCCACTGATCTGGTTACCACAGTTCCTGAAGGACGAAGAGGTGATCTACAACGCGTTCGCATTTCTAGCGCCCGATGTTATTGTCGCCCCAAATATTGAGAACAATACCCTGGACATCTGCCGCATACCACTCGGTAACGAGCCTGAGGGTACAGAACCCTCCGCTCTTGTCCCTGCGTGCAGGCTCGCTCTTCCTCCATTGCAAGCAAACTGCGTATGGTTCGGAATCTGGTGTAGGTCCGAGCCAAATCCCATTGTTCCCGGAAGTGGCGCGCTCTACAGAGGCTCGAACCCATTCTATAGCGACTCTGCGGAGGCTATCATGCTGTTCAACTTCATGGCGGTGGATGCTTTACAGATCATGCGACTGTTCTCTATGGTTGTCCATCGGTCGTCCCTGCTTGCACAGCTTCCTCCATTGGCCGAAGTGGAACTTCCTAGCGATGACGAAGAACCTGCCTTACCCCCCGAAATTGAGTGGGATGCATGGGGGCCACCGCTATGTCGCTGGTTCGACACGAATGACCTGTCTACACGGTGGATCACCACGACGTGCGGTCAACGCTATGTTACCCAGGGACCTCAGGACCCCGCCACCATCATGGTGCTCGACTTCAATCAGAAGGCCATCCACAGATCGCTCAGCAGGCGAGGATTTCTGCACTCGCCGTCTGCACCGATGCAGGTCAGGAAGGTGTTATCTAGTGACCCGGATTCGGATGTCACCGTGAGCTACGAGATCGGCGGCGGCGAGCTTGAATCGCAGGTCTTCGTGAGCCCAGTGAAGTCGTATCTGCCCTATATGGCCGTCACCAAGAAAAAGGATTATGAATACAACAGCGTCATGTTGGATGAAGGAGTATTGATAGGGCTGCAGGTGAGTCTTTTTCGCATGCACCCAGCGTTTCTCATTGTCCGAACTTTATGCACTTCGCAGCTGGATGACGAGAGTGACATTGAGAAACTGGTTGTACATTCAATCGCCCCGCTGACACTGGGGTGACCATACGTAAAGGTACAGCTACCATAAATCAGCTCGCGATTTCTTCCTTCTACCCGCTAGACTCGAACGAGAGAACATCGTAATAGGAGGGGTTCTGCTCATCGCAAGCCGATTGCATGCACTTAATTATAGTCAGCATCAAGAATGACCCTGGCGTGCGTCTCGCCATCTTCCATCCGGATCCACGATTCAAGGCCATCTGTTGGACTCGGCGACGAGAAGACAATATTGCGGATGCCGTGGCCCCAGCCTGCGTCACTGTACCCACCGTATCTGCAAGCGGAAGTTGTTCACGCAGTCTGCTGAGGATATGAGAGAGAAACACATACCCAGAGTGCTTACTGAAACAGAAGATGATGTTCTTGGTAGGCTCGCGCACGCACCATTCGTCGCCGTGATCTACCGGTCTGCAGGTGAGATAGCAGGGCCGATGCAGGAGATTTCGAGGACTGACCGTGCCCGGAAACGACAGCGTGGAGGTTCTTGACGTACTTGGTGAGTGCATCATAAAAGGGCTGGTCTTTCCCGATGTTGGATGGGTCCGTCGTCGCCTGAGTCGATCCTTGACCCAGTAAATCCGCTAAGACGAGGTCAGCACGGTACTCATAGTCGCGCAAAGGCCGCAAACAAACCATTCAAGCCGGGATCTCTGGTACTGTTCAACCCAGGCTGCATGGCTTGGATCGCGTGACTGCGAAAGGGCCTGAGGATCCGTCATCGACTTCTCACGAAACTCACATCACGCACGGTGGTATGTGTACGAAGGCCAAGGCGCCTCGGGTCGTATCCGCTGGACCCCAGGCAGCGTCCATTAGGGTGGTTTGCTGTTCGATCCACCCTGCTACACTCTCGTCGACCCAGTCGGGTACCGGGGTCGAATTCTTTCCTGGGCTGTAACCACCTGAAAAGTACTGGAACGTGGGCTCTGACATCACGCAACGCGCCGCGGTACGACGTACCCCGTGAATCGAAGAACCAAAGAATCAACGCAGGCACGACGTCTGATAGGTCCTCAATCAGATGGTTATGCTCGATCTGAATGGCTCTCACAAACCTGTCTCATGTTCATAGACCTGCCAGCAGAGTCAAGTATGAGCTGTTGATTGTGCTCATGATTGAGCGAAGCACACAGATACACACAGGCACCCAGTACGTCCCGGGACCTTCTTCGCCACCTATACCAGGCGGTGCCGTACGCGTGTAGCTGAGCGGTGCAACTAGTTGCTCACGCCGAATTTCTTCGAGGTGCGTGATGTTTGGTTCGTTATCATGATTCTAGACATCTACAGATCAGATGTAGCAAGCCAAACAGTGACAAGGAGCCTTACGCCGTGCGTGGAAGAGAACGGTATTCTGACTTCGTTCAGTGGTGCAACTATCTCGTCAATGAGGCGGGTGGAATTCTGCTTGAATGTGTCTAGCAAGCGGCATGAATGCGCGTATCGTCATAATGTCTGAACACCTACTCTCTCCCGTGATGAGATCGCCATTGAGGACTCTATTGCAATGCATGCTGTAGTCAGCAAGCTGAGTGACAGATGGTATAGATGTTTGGACCAACACGTAATCCGGCTGTTCCTCTGCAAGCACCAGTTTCATCAGGATAGTACTGTTGACGTCTTGCTCAGGGCCCCATGCATCCCACGGGTTCTCGCCATAGTGAAGATCAGCGAAGACAGTGATCTTGAATGTACCATCACCCCGGAAGGTGATGCGCGGCTTTGTGGGGTAAGGGTTGAGCGGATCGTCAAGCGTAATCTCTAGTCATGTTTCCGACGTGCAACAGATAGCCAATCGAACGACGAAAAGGACGTGATGAGCGATAGTAAGAATCAAGGACATGATAAATACGTACGACGAGATCCGGTGGGAGCGGCAAGGGCAGCCGCTGCGTATATGCAGATCACGAACATAGCGGTGAAATAGGGCATGTCCCGGGAGTAGCCTCGCATGCCGTGGCCCGATGGATGTTGCATTGTCGACTGCGACATCCGCGTGCGACGACAAGTACTACTACAGTTCAAGGCTTGTTATATAGCTCGCTCAACACTATGAGCGAGAGACTGCCCAAACACCCGATTGGCTTCTCTCATTCGCCGCGGCGAAATCGCGTGCGATGCGTATCGTGCATATGGACCACTACGCACGTGCGCCTATTAGGTCCTCCGCTCACACAAACGTGCTTCTATCTCATTGAAGGGGACAAGGGGTCGCAAGATAGCCAACAATTCACAAAGGTGACATAGCCTGTCTGTGATCCAACACAGGCTCAAACTGCGTACCGGCTGAATGCCTACAATATGATGGGTCTTGCTGTACAAATCAACCCATTAATCTTGGTAAAAAGGTGAGTGTCTGTCGATCATACTTATACGTGAATTCAACCCGTGCGTAGTGATGATCAAGCGAACAACAAGCCTTCATGGTCGTGGAATGGCAAGCAGTCTATCCTCCAGCATGTCACTCTCCCGTTGGGATAGTTTCTCTAGCGTGGACTGGCAGTGATCTGTATGCGAAGTAACCCGGAACCATGCGGTACGGTCCAGTTCTGTCGGGCTGCCGAACCTTGCCTCTACGAATTTGACTAATGGTAAGACAGAAGCAATTTCTTGTAGGAGACGAGAGGCGATTTGAGAATCATGATGGAGTTCAGATATTTTGGCGTGCACCAGAACTGAGATCGCTACGAGCGGCAGCTCGCCGAGGCTCTCCAGGGTCACGTGTAGTAGTTGGTGACACTGATTTGTCAGCGAGACCCCTCCCCACCCATTCCACTCATCCGGCCCGACTTCGTTTGTGAATTTCTCAATGCGAACACGTAGAAACCGCAATTGGGGGGCAACAAGTGGTAATTTCTGAAAGGCGTCCACATCATAAAAACCCCAATCGAGGACAATAGGCGCCGCCTGTTGTAGCACGGCAACTGTGTCTTCACAATGGTTGCGCAAAGTGATTGTGAGCCGCCGCACTCTCCCCATGAGAGGCATGGAAATGCATTCCGTGTATTCGACTTGGTCTAATGCAGATTGTAACTTGACCGTGCAAATGGGGCTGTTATAAGGCCAGGATGCCATATACACGTACCAGTGCACCGAGCGTAGAGCTGGGAAAGCGTTCGAGAAATCGAAAGAGGTTGCCATCGAGAGAGTGTATGATAGTGTGAGGTGGCGTACGCGCGGAAACCGTGCATCGTGCATTACCGCAGACCACGTCACTAGCGACAGATGTAACTCCTCAACGTGCGCCGAGAGATCGACAGGAAGCAAGGCTTCAAGGTATGTATCAGGGCTTCTTACCCAACGACGCGGAAATTCAAGCACTAGTTTGCGTGGACGCGAAACGATGGCGGTGAGAGCTGGGTTCCGTGAGTGAGAGACGCTGATTCTGAGTGACCTTAGGGAAGGTAAACGGGAGATAGCACGGCATACACGAAGGTGATTTTCGAGAAGTGAATGGCCGGATTCGAGAACGAGCTCCCGAAGATTCAGAGCATGCTCCAGAATACTCGCCAGGGCGTTTGGGAATGGATGTCTGCCGATTCGATAGTCGCCGCGAGTAGGTAACGGTGTATACTGATCCAATTGAAGTTCCATAATCCGGAGGAAGGATGATCTCCGCGCAACATCGTCCATCATGAATGCGCAGAAAGCGCGAAAGCGTAGGATGGACGCTGAATCTGCCGCGAGGGTGAACTTGACTTCGTAAAGGACGCGAGGCATCGCCAACTGGTAGCCTGCATGGCATGTCATCGCAACCTGCGACGCGTCCTTCGGTGAAAGCAGTGGTACAATCGATTCGAAGACGTCGTCGTTGAGTTCAAAGAGATGAGGCATTTTCGACGCAGTGAAGCTGATACAAAGGAATTGACGTCGTTCAGCAAAACAAGGAAAATCATAGAGGTCGCTTACCTACCAAGATCGAAATATGCCTGAGCACACGGGTGCTTGCGACAGTCAGTGAAGCTCGAAGGGATACGCAATGTAGACCCTGTAGACCTCGAAGTGCCACTAGGGATAGCATGTGACAGGAATGATACGGTCATGTGCCTAAGCCGATCCCCGCGCGCTGGACCGCGCACCGCGGCCTGATGGGGAGCGGATATGATGGCTACGAGACCAGTGCACTGCGCCGCCTCTCAGCGAGCCTGCATTGATGAGTTACTGATCACAGTTTCATGTCATTCTCCTGGATATGTCGGAGCTGTCCATCAAGGCTGTCGCAGGCAATTCTGCATCGCATCCCAATGGCCATATAAAACACATGCGGAGACGTTCATAGCAGCACAGTAGTAGCTTCGTCAATACCAAAGGACTATGAGATTGCAGGTATGTTCTTGAACTGGTGTTCGACTTTCCTTATCAGTCGAGGGGCTAGGACACCGAGTCGCGCCGCCTATCATTGTCATTTGACCGTGTCGCTCAGATCTGCAGTCATTCCCCATCCTTGGGCCACGGGCGAGGAGCAGAGTATGTCATAGATAGTCACCCCAGGCTGTAGCAACATCTCATTTAGCTCACTTGTCAAGACCAGAGAGAAGAGTTGTGATATAGGCATGAAACCCGACACAGATGAGATGCTTACTGGCTATCCTGAGCAACCGGATCCGCGACGAACGTCGGAATACATACCACGTCGCGGACCGGACTATCTTGAAGCTGAGCTACACTGACAGGCCGAATGGAAGAAACATGGGAAGCGCGTCAGATCGAGGCGAAAGAGAGCTTCACAAAGACCTCGAGCTTCCGAGACATATGTCCTCCGCGATAACGTGGGCAAGCTTGAACCGCTGTAGATTCTTCGCGAGCTTCCCTCTTCGCATCGTTCCTATGAAGGATGACAACGGCCGTTGCGGATGTCAACAACAGATTGGGGAAGTTGTTTTGATGGGAGCGCAACGGTCCGCACTATTCAGGACTCGAAACGTGGTCACCAGGGATGTTACCTCCGCGGCGCAGTTGTTCGCTTGAATTGCCCCATATTATGAACACCTGATAGCGCAGATCATGAACACGACCTGTACATGAAGACGAAAGCGACGTAAAAGCCCGCGAGCCTTCGGATAGAAAGAATCGAAGACGGCACAGATATGGATCACTGAATCGTCTTGTAATCATCCATCTTCGCGATGATGTCAAGCGAGTAGCAGCATGGCCCACACGAGTCTGCGTGACGAATGACTGTCAAAGGATGGCCCTGTACAAGACGATAGCAGCGAGAGCGGCTGGGTGCAAAGCTTGCTCGCTATCTCAGAACGTGATGCGAACTATTAAACATATGGCTACTCGTACGATAAACGACAGGCGAAGGGAGATGAGGAGGGAGAAAGGAGATCAAGTCGGGCGATGGTTGGTCAACGGACGGCGGTGGCGAGATTAGTATCACCGTGTGAATCTTGGGGGTCTAGTTTCAGTGTCATTTCCCCATTTTCAATAATCGTTTAGCGCAAAGTGAGGCGACTGACAGACGGAATAAATACCCTCCTGTACGCCCTCTCTCCGCGCTCTATCTCGTCTTGCTTCTCTCTTCCATCTCTCCTAGATCCCCACCGTTAGCCAGTCATGTCGTCCAAGGGTGCGTAGCCGCCACATACAGCGACCATGCCCGATACTAACGCCGAGCTCCAGCCATCCGTGAATACGACGCGAAGCTTCTCCTCGCGTACTGGCTCGAGCGCGCACCCTCCGTCGACCCCTCTGCCCAGCTTGCGACCAAGTTTGTCTTCCCCTCTCCGAAGGTCGCCCAAGTGTCATGGGACCCAGAGACCAACACGATCACTGCCGACACCCAGCTCCCCAGCTGGGTGTTCACCACAAAACTGGTTGCGAAACCCGACCAGCTCATCAAGCGTCGAGGCAAGGCTGGTCTCCTCGCTCTCAACAAGACCTGGGACGAGGCAAGAGAGTGGATTCAGGCGCGAGCAGGCAAGCCGCAAAGGGTACGGCTTTCCGTTTCTGCCTAGCAGCTCTGTGGTTCCGCTTTCGTCTTTCCGCGCCCCTCCACATGCATCTGCTACGGGATCACTCTACATTTTGTGCCTTCCGCCGTCGTGCGCCTGCATTCTTGCGGTGCTCCGATTCCAGAGTCGATCGATATTGGCAGCTCCGCTCAGTGTGAGCCGAATGGGAGCCATCCTGAATCTGGTACGGGATCACTGTTATATTTTGTGCCTCCCCCCGCTGTGCACCTGCATTCTTGCGGTGCTCCGATTCCAGAGTCGATCGATATTGGCAGCTCCGCTCAGTGTGAGCCGAATGGGAGCCATCCTGAATCTGGTACGGGATCACTGTTATATTTTGTGCCTCCCGCCGCTGTGCACCTGCATGCTTGCGGTGCCCCGATTCCACTGTCGATTTTATGGTTAGGCACGCAGACCGCCTAAGGTTTCGCGTCTTTCCGAATTGACCGGAGACGCGTATACATGTGCACGTGGTGCGTTCCTAGATAATACCGTACCCGAGGAGCAGAAGCGGGATCGCTGCCAGCATGCATCTCACTAGTGTTGTTCAGGGCCCGGCTCGGGCCCAAAGCCCTACTTTGGGCCGCACTTTTGGCCACCGGGCCTGGCTTCATAGTCAATTCAGGGCTGCACACTAAGTTCTGTGGCCTCTCGGAGGTCTTTTGAGGACTTGTGTTGAGCTATATGCGCCTCAGCCAAGCAGGGTTCGGCGGGCTTGGGCCTCGAAGCCCGATTGTGGACATCACTACATCTCACGCACGCGACTGAGATACTGACCACTGGCAATGGCAGGTCGAGTCCGTTGTGGGCACCCTGAACAACTTCATTGTTGAGCCCTTCCTGCCTCACCCATCCAACACCGAGTATTACGTTTGCATCAACTCGGCAAGAGAGGGCGACGCGATCCTCTTCACGCATGAGGGCGGTGTCGACATTGGCGACGTCGACGCGAAGGCGCTCAAGCTCGAGATTCCTGTCAACGCGCCCTTCCCTTCGCGCCAGGTCATCGCCGACACGCTGCTCAAGCATGTTACTGCGGCCAAGAAGGAGACCCTCGTCGACTTCCTCATCCGCCTGTACTCTGTCTACGTCGACCTTCACTTCGCCTACCTCGAGATCAACCCTCTGATCTGCCTTGATGCTGTTGACGGGGGTCAGCCGACGATCTTTTACCTGGACATGGCTGCGAAGCTCGATCAGACTGCAGAGTCGATCTGCGGGCCCAAGTGGGCAATCGCGCGCGACTTGTCTATCTACGAGTCGGGATCGCAGGCGACCACGTCCAAGGGTAAGAGCGTGTCTGCCGACCGCGGCCCGCCGATGGTGAGCAGTTACAGCCTCAGCTAATGCCGTTCTTGCTGACGTCATGGTATTAGGTCTGGCCTGCGCCGTTCGGTCGTGACTTGACCAAGGAGGAGGCGTACATCCAGAAGCTCGACGCCTCGACTGGTGCCTCGCTCAAGCTGACTGTCCTCAACCCCGAGGGTCGTATCTGGACGATGGTCGCCGGTGGTGGTGCGTCTGTCGTGTACGCCGATGCTATCGCTGCGCATGGCTTCGCGGATGAGCTTGCCAACTACGGAGAGTACTCCGGCGCGCCCACAGAGGGTCAGACCTACGAGTACGCAAAGACCATCATCGACCTCATCACCCGCGGCAAGCCGCGTTCGGACGGGAAGATCCTCATCATCGGTGGCGGTATCGCCAACTTCACCAACGTCGCAGCGACGTTCAAGGGCATCATCCGCGCGCTGAAGGAGTACAAGTCGCCGCTGATCGCGCACAAGGTGCAGATCTACGTGCGCCGCGGCGGCCCCAACTACCAGGAGGGCCTCAAGGCGATGCGCCTGCTCGGCGAGTCGCTCGGCGTGCCCATCAAGGTGTACGGCCCCGACACGCACATCACCGCGATTGTCCCCCTCGCCCTCGGCGTGGAGTCGAAGTCGTCGAACCCCGCACAGTCGATCTCCGCGACGCCCGTCGGGCCGCCCTCGCCCAAGGCACAGGCGAAGGTGGACCCCGAGGTGGCGATCGGCAGCATCGGTCCCGACGGCGAGCGCACGCAGCCAAACGACCAGATCGTGCGCTTCGATACCACAGAGCAGGCGTCTACGCGCCCTTCGTTCCGGCCGTTCGACGGGCGCACGCGCGCGTTCGTGTACGGCCTGCAGCCGCGCGCGATCCAGGGGATGCTTGACTTTGACTATTCATGCGGCCGCGAGGCGCCGTCGGTCGCGGCGATGATCTACCCCTTCGGCGGACACCACATCCAGAAGTTCTACTGGGGCACGAAGGAGACGCTCCTGCCGGTGTACACGAGCGTGGAGGAGGCTGTGAAGAAGCACGCGGACGCGGACGTCGTCGTCAACTTTGCGAGTTCCCGTAGTGTGTACTCCAGCACGCTCGAGATCTTCAACTTTCCGCAGATCAAGAGCATCGCGATCATTGCTGAGGGTGTCCCCGAGCGCCATGCGCGCGAGATCCTGCACATTGCAAAGTCGAAGGGTGTCTTGATCATCGGGCCCGCGACCGTGGGTGGTATCAAGCCGGGCTGCTTCAGGATTGGTAACTCTGGCGGGTGAGTGTTATGGGCAGTTGGTATGGTTTATATCCAATGTGCTGACGCGGTACCTAGTATGATGGACAACATCATCGCGTCCAAGCTGTACCGTCCTGGATCTGTCGGCTACGTATCCAAGTCCGGCGGCATGTCCAACGAACTCAACAACATCCTGTCGCTCACGACCAACGGTACCTACGAGGGTATCGCCATCGGTGGTGACCGCTACCCCGGCTCAACGTTCATCGACCACCTGCTGCGCTACGAGCAGGATCCGGAGTGCAAGATGCTCGTCCTGCTTGGTGAGGTCGGTGGTATCGAAGAGTACCGCGTGATCGAGGCCGTCAAGAAGGGCACCATCCGCAAGCCCATCATCGCGTGGGCGATCGGAACGTGCGCAAAGATGTTCACGACGGAGGTGCAGTTCGGGCACGCCGGCTCGATGGCGAACTCGGACCTGGAGACGGCCGACGCGAAGAACTCGGCGATGCGCGCGGCGGGCTTCGTCGTGCCGGACACGTTCGAGGACCTGCCGCTCGTGATCCGCGAGACCTACGAGAAGCTCGTCGCGAACGGCACGATCAAGCGGCAGGCCGAGCGCGAGCCGCCCGTCATCCCGATGGACTACAAGTGGGCGCAGGAGCTCGGCCTCATCCGCAAGCCGGCGGCGTTCATCTCGACGATCTCCGACGAGCGCGGGCAGGAGCTGCTCTACGCGGGCATGCGCATCTCGGACGTGTTCAAGGACGACATCGGCCTGGGCGGCGTCGTCAGTCTGCTGTGGTTCAAGCGCCGCCTGCCGTCGTGGGCGACCAAGTTCATCGAGATGGTGCTGATGCTGACCGCCGACCACGGTCCGGCCGTCTCTGGGTAGGTTCTGTCAGCTGTCAGTGGTCGTCGTCAGTACTCATGCTAGACGGACAGTGCGATGAACACCATCGTTGCGACGCGTGCGGGCAAGGACCTGATCTCGTCGCTGGCATCGGGTCTGCTCACCATTGGCAGCCGATTCGGTGGTGCGCTCGATGAGGCGGCGTCGATGTTCTCGGGAGCGCGCGACACCGGTCTCACGCCGCGAGAGTTCGTCGACCAATGCAGGAAGCAGAACAAGCTCAGTGAGTTGTTGGCTGCATGCTGTACGCGCAGCCGTGTTGATGGGTGCTCCAGTCAGCGGTATCGGCCACAAGATCAAGAGCGTGAACAACCCTGATCTCCGTGTCGAGCTCGTCAAGGAGTACGTGCACAAGCACTTCCCGAGCCACAGCCTGCTCGACTACGCGCTCGCTGTCGAGAAGGTGACGACGTCCAAGAAGGACACGGTATGTGTTGATCGCCGGTCACGCTGCTGCCTCCCTCACTGATGTCGGCCTCTCGACTAGCTCATCCTGAACGTCGACGGTTGCATTGCCGTCTGCTTCGTGGACCTGCTCCGTGACAGCGGTGCGTTCACGCCAGACGAGGCCGACGAATACATCAAGATCGGCACGCTCAACGGTCTGTTCGTGCTCGGCCGCAGCATCGGGTTCATTGGCCACCACCTGGACCAGAAGCGCCTGCGTGCACCACTGTACCGCCACCCCGCTGACGACATCTTCATCAACATGGCGGACCTGTCGCAGCCACGGGTGTTGGGCAAGATGGCATGAGTGTGATTGTCGAGTGTCGTATCCTTGGGTCGTCTTGCATATTTCGCTTTCGTAGCTCAGGCATTTGTAGGTTGTAGTGCACAATAGATTTCTCATGCTCTCTGAAAGTGTCGAGTATGGCAGTGCTCGCCTCCGGAAATTGTTGCGAGCGAAGCGAGAATATCGACATGGGGGGTTGAGCCCTTGCTTTCGCCGGGGACAAACAAAGTGAGAGAGACTGCTACAAGTGCCCGAGCACTTTTAGTACTCGCAGCATTAAGTATGCTGTAAGTTGTTCAGTAGTGCACCAAGTCTCATCATTTAAGTCTCGAATGGATCTAAATCTCTTCCTCTATGTTTCTGTGTATAAAAGTGAGCACTTTGTGACAGTTCCATGGCACTGTCTGGGTGGCGAGGATAACCAACTGCACGTGCACCATTCAAGCGCCTAGCGGTCGTGCAGCAAAGTGACTGTCTTGAGCAGTATCATCTGTGGCATGCATATTGACTTGTATATTAGGCACCGCGAATGAAGCGAAGTGCTTCAGTGTCTGAGCAGGACCAACTCGGAGTCCGATGAAGTTTCGATTATGCAGTTTTGGCCATAGAATTGAATGCTTCGCGAGCCAATCCCCGTGCAGCGGGTGCATATTCAATGTTAGATAGGTCACGTTGCAAGGTGTATTTATACATGATGGACATGTGTCGACGATGTATCGTTAAGGAGCTGGAGGTGTAGGTTTGTGGCTATGTCATCGGCCCATGACAGCAGTGAGCAGCCTGTGTGGTGCCAGTCTTTACAAGGATACCATGATCCTGCTACTGTGACCTGGGTGCTCACCTGCCCCAATTGTGAGTGTCACCATGCGTCGTAGTTTGAGCGGCTCGTCGAGTGCATCGAACGAGAAGCGTAATCATCAAGCCTCCATCGCCGCCCGCAGAGTGCGCTTTAGGAAATTGCAGTGAAGAGATCTCGTCTTCGTATTGGCAGATAGGAATGCTTGGCAATTCCCAAGCATGCTCGGCGGACGCTACTCGGAATTTGTTGACTGATTTGAGCGGGACGAGGAGGATTGGAGTGGGGATAAAGTGGGAATTAAGTTATGGGTCGGTGTGGGCCGGGCGGCTCGCCGCTCTACCAGTCACACCATGCTTGATACAAGAATAGGTCCTGTGCTCCGTCCGTCCCGCTGTCCGCCCCACCCGCTCTCTTTACTTCCCCACAAGAGTGTCTAGGCAGTCCTACACAACTCACGCGGTACCGCCATCGCCATGTCCAACGATCCAGCAGTTGCGGCGTTCACTGAGGACAAGGAGGGGCAGCACATCCGTCCTGGCCCCTTCTACGCCGAGAATTTGGCAGAAGAGCAACGCCCGAACTCGGTCGGCTCGCGTGACACCGCCATCGAGACAGCAAAATTATGGCTGTCGCCGTCGACGGTGCTGACGAGGAATCACCTTATGGGCGACGTCGACCCAGTCAAGTCTACAATCCCCCTAGCTGCATTCTGTTTTATGACAGGTTTCATGTGTGTATTCTCATCTACCTCGGGCTTCTTGTTCTGATCTTCGACCCATCTTCCCTCGTCAACGACTAGTGATGCCGTCGTCTTCACGGCAGTTTTTGTATGGGCTGGTTTCCAGACTGGAAACACGGTTCAGGTGCGCTGCTTCCCTCCGGTTGATTCACTCGGATGTTGAGACTCTCCCCGCTTGCCAGCTCTCCCTCGCTATTGCTCGCCTCTTTTCAGGCCCGCAACGTGACTTGTCCTTCCACATCTCCGACCAGCAGGCTCTTTGCTCGCTGCTCACCTTCAATGTGGGGGCCTTCATCGGCCGCATCGGCGACCGCATGGGGCCACACTCCCGCGCGTGGCTCGCGCTTGGCACATTCATCCAGGCGCTGTTCACGATGGCGGCAGCGATCGCTACGTGGAAGAGCGACTCCCCCCTTAGTGTCGCCACGGACCGTTTCAACCCAGCGTGGACAAACGCGCTGACGTTCGTCTCGATCGGCTTCATGAGCGCGAGTATTGGGCTCCAGGGTATTATGGGCAAGCGTATCAACACGCAGTTCACCACCACAGGTTCGTCCCGTCTTCTCCTCCATCGGCGCGTAGTTGCTCACCCTTTTCCTCGCTGCGTACAGTCGTGCTAACGACCGTCTGGTGTGAGTTGATGGCGGACCCGAAGCTGTTCAAGCTGAACCGTTTCGTCATCACACGCGACCACAAGGTCATTGCGATTCTCTGCCTCTTTGTAGGCGGCTTCACCGGCCGTGCGCTCATCGACCAGATCGGCTCGGCGGGCACGCTGGGCATCGGGACAGGCATTAGGCTCCTCATCGCAGTATGGTGGCTATTCGTGCCGGGGAAGGTCAACGCACAGAAAGCAAAGAAACCCGAGACCGCATGAACGACTTGGAGAAGTTATACCGCTGTCTCGTCGTCGACGGGCCATGGCTGACAGGAGGAATATACTTAGGTTTGGCTGCTCATAATGTCGTTCGCATAGATATCCGACGATCTAGAGAGCATTCTGCAGTGGCTTATAGTCACGTCCACAGTCATTTCGACTAATTTTCTTTGTACTTGACAACATTTTCCAGTAGCACATTCGCAACCTCATTTTCACCTTTTCGCAAATGGATACATGGCGACTGAATGAGATCATGATTCTTGAAGCATCAGCTATATTGCTTCGAAAGACAATACAAGGTGTAATACAAAGACAATCCGAGCAAAATGTGACACCTCTGGTAAGGAAAAGCACGCCATTGCCGACACATCGACGACCCAAAGGGTAGCGCACACTCCAGCTGAGGCGTATACAATCAGTCTAGGACAAGCAGTAGACTCCTGCGAGAAAGAGATATTCGTTCACAGGAGGACAATAATGCGAGTCCAGAATGAGTGAGGGAAAAGAGAGCGAGAGCGCAACTTTTTATGGACGCTGGAGGGTCACGTGTGCTTGGTTCAGTTTGTAGACCTTGGCCGGTTTGTGGCTGAGACGCGTCTTTGACCGCGACCGCCACTTGTTTTACGTCTGAAGCACAAGCTGTAAGAACAGCTAACTTGCTCTTGAGTCCCGTCTACTACCCGGGACCCTCATTTTATTGTAGAGTGAGTGCAGTGATGCAGTATCAAGCCGAGACTGACCAATGTTGCAGGATGCCTGACCTTCTCGCGCTCTGCGATGATGTCTTACAGCTTATCTTGCCGTTGCTCTCACAGAATGACGCCATCCATCTTTCTCTGACATGTCGTACGGGATATGACATAGCATTGCCTCGCATTCTTCATACAGTTAGGTTCAACACCTTGAACGAAATGATGCCACCACCTCAGTGTGAGCGGCGTCTCCTCGAGTTCTGCGCCTTCGTGCTAGCGGATGTTGTACGACGGGCATCCCTACTGCGAATCATGGAGATATCCCTTTCAGCGTACGCATTCATTGGACGCACAGGCGAGTTTCAAGTGGAGGGCCGTCCATTCACGGCGGGTTTAGCGGATATCCTAAAGCATGCTTCAAATCTTCTCGAGCTCTCCCTATGCTTGCCTAATATCATCGTGCGCGATGACTCATCATTGCTGGAGTCCGTGGCTGCTCTCCCGAGATTGAGGTCACTTGAGATTGGCATTCCGGCTGACTTGTGTCGGGTGCTCGCAAAGACAGTTTCTCGTCCCCGCCGACTGGTGTTAGCGCTTACTCCCAAATATCCCGGACTACATTTAGACGTGCTTCTCACCTCAAACCTTATGGCGAGCGTTGAGGAACTGCACATCGACATCTCGTCGCTCAAAATCCCACGCATGCGTTTCTTGCAAGTTCACCACCTGACTATCTCGAACATGGGCTATGAGGACCAGATCAACCTTTCCGAGACGTTCCCAAACCTACGCTCACTAAATCTCAATACATGTCTGGCCTATAATCAACTATCTGGATCACCCCTCATCGGTACGCTCCCTGAACTCGATTATGTCAAGTATACGAACACGGACATTCAGACATTTTGCTACAGAGGTCTAGTGCGACGACTCGCTTTCACTGCCCGCGGTGCCGATAAGGATTTGATCAAGGTCATTCAGCAATCGTCGCCTGTTGTCCTCGACTGTGCTTTTGATTCACCATCCATGCTTAGAAAATTGCGTAGGGCAGCGCCCGAGTTGCGTGTCTTGCGTATCCGCATCAATTTCAACGAACTTGCAGGTATTTCTGGTGTCTGTTTGATACGCATACTCACCTGCTGATTGTCAGGACCACATACCGTTTGCCTTTCTGGCGAAACTTCCGCTTACGGCGATTTCTATTCGTGCATCTTGGTTTGATCCTCACCTTTGGATCCCGGGCGTGGCAAGCCGAGTGATCACGTATATGGCGCGTCGCATATCCACGGCTGAATATGTGGAGCTCAGTCTCGCTTCAGGCATGGATTACCCAGACCAAGGCATTTGGCACAAGGTAATTTCACGCCATGACCAAGTATGCACCCTCGAGCGATTGCCACGATGGGAGAGCGACGTGTTGGAATCTCGTCTACTCGCCATGCCGCGCCTGTGAAGTACGTCACCGTTCAATTGCCTCAACATGCCTATCAAACCACAATTTACTGTATATGCCCAAACCAAAGTTGCATATGACTTGTATGCATGACAGACCTGACTCGTGCTATGGATCAATGAGCCTCGCTCGTTTGTCCCAGGTTTCTCGCTCTCCTCTACCGGTACTTGTATGTATACACTGATGTCGTATTGCCGAGCGTTATTCCCATGTAATGTTAAGCAACTGTCGTAAAGTCGCATTACCCTCCCATTCAGATTGCTGCTGAACCTGCACTGATCCTCCTTGACGCGTCAACACTCGGTACCAGGTGACTTTCTCCAGATCATCGCTGTGTGTTGACGAATAATTCTCGCGATGGACTCCAACGAATTGCAGTGCCGGGATGAGGCCGGCGATCTTGCTTGCCAAGGATGTCGCCCATTGCCCGTCGACGGAAGATGGTTTGAGGATTGTATACCCAAGTGATATGCCGACCAATGGCAGTTCAGCGATTATCGGGAAAGTCTCGTTCTACATGAGCGACTGTGAGCGATATCCTGCCTTCAAGATTACGTTGCAGGGCTCACAATTAGGGGACCGTCCAGCGCCGGAATTGCCATGTGTAAGTATCTCAGCGCTGGCATGTATGTTGCCATCGCGGTCATCCAATGGTGGACGCTTCTCTGCTCCATCGCACATAGCAACACTGCCGGTGCCATACCACCAACAAATGCCGCCATAACTGACTGCGACGTGCTCAGGCCCATCTGGTACAGTAGGTCCACCCGCCGAACTGGACACGCGAGGCGGAAGGCGAGGTATGTGCCCACTTTGACATGATCCAAGTGTGTCCATGCAGCCGACTGTTCATCCGCGCCGGATACATTTCCCATGAAATGTACAGACTCGACCTGCGGGAAGAGGCGTGCTAGCGCAGACAGGTCGTTTATTGTGCCAGAGACCACGAGCTTGCGCATACGCGGGAAGATGATACCTTTCGTATCTGAGTTCTCCGCTATACAGACGCACTTGTTGAGAAATATCTCTTCGACGGAACCGGCCAGGTTCGACGGCAGAATAGAGGTGCGGATGTCGTTGAGATACATAGTGGCCCCGTGCAGCAGTTCAAGCTCGAGCCTGCGAGGCCGTGATGAAAACCTGGCGAGGAAATCACATTGCACGGCTGAGGCTGTCATGCGCACGATGTCGAGCGTGGTCAACGCGGCGATGGCATCTGCTATGGAGGGCTGCATGACTAGGAGTTGTGCAGCGTCGTGAAGATAGAGTTCTGTGAGGCGAGTCGTATGTCCGAGCAGCTCCACCATTGAGCGAACGCTGGCCTCATCGCCCCAGAGGGCTTTCCCCGATAGCTTGAGCGTCCGAAGACAGGGCATTCGATTGGCGATGTCGGCCAACATGAAGTTACAAAACTTCGTGATGCGCTCCGCCGAGGTAGGAGAATAGTATAGAAACGCCACATCTGCGAGGGCATGCGGCATCGCTGTCGCTTGTCCTGCGCGACATGTCATGGCGAGGTGTAAGGCATCGCGGCAAGAGACATGAAGCAGGATAATTCCTAGCACATCGTCATTGAGGAAAAAAAGATTCATCGTGATGAACGCCTGTGCATCTAAAAATAGGTTCGCGTTAGAGAATCAGCAAAACCGCAATCACGTTTTAGTACCTCAAGCTTTGGGGTTCAACGAGCCCGGAATGGCGACGTCGAGCTTTTAGCAAGACGTCCATCATTAATATTTATGTTGAAGTGCAATCGGCTGCGATGATCAATCGGCATCTAGATAGGGCCTGGGGAAATTGACGCTAAGGGGGACGCAGCACGCTCAGCAACTGGCGCTGAAGTGACGCTCGAGTGTAACGCTACCACGGCGCTCGAGCATATATACGTGTTTATATGGACCGATAAGGCCTTCTACATCGAATATTATTTTACATGTCGTACTTTGAGAGCGCGCGAGCGTCCTGCAAGCGCCAAGGAAGCGTCACCTAGCTTTGAAAAGACCATGCCCATTTAGATAGTACGTGAAATGTCTGTGTGTTGCTCGGCGTACCTGTGTTTACACCTCACTAGATCTTTGCGGCACCGTATCGAGGCGCTCGATTCTCACTCTGGGCTTGGCCGCAGTGGGCTAATTGTTGCCAAGAAGCGTTCCTCGATCCGCACTACAGGGTATTCACGCTTTACGTCCGCGCAGAACGGTCACAAAGATTGCAGTATTGAGAGCATCGCAGCAGTGGTTGTAGCCTGGACATACGGTGGTTATTGTCAAGGTCTCTGAGCCTGATATCTTATCCAACTGTTAGGCGAAGTAAACAGCACGCGCGAAGTGGGGAACGTTATCCACTATCCCTGCCAATGTCAGTCGTTCGGACCGAGTGCGCGACTTCCCCCTAGCACAATAACAGTTACCATCTGGCCATGAATCCCAGCGAACTTCGGGAAGAGTCTCGCATCGTGCTTGGTCGCTTCTCTATGATATGTAGCGAGGTCAGAAAGGTAAAAATATACCAGGATGCAAACAATGAGCTGCGCAGGCTACTCTTCGAGAAGGCCAGAGATCTGAATGAAAGAATGTCCAGTCAGACTTCATGTCAATGCAGGCACCGCACATTCAAGGGTCGCCTGTCGGCGCGTCTACATAATAATTGCCAGTGAATATTCAATGAACACAAACTTGTGACCATTCGTCGCATTGCATGAGAACCCTGACCGATCTCCAAGCTTGAGACACGAAGATTATAGAATTTCTCTCACTGACGGGACAAGGGAGCGATAGAATGTACCAACAGTGCCTTGATTCTCTCGCTGTCATCCAGCTGTATATCGTGCATACAATTCATCGACGACAACTCGACAAAAGCACGGGGCAGACTCACCTGCAGCTCTATCAACAAATCCTCATCCATCATGAGACTACCGCTTTCACAAGACGCCTCCCTTGTGGTCGACATATACGGTAAAGACGATACGCCTGGGTCCACGAAGACAGGCGACTCCATCGGATCAGCACCAAACTCGAAATGCACGACCACGTCCGATTCTGGCCCATGGCGGACTATAGGCGGCAGCGGTACGCCTAGCGTTGACACGGAGAGCCCATGCCTAGCGAGCGACCTGCGAATCGCGAGCGGGTTGAAGTCGATGACTGTGATGGAACCACGAGTGCCCGTGTAGTTCACGTCGTTTGTGACGAAGCGTTGCCCGCAAGTCATCGTGATCCACCTCACGGACCGGCCTTCCATTTCGAACCACCGACATACAGCCGGGCCCCATGCCTCCCATTGGATCACAGGGAGCTCGGCAGTTGTTCCTGGAGGCAAGGCGGACAGACGTGTTAGAAGCGACGATCTGTGGACCCACAGAGTGAATGAATAAATGTAGCCATCACGACCCAGTGCTTTGAGGCTGAGAATCATGATGGCTCACTCGGGATTGCTGTGGAAAGGCGCATGGTCCCTGGTGGTGCTTCCAGCGAGCCCGGTCAAATTAGGTTCTGCTTTGCACCACATCCAAGACCACGAACACCCGTCAGACAATTTGGGGAGTGCTAGACGGCATGCAAGATTGAGGGGTGCCACCATCACGTTATGTGGGTCTTGACTTAGAGGGACATGGCAGAGGTCCAAGGAGTTTTCCTGAGCGTTAAGAAGAGCAATGACATTAGGTGCAATGAAGGAGAAAGCATGATAGATCTTTTGTGTGAAATGGTGGGCCTGTGCAATCCAGCATGAGAATGTATGAGGAACTTAGATGGCTTCGCATACCATGAGTTTTAGTCAAGATTTCCAGTTGTAGAGAGCAAATTCATCAGGATGGGCAGCAAAGTCGAAGATTAGCAGGATGCCCAGTAAATCGCCGACAATCTGAACGCAGGCAAGTGACGCCTCAGGGAGGCTCGATGTATCTAGCACATACATTACAGGCTGGGACGCGATGGGGTGATGTTGGCCCGTAGACAATTGCAAGATATGAAGACGGATCGCTGCCATGCCCTCAGTCGGTTGCAGCGCCTGCGGTCTGGACATATGTGTGTCAACAACAGCAAGTCAATGACCAACTGAGGCGACGTACTTATAGGTCGCAAGCGCAATGAGGTCATGGCCTTGCGCTGCGAGACCAAAGTCGATGATGTAGACATCTGGCTCGGCCGTAACCCTGGACCAGTATGGCTCCACGGGACTTATACCTCTTCTACTATCGTGTCCCACTCCCGCCTTGAGTGCCTCCGTCAACCGCAGGGCTCGAACAGCAGGATTCTCGCCCCATAACAATCCCGGCTCCCCGAGCACCAAGACGCCTCCCGAGAGATCGTAAATGCAGGAGCTGGGTGGCTGGTATGTCACCGGAATGCGTGTGCTTTCAGCGAAATGGAGGCACCCCCAGGCTTGCTCTCTTTCACGCAACAGCCGCAGGCGGTCAACAACAGAAAGAATGCAAGCCGGGCTGGAATTGTTGACAGCACCTGCTGCTCGTAACTCGATAGAATATTGGAGCGAATTATCAGACATGATGAGATCATGCAGAACGTGATTAACGCGGATACAGCGTACAAGATCAGAGAGCGGAAGATAGGCGAGGATGGAAATGGTGAGTTCCACCGGGAGGTTAGCGAATAGAGCCATATGCGCTGAGTGGATTGAAAGGGCAAATGCTGTATGCCACACGGTGCCGTCGGTGCGGTACACAGCGCATGGACCCGATCGTTGGTTGAATTGAGACTCAGGGCATTGCCGTTTCGGGGTTTGAACCCGCCACCGCGACGTTCGTGAGCAACTCCATGCTCATTGGCCACTCAAACGAGTCGCCTCGCGGTTTCGTGCGGCACAAGCACCATCCGTTCTCTCACCCTGCAAATACCCGCAATTGTGTAGAAGACCTCCACGCATTGCTTGACGCGAAAAGAATCGCAAAAACGCCGTGAGCACGTAGGCGGGATGAGAACGGTCCTCTGAGTAGTCTTGATTGATCCTGCACCTGATGGATTAAAATAAAGTCGAGGTTCTCGTTGTCGGCCTCTCCCTAACACCCTAACAGAGGCCAAGGGCCAACGACGATGTCATTTCAACGGGCGCACTTGCCAATCCGACGTCACTCGAAGATTCCCGCCTCGAAATGTTTCGGCGAACCGCCCTCGCTCGCGAACGAAGCTCCGACAGACCATGGAAAATATGCTTCAATCGCACTACTGAACGCAGCCATGTAGCTCCTGGCGCGCAATTGACCGATCGATCAACGTCCCAATGGCCTCTGAGGGCGCTGCGGTCCACCAGGGGCGACCAGTTGTAAGTAGATGGCCACAAACAAGCGTCGGAAAGACTCACGGGCGACGACGCGCGATAGTGGACCTTCAAGTCCGCTCCATGCAGCGAGCGAGGTATCGTATCACCACCAGCCTCCCCCAAACCAAAAAGATCGCCCTTTACTAAAGGCTATGAATATTAAAACTGTTGATCACACAAGCCAGAACGACGACACCCGACCCAGCCTCAAATTTGGGCCTCATCGGACTGGGACCGACCGGTGAACAGCATCGTGGCGGAGGGCGCGACATCGCGCCACGCACGTCGAGAGCCTAAACACCTTACGAGCATCCATGCGGTGCTCAGAACTCCGATGTGCTTGTGATGTTCATCGTCGCGAGGACGGCGGCGCCGTATGCACACAAGCAACACCAACTCTAGCACCAGCAGGCCTAGGCGCAACGCCACGCGCGTGCGGTAAGCGAATGCGAGACAGGTGACGTATGATCGGTACATTCACAACACAGGCGCAGGACAGGCACTGGACAGAGACACGGCCGGGTACGAGGACGGGGGCGGGAACGGGGGCAGAGACAGGGACGGGTGGGACAGGAGGCGGGGGCAGGGTCAGTATTACGTAGGGGCGTAACGTACGGGATATCATATGTGCGCGTGCGGCCGCGCGGGATATGCGGGATATGCAGAATGCAAATCGAGATCGAAATCCGAAATCGGAGCAGATGCGAGCAGGGTCGTGAACGGGGCGTGAATAACATAGCGCAGGGCACAGGCGTGTGGTAGCATAGCGCAGACGCGGGCGTGTGGCAGCATGACGCAGGCGCATGTGTGGCTGGCGGAGGAGCGGGCGGCGACGACAGCAACCGCAACCGCAACATATCAACAGATCAGCAGACCACACACCCACAGCACCCCGCGCCCTCGCCCTCCTCGCCCGCGCCGCCGCCGCGGCGCTTCTTCGGCGTGTCCTCCATGGCCGGCGCGTGTGCGCGGACGGAGAGGTGCACGATGGTCGGGTTCTGCGGCGCCGCGGACGCGCTGGACTGGGGGTGCGAGAGGGGGAAGGACCATTCTGTTGGCGGGGGTCAGCGTCCGCAGAAGAAGCGCATAGGTGGGGATGGTGGGGATGGTGGGGATAGTGGGGGAGGGGAGGGTGGGGAGAATGATATCAAGGGTGACAGGGGAAGACGAGCACGGAGGGGCAGAGACGTACTCGCGAGGGTGTCGTCGTCCTGGAGGATTTTGCCGAGGTAGAGTACGCGGAAGTACGACGGCGCGGGCGGACGCTCGTCCTGCCACTCTGCAGAGCCACGGAGTCAGCGATGTGTATGCGCGCAAAGAGACATCAGCCACGCATAGACGCAGGCTACGCATAGATAGTCAGATAGCGGATTGGGGGCGATCGCGGAGAAGCACGGCGGAGCGGTGCCCACGCCAAGCGGGCCAGGGAGAAGCATAGCATGTGTGCACGGGCGTCGAGGTGGGAGAAGAGAAGAGAAGGAGGGCGCCGGGCGTGGCTCGCGCACGGACCGACGAGCCCACCTCGGAGAAATGCGCGCGCGCGGAGGCCGCGGTGCAGCGGTATCGCCAGAGCCAGAGCAAGGAAATTGGGAAACAGAAGCTGTGATCGTGGACGGACATGCAGGAAAGCAACAAGACGGAAGTGCGTGCGGCGGACGGAAACGGAGAGCGGAGAGCGAGGGAGAAAAAAAGAGAAGGCGCGCCGGACTCACCATTCGGCCAGGCGTTCCACACCAGCTCCTTCATGCGCCCGATCGTCGTCTCGGGGTCGAACGCCATCGTGCGCCGGCGGCCCGACACGAGCAGGAACGTCAGCACGGCCTGCGGGAGCGCGGGCAGCCCCGCGTCGCCCGCGCCGTCCGTCTCCGTCTCCTTCTCGTTGTCCGCGCCCTCTGCGGTGCCCTCGGCGGCCGCAAGCACGGGCAGGTCCTGCAGCTGCTCGGCCTCTGCGCGCGGTGTGCCGGGGACGGTCGCCGTGGCGTCGACGCGGGTGTACGACGTGCGCGCGGACGCACACATGGGGGCGAAGCTGTCGCGCATGGCGGGGGTGAGGTGCCGCGGGAGCGTGAGGTGGTGCAGCGACGGGGCCGCGGAGCCGGGTGTGGTTGGGGGCTGGAAGTGGTAGGGGAGTTGCGGCTGGGAGAAGGAGCGCGGGGGCGGGTGGCGGGCGTCTGGCTCGTCGCCGGAGGGAGGCGGTGGTAATCGTGCGTCGGCAGTAGGTGGGCGGGACTGCGCGGCGGATAGGTGGGTGGTGCTCATGGCGGGCGCAGAGGAAAGAGGTGAAGCGACGTCCACGGCCGCTAATAAGTGAATTGACGGGCGGCGGGCGACGCGTGGGAGGGCGAGGTAAGCGTGATGGTGGAGGGGCCTGGTCACGGGGCGAAGTCTCCTGAAAAGAAGCGAAGAGGGTGTGATGGGAGCGCGTCGCTCGAATTGGCAGCGCTGGTCGCAGCTGGCGAGGGTGTGAATGTCGCTTCGTTTCGTTTCTGATGCGAGGCAGACCGTACCTGCGCTCGACTTGACAGTGCGGGGTCGTGTGATGCTGGCTGGTTCTGGCAACTGGGCCGCGCACGGGCAATGGGCAGCAGTGAGCAGCAGGCAAGCGGGGCGTGGGTGGGTGAGGAGAGAGAGAGGCCGGCAGAGAAGGCTGTGGGCCAGAGAGCCCCGCCCCTGGCCAGTCGCCGTTATAGAGTCTTTGACGTTCTGTCCCTGGCAGGCGCCCGATCGGTGTCCCCCGGGATCCGCCGCATCTCTCGATCTTGCTCCGCCGCCTCGAGCCGCCCAGAGACGCCCCGCCCCCCGCCACCGACGCCCACGGCAGTCCTCCTCCTCGTCATTGCCCGTCGAGGCGCACTCGCTGGCTCGCGTCGTCTGCTCTAGAGGCAGTCCAGGTGCGGGGTCAGCTCTCCTTTCCCCCGCGATCGCCCTTCCTCTTCTTGAAGCTTGGCGTCCTGCCCTATTCTTGTGCGCGCCCGCGGGCGGTTCTTGCCCACATGCCCTCCAACAGGCGCCGCAAACTTCCTGCAGACCGCCCTCGCCGCCACTTTCTCCACAGCATTATCTTGCATCTATCCGGATCTCTCTCGCGTGCCTTCACCCGCAACCCCGAGTGCGGCAGCAACGGTGCGAGCGAACGTCCATCGGTGCCTGGCCGAGTACAGAATTCTCACCATCAAATTGCCGTTCATCCACACTCATTTCCCATAGCTTTCGATGCCATCTCCTATCGGGTCTCCTCGTGTATTGTCTCGCCAAGACCTCTCGATGATAGCATGGTGAACCAGGGTCGGCAAGCTGCTTGACGGCTGATTAACGCTGCCGGGGCCAAATTTACTTAGGTATCTAATGGCCAATCAGCGTAGAATCCGTGGAAGCGAAGTGCCTGTATTTGGCTCCCAATATGCAGGAATGTCGATCATATCATACACGTCTCCGCACTCCTTACGTCCGCCCCAGCATTCGTTCTCGCCCCCATCTTATCATGCTTTCCCAAGCCAATGGTGGCGCATCGTGCATCGTGCATCATGGCGCACGCGGACGCGAACATTGGCAACCCCCGGCTTCGCAAGCATGTGCACAGGTATCCGACTTTGCGCCTCGCCGGCAATCCAAACGCCTTCTTTCGCTCGCTCGCCCGCCCCGCCGGTCAGGATTGGGCCAGACAAGGCAGACGTCCTCGGCGACTCCCCGGCGAAGCAACATCGCTGACTGCTCAGTGCTCCGTCCTCAAAGCCGATCAGCACACCCCGAGCCGCCCCCAGGTATGCAGTGAATGGCCGGCGGCGTGTGTGCGGATAACCTAAATCATGCCCGTCCTGTCGAGCTTTCGTTCTCTTCTACGGCGCACGTGCGCACGGACGCGAGCACTGGCGGCGCCGCCCTCACGCAAGCCCTTCGCGCGCACTCTCGTCATGACGGCAATTCCGATTATCACTGGCCGACGTCATCGCATAGCGTGTAGACGTCAATACTAGTATTCATCCTGCATCGCTCTCCTTTGCTATGCAGAGCCTGGTGACGTATTTCGGAGACGCCCTGCTCCGTTCGTTTCTCCACTCCAGCCGGCCTGTCAGCGCTTGAACCGCCACGAGGAGTCGCGTTGTGCCCCGCAGACGCCCAGATTACTGTCTGCAGCTCGCGGGCGCGTCAGTTGGCGCTTCGTGAATTATGTGCGTACGCGCAAGTGCAGGAGGGGTCCCCCAACGCGGAATTGGTGAACACACAGGGATTCTGCACCGGCTTCATCAATGCATTATCAGCGGCACATTGACACGAAACGGACAGTGGTCTAGTAGTTCTCGCGAGTCTCTGCATGGAGCGTTCGGACTAGTGTCAGTGTAAGAGCGCAGGGTATATATTGCTAATCAAACCCTCCTCCGACCTGCTAGCATTTAGTCGACGGAGAGTCGGAGACATGCATCATTCGCTCAATCCGAGTTCTCGTTCACTCGCCACGTAGGGACAGGCCCTGGCGACAACCGCATACGGGTCACTGGCCCTCAGGATCTCTACAAACAGAGGATGCGTCATCGCCGCCCGCCGCCTCACTAGACACTCCAGGACCTCCTCCTCGAGCTTCTGCACGCTGTCCTCCTTCCCGCAGCGACGCATGCCATCCAGGCGCTCTCGCAGCATCCGGGCCCGCGCGGCGTGCGCCTCCGCGCGGTTAAACGCGAGCCACAGCGGCTCGACCCAGCCACTCCACAGTCCACGGAGCGGCTCGCAGACATAATCCTCGGTGCTGCAGATCGCATCGTGTGACTGGAGGAACGCCGCCTTGGTGCGTGCGAGCGCCGCGCGGTCGGCGCCCTCCCAGTCGGGGAAGCTGCGCAGCGTCCGGGTGCGCGGGTCGAAGGTGACGCAGAAGTAGGCGAGGAGGTAGAGGAACGACTCGAGCTCGTGCAGGCAGCCGTGCGCCGGCGGCGCGCGCGCAAGGAGGTCCACGGCCGTAAACGTCCACGTTGTCGCGGCGGTGTGCAGTGAGAGCCGCTCGTGGGGCGCGGCGGGCGTGTCGTGCTGTGGCGGCGAGTCGGGGCGGGCGCCGTGCACGAAGTCCGCGTCTTCACGCGCTTCTGCATCGGGGTCTGTGCGTCCGGCCTGGTCCCAGTCGCACAAGACGCCTCGGGATGTGCCGTTCTTTGTCATGATCCTGATGCTGTCGGTGCTGATGTTGCGGTGGATGATTGACGACGTCGTCCAAACCCAGGAGTGCGCTAGTAAGAAAGAAACCTTCAGCTGACGGCAAGCTGGAGGTGCGAGAGGTCCACCACTCACCAATGACGACGTCAGTGTAGACCTGCTTGAATTCCTCGATGCTCGTGATTGACTGTATGGGCCGATGTTCCTCGACGACCACCATGCTGCAGACATACTCGGGCAAGCTCCAGTCGACCTCCATGAAGCCCCGAGGGACACCCATATGCTTCATATCCATGATCACCGAATACCTCGGCTCCACGATGTGAGGCAGGCTGTTCGGAGCGTGCGTCTGGAGTTTGCAGCGGACGGCTTTCACGATCTCGCATTCGGTCTCGGACGCTCTGCGGGCCCACATGAGCCTGGCCACCAAGTTGGCCCTCCCACAGACCTGCTGTGTGCGGTCGTCTGCCGCGGCGACGCGCACGACCGCTGTACTGCGGCCGGAGGCACGGGGCACCGTGTAGATGCACTGCGTGTCCGCCTTGACCCGGAAGGCCAGCGGCTTACCTGAATTGTCCTCCGGCAGAGACTCTGTGCGCGCAGGCTCTGACGCCATCACCACATACGACCCAGCGTAGGACAGGACAGGACCCGGCGCGAAGCGTAGGAAGGGACTGATGCCCATCTGCGCTGGTCCCGCCGTGGCCATGGCAGCCACGGCGAGCAGGAGGAGGTGCGGTTCTTGCAAAAAGTCGAACACCCTCGAGACGATCATGCCCATCTTGTCCGCGTACCACAGCGACATGTGGCTGTCGCGCACCAGGAAGCCGCTCGCGTACGAGCGCAGCCCGTGGGACAACAGCTCGTCGATGCATTCGCTGAACATGATCTCGTCCCTGATGGCAGCGGCGTCGGGTTCTTCAGCGGTCGCCTTGCTCTCTGTCTGTCTGTCAGTTCTGACCTTCACCCGCTTAGACGCGTACATATCCTCCGGTTCCCCTGGAGGTTGTCGACGCTTTCTGGTGTCCTGCGGAGTACCCACGGTGGCGCTGTCGAACTGCGCGCTGCCCGTTGGGAAGGGCACAACGGGTTCCTGGAAAACTCGATCGTCAGTGTCGGTCGAGAGACTATCACAACCGGACTCACTTGACGCATCAAATTTACGTCGAACAGCAGGTCACCGTTATGTGGCGCGTGCCAGTCCACGCGTTTAGTCTTCGTGATCAGGCCGCAGGCAAGATACCAGTCCCAGTCCAGCGAGGCAGGGTCTTCGACACCCTGAGCCGCCAGGAGCGCAGTGCTGCCCCGCAGTATCAGTTGACTTTGAATGGGGTGCTTACCGGGAGAACAAGTCATCAACTGGGACACCAGGGACGTGAACAACTCCTTGAAATGGCCGCGGGCCTTCTGGTTGTTTCGCTCAGCGAGGTAGTTCTCGAGGTGCTCTAACGGCAGGTAATACTTATTATTCAGTGCGGCATCCCCTGGTGGGAGGTCTCTAGGCGTGTACTTCCATACTTGTTGGATGAAGTTCAAGACATCGTGGTCCCATATGGCGTCTGGCCTGACCGGTAGCGCGGCAGGCTTCTGCCACTCCGCGGAACGGTGAGCTTCGAGAAAGAAAGACGGCGGGCGAGGCATATCTGCGAGGGGGGTTCAGAGCGGGTATGTAGTGGACTGGGGACAAGATAGCTGTGTGGCGAAATTGCAGGATACGTGATAATAAGTGGTGGGCCACTGGTGGCGAAGCCATCATGAGACGTCCGTCAAAGACAAAAACGACTGTGGCGAATGATGACAAGACGTGAGTGGAAGTATATACAGAATCAGTGGAGGCATAAAGGAGGACTTACTCAAAGAAATGCCTGTGCCTTCCCCCACTGGCACCGCTTTGATGTGACTTTGGCCAAAGCGTTGATCAAAGCGTTCAATAGTCATACACATAGTCTTACCTGCTAAGGAAAAGTAAGCGATCTTGATGACATGAGAATATTCTAGACCTACTTGTTGGAATACGGTCAGAAGCTCGGGCCCGATAGTAGCTGAGGCCAGAGAGGCCACCGTAGTATGTATGCGATCATTCGTGATGTACATACATTGCATTTCTCTTATGTGCATCGTCGTGTCCGAGGGCGAACGCGCTCGCAGACCGATATTCCGTTGCTCAAATGATGTGACTGAGGCGGGCTAGTAGGTGTTAATTGCCGAACCGATTGCTGCTATTCGACTCATATACTCATCGTATGTAGATAGGCGACTGAACAAGACTAATAGCATGTAATCATTTTAGTGTCACTACAGACCAGGTTTTGCTGACGATCATCGTTTCTCTGTTAGAATTTGAGGATAGCGAACCATGCTGGCGGGGTGCGACAATAGGTACGTTCAAGGTTGCCGCTGGAATGTCGCTGGGGGACAAGCGACTTTTCGCTGCCTTTAAGCGCCCAAATGTCGCTGAAAGCGTCACAGATGACTAAGCGTAAATCAGCCGTGATTTGCTTACGTTTCCGGCTCGCGGAGGGCCGACCAGCCAATCAGAGTTAGCCAATCATGCAAGCGTGACATGACCGTGAGCCAGAAATTGCGAGCGCTTGAGACGAGCAGTCGCTTATTTGTCGCTGTTCGAGCAGGGAGCTCAGATTCTGCTCGCTGCTTTTAAATCTCGCTTGTTTTCCAGCGAGATTTAAGCGGAAAATCTGAATGGATATCTTTGAAGACCAATAAATTGCGCACGCGTCGAATCCTGTCCCACACCCTCGTTCTCCACCTACAACTTCAACCAAGTGCTACTTTGGTCTCCAGGTGCATATCTATATCAGTCGTGAGTAATGAGGCAAGTGTAAATTCTATCGAATCTCATCCCTATTCCTGAAGGCTGTGCGTAGCACCATGGACGGACAGCCAGATCCAGTCGCCAATGCGTTCGCGAGACACCTCATCTACGATGAGATATTCTCCTCCTTGTCCGCAGCCTCCCTCATGCGCATGCGGCGCGTCAGTCGATCAACTTACGGCGCGGTGCAAGACTTCACCTACCGCGCGTTCGACGTGAATCGCCTGTTATCGCGCTTCATTTCCGACCCCCACAGCTTCCGATCCCTTCAGGCGCGAACAGCGACGCTCATCTCAGGTTCTCTTGCGATACAGTTCTTCGACCGGACGTTCTACCCTGAGTCCGACTTGGACCTCTACGTGTACAAGGAACATGTGATCGAGGTGGGCATATTCCTGCTCAACGACGGATACCAGTTCGCCCCCTATTTGGGCCAGGCAAACGACTTCTACGATGCATTAAACGGCCTCAACAGAGCCTGGATCGACGATCTCCTTGCCGAGACTGTCGCTTTGATCGATATGCCATACAGATATACATGCGTGGGGGAGGTCTTTACGTTCAAGAGACGCTCTCATGACACGGAGGACTCGAACGCTTTCACGAAGGTACAGATCATCGTGCCAAGAGAGAGCTCACTGCAACTCGTGCTCGGGTCCCACTCCAGTGAGTCAGAATTGGCTCCCCGAATTCGATGCGCCTTCACCTCTCGTGTCCCGCAGCATGCGTAATGAACTTTATAACCTACAACACTGCAGTTTCACTCTATCCTGTTGCCACCTTCGAGCGTCGCGAGTCACTTGTCATCGAGCCAAGGTCGATCCCGGCTTTCGATAAGTATATCTCGCGGGGGTGGAGGCTGGTCTACAGCCCCTTGCCGGTCTCGGTCCCCTTACACGAAGGCGGCGCGGGAGAGAGCGACCCATTCTTGTTTAACAAAAGCCGATGGGTCACTGGCAGGAACAGCTGGGTCATGCATCTCGACACGGAGGGCGTGCAGAGCGCTGGGCCGCTTTCTGCGTCGTCGACGGCGCTGACATGGGATCCAGTCGTTGAGTGCAGCTGGGCGCTTCATCGGCTAGAACGCGCGGTGAGGGTGTGGTACTACCCGGTGCAAGCTGCAATACTCCGCTACAGATACATAGTCGCTGACTGGGATTACTTGGAGCGACTCACCCCTTGGTTCAACAGTCAGGTGGAATTGGAATACAACAAGCTCCCTAAAGATATCACCGAGCCAGGCGGCGATTACTGGACATGGTAAGCGCACTGCGATGGCCTTGGTCGTAATGTTGAAGAGATTTCCGCAGGTGGGATTCCGAACTTCCCCGCTGCCGAGAGGCTTACTGGCAATCACTTGAGGCAAGGACCGCGGATGTACATCTGTAATGTGATGTTAACGCTAACTCGTCATTTGAGTTCACGATGTTGTATCATCTCTCGTCCATGCATAATCATCATTGTCTCAGGAATTCTGTATTCATGTCGGATCTCCGAACCACTGCTGTGTATTGGTGCCCAAGGCTTCTACATTATGATGACACTTCTTGCGCTATTACCTTACAATCCCATAATTTCTGTTTCTAACTCGTTCAAGCAAAGCACTGCTCAGTAATGTGCCCGCGGCGGCGCGTTTCACTCCTGCCTGTGCTTCTGGTAGTAATGAATGAGCCCGGTGGTCTACATTGCAAATCGTTAGCGTCGGAGAGTCTTTGTTACCCTTAGATCACGCACCGAGCTATCGTGTCCGGAGACGTCCTCAGGGGTGTTGAGCTGCGCGAGAATGTTCTTGGCGAGAACCTTGCCGAGCTCAACACCCATTTGGTCTGCGTAGAAGGCATCAATATCTTGAAGGACGCTGCACATGCACACTACGCACCGAAGGAGTTTATACCCCAAATGACACCCTGCGTGAAGATCTTGTGTTCATAGAGCGCAATCAGCGCGCCGAGCGTCGCGGGTGTTAACTTGGGGAACAGGATGCTGTTGCTCGGGCGATTGCCCTCGAACACCTTCGACTTGATAAGCGCCTCGGACGCGTTCGCGCCGACCTCCTACTCCGTACTCGTCAGTGAGTGTGTTCGAACAAAAGATAAACAGAACCTGACCTTGCGGACCTCCTCCTCAGTCTTACCGAACGCGAGCGCCTCCGGTTGTGCAAAGAAGTTACTCAGCAAGATGCGGTGATGCAGTGAGTTGCGAATCGGGTTGTGCGTCGTCGCGGGGGCGATAAAGTCAGCGGGGATAAGCTTCGTACCCTGGTGGACCAGTTGGTAGAACGAGTGCTGGCCGTTCGTACCCGCTGCACCCCAGATGATGGGCTGTACGATAGTCTCAGTGGGTTTTATTGTCTCGTGGTATGTGCGAATGTACGCACCCCGGTCTGGTAGTCGACACGCTGGCCACCTTTGGTGACGAACTTTCCGTTCGACTCCATGTCACCTTGCTGGAAATAGTCCGCAAACTTATGCAAGTACTGGTCGTATGGGAGCAGCGCATGCGTCTGCGAGCCGTAGAAGTCGTTGTACCAGACGCCGATCACGGCGAGGAGGACCGGCAGATTCTTCTCGAGGGGGGTCGTCTTGAAATGCTTGTCCATGCCGTGCGCACCCTTGAGGAGCTCTTCGAAGTTGTCGTATCCAATGGATAGCGCGATCGAGAGACCGATGGCACTCCAAAGGCTGTAACGTCCGCCGACCCAGTCCCAGAACTGGAACATGTTCGCCTCCGCGATACCGAACTCCGTAACGGCCTTCGTGTTTGTGCTCAGCGCAACGAAGTGCTTCGCGACGTGTGCCTTGTCCTTCGCGGTCTCGAGGAACCAGTCGCGCGCGCTTGTCGCGTTCGTGATCGTCTCCTGCGTCGTGAACGTCTTGCTCGCAATGATGAACAATGTCGTCTCCGGATTGCACAAACGCAGTGTCTCGGCAAGGTGCGTCCCGTCGATGTTCGACACGAAGTGCGCGGTCAAATCGCGCTTGGCATACGGCTTCAACGCCTCCGTCACCATGACCGGGCCCAGGTCGGACCCACCGATACCGATGTTCACGATCGTGTCGATCTTCTTGCCCGTGTAGCCCTTCCACGCGCCGCTGCGCACCGACTCGGAGAACTCCTTGATGTGTGCGAGCACACCCTGCACCTCGCTAACGCCAGCCTCCTGGATCTGGAAGTCGTTGAAGTTGCGGAGCGCGACGTGCAGCACGGCGCGATCCTCGGACGTGTTGATGTGCTCTCCCGCAAACATCTTGTCCCGGTACGTCTCCACCTGGGCCTCACGCGCCAGCGAGAGCAGTGTCTCCAGGATAGGCTCGGTGATCAGATTCTTCGAATAATCCAGCAGAAAGGTCACCGAGGGACCATCGGGGGAGGAATACTCCTTGCTGAATTTAGAGAAGCGCGCAGGGTCTTGCGCGAAAAGTTCCTTAAGGACGAGTTTGGCATGCTCAGAGTCATAGGTTTGCTGGAGCTTCTTCCAGGATGGGTACTCTATTAGTGATGTATGTTAGCTTGGTTGTTCTGTAGCATTTGTAGACTAGGTCGAAACGAATGGTGACTATATGCGCGCGGGTCCCACGGCCCCGTCTGCGCCAAACTGTCCAAACTGCGATAGAATGTAGACACACTCATGCGAGTGCCCCACGTTACAGGGACGACCAATCCGCCCGCGCACGGGCGTGCCGCGCGCCTCAGCGGATATCGTTCCATGGCCACCAGAGTAGCACTGCAGGTACTTCCCGTGGGACCAGCTCTCGGTATATAAGTGTATGATGAGAACTACGGTGCTATGTCGGGATCGGAGTCACCTAGCAGTCTGAGGCTATTCATTTGTCTCTGGGCCGTCTTAACACACGACCCAATCCACCGCGCCCTTGTGAGGACACGTTTCAGGATTGTACAGGAAGAGGGTAGACGGCCCTGCTTTCCCTGCCCCTCGCACCGCTTCCTTAACAATGTGATAGAACTTCACCGTGCGCCCAGGCTAGGCAGGTGAGGTGAATGGCGACTATATGCAGGCGAAGCCCAACCAAAAGTCTCCCACATCGCACCTCGCCCACGGAGTGGGGGTCCTCCAAGGGTACCACGATCAAATCTACCGAAGGCATCCGCATCCTCGCTATAGAGAAGGAGAGCAGGTTGTCCAGGGCAAGCCCAACTCGCGTCGCCAGGCTGATTCCAGGCACTAAAGATTCACTCACCGGACGCAAGCCGGCCGCTCATGGTGGTAGATTGGAGGGTGAAAAGGGAGGATGCAAGTGGGGGAAGGTATTTGCAGGCATGGGCGGACCGGAGTGACCTTATATTTGAGAGATCAAGCGTGCGAACAATGACCTCAGCGCGTCGAGCGTCGTCGCCCTCACGCCCACCGACGGCGACCGTGTCAACGACCTTGCTCGATACGGTTCTCCTCTCGCTGTCTTTCTCAGCTATGACAGTCAAACGCCCAGACCTGGGCCTGAATGTTTGAACGTTGAACAGCTGAGCTCGTAAGCAAATCACCAATCTACTGTAAACTATGTCATACTGTGAGCACGATCACGACTCTGCATGTTTTCGGACGCGACGCTCGTGCCTAAAATGTCTCGTCGGCCGTCTTGAGAAGATCCGCCCGTTGTCGAGGCCCCAATGAACCGGGGAATCCGCAAACGACTCAGAGGCTCGTAGCTGGGACAGGTACGGACGCGGGAGAACAAAAATGCCATATTCTAATCTTCAGTGGCGTTGGTAATCATTCCCCAACTGGATTCCAAGGTCCTATGTGAGTATTGTGCCAGTCAATTAGCACAAAGCTTGAATCAGAGTTTGAACATCCGTGCAGCGTGCGTGCGTCCTCGCAGCGACCCGACAGGAGAACTCGCAATCGCCATAATGCAATAGCAACAATTCATTCTAACACGAAGTCAAATTTCGTCAAACGATATGTTCCGACGTCTTTGAGCTTGGATGATCCACTTGAGCCAGATCGCAGACGGTGACATCACCCCTCCTCGAACAAATCGGCGACCGCTTGTCGCAAGCGCTCGCAGATTCGGCATGTCCCGCTTACGTAATATGCCAGCCTGATTGGCTGGTCAGGCCGGGAACGTAATCAGGTCACGGTTGCATCTCTTGCCGCAACCCCATTATCCTTTCAGCGCATCAAGACATTGCGCCAGCTATCTTGTGGTAAATACATAGCCTATATGGACAGGGTTTGTTTGTTGAACACTCACACCAGCTGCAATGGCACTGATTCAGCAGACAGAATGTTGATCTTCCCATGCCCATTCCATGAATCGCACGGATAACCGACTAGATACTACTGGTAATGAAGTCTCCGGTGACGACACTCCCGATTCGCTGCTTGACGACGAGATCTCGCCTTCCACGCCCTGTAGTGACACTGACGCTTGGATGAGCTTGACGTCCCCTTCGAAGACGTTTTCTACCCTGATTTCTCGCACTTTGACGTCGATGTGATACCTTTGATCGACCTGACCGAGATTAAAGAATTCTTGGACCGGCGTGTCTTGTGGAGGAGGCGGAGGCCATGAGTGTCTCTTGTCTCAATACTTTTCTTAATCAAACATAGTATGCTGACAGGGGTGTTTTGGCTAGACTTCTTCGGAAATATCGCGCAAGCACTATTAGCGACATTCCCGAACCCCATGCCCGTCCAATCAACACCTCATGGCTGCCTGTCTGGATGATCATACAATCCCTCTAAACCGTCTCACAACAGAACCCATGGCGGTTTTTCCCAACGACCCCACTATGTGCAGCTATTTGTATCAAAGCAGCGTAGACTTCCCTCGCTATGCCTGCTGAGGTACGAATCGTAAAATCATCCATTGAGCTCTGCAAGATGCAGAGCTCGATGGATTTACAATTCGTACCGAGGTTCCCGCGGTCGTAACCAGCATTGACCGCCCTCTGTATGCGCCGGCGGAGAGACACTGTAATTAGTTTTTCATACAAATTAAAGTGCGCCTCGTGAGTAAATCCGCACCATTCACAGAGAAAGATTGCAGTCTGAGCCCATTACCACCGCTTCAAAGGTCACATTTTTCAAACTGTCAGAATCGGCCTCTGCATTGTTAATGCCAATCGTCCCACATACACTCATCGAGTGTCATGTACCGCGAGATGACGACCAAGCGTCCTGTCACCTGAACAAGAAGTTACACTTGGCGCGTTCAGAAATCGCATCGCGCCGGTTTTCGGAACGTGACCACGGGACTCCGGGCAAACGGATACGATACTTGACGCTTGATGACTACGCAGGCCACTCGCATCGCCGAAGCTGTAATTATGTGTGCTGCTTCTCCTGCGCGTACACCTTAAAGCCCGCGATAAGGTGCAGCTTGCTGATCGCAAAAAGGGTTCTACTGTGGCAAATTTTTCGGTATGTTTTAACCTCGTTCGGCGACGGTGAGAAGTCTAGGATTCCTATTATACAGCGCAATACCTAGCGCTTCAGATGGCGAGTCATAGAGACCAAGAAGAGTAATCCGAGCCCAAGAGAAACATGGGTTCTGGCTTCGGTGCCTAACGATGAAGCCACAAGGGCCTCGCGGCATCCACGGATGAGAAATTCAAGTACAGGTCTAGGTGCCGGACGTCGAGTTACATCGCTGCTCACCTCTTGTTCGCCAGTCCTAGGGTCGGTATCAGAAGTGAAGTTGAGTGATCTCCATGTCAGTACCATGCGGCGTCCTAACGTGAGAATCCTATCCTAGGATCATCGAGGACAGGACGACACGGAAGCCAATGTCAGAGGCTTGAGTCATTCGGCGGCATCAGGAGGATGATGTCTATGTCCGACGATGAATGGGACACTCAATGCTAACGGTATCGTCGAGCGTCGAGCTTCTCCGTTATGCTATGCATCATAGCTCATCCAAGGGTCTGCGGCGATAGCCAGAAGATAGCCTTCTATGCAGCCTTTGCCATAGGAGTGCATGTAAGAGCGACGATCGTCGCTCTCGCATGTACTCCTATGGCAAAGGCAGTGTTAATTCAACCCCAAACGGCAAGTCAAAGAGAAACATGCAGTGCGTTCCTGTGGCTTCTAGGTTGTCCTTGGGCGCTACGACGAGTGAGTCTTCCTGTGTCTAATATGATCAATAGCCATTAATCCTATTCGAATTGGCCATCCGGCGCACCTCCGCGTTCACACTCGATATTGTTGGACTTTTTGATGTTCTTTCACTCGCCATGAGGCGTAGGGTCCTTGTTCCCCATCTCATCATTGTGTGGACTGATGCTGCATGTCCCCCGGCAGAACCAATAAGACCAGCCGGGTCTTTCATGTACTTTCACCGACTTACGTTCATGCGCAAGATTCATAATGTTGCGCGCCTCGGGAAGCTAGGGAAGACTGTTCTACAGTGGTACCTGAAGCTCATGTCGCGTCTACAAGTTTTAACATTGTATTGACTACCATTCACCCAAGTCCGTTGAGACTTTCGCTCAGCTCAGCGACTCCGTGTCAATCACTGAGGGAATGGTGCAGAAATCAAGTACAGAACGATAAAGATGAAGCCACTGATGGGCAGCATGGTATCAAACGAGAAGGCACTAATTACACAGCCTTGGCAAATCAGCCACAGCATTCGCGCTCCCACATACGAGAACGCAACTTGATGTTTTGTATTCAATATATCATGGATCCGAGGTTTATGTGACTAGTCGGGAGATGAAAGCTGTAGCCTTAGGGCGGCTGGCCCCCGGGGCATGCCCGACAGGACGTCTCTCGCGCCTTGGAACTGCGAGCGCTCGCCTGGCGTATATCGCCCGTGTCACACTGAGCTGACACTAGCGCGCTCACTGAGTTCAGTCGAGATGGATGCCATATGGCTCTGGCAACTAACCATGAGAGATGCCCTACAGTAGAACCTGTGTTTATGACTGTACCGTAGAGCGAGATTCTTGAAATGCTTCACGCTGCTGTTCTATCAACGTCGGCTTGTGACATGGGCGATCATGTACGCCAGGCGAGCGCTCGCAGTCCCGAGACGCCCTATTGGGCATGCCCCGGGGATAGTTAGGCGTCTCGTGCGTCTCAACACGACGATGAGCTCGTACAGGCCCACCAGGGGCGTCGTACCACCGTCTGGTGTTTATCTTGTGCTGTGGTTGGACCCAGTCAAGACGGTGCAGCACTTTGACGACCCTAATCTGCAAGCGGCCGCGCGCCAGCTGTCTCCTGGCAAGTACATAGCCTATGTGGCCGTCGTGCGCCTGCCAAATATTTGCAAAAGTCGCAACGACACTGATGCATCTGCATAGAATTCTGATATTCCTATATCCGATCGCCCATGGTATCGGTGTCTCGTACGATTCGTTGGACTGGGTATGCCACAAGACCAGCCTGAGCAGTTTGTTACCCCCGATATGTGTGTTCCCGTTTTCCCGGCAACCGAGCATCCTGCAGGTCGTAGATCCTTCCAGCCCTCAAAGCCCTTTCCGTTCTCGAATTGCTATCTGCATACGTGGGTCTATGCAACCGTCCGTTTCCCTTTTCAGAGCGTCGATTATGGCGATGCCTGGGAGATATCCGTGGTAGACAGGCAAGAGCATCGTTGTTATATGAACGAGGACCAGCGGAAGCGCAACATCCTTATTGAGCAAGGTCGGCATTTCTCACTCTCTGTGGAAGCTGTCTTTCACTAACTCTCGCACAATTTCCTCAGCTAGTCCACCGGCGAAGATCGAGCTTGTACCATCGACGCCTGGCAGCATAGTTGAAGTCACGTCAGATACTGTTGTAGACGCGAATGGAGTCGTAAAAGTGGAAGATTGGCTCAAAACAACGGGTCACAGCCAGGAGCCTCTCGAAGAATTGGCAGCGGACAATGATATTAGTTCTGAAGTCTCTGGTGACGATACTCCCGACTCGCTGCCCGACGATGATGTCTCGCCTTCCACGCCCTATAGCGACGATGACGCCAACAGCATGGATACCGTTGACCTGTTTTTTGAGAGCCTTTTCGCCCCCAATTTCTCGCACATCGACGTCGACGTCATACCTTTGGTTGACTTTTCGTTCGACCTGACCGAGGTCAAAGAAGTCCTGGATCCACGTGGTTTCCTGGAGGAGGTGGAGGCCATGGCCGAGTGCGTCTTGTCTCAATTCGTTCCATATCACACATCGTACGCTGACAGGCATTTTGGCCAGACTCATTCGGAGATTCCGCGCAGGCATGCTTATTGACGTCCCCGACTCCCATGCTCTTCCAGATCATCCTATGGTGTCCCATCCGGATGACCATACAATTTCTCTAGATATCCCGACGACGGCTTCTCCAGCTGACCCCTCGTCGCAGCTTCCTACCAACTCCATAGTGGCTCTTACCAGCCACCCATATGGAAGCAGCACGGGCACCCCTCGCTACGCCTACTGAGGTGTTGTCTGCGCCAAAGGTCAGTTCTTTACCACCCAAACCAAACTAGAAGCAAGCTAATGACAAGCACAACATACACGACAGCCGGGGGTGGCATTCCAAGTGACAGCAAGGTGATATTCGGGCAAGCGGCGGGGACCACCTTGTAGTACTGCCGTGAGGCGAGATTGAGGTTATATCGGGGTAAAAGAGAGAATACGATTATATTTTCAGACGCGGCGATCACACTCCCAAGTGGCAACGATATCGGTGACGAACATAGAGTTTCATCGCACTCCAGAGCGATATGAGTCTGCGCGTAGCCTACTGTGGCTCATCACGCTACGGCGGATAGCGGGGACAGAGGTCTCAGATCCCACTAAGTCCACGATTCCCTACCCGCGTCTCAAAAGGGCGCCTGACTGTCGCTCTCCATCCATCGCCACGCCTTTTTCGTTCTTACATGCCCTCCGGGAGCCTGCTGGGCAACCATATTATGGATGATTGCGTGCTCTCAAGTTGGTGCCGCTGGCGCGCTCGTGCCTGCGTGCTTCCTCCCGTGCTCGCGGTGTTCTCCTGTGTTCAAGGCTTTCTCACTGGTAGCTAGCGCGTTTTGACTACCCGCCTTTATCGTGCCGCTGCCGCGGTCGCGCGGGCGGGTAAGTCCCCACTGGTGCACTGCTCGGGCGGTCGCGACTTACGCGTCCAATGATCGACTTTGAGCGTGTATGATCATTTGGGTCGGACTCGCAGATGGGGACCTCATGCAGGAGATGGTCAGACCACCTCTCATGTTATTTGAATCTGGAGGATTTGTTGATTCATCTCGGTTTCGTGGATAGTATGACTATCAGTCTTGTCCATCCAGAAGTTCTCCAGTCCCCCCGAGGGGCAAAATGACTGTATTTAGAAGGCATAGCACTACAAGAAATTATGCTATTGTTGAGATGCTCAAAATTCGTCCATCGATCTTGAGCCATAGTGGCAGACAGTCTCATATATTGACTTCGGTTTCAATCAACCCCACAAACGGTGGCCCTACTCGGCCACGCAGGAGTCCCGTCCAGTGTGACAATGTCTTGATGAAACATGTGGGGTATCGGATACTAGTACAACATGTTAAGGTGACCTCAAGTCTCCCGCTGGATATCGGACGTAGGGGAAATAACGCAACGTTTACTCCTTAGCTCGCATTGCGTGGCCCGTGGGTGCTGAACCAACACCCTGTAATGTATCGTGTGTTCTCGTGTATCTCCTTTGCATCTCTCATTCGCAAAGGTGTTAGCAGCGGGTCGGAAGCGCTCTTTGCAATTCTGTGTCACATGTAACGTATGGAGCCACACTATGTATATACATACTAATGCTGCGCAGACGTCTCACTATGCGTCGAAGTGTCATGCCCATACGGCGGTTGCCCTCGAGTGTGATCGGGTTGTGGCTGTGCTCAGTGTATCAGGGATAAGTACAGAAATACGGGATCGCAACGCACCACTGTATCATCCGATCCATAAGCGTTGGAATACACGTAGTACTGCGGTAGATTTGACACGATCTTATTAAAAACACTTCAATATTGGCTCGAAGGTAAATGTCCAATGACTCCGATACGCACCCCCTGCGGTCCCGGAGGCACGTCGTAAGGTAGCATCTGCGGCTGATGACGAGCAGTCGTTTCGATAAACTTTTCTTGGATAATGCACAATCATACCTGTCTCGCTTGCTCAAAAGCCGATCCCTGTGGTCCTGGGATGATCTGCAGATAAGCCCCTTAGTGGCTGCTTGACGGTTATATGCAGCAATTCGTGCGCTTACCGGCAAAACTTGGGGCACGTTTTGAGGCAGTACATGCTAAAAATGACTCGTCTCAGTTATTGTTGCTATGTCAATGCTTAGTGAAATTAGTATGCATCACCTGCATTCCGGCTGCGGCTGAATGTCCCTGAAAGCCGTACTGACCACCGAGAGGTCCCTGGCTCCCGTGATGACCAGCCGGTGGTCCATACTGACCAGCGGGATGTCCCTGATTCCCGTACTGACCAGCCGGCAGTCCGTACTGACCAGCGGGATGTCCGTACTGACCAGCGGGATGTCCATACTGACCAGCGGGATGTCCCTGATTCCCGTACTGACCAGCCGGTGGTTCGTACTGACCAGCGGGAGGTCTATGAAGCCCGTACCGACCAATCGGCAGTCCCTGAGGCCTGTACCGACCAATCTGAGGCCTATACTGAGCAACCGGCAGTCCCTGAGGCACGTACTGACCAGCTGGTGGTCCCTGGAGCCGGTGCTGAGAGGATGACTGCATCTTACGGCGGGGATTCGCTATCATGAGAACAGCGCACCATTACGCAGTGAAGTCTGTACCCACCTGGGAAGTTCCAGCTACCTGTTGGTCGTGGAGAGGATATTGTCGCTGCTGCATTCTCTGATAACGACTCGCTTCAACGGCAACTCCAAGGAAATTTATATAACACGAAGACGACGACGCACCTGCAATTTCTTGCGGGCGCGGTCAGCCTGTATCATTGTGAGGTGCAGCTGTGCTAACGCGTTCAGAGCATGGAAGACGACATACCACTTGTCCGGCGATTATTCCGCGTTCGATTTCATGTTTCTACGCTCAATCCGCTTAGTATCACTGTGATTTGCATGGTACCGTTTGTGTGAAGAACATACCAGCCATTTCCGCTGCTCTTCCGCTACAAATCCTGGTTCACTATCACGGCAATCCATCCAGATCCGCAGGAGATGATACCGAAACCAGTCGACTCGATCCATTTGCTCCGGGGTGGCCACGTAGGGCACTTTTTCCTTCATCCATTGCCTATGTAGCGCCCAACATGGTGCATAGGCTATCGGAATCAAGTATTGTGTCCTTCCCCCTTTTACTTGCCACGTGGGTGTCGTGTTTACGACGATGCCAGCGTAATCGTCAGCACCTTGGTTGACGACTATGCTAAAGTGTTGATATACGTCCGGAAGTTGCGCCAGAGATGCGCCGCCCCATGTAGTCATGATGCAGATCGTAACTTCTTCCCCAGGCGCGGCGCTCATCACAATACATGGCCGAAATTTGAGACCCGTCCCGAGATCGCCGAGTGACGAATCTTCCGATGCCTGTGATCCTGGCTTGTCCATGTCGAAGAGTACTACGAATGGTGCTAGCACGCTCGAATGTATGGCGGCGATATGACCGGGTTCTGGTATGTATGGTGCTGCAGGTGCGGACATCTGACTGTGACCAGAGACCGATGACGAAGAGAGGGGATACATGATTGTGGAGTTGTCGCCGAACAAGTAGTATGAAGAAAAACTGTGCCTTCAAAACTCGAATGCCCGCACTGCGAGTTTTATATGTGGTGAACCCACGTGCACGCGCGAGCCATCGCGACAAGTGCGCATGATGCATCAGGAAGATAATGCCTCATGAGAACTACGAGGAGGCTAACCACGCGTTTCCCGATAGTAAGGGTCCACGCTAGAAGTTTGCCATAGGTTCCGTTCTGATGCATTAACACCACGAGTCAAAAGTGCCAGTCGATTAAGTACTGGCTTCTGGATTGTTCCTTACTGCTGTTGTGCACAACGTTCAATTCAAATTCTCAACATAGTAAGAGGTGGCAGGGATGCACGCACATACATGTGAGACTTGTCGCGCGTAAGTTCCACCCTCTTCGGAAGTTCGAAGGTGCAATCAGAGTCAGGAGGTGCGAGAATGACGCTAGACACCGGCAGAGAGAACGTCCACTATAGACATAGTGAACCGATCACTTGACCCTTGAGGAAAAAGACAATGTTCATAGCCCGAGGAGCCACCAAATATGGGCCGAAGTATTGTTACTATTCGGAGTTCCGGATACTCTACCGTACATGGCGTATCCAAAGAAAGTTTATGATTATCGCCAATGGATGACGCGTGACGGCGACATGAAGTACTTAGAAGGCTCGGAGATGAAGAAGGACTCGCCACTGGTTGTATTAAGAACCCATGGCGCTGAGAATAAGATCACAATGCGCGAACCAGCTAAGATAATTGAGTTTCTAACATCGGCTGACAAGAGACGAATATCCTGGTCAGCGGCTGGTCTGATATTTGGCCCGTTATTTGGCCGCGTGGGTCCACAACTCACCTGACTTAAACGCACTTGGGCGCCTTTCGTATACCTGAACACGACGATGAGCTCGTACAGGCCCACAAGAGGTGTCGTACCACCGTTTGGCGTTTATCTTGTCTTGTGGTTGGATCCAGTCAAGATGGTGCAGCACTTTGACGACCCTAATCTGCAAGCGGCCGCGCGCCAGCTGTCTCCTGGCAAATACATAGCCTATGTGGCCGTCGTGCGTCTGCCAAATATGTGTAATAGTCGCAACGACACTGATGCAGCTGTGTAGAATACTGACTTTCCTATATCCGATCGCCCATGGTATCGGTGTCTCGTACGATTCGTTGGACTGGGTATGCCACAAGACCAGCCTGACCAGTTTGTTACCCCCGATATGTGCGTCCCTGTATTCCCGGCAACCGAGCATCCTGCAGGTCGCAGATCCTTTCAGCCTTCAAAACCCTTTCCGTTCTCGAATTGCTACCTGCATACGTGGGTCTATGCAACCGTCCGTTTCCCTTTTCGACATGTTGATTATGGAGATGCATGGGAGATGTCAGTGAAAGACATGGCGGATCATCGTCGTTACATGAATGAGGACCAGCAGAAGCATAACATGCTCATCGAGCAAGGTCGAGATTGCTCACTCTTCAAAAGTTGACATTCACTGACTCTTGCATGAATTCTCCAGCTAGTCCGCCGACGAAGATCGAACCTGTTCCGTCAGCGCCTAGCAGCATAGTCGAAGTCACGCCTGATACCACTGTAGGATCAACAGGTATCGTAAAAGTAGAGGATTGGCTCAAGACTACGGATCGCAGCCATGAACCCCTCGAGGAAATGCATGCGGACGATGAACTCGGTCCTGAAGTCTCCAGTGACGATGCACCTGACTTGCTGCCTGAAGACGAAGTCTCGCCTTCTACTCCCCCTAGCGAAGACGATACCAACAGCCTGGATGAGGTTAACCAGCTCTTCGCCAGTGTCTTCCGTCCTAATTTTTCTCACATCGATGTCGATGTAATACCCATGGTCGATTTTTCGTTCGACCTGACCGAGGTCAAAGAACTCTTGGATCCGCGCGGTTTCCTAGAGGAGGCGGAGGCCATGGCTGAGTGTGTCTTGTTTCAACACCTTTCATATCACACAAGGTATGCTGACAGGTATTCTGGCCAGACTCATTCGGAAATTCCGCGCAGGCACGCTTATTGACGTCCCCGACTCCCATGCTCTTCCAGATCACTCTATGGCGTCCCGTCTGGACGACCATACAATTTCTCTAGATAGCCCGGTGGCGGCCTCTCCGACTGACCCCCTGGCGGTCCTTCCGAGCAACTTCATGGTGGCCCTTACCAGCCATGGCGATCCTAAAGCGACATCCGAACAGTGTCCCAGCCCGGTACCTCCAGTGAGTGATAGGCCAATTGAGAACGTAACCAGCAGCACGTTGCATCCCAGCGCGAACGCTACCGCCGATGTCGTTGACTGTGCGGCGACTCACGTCGAAGCAGCACAACCTCTCCACGATACACCTGCTGAGCTGTCATCTGAGCCAAAGGTCACTTCTTCATCACCGGGCAAAGGGTGGTTCTCGCGACTTCTCCCGAGATGCCAAGATGGCTCAGATGTTTCATCTGGATCGCACGGAGGTTCGTCGTCACAAAAGCCCGTCATTCTATTATTCATCAACCCATTCTAGCCTGGCACCTTTCAAAATGGAGTGGACTAACAATCTACACGAAGGTTTCCGCGGCCGTGACCAGCATTCGCCGTGTTCTCCATTTGCGCCGGAGCGGCGGTGAAAGACGCTAACGACGTTTCATACATGGCCTACCTCGCTGTAGTAGATCGGTGCTGTTCATGGAAAATATACACAGGCTATCAGTATTGCCAGCGCGAAGTATTCATATGGCCCCGCCTGCATGTACGCCTCAAGGCTAATGATAAGGTACGATTCTAGGGTCCCTGTTGTACAGCGCAGCGCTGTCGCTTCAGATGGCGAGTCATAGAGATCAAGAAGAGTAATCCGAGCCCAAGAGAAACATGGGTTCTGGCTTCGGTGCCTAACGATGAAGCCACAAGTGCTGAGGAAGCCAACGCAGGACAGGCCTAGGTACCGGTCCATGATCTGCTTGATTATCCGCGGCATCCTCGAGTTACATCGCCTCTCACCTCGTGTTTGCCGGTCCTAGGGTTGGTATCAGAAGTCAAGTTGAGTGATCTCCATGTCAGCACCATGCGGCGTCAAAACGTGAGAATCCTAGGCTAGGATCGTCGAGGACAGGAGGACACGGAACCAAATGTCAGAAGTCTGAGTCATTCGGCGGCGTCAGGAGGATGATGTCTATGTCCGACGATGAATGGGACACTCACTGCTAACGTTATCGTCGAGCATCGAGCTTCTCCGTTACGCTATGCATCATAGCTCATCTAAGGGACTGCGGCGATAGCCAGAAGATAGCCTTCTATGCAGCCTTTGCCATGCAGCGTCTTCCTGCGGCTTCTAGGTTGTCCTTGAGTGCTACGACGAGTGAGTCTTCCCATGAATGTAAGCCGGTGAAAATACATGAAAGATCCGTCTGCTCCTATCAATTCTGCCGGGGCACACGTAGCATCAGCACACATAACGACAGGATCGGGAACTGAAACTAAGACTCATGGCGAGTGGTTGAAAACTGACACGTTTAAAATACGAGAAAGTGACTACGAAATATAAACGAAATAATCACGCAAGATTTATAATGTAGCACACTTCGGGAAGCTAGGGAAGGTTGTTGCTCTACACTGGTCGCTCTAAAGCTCATACCGCGTCTACAAGTTTGAGTATTGCATTGATGACCGTTCACCCAATTCTTTTGAGACGTTTTATAGCTCAAGCGAGAATAATGTGTGACGTCGAACCAAGTCTCAATAACAAAGAAAATTTACGCGACTTACCTTGAGGATGAACAATGTAGTACGTACGGGGTGTTTGATCTAAGTAAGTTGTTGAGACTAAGTAGTGGTTCGAGAGAGCAGAAAGAACTGGATTTCTCGGCGTCGACGCCGGCTCATAAGTGTACAGGAAGCTCCGACAGCTAAGGTATCATACACGGTTTGCGAGGAGGAAACGATGCACATACAAAGCAGTGATCGAGATGGGAGCCCGTCCGGGGCACAAGCAAGCTAGACTCGACGGATTCAGCTCGGATCCACTCCTGGAAATGTCTCAGCTTCACGAGAATATCCTTCCAGCGCGTCATATTCACTCGCGCGTCTTTCAGCCCTCAGGAGCGTGACGACACTGGTATTCTCGTTCCGCCTACTCCAGTCGCTTCCTCTCGCTTTCAACATCGTCTTCGCAAGCCCGAGAATCGAAGGGGAACAACACCACGTACTAATTTTATCCTTGGTCGTTGGGAGAGAGAGAGAAAAGAGAGAGAGACCGAAACCTTCGACATTCTTCGTCCGGCTTTAGCGCGCTATCCTCTACCATGGTGACCCCAGAGTCTGCGACTCGGACATCCTTTCCTGTGGCGATGATATACAGTTCTAAGGTAGACTCCCACATAACAGTACTCTACGCACCTGTTGAAATTTGCGGGCTAATCCCATGCCTGTGGGGGCCCTGATTTCCTATCATTTGACAGTCAGCAATGAGAATATAATATTGAGATAACACCGTACCGGATCTGGATGGTGGGATCTATTCTGTATCATCGTGAGATTCAGCTGTGCTAATGCGATCAGAAGACAGAAGACGACATACGATTGACGCCTTCCATGATAGTAAAAAACGATGTTTCTACTCTCAGCCCGCTCAGTATCACAGGAACCTGCATAGTGCCATTTGAATTGAGGACATACCGCCCATTTTATCCGTTCTTCCTCTAGGAATCCTGGTTCATCCTCAGTGCGTTGATTCCAGGTCCGTATACGGGCATCTTGAAAGCCGGAAATTCGGTTGATCTGCTCTTCGTCGACCATGTGGTACACACGATCCCTCCCTTCCCACCGCTCGAATGACATCCTATGGGGTATGAAGGAGATCGTAACCAAGTGCTGTGGCTGTTCAGTTTCAGACTTGACGCGCCACCGCGGTGTCGTGTGAACGACGTTTTCATCGTGATCGTTAGCAGCGGTCTGATTGACGAGTACGCTGAAGTGTTCATACGCATACGGCAATTCTTTTTCAGAATCGCCGCCCCAGGTAGCCATCAAGCAGATTGTGACTTCCTCCCCGGGTGCAGCGGTCATGACGACACAAGGTCGAGTTTTAGGACCCATCCCAAAAGTACCGAGGGTTCTGTCTTCCGTTCGCGACGTCAGAGACCCTTCCTGGTCATCGCTGAAGAGTATTCGGAACGGCGCCAGCATGCTCGAAACTACGGCACAGACATGACCACGTTTTGGTCTGTATGGTGGGATGGGTGCAGATGAAGAGAGAGGATGCATGGTCGTGGAGTTGTTGCCGAATGTGTCGTATATGAAGAAAAGCTGCGCCTTTAAAACTCGATTTCCCGCACGACGGATTTTATATGTGGTGGATTTACCGCCCGCGCGCAAGCCATCGCATCCAGTACGTTGCTGAAGAAATCAAGAACCACGAGAAGACCATACATGCGTTTTCCGGTAGTATCCAAGGGTCCTTGCTAGAAGCCCGCCATAGGTTCTGTATTGATGCATTCACACTGTGAGTCAGATGTGCCACTCGATAAGGTACTAGCTTCTGGATTATTCTTTGGTGCTGTCATACACGATTTTCAACCAAGTTTCCGGCGTGGTACGGGGTGGCAGGTACTAAGGATGCATGCACGCTGATGTGAGACTTCTCACGCAAAACTTCCACCTTCTGCAGTTCGAAAGTGCAACATCAGAATCACGAGGTGTGAGAATGACACTAGAAGGGTCAACGGCAGGGAGAGCGTCCTCTACAGGCATAAATTGATCAACAATCGATTTCAGCAGCCCAAGGATCCATCAGTTTTGGACCGAGGTGTTTTCACTATACGGAGCTCCGGATGTTCTACCGTGCATCCGAGCACTTGGTACACGAAAGTACCTGTTTCAGCAATTTTTATGCTAGAAATCCTCATAATTGCCTACTGTGGATGGCGCGCGACGCCTGCATGCACACCGGGTCACTGTCCATGTGACTCCATTTGGCGGCTACGTGCCCAGTATGAGGAATGGGCAAGGATCAGCCACCAGAACTCAGGGCGTTGAGAATATGGCGACGCGTGAACTAGTCAGAAATCCTGAGTTTCCAAGCATCTGTACAGGAGAGACGATCGTCGTGGAGGCCCGGTCCGATATTTGGCCAGCTGTGTGGCTGCGTGGGTCCACTACTGACTAAAACGCGTTTGGGCGTCTCGTGCGCCTCAACACCGATGAGTTCGCCCAGGCCCACCAGGGGCGTCGTACCACCAAGGGGCGTTTACCTTGTCCTGTGGTTGGATCCAGCCAAGATGATCCAGCACTTTGACGACCCTCTTCTGCAAGCGGCCGCGCGCCAGCTGTCTCCTGGCAAATACATAGCCTATGTGGCCGTCGTGCGTCTACCGAACATTTACAAGGGTGGCAACAGCACTTATGCTGTTGCATAGAATACTGATTTCCCTATGCCCGATCGCCCATGGCATAGATGCCTCGTGAGGCTCGCTGGACTAGGTATGCCTAAGGACGAACCTGAGCAGTTTATAACCTCGGATATGTGCGTCCCGATCTTCCCAGCAACCGAGCATCCTGCAGGTCGCAGACCCTCTCGGCCTACCAAGCCTTTTCCTTTCGCAAACTTCTATCTGCATACGTGGGTCTATGAAACTGTCCGTTTTCCATCTGGGGGTGTCGATTACGGGGATGCCTGGGAGATTTCAGTGGACGACAGGGAGGATCATCGCCGTTATATGAATGAGGATCAAGAAAAGCGCGACATGCTTATTGAGAAAGGTTGAGATCGCTCACTCTCTTCGTAAGCTGTCATTCACTGAATCTCGCATGAATTCTCCAGCTAGTCCGCCGGCGAAGATCGAGCCTGCTACATCGGCGCCTAGTTGCACAGCTGAAGTCGCGACAGATACCACTGCAAGACCGAACGGTATCATCAAAGTAGAAGATTGGCTCAATACAACGGACTACAGCCAGGAACCCTTTGAAGAATTACCCATAAGCAATGATGTCAGCTCTGAAGTCTTCAATGGCGATGCTCCCGACTCGTTACTCGACAATGAAGTCTCGCCTTCCACTCCCCTGGGCGAAGATGATGCCAATAGCATGGATGATGTTGACTTTCTCTTCGCCAACCTTCTCTTCCCCGATTTCTCGAACATTGACGTCGACGTGATACCCGTGGTTGGTTATTCGTTCGACTTGACTGAGGTCAAAGAATTCTTGGATCCGCGTGGTTTCCTGAAGGAGGTAGAGGCCATGGCTGAGTGCGTTCTGCTTCAATTCTTTGCATGTCACTCATATGCTGACAAGTATTCTGGCTAGACTTATTCGGAAATCCCGCGCAGGCATGCTTATCGACGTTCCCAACTCCTATGCCCCTCCAGATCACCCCATGGCGTGCCGTCTGGATGAGCATACAATTCCTCTAGATAGCTCGGCGGCGGCTTCTCCGGCTGACCCCCTGGCGGCGCTCCCCAGCAACTCTATGGTAGCCCTTGCCAGCCATGGCTATCCTAAAATGCCATCCGAACAGTGTCCCAGCCCGGTACCTTCGGTGAGTGATAGGCCAGTCGAGGACGCAACCAGCAGTACGTTGCATCCCAGCGCGAACGCTACCGTCGATGTCGTTGACTGCGCGGCGACTCATGTCGAAGCAGCACAGCCTCCCCTCGATACACCTGCTGAGCTGTCGTCTGAGCCAAAGGTCACTTCTTTACCACCGGGCAAAGGGTGGTTTTCGCGACTTCTCCCGAGACGCCAAGATGGCTCAGATGTTTCATCTGGATCGCACGAAGGTTCATCGGGTGGACTAGCGATCCACGCCAAGGTCTACGCGATTGTAACTCGCATTGGCCGAGTCCTCCGCCCACGTCAGAGCGGCGGTGAGACACATTAGCCATTCCCTCATACGAACTCTAAGCTCCCCGTACTAGTAAACCAGCCATGTTCAACAAGAAAGATTGCGGTTTGAGCCAAACATTTCACTACTGCCTGTTCAAAGGTTACATTTTTGCTACTGTCGATACTGCACTTTGATGTGCGAATTCTTTGCTTTGTTAATGCTAATCGTCCCACATACATTCATCGAGTGTCCTGTATCGCGAGATGAGGACCAAGCGTCCTGTCATCTGAACAAGAAGTTCCACTTTGCGCGCTCAGAAGGCGCATCGCACCCGGAATGTAACCGCGGGACTCCGGGAAAAGGCACACGATGCACGAAGCTGATGGCTACACAGGCCACTCGCATCGCCGAAGCTGTCACTATGTGTGCTGCTTCTCCTGCGTGTACACCTCAAGGCCTGCGATAAGGTGCAGCTTGCTGATCGCAAAAAGGGTCCTACTGTGGCAAATCGTTCGGTATGTCCTAACCCCGTTCGGGAACGGTGAGAACTCATTGGATTCCTATTGTACAGCGCAGTACCTGTCACTTCAGATGGCGAGTCATAGAGATCAAAAAGAGTAATCCGAGCCTAAGAGAAACATGGCTTCTGGCTTCGGTGCCTAATCAGTCCGTGTATCGCAGTACGAGAACGGTATTTGTGCCACATTCGTAATGCGAGTGGTCCAGGCTATCACAACACTGCCTCAGAAGGTATGCTTCATCGATGAAGCCACAAGGGCCTCGCAGCATCCACGGATGAGGAACCCAACGAAGGACAGGCCTAGGTACCGGTCCATGACCTGCTTGATTATCCGCGGCATCCTCGAATTACATCGCCGCTCACCTCGTGTTAGTTAGTCCTAGGGTCGGTATCAGAAGTCAAGTTGAATGATCATCATGTCAGTACCATGCTGCGTCAAAACGTGAGAATCCTAGCCTAGGATCATCAAGGCCAGGACGACACGGAACCAAATGTCAGAGGTTTGAGTCATGCAGCGGCGTCAGGAGGAATATGTCTATGTCCGACGATGAATGGGACACTCACTGCTAACGCTATCGTCGAGCATCGAGCTTCTCCGTTACGCTATGCATCATGGCTCATCTAAGGGTCTGCGGCGATAGCCAGAAGATAGCCTTCGATGCAGCCTTTGTCAGATCTTGATCTGCGTGAGTTTACGATTGTGGGTCTCACATATACTCCCATGACAATTTCGATTTAACCTCAAACGGCAATTCGAAGCGAAACACGCAGTGTCTTCCTGCGGCTTCTAGGTTGTCCTTGGGTGCTACGACGAGCGAGTCTTCCCGTGAATGTAAGCCGGTGAAAGTACATGAAAGATCCGTTTGCTCCTGATAATTCTGCCGGGGGACACGCAGCATCAACCCACATAATGACGGAATGGGGAACAAAGACCCTACGCCTCATGGCGAATGAATGAAGACGGAAATGGCGAACGATAACTACAGTGGCCGTGAGTCGGTAGATGTATCAAGCAACAACTTACGCAATATTCGTGATGTGGCGCCCTTGAGACGCCAGGGAGGATTGTTCTACAGCGATCCCGCCAAAACCCCAGCATGCGTCTTCAAGTATCGCAGTGGCGGGGACACTGAAAGAAGTCGCTTGCGAGGATTAATCACAGGTCAACCAAGGACCACGCATCACCAAGTAATGTAGACACACCGAGCAACATGATGAGTGTACTTTATACAGCTGGTACATTTCACTGCGTTCAACAGCGCAAACAAGCCTTCAAGTTGACGCCGATTGAACCAAGCTGAAGCCTGAGTCAAGAAATATAGACCCAGAATTTAAACCAGAAAGTAACTGGCAATGCATCTGACGCACCAATATGTTCACCACCTCATACTCATCCGTTGCTTTTGTCAAACTCAATGGGCGCTTACATTACAATCTCGATGAGCGCTTGTACCACAGTATCGCGGGCGCTTCCTGCGCCTTCGCTGCACTCCTTCTACCAAGACGCCTAAGCCGCGTGTGCATCACATCCTCTGCTGAGCGTATAGTTCATTGCCATGAGTCAACTGGGTCTGTACGCTACTGCTTTACCAGGCAGCTCGTCCTTACAAGGGCCACCTTCACTGGACGAGTTCGTCGACTATTTAATATCTGAGACGACCGACACCACCTCCCTTGTCGCACAACTGAAGGCCTCCAGTATCAAGGATACACGAGACTCGTTTTTGACAGCAAAGCTTTCAAATGGCAAAGACCCCTTGTCTGTCCTAGATCCTGAGCGACACACGATTGGCTACTTGTACATTCTGTACGTCTATGGGCCTTCTCGTACTCAGCAATGACATGAACGCGTTATGGTCTCGTCAGATGTGCGCGATTGCACCAGAACTCCCAGGTTCCTCCTTCCACAGAGGCCATCGAGGAGTTTTGCAGGCGCTTCAATCCTCAGCACGCACGACTGTTGCCAGAAAAAGGTACGCGCATCTGTCCAAAGCCCTTACGACCATAGGCAGGAAATCTTCTATCTCAAATGAGATTTACATTGTCTGTATAGTCACGACGCTTGCGAAGGGCATTGTTGGCCTTGCACGGAAGCTTGAAAACGTGAGCGCCTACATTGTGCAGTGGCGTACTGCTGTCCCTCACTCTTGCCTAGCCTAAATTGGCCTTACGTCCTCTTCATGGTCTCGTAACACGCTATCCAATATCACCCGCACATCTCACTACACTTCATCCCATCTTCCTCACGGTAAGAGGTGTCCATCAGCTGCGATGCTAGACTGAATGATTTCGTTCGACGTAGCTATGCGTAGCGACTCAGCATTTTACTGCGGCTCTACCAGTGCTTGAAACGCCGATCACGACAATCGACATGTCGCTTTCAGATCTCACCTATAACGACAATCTCGTATATCATTATGCAGGCGGCGTGGCACTCGGTGCACTGAAGCGGTGGCGGGAAGCGGAGGAGTTCCTTGAAATCTGCGCAAGTTCGCCAGCACAGGTGCCGGCAGCGGTGCAGATGGAAGCATCGAAGAAGCTCGTTCTGATTCAGCTAATCCTGTATGGCAAGGTACGCACACGAGCAAGCGCACAAAAGTAGCTATAAAACATACCACCGATACAGACCGTCCCACCGCCGAAGTACACAAATCCAGTCCTACAACGGCTACTCAAGTCTTCGCCGTATGGCGCCTTCATCAAGTCATACCCGCAGCAACGCTCACAGCTCCTGAAGCTGATAGAGAAGGATATAGAGACATTCACCAATGTTGGTGCCTTTTCAATTTGTTACTTGACCGTCTGAGAACGTATCCTGTATCACAGGAGAAGAACCTCGGTCTTGTCCGACAGACGATCGACCGTGCGCCGCGATGGCTGATTAGAAAGCTGACGGCGACATATCTTACGATGGGCCTCGCCGACATCGCGAAGGAAGTCGGCATCGAGACCGACGATGAAGTGCGGGCGATCATCCTCAACATGGTAGGTCGCACTATCGCTCATCTAGTAGCTTCATACTAATACTCTGTGCGCAGATCGACTCAGGGGATATCAATGCAAGTATTTCCGCCGATGGAACAGTGACATTCGCGGATCAGCTCCCGCAGATCTCGAAGGCGGATGTCGACCGGCTGCTCAAGCAAGCACAAGAGCAGAGTAGGATGCTACTCGAGATGGAGCGTTCCATGAATTCCAACAAGGACTACTTGAACAAGGTCAGCCATAGCTCTCTGATCTCCGTCGATGTGAATACGGTCATGCGCTAATATATCTTGTCGGAGAATAGGCGATTAAGTACAAGGAAGAGGCCGGGTGGGGCGTGGATGACGACATGTTTAGCTCGACGGCGGCACAGACTGGATGGGTGGAGGAGTCTGTATTCACTTGAATACCTTGTAGATCTAGTTGTAGTCATCTCGCTATCCATTTGTTCGACTTGTATCATGGTAACCATGGATGATGCTACATGTATGTTTTGTACGAAAATAAATACGCGGCGAAGAGTTCTAATAGAGCAGAAAAGGAGTGTATGTCATGTATTCCCGACGCGAGTCGAAGACAAAGCTACAATCATTCATTTTAGGTCACGGCCGTTGATTACGACAAGGATCGCAATGCTTACTTGAGATCTTCCATAGAACTGGATTTGCAAGGAAAGAGGTTTCGTGCAGAGGACACAAAGGGCAAATCGAAGTCAAAGAAATGACTCCGTTTGTATGACCAGGGATATAATTAACACATTGCATACCATTGATGTCCAGTAATATCAAGAGACCTTGTCATTCGCCTTGAGTTTATTCCAATAGGCCTGGCGAAATGCGGGGAGAACAGAGTCCCACCTGGAAACGCCGGCGTCAGATAGGTTACGACGCAAGTGCCAGCTTCACGGATGAGACGCACCACGTCCACACATCGTTCAAGCTACTCTTATCCCTTGACACCTTCGAGTGCTCCAACTTGCCCTGGCTCACGAAGAAATCTATGAGCATCTCCAGATAGTCGTAATCGGCAATCGTGTAGCCATGCTGTAGCACGCCCGTCCTCGTGTTGTTGTACGACATTCTGAACGTAGTCATGTTCCCACCATGCGCTATAATGAGTTTCCAGCTGCACTCTGCCGCAGGGTGCCACGTAATCGGGACCGAGGATGGCGATGGCGGAGGAGGGTCCCGAATGCCCGCGGTGTTCAAGCGGATCACCCAGCTCTTGCTATCTATCGTCCACCGTGTCTGTCCGAGGTAAAAATGATTTTCAAGCGATGCTTGGCCTTCATCTGTCTGCAGGAGCAGCGGCGATCCCGAAGCGATGACACGCCAGCCTCTGCGGGAGTATTTGCTCAAAGCGACGCCTTGATAATCGTTGGCGTCGATAGTCAAGGATTCGCGCCGCTCAAAGGTCGCATACGGATATAGCGAATAAGCTGCGTTGTAGGCAATGAGGTTGAGCACACATGCTGGAGCGTTGCATAAATGTCAGCGGACGGCATGTAAAGGAGCCTTGACGTGTCTCTCACTCGAGTGGTACTCCAAGATACATTGAAAGGGTGTAGCCTTGGGAACAATGATCTGCACCTTCAAAAGGCTAGGGCTGTTGTTCGGTTGGACGAATGTGTACACTTCTAAGATGGAATTGAGTTTGTACTTCTGCAGGTGCTCTGCGTCGATTGTGTCCAGCTGATCACCAACCACAGGAAAGTTATCAAGTTGATCGCTCAGTTCCATCATGGAAAACTTTCTCTCCGAGGCTTGCTCAAAACTTGACTGTTGCTGCGAGTTGGGCCTGAATACGTAGCCATCATTCATCAAAAAGTCTCCGAGCTCCCGCACGCTAGACTCAGGTGTGTAGATGTCTAGGTCCGCTTCAGGATAGAATGTCCTGTCAAAGAACTGCAACGCAAAGGACCCCGAGATCAGGGCACTCGTCCGAGCTTGCAGGTTGCGGAACGCAATAGGATCGGACACGAAGCGCGAGAGGGAGCGGTTGATATCGAATGCACGATAGGAGAAGTCTTCAATTGCGGCGAAAGTCGACTTGCTCGTTCGTCCTACGCGGATAAGTGACGCGGGAGACAGGTGGCAGAATATCTTGTCGTAGACAAGATGCCGGCTGAAGGCGTTGGTCACGTCAGCAGGAGTCTGATCTCTTTGCATTGCGTTTGGTGAGGACCTAGCGTAGACAGTTTTAAGTCTACATGAAAGCTTGCCGTCGAGACTCGAGCTGAAACGCTTACATCGTTGCTGTCCACTTTGAATACCCAAATCGGAGTAGCTAGGAAGGCTTGTTCAAGTACGATGTTTACACTGAGTATCAAGATACTTATAAACAAAGAGCAAGCACTTAGTGCCTTGCGCTCCCAGTGTAGTCCCTGGCGGAACAGAACAAGGAGTAACTAGCGCGAGGAGACCCACCCACAGATACCAGGTTCGGACCGTCCAATAGAATCGGACACTCTGAGACGACTCCGAAAGGACCGACGCGAACCGGTCAATGACAATTCTTGACTGTGGCTAAATCTATAGTATGGATTGAAACTAAAAATGACAGAATACATTCGTGTTTGATTCATCTTGTAGCCAGCAAACGCGCAATAATTCCAGCGTAGAATAAACGGCAATAAGTATGGTATGCGGTCATGTGACCCGCTATCAAACCAGTGTTGTGCGTCCGCCGTCCGGAAATTCCAACTTGGACGTGGCTTTCACTGGCAGAAGGTTCACGTTTACTGCTTTCTGCGACGGATGAATAATGCTGAAGATTTACCGCCATGTCATGCAAGGCAGCGAAAACTCAAACGTCCAGAGATTTTCGAATTCCTTGTCAAGGTTCAGTCAATGAAGTTTCCAGATGTGTACAGCGGTATAGTACTTGCTCCGCTCCCAGAGATGACTTTGACTCCAGGATGCAAACGTCCTCTGAGTCCCTTGCAACCCTCACGATCTGGATCCATTACAATCGGATATTTCCACGTGTATCTAGTGCTTTGAACTGGGCCCAGTACAAAAGTAGCCGGCTACGCAGCTTTATTCTAGCTAGCGACGAGCCCACATGGCCTAGGACCCACCATGATAATTCAATGATTGTCCACATTCCATCGGGTAATCGGCCTAGAGCTCTCTGCCCAGAATATTCAGTGCTCAGCAGCGCTGGCTTTTGGTACATACTAGGCGTCTTCATGATCTGCAACGTACGTACTACGCCTGGAGTACCCTTCTTTCATTGACACGCGCTCAGCTGCAGGTGTAATCTAAAAGGCCTCACCGTGACTAGCGCTCTATGCAGTGTCGTCTAGTCATCACTCTTCAACCCAGGAATCGCATCATGGCCGACCGGGACTGTAGCTCGCTGAAACAGTCAAACATGTCATGGGCCCTGGAGAGTGCGTTAGCTGAAAGCGTTAATCATGGCTCATTCGCAGACGTAGAGCTCTCCTTGTTCAGCCGCCGCCTCGCACCTGGCAAGGTTGGACATCCTCGTCCGGTGTATGCCAACAGCGTTGTTCTGAAACGCACATCGCCGTACTTCCACGGTCGTGAGCACCGCATTTCCTTTGACTTCATAAATCAGGCTCATGCGAGAGCGGGATCCCATGTCAGTTTTGGAAGGCGGTTTCGTCGAGGGGGATGTCAACGCTGGATTACCATCGTTTCCCATTTCCACGGATGAGTATGGCTATGAATCAGACAGCGACCTGGAAGATGACGGGATCGACGAAAACGACGTCGAAAACGAGCACGAGATGGCACAGAGATCACGAGACTCATCGCCGTCTCCGCAGCTAGAAGATGGCAATCGCAAGGGGAAGGAGATTGCTCGTAGCCACTCTATCCCTGCCCGAGAAGCCTCGAGACGTAGCCTTCGCCGGATCATGATAAAGGACTCTGCATTCAACACGTAGGCAGCCACCACTGTCGGATGGATCTTCACGCTGACATTCTGAATTAGGTGGCAATGGGTGGTCGTATATATGTACACTGGACAGGTGGTATTTGCACCGCTCAAGTCACAAGGCCTGGACGACAGGGCATCGCAAAGAGCTCAGTATCGTTCTAATTTCCCGTACCACCCCCTTCCGTGCTCCCCAAAGTCGATGTATCGCTTGGCTGATATAGTATGTACTGAACGTCTATGTTATCAATGAATCCGATCAATTACTTTAACACAGCTCGGACTCGATGCTCTGAAGACGCGCGCCTTTGCTGATTTCAAGGCCAAGCTGTCAAAAGCAAACATCTACACTGAACTATTCACCAAGTTCTCATCGAGGCAAGTCTCTGCACAAATTGCGACGATAAACATACCCTGATCGATCTTCGTTACTAGGAACGATGCAGTCTTACGCGCCGGGATCAACTTCTTCGAAGATTATTGTATGAACACTGGCGCCTTGCCCCAGTTGCAGCGACAGCTAGAAATCATCGCTGTGGGAGATTCCACGCATGGCGTCCCTGTTGTGATATCTTTGTTCAAAGCTTGCCTTGGCCGCAAGAAGAGGTCCCTGCCTGCAACCGCGGTTTCTACTTGGGAATATGGATCAGAAGAGAATGTTGCACCGATAGATGGCTCACTGGACGGTATCTCCAGCTCTGCGCGGGCTCTGAAGGGGACTGGGAAATCCGGGTAATAATATGTGCCTCTCCTTTTGTACCCTGACCCCCACCCCATGATGTGAATACACTGGATGCTTTCCCATATGATCTGGACGATTTGTAGATGCAAGCTGGACTCTGAAATAGACCCATTATGTTGGGCTGTGCTATTTTGCAGAAGAATTGCGCCTAGAGGGAAAATGTTACTCACAAGTGACGAATGAGGGTAGGAATGACGGGAATGAGGTAGGATCGTACGAAGAGAGCGGAGCTCGAACGCAATCGCATTCAGATTTCGGACCCCTGCAGGAAGGCATCCACTCATACTTATCAGGCGCCTTTTCTCCTTTTAATATATAATTGATCCGGGGTTGATGCGACCCAACTTGTTCCCGAGGCATGCCCGACAGGGCGTCTCCCGCGACTCATAAATTGTGCTGCATGCAGACTTTGCATGAATTTCCTGAATCTTGATGCACGCACACATACTTGTTCTGTGATCCTCAACTCAAGAGACGACTTCAAGGTACATAGGCCCTTGTACCTCGCAATTATTTCCTTCGGACACTTCTACACGTACATAGCGATTTGAACGGGTCCCAGAGGTTGCCGGCTACGCAGCTTCGGCCCATCTAGCGACGATTTCGCATCGCTTGGGACACACTGCGGCGACCTTCCACTAGATCTGGGCCTTCAATTGTCATATGTACAAACATAAATGGGCGTAGAGTTACTGTGCCGAGCACTCAGTACTCAGGAGCGTTGGCGTTTTACATAACAGACGTTTCCATCTTCTGAAACGTGTAGCACCGTACGTACTACGCCTTGAGTCCTCTTTAATTATTGATGAGCACGCGGTCGCAATCACCATGATAAAATCCCCACGGCGATACAGAATGCACCGTTCAGTACCTTCCGGCCGTCACACTCCTGGTCTGTATAATCCAGGGATAGCATAATGAGCAACGTCTTCAGCTCGTCGAAACAGTCAAACATACCGTGGACCCTGGAGAGTGCGCTTGCTGCAAGCGTCAGTGATGGCTCATTCGCAGACGTAGAGCTCTCCTTGTTTAGTCGCCGCCTCGCAGCTGGCAAGGTTGGACATCCCCGTCCGGTGTACGCCAACAGCGCTGTTTTGAAACGCGCGTCGTCGTACTTCCATGGTCGTGAGTACCATCTATTTCAACGCTTAGATATCAGACTGACACAACAGCGGGACTCCTTGTTAGTTTTAGAGGGCGGATTTGTTGAGGGGGACGTCTACGCCGGATCGCCATCGTTCCCCACTTCGACGGATGAGTATGACTACGAATCAGACAGCGACCTGGAGGATGACGGGATCGACGAAACCGACGTCGAAAACGAGCGCGAAGTGGCACGGGGCTCTGAAGACGCGCCGCCATCCCCGCAAGCAGGGGATGAAACGCGCAAAGGGAAAGAGATCGCTCGTCCTCATTCTACTCCCGCACGTGAGACCTCGAGACCTGGCCTCCGGCGGGTCATGATCAAGAACTCTGCATTCAATACGTAAGTGGTCAGTGCCGCCGGACGCCGAGGATGTTCAAGCTCACATCTCGGCCAGGTGGCAGTGGGTGATCGTATATATGTACACTGGACAAGTAGTATTCGCGCAGCTCAAGTCACAAGGCCTCGACGACAGAGCATCGCACAGAGCTCAATATCGCTCCAACTTCCCCAACCATCCGCTTCCGTGCTCACCGAAGTCGATGTATCGTTTGGCTGATATAGTATGTACCGCACAAATGTCTCCTCACTAAATCCGATCTCTTACTTCGGTGCAGCTCGGACTCGATGATCTGAAGACGCGTGCCATTGCCGATTTTGAGACCAAGCTATCAATGGCAAACATATACACTGAATTATTCACGAAGTTCTCGTCGAGGCTTGTCTCCACACATAATGTTACGATGAGCGTCGTCTGATTTTCTTACGTTACTAGAAACGATGCAATCCTACACGCCGGGATCACTTTCTTCGAAGACCATTGTATGGATACCAGCGCCTTACCCCCGCTCCAGCGTAAATTGGAACTCATTTCTGCGGGAGACTTCACGCATGGCGTCCCCGTTGTGCTGTCTCTGTTCAATGCCTGCATTTCCATTAACAAGAAGAAAAAGACATCCCCATCTGCGAGTAAGCCGCCCAAGGCTCCTGAACATCCGGACACCGGATCTCCTGCAGAATCAGAGAAGCTGCCCAAAGGGCCGACATCAGGCGGGGTTGGCGGTGGACTTTTTGCTACAAGCAGTGGGACTTCGAGTCAAGGCGGTTCAGTGTTTGGTCAAAGCAATGGAGCTTTTGGTCAAAAGGCTAAGTCTAGGAGCTGATACTTGTATTCCCCTTTACATTGATCAACGTACCCACTGTGTATAGTGAATTCACTGTACAGAGTGCGCGCACGCAACGTAGTCCATTGTTCTCGAAAACAATAGGTCGTTAGATGGTACATGCATATGTGTGACTGGCTGCGCCTCCCATGTAGACATCTGGAATGAAGAATTTTGTAGTGCTGTAGTGAGTGCATTCGGCGAATGACTGAAAGCGGACGTACTTCTTGTACCACAAGAATGCTGGCTCGATTTCCGATTCTTGTCTCCGGACGATTATCTTTGAGAGGCAATGAACACCCCCGTTCAAACCTTCGTAGATCCGCCGTAAGTTACTTGGGCCGAACACGACCGCGCTTTAACGGACATTTGTCAGTGGAGGCGCTTCCGCGCGCTTTCTCGCCACTTGTACGCGCGATCTCGTCATGCTGCCGCAAGCGAGGCTGACACCGCCTGCTCTCGCTCCGATTCCAAAAGCATCTCTGGTATAAATCTCCAGTCCTCTCCTTCAGCGTGCCTACATACCTCCTACCCCACTCTTGACTGCCATGTCGCCGGCTCTGTTCAACGGATCAACCAACAACCATTCTAACGGGATCAATGTATTTGCCAAGCAGACACCCGATGGCTTTGGGACGCGAGCGATCCATGTTGGCTCGGAGGCGGATCCTCAGACTGGGGCCGTCATCCCCTCCATCTCGTTGAGTACAACATACAAGCAGGACGGGGTCGGGCACCATAAGGTTAGCGTTTTCGATTATTATGTATGAGCGCGTTGGCCGGGACTCAAGTCTCAGGGTGCCTCGTGTGTTGTTGACTTGGACATTCTCGTCGACTGAGCTTGCTATGTTCGACGGCGGGCAGGGTGTTTTGTCGATCGCTCGATCTCCGAGAGTGCGGAGTCTGGTTTTTCTCGAACGCGTGGCTCACCACACACATCCCTTGACTGGTGCTAACCATTATAACCCAGGGCTTTGAGTATTCACGCTCAGGCAACCCGAATCGGAACGCCCTTGAGACTACACTTGCGTCCTTGGAGTCTGGCGGCGCCCATGCACTCGCGTTTTCCTCGGGTTCGGCCACGACTGCAACGATATTGCAGTCTTTGGGTCCCAATGCACACGTCGTCAGCGTGAATGATGTTTATGGGGGAACATTCCGCTACATGGCGCGCGTAGCGAGCGAGAACCAGGGCCTTGAAACCACATTCGTCGATTTGGAGAATGCAGATGATGAGACTATCCTCGCGACATTCCGTCCGAACACCAAGGTGCGATCTCCGCGAGTTTTGTCAACTACTGTTGCTCACTTGCACCGCAGCTAGTCTGGATAGAGTCCCCAACCAACCCCACGCTCCGCCTCATCGACATCCCGCGTATCGTCTCCCTCGCACGCTCTGTCCCGTCCTCGCCCCTCGTGCTTGTCGACAACACCTTCCTCTCGCCTTACTACTCCTCGCCCCTCCTGCAAGGCGCCGACGTCGTCCTGCACAGCCTGACCAAGTACGTCAACGGGCACTCGGATGTCGTCATGGGCGCCCTGATCCTGCCCGCACACCACGCCGCGCTTACAGAAAAGCTGCGCTTCCTGCAAAACGCGATCGGGGCCGTGCCGAGCGCGTACGACTGCTGGCTCGCGCAGCGCGGCGCCAAGACGCTCCACCTGCGCATGAAGGCGCACGGCACGAACGCACTGGCGGTAGCGCGCGCGCTGCAGCGCTCGCCGCTCGTCGAGGAGGTGATCTACCCCGGGCTCGCGAGCCACCCGCGCCACGAGCTCGCGTACCGCTCGTTGTCACCGCACGCGCGCAAATTTGTCGACGCGTATGTCGTGCAAGAAGGCGACGGCGCCGGCGGGTTCCCGTATGGCGGGATGATCTCGTTCCGGATACGCGGCGGCGCGGAGGAGGCCGACCGGTTCTTGAGGACGACGCGCCTGTTCACGCTGGCGGAGTCGCTGGGCGGCGTAGAGAGCCTTGCGGAGCTTCCTGCGCAGATGACGCACGGGAGCATCCCTCCTGCTGAGAGGGCTCTGTTGGGCATTGGCGACAACCTCATACGTCTATCCGTCGGGGTTGAAGAGGCGGAGGACCTGGTCGCAGACATTGAACAGGCGTTGCAAGCGGCTGCTACTTCCCAAGTCGCGTAATTCGTATTGTATATCATTGTGTTGTAATGCATGTATTGTAATTGAGGGAATGTCTAGACGGGCGAGAATACACATTTGAAGTTAGACCAACAGCTCTCACTCGATAGTACAGGCATTACTGACGACTACATGCAGTAAGTAATTTACCATTTGTGGGTGAAGGAATCGTCTGCTACGGACTCCTTCCAGATACTCATAGTAGAAGCCTGCTCTTGCTGACCTCTTCAATGTTCTGTGCGATTTGAACTGTGGGCCATCCAAAAAGCCGCTGTATCTAGACCCGTCGCGTAAGTTGCAGACGTGTCGCCACTCTCAGGACACCTTACGGAATGAAGCCAGGCTTGCCAAGAAAGTTCTTGTTTGTACTTCTGTGCGAGTAGGATGTGTAAGTGCTCTCAGCTGATTGAACTCTTCCAACTCGTCTCGCCGGACTCGTACTCACGGGCGATAGGATGAAGACAGCCGCGGCGCGTTAGAGTTAGTCAACAGTATCATGCCTAAATTGTATTACAACGTTTGACGTTTAGTGACACGGGGGTGTTGCATCGTTTTGGGATCCACAGTAACGAAACACCTTGGACAAAGATCCACAGAGTGCACACGGATTAATGATTTACGAGAAGAACGGTCCCCCATGTTGACAGCCCATAACGGCGTCTGAGTAACCTCGATGCTGTCCATATGAGCTTCAGCTGGAGAGCGAAGAATGGCGGGGATATACATCTGGGCTTCAGACGCGTCGCCGGAAAATCATTGTTTTCCTCCAAGAGATGGATCTGTGAGAGACGAGTGAACAGCATCCGCGGTTCTCTTCGGGCGATCTGCCCAGTGTAGTACTCTCCGCAGCTGGTGACTTACAACTCTCGACGTCATTGGACGAAGGGTCATAGTAACCCACGGCAAAGCTGCTGTCGGCTGTCATAATGATTTCACGCAGAGACTTTCGAGCATTCGACCTGTAGAAGAAGTGAGGTCAGAATTGAACCCAACGTTCGCAAACACGGGATGAAACTTGCATCGCAATAAAGGAGTTCACGTGGACTGCAGACTGCAGAATTTCAGTTGATTAGTACATGATAATGCACCGCAAACGAGCTGTATTGGCCACACATTTGGTTAGCGAAACGTCGATGGCGGCCACAGCGTAAGTATGAGGGCCTTCGTCTCAATGCCCTAGATAACATCTTCCTCTCTACCTACTTCCAGCCATGTCTTTATGGTAGTTGAATTAGTTACATGTCTCATACGTGTTAAGTCTGTCGACCAGCTGGCTGCATTACCATATGACCGGCAGCATGGGGTAGCTCAAGAGGTATGTGCCTACGGTCGGAAGTTTCCGCAGCAAGGTTTATCCTTTTGTTAACAATAGCGCAACTACGAGTAGGCACCTTGAAGCTCAAGCTCGCTACACGACAGGTGCGATCGAATAGTGCGACCTCTGCCGCTTACTCGCACTCATGTTTGGAGCGCCGCCTCAAAGAACCAACGTCACGGTAAGGGGCGTTGGAAAGTAGATTTCACGTTCTCGATTGACCTATCACTCACTGAATGTGTCGAGCTGGGAACCTGTTCGGATGGCGTTGTCGGATTGCCATGACCGGCAAAGACCACCACGGAGTTTCTGGGAAGGACCGCCACGGGGTCAGCCGGAGAGACCGCCGTGAGACTATCTACAGGATTTGTGAGGTCACGCAGACTAGTGTAAGGCGAATAAATCGGTGTAAATTACCCTGTACTTTTTTACAGGTAATTTACAGGTAATTTACAATTTATTACAAGGGTGTCCATTGAGAGGTGTAAATAATGTAAATAAGGGTGTGTCACGTATTAGACCCACCCGGGGAGCCACTGCTTGGGCTGACAATCTCTTGTGCCTCTTGCACCAGCTTCCGGGCAGAGCCAAACACGCAGCTTCTTGGACCTTGATATCTGTATAAACCCATTTATAAACTTTAATGAACTGTTTTTACTTCTGCTATTCATTATTCATACTAATTGGTGTCTTGGACGTTCCCACGGTGCCACACTCGAGCCCAATTTGGCAGTAGTGCGCTTCTACAATACCAAAAGCACCACCTTGCAAGTGACAAGAAGAACATACAAGTTTTGTTGCCAAAACTTTTGAGCAGATGCCATCAATTTTTTGGATTGGCTTGATGATCCTACTACAGTTATCTGGGAAGAATCAACTTGAGTTTCTCACTCCCAATGAAGTAACACTTGATGATCTGAACATTCTAGGGATGCTTGTGACATCACCAATGCCATCTAGAACTGATAGCATACATATATTCAGCCTTGTGTGCTTGTGTGTGATGTGTGTGCTCCTGAAGACTTTCATACATTTCTTAACTTTGTTTACCATTTGTTTACTGTTTTTTACATGCTGGAAAACATCACGTGCTAGGAAGGATCACGTGTGTTGAGGTCCCATGACTAAGTGTAATTTACATATTTTACCATGTAAAAAACTGGGTCCCAAACTTGGGTCAGTAAATAACCATATCATACATGCCGATGAATTATTTGCCCTACACTAACGCAGACGAGACACCATGGGGTGATCTGGACGAGCATGGGAGTCGGGACCGCCGCTAAGGGTGCCTGCGCGGGATTTCCGAATGAGTCTGGCCAAAATGCCTGTCAGCGTACCTACCATGTATGATATGGAAAGGATTGAGACAAGACGCACTCGGCCATGGCCTCCACCTCCTCTAAGAAACCACGCGGGTCCAAGAACTCCTTGACCTCGGTCAGGTCGAACGAAAAGTCAACTAGAGGTATGATATCGACGTCAATGTGCGAGAAATCGGGGACGAAAAGGCTCTCAAAGAGCAGGTCAACGGTATCCATGCTGCTGGCGTCGTCGTCGCTATAGGGAGTGGAAGGCGAGACATCATCGTCGGACAGCGAGTCGGGAGTATCGTCACCAGAGACTTGAGAACTAATATCATTGTCCGTTGCCAATTCTTCGAGAGGTTCCTGGCTGTGATCTGTCGTCTTGAGCCAATCTTCCACTTTCACGACTCCATCCGCTTCTACAACGGTATCTGGCGCGACTTCAGACGCCAATGCAACAGGTTCGATCTTCGCTGGCGGATTAGCTGGGAAGATCATGCGAGAGTCAGTGAACGCCAGCTTTCGATGAGAGTGAGCAATCTCGACCTTGCTCAATGAGAATATCACGCTTCTCCTGGTCCTCATTTGTCTAACATTGATGATCATATATGTCCTTCATCGTGATCTCCCAAGCATCGCTATAATCAATGCGGCGATACGGGAAACGGACAGTTGTGTAGGCCCACGTATGCAGGTAGAAGTTCGCGAACGGAAAAGGCTTGGTAGGCCGAGAGGGTCTGCGACCTGCAGGATGCTCGGTTGCCGGGAAGATCGGGACGCACATATCCGAGGTGATGAACTGCTCAGGTTCATCCTTAGGCATACCCAGTCCAGCGAGCCTCACAAAGCATCTATGCCATGGGCGATCAGGCATAGGAAAATCAGTATTCTATGTAGCTATCAGTACCGTTGTCACTATTGCAAATGTCCGGTGGACGCACGGTGGCCACATAGGCTACGTATTTGCCCGGGGACAGCTGGCCCACGGCGGCATGCAGAATAGGGTTGTCAAAGTGCTGCACCATCTTGACTGGATCCAACCACAGGACAAGGTAGAGGCCCTTTGGCGGTACAACGCCGGTGGTGGGCCTGTGCGAGCTCATCATAGTGTTGAGGTGCATGAGAGACTCCCAAATGTGTTTTAGTCACGGCCAGGCGAAATATCGGGCTGAGCCTTGACCACATATCATAAGATCGTCTCTGATCGGCCGATGTTGGAAACTCAGAATCCCTGACTGGTCCCAGTCTTGACCATAAGAATTGAGGCAATGTTATGTATTAAGACATAAAATTCTCCCGGCCTGCTAAGCTAGCAGCGTGAGTAGATAATGTCATTTGGAATCGCAAATCGGTCAAATCAGATAAGCTTCCTGCCCGGGCCAAACCACCCTGACGCGCGCCCCGGCACTCGTTTTGGTCCGCCCCCGTCAGTGATCCGGTTCTAGCTGCCGGAGATCCTGTCCCGCCTGCCGCACAATCCTGTCATGAGTAGAGTACACTCCTGTCCACACATTGAAGAATGGCTCACTCTCTTCATCAGATATTACGCTTATTGGACTATTCAAACCCTCCAAATAACCCCTATATATTAAAAATACTACATGTAGTACTTCGCATCCCGTACGTCCCATCTCGCTCGGGTGTCCTCTCGGGCGAGCGCCAGTGGGCCAACGCACGTGAGAACCGGCGACCGTCGCCGATTAGTCAGGTCTAAGAACCATTTATAGATGTCTAAGTGGGGCGCCCGCAGTAGCTACCCTTGATATCAAATGCGTAGCCTCACCGGTGGTTTGACATTTTATCGGGTGATCATTGAGAAATAGTATAAACGTATTATTGCTTGGAGTGTATGCTAGCAGACCCTTCAGGATGCTTGCATGACATAATCGCCACTTCGAGCACATTTCGAGTGCGCATGAAGCTGAAAGTTCACTGAGGTGGGCTAGCTAAGGAAACATGAGATAATTTGCTGTATGCATTTTTCATAGGCTCTGTTTGTGTTCCAAAGTCAGTGGTCGGATGTTCGAAACAATCCACGGCGAGGGAGAGCTGTTTCTAATTGTGTGGACCGGTGTGCAACCTTGATTTGACAGATGCGGTAGATGAAATGACCGGATTGTGTAATCGGGTGACATTATCTATTTTCGCAAGCTAGCATACAATGCCGATTGCATCCACATACTCTTGGCTGGTTCAAATTCTATTTCAGCACGTCAACGTTGAACTCATTTCGTGCGTCCGTGTTGACATGGGATGAGTATAGTGCAATCAAATATTGTATAACCACCCGCAAAATATCTGCGTTGCACTACAACGTTTGACGTCTATTTATAGATGAGTTTTGTAACCTTTCGAATACATCCATGGGAGTTAGACAACCTGAACATGGATTACAGAGCGCATGCGAATCAAAGACTTACGAGGGGCGCCTTCGCCTCTATAGACAGCCGTCCAATGCGGAGCAACGTCAACGCCATCTGTATGAACTTCTGCCGGAAAGCGCGGAGTGGAGGAGACATATAACTGAGTCGTAGGCGTGTCGCTAGGAAACCTATGCCCTTCGAGAGGGACATGGCTATGAAGCGAGTGTGCATCAAGCATCCGTGGTCCTTCTCCGATTTGGCATCGTATAGAGTATTCTCCGCACGTTACCAGTGACTTTTGAATCTCGAGATCTCTAGACGAAGCGTCAAAGGGACCTAGGAAAAAATCGCTGCTGGTCATTATGCTGATTTCACGTAGTGATTTCCGGGCACTGAGCCTGTATCGAAGCCAAAGTCAGAACTGAACATGATGTTCACGCGCACAAGAGCAAACTTGCATCGCCACGAAGGGATTCACAGAATTCCAACAGGTCAATATGAAGTAATGCATCAGGAGACAGCTGTATCGCTCATACGTTTTGCCAGCGAGATCTCGATAGCGGCTATGGCGTAGGTGTGAGGTCCTATTTTGATCTGGACGCAACAGTGTAGGTGAGCGACACTACATCTGAAACTTGAAGCTTACGCCAATGATTCCTGCGAGAGAACATAGGCTGGTTCGCAGAGGTTTGTTAAATATTTGCGAAGGACTACATAGCTCTGAACAGACACACCTGGTGAGGGCTCCCGTGTTCAGGGTATAAATCATGATGATAGTGATAATCGAATCCGTGCTACTCGTTTCGGAGTTAGCCGGCAGTCCTCGTAACGCGGATGGATACTGACCGACGCAAGCCAGTACGATTGTGATACAGGGTCCAGTATTGCGATGTGGTGATCACTGCATCTATTCCAGTATACACTGATAGCGGATAAACCGTGATCCACTGCGGGAACTACTTGTTGTGACGTCCGCAACGCCAACGGCAAGTGAACTTACCTGCCGTGCAAGCAATGTACTCGCGCCTGCGTTCTGACCAACACATCTAGTGCTTCTCAGCGTATGATACAAACAAATGAGCGCGCCCATACCTACATTTCGTATGATACAGCTAGGGAAAGATCAACAAATCCATCCCGAGCTATAGTCGGTATAAGGATAACTTACCGATTGTAGCAGCTACGATACGGAACACACCCGTAAGATAGGGAAAGAGGGCAATAGTAATATCGAAGTAGATCTCTTATCAAAGCCAAGGCAGACAAACAAAGCCTATCAACGTGGAACTTGATTCATTCTGGGCGAAATGTCCGAGGGAGAATAACAGGACCCACAATCATAAGGGGGATAATATATCAGGTCAAGCGCGTTGCTTGATTCATTGCCGAGTACGCTGATAACTCAATGTAAATCCCTCGCGGGCAGACTCAGTAGGAAAGAATGTACGCGTCCAAATGCGAATCGCATACAGCCTGTCACGTATCATTTAGCATGTGCTTGAGAGTTGCCACGACAGCCAACCCTCACGTTTGTACTAAGGAAATGCTCACAGCCTATCGGCATTTTTCTCAGCCAACAGATGACTTCTAAGCGGGAATTACTCACGCCTGCAACTTGATGAGCCTATTCAGAGAACGGAGAACGATCAACATCGTGCGTTACAGGTGCCAGTTGTATATAGCTCACCTTGAAGCTCCACACACCCATCAGCAAGTTAGAGGGGTTGCTGTAGCTAGTGATGACATAATAGTAGACGATATGGAACGAAATAACGACGCATAGTGTGTCGAGAACCCTGCAAGTGAAAATGAGGGATTCCAGTCATCGACACATCAAAGAAGTGCGTCCTAAATGAGTATGGAAATATGAGGCATGAATTTATGATACATGCCAGAGATGACAAACGGTTATTTTGATCCACCTACGATCGTTCACGTAATTGGTGTAATACACGTACACCTGCAGATTTGTCACTCCGTGTAGTCTGACCGTTAGTTTGAGCGATACAAGGAGTTAATATTAGTAGTGTAATGGCAAGGTATCAGTCATCGGACATACATTGCGGACAACAATATGCCAATTAGCATAGCTCCAATGGTCGGTGCAATATTGTTTGAGGTAGCCATTCACGAAAGGCTTTCTAAGAACACGAATGTTCCTCAGACGCGAGATGCAAAGGATTGCGAGAACGAAGCGGATAATTAAACACAAAGGTAGTGGCAAAAATACCGGTGGGCCAGAGGGTAGCACTAGGGAAAGCCATGTGAGTTCAGTACTTGGCCTCAGGGTTGCGCCTTATATGCATCGCGTGGAACTTCTGAAGACACCACACGTTGATTATAGTATGAGTTACTCGTTCATCATTTGCGGTATCGGGATATTCGCACCGAGATGGATTTTTATGATAATGTGAATGGTGGGCGCTGATGTTTCCAGCGCATAGACCTTCTCATTCTTCTAATAACCATAAGGAGTCCCGATAGAGTACACAAGTACCTATGTACAATGTGACACCTTGAGAGATGTCAAGCGCTACGAGGCTTGAACCTATGTATATTTTTGGAGTCCTAGGGCGTCCGACGTAAGGTCTCCGACGGCTGTGCTTGAGACATGTTCTGGCCGAGGAGCGAGCGCTAGAATTAGAAACTATGGTCGCAATTTCATGAGTCCTCAGGTCCGTAATAGCGGGCTGACCTCACGGGCGTATTCAACGTAGACAAACATTGTCTTTTGGTGATAGAATGCGCAAGTCGATGAGGATCGTAGACGAAGCAGGAATGAGTAGGTGTGATTCACCAAATAGTGCTGAGCTTGACTGAACGCGATACCACAACAGTGAGCACAAGCATAGAAAATTTGCTCGGATCCGGGTGTCAACCAGGATCGATGAAGTGCAGTGCCTGTACACAGGTTTAGCGCGAAATTATGCAAGCGGATAGGGCTTCAAGCTTCACGGTCTCAAAGCAAAGGTGGTGCACGCCGGAGTAACATCGGGATTTTTCAAGCGTCTACCCTCGATAGCATGTGATTAACGCGTCGCGTCAGTCGCGTTGGTCCCATCGAGGCGCCCCGATGCTTACCCGGCTCTCGGAGCAGGATTCTAGTGTTCAGCGCAATGCTATGCGTGCCATTATGGAGTGATAACACAAGTACGAAGATGATGGTAGTATCTCTGTTCTGTGTTGAGTAGACAGATTTATAAGTCCGGGCTATAGCCGATCATTTTCTCATTCACCTTCACATTTCAGAAGTAGGAGAAAAAGAAACTACATTCCCATCTTGAAGCCATACCCTACACCCAAGAATGTGAACACGAGAGAATAATTGAAGATCATGATTGGCATGTATCAAAACCCGCGTCCGCACATCGAGACGTCGAGAATGCATGTGGAAAGATGTTGTACATTTGTGTTGAGGCACAGGTGAAGAAGATATCGTGTCAGGATGCCTCCGCGCACTCTCAGGACGACTTCTTTCCGGCCTTCTTGGCCGCTGTTCTGGCCCGCGTGATTTGTTTCTTCCACCCATAGCATTGACTACATGCTGCACAGCATCGGGATAATAATTAATGAGAGAGAAAATCGCAGTAGCTGACGAAGACACTTACCAGTAGAACCGTGCTTCTTGCACTGGTGCTGGCCCTCCTTGTTCACACTCGACGGCGGGGCCTCAAGACCTTCGCGGTCAATCGGATCGAACTGTCCCCAAGGTCATCATACCTCAGATAGGGGTTCTCGAGATAGACGAGCATACGTACACCAAAGAATGCATCATTCTCTTCCCGCCCATCGAACGAGCATACAGCGCACTGCAGATCGTACCGGGTAAGGATTGCCTCCGTGGCGCCGGTGAGTGCCTATACTTACGACTTCCTTGAAGTGCTGGCAGAAAAGAGCGTCGTTAATCTCAACGGAGTTTGCGCTCGTGTCTGACATGGTGGACAAGAAGGGATGGACTGAAAGGATAGAGCACGATAGGGGCTATGCCGGGTTAGTCGCGTGCGGGTGCAAGATTGAAGGCAGGTGAGAGCGCGCTGCGGCATTTTATATAGGTTATCAGGGAGAAGCGGAAGTTTCCTGGGTACCTGCGGCTCCTGACCTAGGAAGCTTGGAGTGAGCTGGGCATCTGACAGACTCTGGAGGCAGATGACCCCCAGTCCCGTCAGTCCTAGGCCGCCTTCGATCCCCTTTGTAGTATCCAGGCTGTCACGTGGGCGCCATTGCATGGAACACACTGTGTGATTTCGAACACAATTGCACGAACACCGACGCAAGGCCTTCTGAATTGAACCAGGGCTCTACCGACAACATAATTTGTTCTCTTAAAAGAAAGAGACTGGCCGAACCGATCCCCAATACCGCAGTCGACAACTTGAAGCGCCCTGACACCGCGGCCAGTTGGAGACATAAGCCTCGAACTTGATGGCGGTAGCTTCGCGTCTGCTCTCAGGGCGGGCGGGACCATGAGAATGACGTCATGGAGAAGGATACTTACACCATACCTTCCGATCAAGCGGCCAAAGCTGCATACGCGACACTAGTCTTGATTGGCTTGAGTACGATGCGAGAAGTCGCCGCCAAATTCAAGAGCAGTGCAGGGCGTTTCCTTCCAAATAGTCTCTACCAGCCTCCAGTCTTGCCATGGCCACCGTCGCTCCCACAAGGCAATCGAGATTGATGCCTCGAAACTCTCGAAGGCAAAGGCCGGGCGGTGCCCTTCTTGCAAAGGAGCTGGAAGCCCAATAAACGAGTCTGGCGAGGCGGCAATGCTGACGGCGAGCTTCCTTGTGAAGGTCTTGGTCTCCAGGTTGAACGTACCTGACACACTGTTATGCTCAACCCGCATATAGGGTGAAAACCGTCCGATGGCAAAAGTGAAAGGCGGCCTGAAGTCCCACTGGAGCCGCGGGGAACGATAACCAATGAGATAGGACTGGACGCCGTATAAAGCGTCGCCGCCGGCAAGGCAAAATGTGCTTCCCATTGGGCCGGATGCTTGGCTCCAGATCCAGCCAGAAGGAAAGGATCGCCCCCAGTTCTTTTCGACGTGAGCAGTCCCCTTGCCACGCTGTGTTTGGCCGGCACGTGTAATGCTGCACTCTGCATTGCTCGCCGTTGAGCGGACATGCCAGTTGAGGGGCAGAAAGTCCGATAGGTGGAGAAGCGGGCCCATAGGACCATCGAGCGGACGCTCGTACGACCAAGGCGTATCCTTTGTGAGACGAAGATCAACGTGGAACTCCAGCTGTGGCACGGAGATCGTGTAATGTATGCTAGTCGACGTGACCTCCATCGTTCCTATGTCTTCTGCTGAGAGTTTGAAAGCCCGATCATATTCAGGACGAGCAAGCGGATGGACAGTGGTATCGATGCGATCGGGGTAAAACTCGTACTTGAAGGGCGGCAAGATGCTGTTGCTACCTGGCTGGTACATGACGCATACTAGGTTCTCGCGCGTCTTCGCGCCCCTGACGCAGCAGAATATAGTCGCAAGGGTTCCGCCATCGTCGAGCTGGGTACGAGTGTAATAGCCTTCGAAGCCAGCTGACGGATGAGGAGTGAAGTGATCGCGTCGACGAACAAAAAGTGAAACGCCAGTGATTAACTGCACATAATCGAGCAAAGTCTTCGTGAGCGCAAGGGGGAATATATGTATGCTCCTCCAGAGCATGTTGGCAACAAGGATTGAGAAGAGCACCGCCCGTGGAAGACTGGACTCTGAAAATCTGTATATGGGCGGTGGAAGTTACTGGACAACGTGCTGATTTCCGTACTTACAAATGGCACTGGCTCTGCACAATAACGGCGATGGACTGCGTCAATTACAATAGCCGAAGGAGCGAAAGGGAGCGAACTGGGGCCGCTTGTCAGCGAGTACTAGTCCTAACCCAGGGGTAAGATCGCACAAAGGATTACTTCCTATACCATATCATGTATCATTAAGCATTCTAAAAGCCCGCTTTATTTCCGCTTGGAATCTTGACAGTCAATAAAGTGGGATGATTGACGAGTGGATGAGTGAGGTTGACAAATCAATTGCGCGTACGGTTGGCGGGTGGGCGCAGGTCTAACTTCGTGCCTCAGCCACTGATCGGGTCTTGCCGGGGTCCTCAGAGTGACTAAGTTGTAACGTCTAGTGATAGTAACACTGCATGCAGTAATCAATTTTCTTGCACAAATATTGATTTGAAATTAAATTAAAAGTGAATAGGACCTATTGAGTCTTATTGATGTAGAAATCTAATGGAAATCGAAGAGAATTCAAAGAAACATTGAAAGAGACAATAGAAAATGGATTACATAATCGATTTTCCTTCGATTTCACTTCCATATTAGGCGCCAGAATACTGATTAGGTAAATCAACTTTTCTTTAGTTTTAATCTAATTTCTTATACTAGAAAATTGATTACTGCATGCAGTGTAATGGTCTAAATATTTTCCTTATATCATGCTTACATAAGATACCTTTGGCAAGCAAATCGTCCATTGGAATACCAAAATAGAGTATGTACCTAAGACAATTATCATGATAAGATGGCTGATCATGAGCATATGGTATCAGAAAATAATCGTTTGCATTTACTTGGCGTGTCGTACACAACTTAAGTGTGCCAGCCTGTATATGTGCAACTCTACTAATATTCTCAAGCACATCATGATGCACATTTACTACTGTATTGAAAGCGGCTATATCTACTCAAATTGTACCTTAGAAGGAGAAAGTACCAGGCTAGAGGGAGATATACATGGAGGTGAAAGACGTGTATATTTACAAACTCGAAGCAGGACCTTACGTAATCGGACATTGGCTTAGTACACTTTGCGCCGTCGCACCTCAAACCTTCAGATCTCAGTGCTCGCATATTATTCCTGAGCAGCGAGTGACTCATTTGTTTGTATCATATGGCGCGAACACTGCTCATACCTTCATCTCCCATGCCGCCGATGCCGTCAAGCAGAATTCAGCCCTTGTTTGGATTACGTAATGGTCCGTGTGAGGCTCTGTCACGCTGAGATCTATCACGGGATACCACCCGAGGCAGGACCCCATATCTAGTTACCATATCTTGACCTGCGCCCACCCGCCAACCGTATGCGCGCCAACTGTATGCGTGGGAATGCAATACTTATTATCTCGATAAGCAGTGGGTCTATAGCCGCTCAGTTTGCGAACGACCTGCTTCTGCCTCTCCTTTGCTCTCGTCCTCTGCACTCTTGACCGTCGGCGAACATGGCAACTGCAACGTATGAATCACGGATTCCTCTAATGCGAGTGGTATAGTGACGTTTACCATCTGGGCAGGGCCACGAAAACTTCCTGGGCAGACGATGTCGATGAGCTCGGTAAGTCTTTCTTGCGCTAGGTCTCTCTCTCGCTGAACTCAGGATATCCTCCTTTAGAGCAGCCTCCTAAGGGTGAAGATTATGTTGATGAGAATGGCATCCGGATTACGGTTGAGTATACGATCAACGATGAAGGCAAGAAGGTGAAGGTGCGTAAAACCTTCCCTCAAGTGTGTCCGCAGAGCACCCATCGGTTTGGATAACAGATCACGAAAAAGACAAAGAGAACGCTTCAAAAGGCCGTCGTCGACCACAGCGTTGCGGAGCGTAAGACATGGTCGAAATTTGGACAGGAAAAGGGCAACAAGCCTGGTCCTGATCGAGCAACGACGACGGTCGGCGAGAATGTCGTACTTAAGCTCAGTGCTGGAAACAAGGTGCGTCAAACCAAATTTGCGTCACTCATACTTATTCCTGATGTGTTGCTCTACCCTGCAGTCGTCAGAACCTGAGCAGTCTGCCGAGCAGGCGATCAAGAGCAACCTTGCCCGCGCAGGTGCTGGCAAGGTCGTGTGTCGATTGTGCAAGGGCGATCACTTCACTGCAAAGTGTCCATACAAGGACCAACTTCCTGGGCTGGATGGCGCAGGTCGGCCTCTTTCAGTATTTCTACCCCAGTCAGCCAGGTTGACATGATTTTAGATACCCCTCCATTCGGCGGCGGCGACGACACTGGCGCCCCTGCGGAGCCTGCTGCTGCCCCGACCACCGGTGGCAAGTACGTCCCGCCGTCCATGCGTGGTGCGCGGGGCCCTGGCGAGTCAATGTCACGGCCAGGGGGCAATCGCGACGACCTTCCAACCTTGCGTGTCACCAACATTTCTGAGGATACGCAGGAGAACGATCTGCGTGACCTCTTCGCCCGATTCGGCCGCGTGGCGAGGGTATATGTCGGTCGCGACCGCGAGACGGGTGCAGGCAAGGGCTTTGCGTTCGTCAGCTTCGAGGAGCGAGCGCATGCGCAGAAGGCGATGGAGAAGATGCATGGTTTTGGTTACGACAACCTCATCCTGAATGTCCAGTGGTCACGTTAGTCACTCCATGCAGCCCTTCGCTCTGACCATTACACTAACCATGATTACTTGTTGCAGAGCCAAGGGAACAGAGATAAGATTGAAGTGCTATGTTTCTATAGTCCACGTCTCTCGTGATCTCTACAGTTGTATCTTTTACCGCTGTATTTTCTACTCATTTGCTATCGAGCATCGCAGATCATGACACTGCATTGCATATGGATTCGGTCTGATCGTCCTGTAAGGATTATGGTTTTAACTCAAAAGCCGGTCGGCGCAACATTGGACAACGATTGGACCAAGACCTAACCAGTCAAGATCGTGAGGTCAGTTTATAATGCGCCTTCCGCCCGTTTCCCCTCCCTTCACCTATTTCCCGCATACCACCACCTGCACTGCATTTTGCACGCGCATATACCACACATATCACGCCATCATGTCCGTGAATTACGCACGCTTCAGCTACTACCTCTACGACGAGACCGTCGGCAAGTGCGTCCCTCGGGAATTTTACGTACCTCTGCCGAAGGCCTCGGAGCAGAACTTCGGACCTGTCCCCGAGCACGAGGCCGGCATGCCGTGGAAGATGAAGGTGGCCCCCGATGGCGCGCGCTACTGCGAAGAGCTCGACGCGTACGTGCCCGCCCATCTCACCTACACCATCCGCGGCATCAAGCAGACCAAGGCACCCCTCAAGGACCGTATGCGTTCGCGTCGCTTCTGGCGCGTGGACGGCAAGGACGCCGAGGTGGACCGGACCGTCTGCGCGATCGGCCTCACGCACGGCAAGATGACTCTTGTCTCGCTGAAGGATGCGCAGAGCGACGAGGCCATCAGGTACCGTGGTCTTTGAGTGCATGCTTTGCTTCGGGACGTGTGGCGGCGTCGAAGGCGTTGTATGCCGCGGTACTGCCGACTTATAGGCAGGCGGGTGCGGCGCCGTTCGCGTCGTCTGGAAAGAGCGGATGGGGGGCCGACGACGCTGGCTGCTGGTGAGGGCTGGGCGGTCTGCCTGGCGCGAGCTCCATGCATGACTGCCCGGGTATCCCGAATATCGGCTGCCGGTTGAGGCCAGGGTAGCCGCTAAAACAAATACAATACAGCGTGATATGGCGGGGGCCATGATCGTTGACAATTCTTCTCGTTTCTCCTCTTCCTTCTCTTTCCCTTATCGAGAAAAGTCATAAGATTCGGACAAAAAAGCTCAAAACCATAAAGCAATAAATGTACAATCGCATGCGCACGCTGACAGCCTTCTATTCTTTGTCGCCTCTCTACAGGAACCGAAATGGACAATACGATGCGCGCGCGAGACAGTTTCAAGACCTACAGGACCCGAAGATCATTCGGCCAGGTATAGCCCGCTGGGGTCCGGCGAGGCGTCGGAGTGAAGGGATTCCATGCCCCCTGATGACCTCCACGTCTCGCTCCCTCAAACGGCCTTTTGATTTCATCTCTTATAGTCATGGTCATTGATCGGTCCCGGTCCCCAACAGTATCTTCTTCCAATCAGGTAGTAGACGTTCCACAATGGTGTAAGCAAGACGAGCAGTCGCAAAAAGTGTGGCGTCGCCGACAGCGGTATAGTCATTTGTGCCCGGTATCTATGTCCAAGTCAGCACTCTGAGTACTTCATTGCAGTCCTCGTATGACATGGAGCGTCGTCGATGGCATTTCGTTTGTCGCAGGTACGTTCTGTGTTTATCACTTCGACAACGTACTCATAAATTATATCAGGACACAAATATCATTTACGCTCTCTACTATTCGCAGATGCTAGAACTCATCGCGTTACCACTTCAGACCTACTATACTCTGGAGAGACGGCCCCCGCTTTTGCTAGGTATGCGTCAATTGTACCGTTCTGGCCCTGATCTGATGATATGCAGAATCAGTTCATTGTCGCCGCCGCGTTCACATCTCGACGAAGACCTCGGCTGGTAGGGTATACAAGAGAACGGCCGCTCTTGTATGTTCTCTCGACCGAGTCAGCAAATCGAGCAACGGTACGGTACGCTTCTTTCTCTCTCTCTGATCCTTACCTGTCTTGGACACGCTGAAAGTCTCGCACAGCTAGCTCGCGTGACGGGCTATAGTGGGCTCTCCGAGTCCCTGACAATTTTTTCCACCCTGCAGCGTTCGCGCTCGCATTCTTCCCTTTGTCTTTTTCTTTCAGATACATACAAACCCAACGCGTTGGCGTGTCTGTACGAGGCCATGGGTTGTGGTGCGGTATCTAGCGCTTCTCATTCGGCGGTCTTCATTACTGACGACCCTCGCTGTAACCCAGATGTCCGTCGTTGCGCCACACTCAACCCGCGCGCTCGTACGTCTCGCTCAGTATGATCTCGTGACCGCATAGCGCGTCTGATCTCTCGCTAATCGACATCCCTAGCCCCCTCTCCTTAGCCAGCCTCGTATCCTCTGATCTGATCTGATCATCCGCATGCGGCGCATCGCGGGCAGCCCGCTCAATTTTTCCTCTCTGCAGCGTTCGTCGCTTGCACTCGCCTCCCCGTCGCCGGTCGCGGCTAGTCCTAAGACTCGGCGTAGATAGCGCGCATCGTCGTAGGACGCAGAACGGGGTGTGAGCCTCCGTACGTGGACGTCTGGGGGGCGGGACCGCAGCTCCGAGTAGAGTAGTGCACACTGCGTAGCTCTGTCACCGTAGACCGAGAGAGACGTGCACGCGCACCGACCGAGAGAGTGCCCGGCGCGGGTTCATCAGTACATGCCCGCGCCGTAAGGACGGGCATCGCTCGCGTGGGCAACGCAATACCAGGCGAGGCATCGTGCCTCCCGCCGTGCCTGCAGCCACAGCGGGTCCCGCCTCCGAAGGTACGTCCTCGTTCCCGCTAGCGCCGCCACGACGTGCCGTCTGACCACGGATCGCCTCAGCCAGGCTGGCCACCCTGCGCTGCGCTCCCTGCTGCCGCTGTTCGCGCAGCCGAGCCCCTCCCCCCTGCATTGCGTCCAAGTCCAACGATGCACACGGCCTTGCGCCGCATCGAGCGGGTCGCGCCCGTTCGAGTCGCTCTGTGGCTGTGAGCACCGAGCAGACAGAGACCCTCGCGGCTGCGACTCTGCACTATGATAGCCCCGTACCGCGCTCCGCGCTGCGCTGCGCGTCGGGCCCCGCGACGCCGTCCCCGGTCCTGCGGTCGATGGCGCCTCGCCGCGGGCTTACGCAGAACCCCCGCTTCCGCGGGGCCGGGCCGTGCACGCACCCCCCCCGTTGGGGGAGGAGGGGGGGGCTCGACATTGACATGAGCGGTCGCCGCGCGACGCGCACCGGTAGCGATGCTCGCGCAGCGTGCGTCTTGGTGCTGGCAGGCGCGTCCCGCGTCCCGCGCGGCGCGTCCTCCCCATCGCGCCCGCGGTCGTCCGGCCACCTCAGTATTACGCCCGTCCATTTCAGGACCACGTCGCTGCCGCACCTGCCCCCCCCCCCCCCGCCTCCCGTCCAGCGCCCAGGTGCCCGGCCCCCGCGCACGGCGGCACTACACAGCACATACATACGTACATACATACATACATACATACATGCACACGCATCGGGGCGCGCGCCGCCCGGGCGCCAGGAGACGCAGTCGCGCGGGGGCGCCAGGGGATGCAAGTCGCGCGGGAGGCGCCAAGGCCCCTCCGCGTCCGCCGCTACCCCGCGCGCGGGATCACTGCGGGCCCATCGCGCGCGCTGATGGACAGTCCAGCTGTGCGTGGGCGGCGGTCGCCATATACAGCAACGGGAATATTAATGTAAGTAGTGCGGCTGGCGAGGGCTATCGAGCGCCTCCCCTGTGCACGCGCCCCGGGTCGCGGGTCATGCGGGCGGGGACGAGTGGCTGCGCGTGCGCGGACCCGCGTAAGTGCGGTGCGCCTAACCACTAGCTCGGGTCGTCCGCTGCGGACTATCAACAGCTCACGATGGGAAAGACGGGAGCTCAAATGCCGCGCGCAGCACGCGTGACGCCAAGCGCACCACGCACGAAAGACGAGAACAACTTGCGATGGTAATAAAATGCGACTCTACGGATACAACAGGAACAGGTAATGTTCGGTCCGGACAGACAGCTTTACGGCGCAGCAGAAGGAGAGGGAGACGGCGGAGGGGGCCGCTCAGAAGGAGACCTTGGAGACGACGCTGTAGAAGTGCTCGCCCTGCAGCTTGGCGAGCTCGAGCTCGAGCGCACTCGGGCTGCGCGAGCCGTCGGGGCCTGCGAAGGTGCCGGCGCCCCAGGGCGAGCCTGTGTGCGGGAGGGGATGTGAGCGTGCGTTCGAGAGACGGGTATATGCGCGAAAAAAAGAGGGGTGGGGGTGGGGGTGTATGCGTGCGCAGGCGACGGCAAAGAGGGGCACTCACCACCGCGGACCTCGGTGAGGTTGGCGAGCTGGCCGAAGGTCTTGCTGTAGCCGAGGGGCACGAAGATCATGCCGTGGTGGACGAAGGTGGAGAGGCAGCCGATGGCGGTGGCCTCCTGGCCGCCGCCGGGGGTGCCGGTGGAGATGAAGACGGAGACGTACTTGCCGGCGAGGCTGCCCTGGGCCCAGAGGGAGCCGGTGGCGTCCCAGAAGGCCTTGAACTGGGCGGGCATGGTGCCGTAGCGGGTGGGGATGCCGAAGAGGAAGGCGTCGAACTGGGGGAGGTCGGCGGGCGCGAGGATGGGGTAGGCGGGCTTGGCGGGGGCGTGCATGAGCTTGAGGATGTCCTCGGAGAGCGTCTCGGCGATCTGGTAGATGGTGGCGGAGCCGCCGGCGGCCTCGACGCCGGACTTGACGGTCTCGGCGACTGCAGGGGGGTTAGTGGGCGCGCAGAGGGCGGGGGAGGGCACTCACGGGTGGCGATGTGGCCGTACATGGAGTAGATGACGATGGCGATCTTAGGGGCCATGGCTGGGATGGTGGTAGTGATGGTAGCGGGTGCGGGTGCGGGGGTGGAGGCGGGTTTTACGGCGGCCTTGGTTGGCTTGTCGTCGTCGTCGGAGAGGGCGTTCTTTGTACGCTTGGTGGGGAAGCACATGCAAGTGGTGGTGGGGCGAGTCGGACGGCGGTGCGGCGGTTATATAGCACAGCAGGCGCCACGCAGGAGGAAAGAGCTGCCATAACGGTCGCATGCGTCAGACAGCGTCAGCGCCCTGGCGTAATGGCAGAGCGCGTCACTTGACAGTGCTGCAGCGGCGACTTTCTGGAAGGGCAGAACGCCCGCCACCGCGCTCATCGATGGCGTCTGCGTGGGACGACCTGCCCGCGTTGGGCGAGCACACGCTGCACGCCCTGGCGCTGTCATCAGAAACCAGACCCTGCGAGGCCAATCCATCCGCCGCAACGCCCGGATCCGCCAAGCTCACCCATGACGTCAGACGGCGGGAAGTCACGCCCGCAAAAGGATGCCCTTCCGCATTGGGCACCGCGCTCCCGCCCATATGCGTCCTTATTGTCCCGCGCCCCGGCCACACCCACATGATAGGCGCTGCGCGAATGTTCTCCCACACTCTCTCCCCCTCGCAGCCCTGGCGCCGATCCCGCATCGAGCCCGTCTTTCTCATGGCCCTGCCTGGCGCGCACACATACCCCTCAGCACGCCTCTTCGCTTGCCGTCACCACGTCCGCGCATTCTCGGTGATTGCGTGAACCATCCCCTGAACATGACCCTGCATGCGGCACGTCCCTCTGAATCCGGTCCGTCGTTTCTGCTGCTGCATTCAGCGTAATCTACACCGCGCATCAGTGTTGGGCCAGTCGTCTGCCAGTCGTCCCAGTCGTTCCCACGACTGGGGCGATTAATCGACGACTGTACGACAGTCGAAAAGTCGCGGCGACTTTTCCCACGGCTTGCGCAGACACGGCCCGATATTCACGCGCCCGAAGAGTCCCAAAGACGCATCGGATCAAGGGATGAGGGGGCCCAATGACTTTACTTGGCTGCCTCTCTCTGTCATTGAGAGATCTATTCGACTTCAAGATGCCGCAAGGATGGAAAAGAGGGTTGGACATATTTGCAGGATGAAGTTGAGTTGTATGAGCTTCTCGACTTCTCATCTTCAATGCAGAAGATAGTATTGACTGAGTGCTGAGTCTCTGCCAATAGGATATACATGTATTTTCATTTACATATCTTGCTAACATCACATCCTGTTGTGTACATTATTTTGTGGCCAAATCTCCCTCCATTCCCGCATCACCTCTAATGTCAGGTGTGACTGAATGGTCGTGGGAATAGTCGCCGCCGTGGGAACAGTCGTCGTCGTTTGTAGTCGTTTCGACTGACATCATGCGACTAAACGACAGTCGCACGATCATTCGACGACTCGCACAACACTGCCGTGGAAAGCTTGTGCTTCATTTGGTTGGGCGCATCTGGGCTCATATGTGGTCCTGTTGATCCAGCGCCCCTCCTCGGTCAGCCCAGTTCGCGAGGCTGTCTGACACATCTTCGGTGAGTCAGGGATGACACACCCCCTCTAAACGCCCTCCATCTTACTACACGAGTGCCCGCTATGGACATGGCATACACAGGCGTCCACCCGTCGACGCAATCTGCATCTTGACGTCTGTTCGCAGTATCCATGGGCGCAGCGTCGTTCGCGGCACCGTATTGGCTGGGACCGCTTCTCACGTGAACGGTTTTGAAGGTATGAGCTGTGGGAGTCGCGCTGTGAGACACGACACAAGGAGTGACTCAGCGCTCGAGCAGTTAATGCGAGTGCTGAGGCCTGAGTTGTAGCGGCGCAAACGTCGCGTCTATGCCAACGATGGCTTATGTAATGTAACGATCGGTGGCGGTAAGTCTCGGTAAGTATCTACTAATGTCCTATTGAATCAGTCCGTAGCTATACGATTTTCAACAGACGGAACGACTGATCGTTTACGTCATGTTCTCACCTTGGTGTTGCTCGCCCTACCGTGTTGGCGTCTCTCCCGCCAATGGTACACATGCAAAATGTTGCTTGCGTAAACGACTGACTGCTACGCATCTCTCAGCCTGCGCCGGCAGTCAGCACTGTACACGTCCCTTACAAAGTCGATGCCAGCCCCTCGTCAGGCCGTTAGCAAGCACCCGCCGGCGCCTCCCACCCGGCATGCCCATAGTGATAGTGGCGATCGCACGTCTCCCATCCGCTTCCACGGCGCTAACACCAACACCGTGCAGATCCGCCCTTCCGATCTCTCTTCGCTGATACATGGCGCTCCCGCGAATCCGAGGCATCATCGTGGTTAGGAGCAGTCAGTGGGGAGGGGGGCTGCGGTCCCCGTCGACGTCCCCCACTGACACATGTGCGAGCGTCTTCCGGCATTCCTCGCTGCCTGCGCAGCGCCACCAATGCCGCATGCCTTGGGTCGGGCAGTGCCGATGGACAGTGGACAGGAGGGGGGCCGCATGCGTACGAGCCATGAATGTGTCTCCGGGAGGGGGCGCCGACATACCACTGCATCACGCGTGCCGTGCGGGCTTTGCGGGAAGGGTATCATACTACCACGCAAAGGCCCGGTGAGCACAAGATCCACGGCCAGGGAGCGTCGCCACGTCCCACGTTCGAGTGCCAACTGCACCCCGTCGTATTTTGCAGCAGGCGGCAATAGTAATTCTTCCGGCAGCTGGAAGGTGCCGCACTCTGATATGATGGATATATATATATTGTGCCTCACAGCACCGATACCCACACCACTCCGACATTCCTTGCAGATCGCTGGGCACGGCTCGGCCCCGGCATCCAGGATCCGCGCGTGGACATATACATATCCGACGGCCAGTGCGCAGGGGATGTGGGCCTGCTCGCCGGGAACGCTTTCCGGTGATACCCCCCTTGAATCCTGAGTCGTTCTCAATCGACCAATCGACCAATTGTTCGATCTTTCACATCGTGAATCTATCACCCCCTGCGGCGTGCGCGCGTTCCCGCTGTTGGCTGCGTTTATTGGTTATTGGTCATTGGATGCGACGCGACGCGACGTGGCGGGGCTTGGACGCGGTCATGTGACCGTGTCGATCGTGACTCCGAAACGTCACGCGGGAAGGTTGGCGGGCTGGCATCACGAAAGACTGGAACATTCACACCTGTGCGCTGGTTGGGTTACAGATGCACGGGGATATGAGCTAAGTATTCTCCTGAGAGTAGACACTTCCTTCAACCTGCGGCGACTCCGGATATCATAGCTAGGTACCTTGCGCACGACCACGATTACACCTCCTGATTAAGAATGAACCACCGAGCTCGTCCCAGAGCCTCAGGTGACAACAGAGAGTACTACAGTTGTGTGCACGGCGGCACACCCGTCCTGGTTCTGCGCCGCCAGCTGAAAGCGCGATTCGCTGTGGCTACTGGACAGGATGTTGAAAACACGATGGAGTAAGTGCATACGGCACAGAAGCGTTCACCTGACTTAAAAAATGGAGTTTTAAATGTCTAAAGATTAAAAACAAATGGGCTGCAGGAGGGTGCGCGAAAGCACTGCCCGGATCAATAAGGTTTGATCTACGGACTTGACCAACACGATGCCCAATTTTCCCACACAGGACTTCTCTACACGGTTCGGAACTCGAGCATTGTAGCAATCGCAACCAGACATCAAAGCATTGCAGCAGAAGCTATATCGGCACACTCGGATCTCTGAACCCACTCGTCCGAGGCTTACGGCGACTGGCCGAATATCGTAGATGTCGTGCCCGCAGCTATCAGGTGGCACAGTCCATTTGCTGACACTGTGATGGAACCCACGATGTCTACATTTTGAAGTATTTATGTCTGCCTGGATCCCCTAACTCGTAGGGCAAGCTGAAGAGGATGTTGACTGCTGAGGTACAACTCATCCCGGCAGAAGGTAGAGGTATGTCAACGGGATTGCACGCATCCTTACACGCGAGGCTAGTGCTGGGGCACCAGCGGATCTGTTCTTCCAGCGTTTGCATGTCCCCCTCCCCGCTGTGTTAGCCGATTAGGTCTTGGGATTTGTCGTCGACGAGGGACCATCTATTGTACGTGTGCATGTTGTATGCTTGTACACATTCTGCTAGACTTATCATGTTGAATGCCTGTGACATGCCCCGTCAAACGCAAACTCAGGTATCATTCCTATCTACGCGCCCATGCTGAGCTTCTAGATACGATCTCAAAATCACTGCCACGGCCCACTTTCAACAAGGAACATCGGCTGAGGAACAGCGCTGACCTTGCATGTTCGTCGTCCTGCTCAGCCTCGTACTTGGAGAGCCACGCATGCAGGTTCATCGCTGACGCGGCATACATTGAGGCCACGACACAATATGCCCATTGATACCTTCTGCCAGAAGTGCGTATGCCGCTGTGTTTCGCAACGCCACTGTGTATCATTTATCTCTGCGCTACCGCGTGTAGTGTCATGTTGACATGATTCCATCGCTTCATTAACCCCGACTTCGCATTGTGTGCATCGGTGGAAGTCGAACAGATGCTTCCGTATGATGATGATGCCTCGTGGTCGATGCCGCTCAGGCTCTTTCCGGGGTACAGTTCCTTCCGCATATTGCTATGTATTGATATAGACCATCGAGTCTGTGTTCTCCGTAACATCCATCTTTCCTTGACAGATAGATGATACTATAAGCGTTGAGAGGTGTCATGAGGTTCGGCGCTCCCGTTTCCTGAGGGCGCTTTAGCATCGCGTGCACCTGGAGGTTAGAATGTGATTTTTCCGCGCTTCTCACGAGTACTTAAGGGCACTGACACCATCTAGTTTGGCGGCTGCTTGGAACCACACAGCCCTCCTGCTGACACGGTGTATATTACGACGCTCTGGTTCGACATCGGTTGCCAAACAACATACCAATATGCCGTCTGATTTCGACACTTCGTTTGGTGCGATGCTCTTGGGGGTGCTGATGTCATCGATGTACGTCTTCTAGCGATATAGTTGGCAGCCACCATATTGAGATGCTCTCATGTTGCACAGACTATTCGGTATCACTAATTTGCAGGTGTACATATACTTCAAGACGTATACAAATGACCCCTTGTGGATCAAGTTCTCTGTATGTGCATTATGGTACGTCGAGCACGCTGCCCGTTCCACTCCTCCATAACTCCAACATATTCCGTACATAGGATCGTCGATGCATTATGTGTAGCATTCTCCTTCCATCTAATCTATCAGTATTTGATCACGGATTATACCAACCCTGATGCGTTGTTGATCATCGACTGGAGCTTCAAGGTCCGTTAATGTGTTTTAGCGTGCTCATGCTTCTAATGCCAACACGGGTAGGCGCAAGATATCCTGAGTGTGAGTGGCGCACGCACCTCCAGCATTTTCGGACTGAATGGTGGTGGCCGCAGACAATCTGCATATCCTTTGTTCAAACGTACGTCCGTGTAGTGGGTGTGCAAATTCACGAAGACCTGACGCAGCTCGTTGGACGATAGATTATATGTCCAACGCATCTGGATATGTGTGTTTTTCTTTCCACCTATGCGTTAAGTCCACATTGTCTCAATTCAAGGAACCAGTGGATGCTTCAATCAATCGTGATTCCCGCATACGCCGCTTCCTACCTGGTATTGCTGTGAGTCGTCTTTTGGCATTTTTACAAACTATGATCTTTGACGAGACGTCATCTCAGTCCATATCCGTATGCGCTGGATCTGGTGTGCCGCATGTCGCTGTCAAATGTGATCTCGAAAGTGCTGATCGTCTCCCATTCTAATTCACAGCTGCTAGTCTAGGTGAGCTGGTAACAGTGGCTCTCGAGATATAATACTAAACACTTGTCCCTCGATAGTGCTTTCTTACGAGATGTGAGTCTAATAGTAATTCCGACGTAGATCAATATTCAATTTGGCGTAGTACCACGCCCGCAAATGCGACTCCCAATGGCTTGCTAGGCCATCAGGTGAGAGGAGACGATCTTCTTTCTGACCTTTTTTTTATAATGCAACTTGCGCCTTTCGCGGATAATCGATGACGGCTTGTATATCCTAGTGGATCACATACTACCCGTTGTCAGTGTATACTGGCATTGATACAATAATCGCGGCATGTCTTTGCTTCCTGCTGTGCATCAGTCGCACCGGGTATCGACGGTGGGTTCCAACCCGACTCTATACGTTCTTCGGAGCCCGTAACACCCATTGACTATGGCTCATTCACTAGAACGGACAGCTTGATAAACACACTCATGTTATATACCGTCAACACTGGCATCATCACCAGGTGAGCTCGGACGGCCCACCCCGTCTCTGTAATGCTCGTGCTCAGTCTGTACTTTAGTCTTTGCTCTCTCGCAGCAATTATTGCGGTGGGTAACATTTGGATTTATTTTAGTTCGATCCACTATCATTGCGCCCCAGATGAAGACCAGTCCGCATACTTTCATTGTTGCCGCTGTCGAGTTTCTGCTGACAAAGAGTACGTGGTCAAGAGCCTGCGTGATAATATCCTCCTTACTCATTAACGTGCGCTCTAGTCTATGTGAACTCGTTCCTTGCTATGTGAGTTCTCCTGGAATATACTGGCAGGACGTGGTCTTTATGGACGCTTCCATCTGCAGGCTGAATGCGCGTAACTCGCTCCGCGAATCTGATTCTCGCATAAAGCGAGACTACGTCCTGGATACATTGCAGCGTACTATGACTTCTGAGGTCGCAGATGACTCAAAGCCAAACCCATTGCCGCCGACGATCGATATCCGAAGTGAAATCGATAGCGACTCAGACGGTCCTCGTCCCTCGTACACAGACATTGAATTCGACAAAGCCGTCGCGCAGGGCTATGCTCCACCTACGTTCCCTCAGGGAGAGGGGACTGAGGACGTTATGATATCTCTTTCGAAGGAGCACGATTCATCTCTCAGGCCGCTGCCGACACCACCTCAAGCACACGTGTATGCGATTCAAAACACAGCACGCAGTATGCTCCGCTATGGACAGACGTTGCGTGAAAGCACTAATAAGGTGCGCGCTGAATGCCTTACCGGGTATCGACTCAGGAAATGATGAACAATGACGATTTAGGATGACCGCTGGGAAGACAGCACCGCCTCTAATGTATGATCTATGATGTGTGACCGTAGCTAATGATATTCTCGTCTTGTCATCGTTTCATGGTGACAGTGTATCGAACACAAGATAGGCAGCTGCCGGGATTCCAATGAGGATTTCGGTTTATAGCTATGTATCTGTTATACCATGACTATGGCTGTGTGCGGCGAGCCTGCCACCTACTCCGCTTTCCACACACAGCGCAGATGTGGACAAGACAAACAACTTGGATGCCACTGAACATGTGCTTTGTGCTTGCGCCCGACGTCGGATGTTATGCATCTGATATCATAACTAGTAACTCAACGCGAAGAGCAAAGAGCCACCAAGATAGCGATCCGCTTGATTCCCCTGCTCCCCCCACCCCCAGCAGCGCGTCGCTATACGAACCGCTCGTCTGTGAATAGAGCAAGTACTGCTAACGGTACCGTAGCAAGCGCGAGAAAAATAAACAAACCAGCTGAGATAAGCTCAGAGAATTTGAAGACTGGACCATTCATATCTGTGCACTGGGAGTGTGTTGAGATAATCAAGCGCATCGTAGTGGTAGTATGATTGCAGATGCGCGAGGGCATGAGCTAAGTACCTCACGCACGATCATGATCCATCTAATTGAATCCGATTCACCGAGGAGGTCCCAGAGCATCAAGTTATGACAGGAAGCACTGCGGCACATCCCTGTTCTGATTCTACGTCGCCACTGGCGGGAGGGAGGGCGGCTCAGTGGGTATCGGAGACGCGTCGTGCCACGCTAAGCTTGACGCCGCGATCCGCTATGGCCATTGAACGGGGTGTTGCAGATTAGTGTGCCGGAGAAAGTGCACGAGGTATGCAAGCGTTCGTTCTGACCAAAAGGACGGAGTTGTAAAGGTCTCAAGATTAAAGACAAACGGGTGCAGGAGGGTGCACGAATGCCCTTCGCGGATCAATACGGTTTGATACACGGACTTTACCGACGAGATACCACAGCTTCAGAGAGCTTCCCACACAAGACGTTCTGTCCACGGCTCGGAACTCGAGCATTGTCGCAATCGCAAGCGGACATAAAAGCATTGCGACAGAAGCTATATCTGCACACTCGGATCTCTGATCCACTCGTCCGAGGCTTACGGCGACTCGTAGATGTCATGCCCGCAGCTATCAGGTGGTATCCGAGTGCGTTGGCTGAAACTGCGATGGGACCTACGATGTCTACAGCGCGAGGCATCGATGACGACGAGGGTCCATCTATTGTATATTGTACGTATTGTACGTGTACATAGGCGTCAAGACACGAACTCAAATTCACTGTCACATTCGACAAGCAATGTCGTCTAAAGAACAGCGCTGGCGTTGGCTTGTCATAGCCCTGCTCAGTCTGGTACTTGGAGAGCCGTGCACACACTAGGGTCTCTGAAATTCGGGTTCGATCCAGGTTCGGCCCCCCTAGGCTCTGAACCTGAACCTGAACCTCTGATGATGGCCTCGGACCGAACCTGATCGTGGACCGAACCTGCCGAAGTGGTTCAGTGGGTTCGGTCCGATTTCGAACTGCTATCGAACGGGAATGAGATGTACTTTACCGAAAGACGGGGATCCTTTCCGCCGGCTGCCTGAAGTGGTCACAGTCGTCTGTTCAATTCGGCAGGACTCGAGGATGAATCGTGAGTGCTCCTGTTCTCACAGCCTCGTGCTTATCCGCTCATGCTGTCGTTCGCAGCGAGCCATCTCCCGCAGAGCCGCGCACGGGAGACGTCGGAGCTACTCGCGGAGCTCCAGCGGTAGAAACAACCCGCAAACGTGGTCATTGTGTAGAAGCAGCGCGTGCAGGCGTGGGGCGACGGCCGGATCGTGCGCTGGGCGCACACTGCGGACGCGGAGAGCGTGCTGCTACTGCGCGACGTGCTGGCGCTGTCTCCCTGCTGGCGTCTCTCGCGCTGCTGTGCGTCAGGATCGTGGACATTGATGTTGGAACCTAGTCCTAGGTACAAGGCCTCATGCACATGGCTCATGGGCAGCTCGTGAACGCTGAACCAGACCTGCTGCTCTAATGTCCGAATCCGAACCTGACCGCACCTGAACCTCGATTCGGTTCAGCTGGTTTGCGGTTCAGAACAAGGTTCAGGACCGAGCTTCAGAGACGCTAACACACAGAGAATTATCGCGCTAGCGTGACGTAGGTCGGGCCTGTCGAGGCCAACGACACAACATACCCATTGGTACCTCCCGCTAGAAGTGCGTACTCCGCTGGTGTTTTGCAACGCCACATCGGTTCATTAACCTGACCTCCTGCTGACGGTGTAGATTACGACACTCTGGTTCAACACCGATTGCAAGGAATCATACCAAGATGCCGTCTGGTTTCGCCACCTCATTCGGTGCGATGCTCTTGGGGGTGCTGATGTCGTCGATGTACGTCCTCCAGCGACACACATAATGTTGGAATCCTCTCATGTTGCACAGACTATTCGGTATCGCTAATCTGCAGGTGTACATATACTTCAAGAAGTACACAAATGACCCCTTGTGGACCAAGATCTCTGTATGTGCGTTATGGTACGTCGAGCGCGCTGCCCGTTCCACCTTGCCATAACTCCAACACATCCCGTGGCACCTACGTAGGATCGTCGATGCGTTATGTGTATCATTCTCCTTCTATCTGATATATCAGTATTTGATCACGGACTATACCAACCCTGAGGCGTTGTTGGTTATCGACTGGAACTTCAAGGTCCGTTGATGTGTTTCAGCATGCTCGTGCCTGCACTTCTAACGCCAACATGGGTAGGCGCAAGATATTTTGAGTGTAAGTGGCACGTACCTCCCGCGCTTTCCGACTGAATGGTGGTGACTGCAGTCAATTTGCATATTTTTTGTGCAAACGTACGTCCGTGTAGTATGTGTGCAAGCTCACGAAGATCTGATGCAGTTGGTTGGACGATAGACTATATGTCCACCGCATCTGGATATGTGAGTCCTTCCCCCATCTATGCGTCCAGCCGCCATTGTCTCAATTTAAGGCACTAGTGGACGCTTCAATCAATCGCGATTCCCGCATACGCCGCTTCCTACCTGGAATTGCTGTGAGTCCTATTTTGGCATTCGGCGAGTTATGATCTCTGACGCAACGATATCTCAGTCCATATCCGTATGCGCTGGATATGGTGTGCCGCATGTCGCTGCCAAATGCCACCTCGGAAGTGCTGATCGTCTCCTATTCCAATTCACAGCTGCTAGTCTAGGTGAGCTGGTGACAAAATCTTCTCCTGAGGTATGATACGAACCGCTTGCCCCTCGACAGTGCTTTCCCACGAGATGTAAGTTCAATGGCATTTCCAATGCAGATCAATATCCAATCTGGCGTAGAACCGCGCCCGCAAACGCGACTCCCAACGGTTTACTAGGCCACCAGGTGAGAGGAAGCGATCATACAATCTACACCTTCCGTGGATTAACGATAATGGTTTGTGTATCCTAGTGGATTACATACTACCCGTTGTCAGTGTATCCTGGAATTGATGCGGTAATCGCGGCGTCTCTTTGCTTTCTGTTGCGCATCAGCCGCACTGGGTACCGACGGTGGGTTCCCAAACAATGCTATACGTTCTTCGTGGCCCACAACGCTCATCAACTATGACTCATTTACCAGAACGGACAGCTTGATAAACACACTCATGCTATATACCGTCAACACTGGCATCATCACCAGGTGAGCTCGGACGGCCTACTCCGTCTCAGTTAAACTCGTGCTCAGTCTTGAATCCAGTCTTTGCTCTCTTGCAGCGATCATTGCGGTGGGTAACGCTTGCATTGCCTTCAGTTCGATCCACTATTATCGCATTTCAGATGAAGATCAGTCCACGTACTTTCATTGTTGCCGCTGTCGAGTTTCTGCTGCCAAGGGGTACGTGGTGAAGGGCCTGTGTAATAATATCCTCCTTGCTAATAAATATGCTCTCTAGTATACGTGAACTCGTACATTGCTATGTGAGTTCTCCTGGGATATACTGGCAGGATGTGTTCTTCATGGACGCCCCCATTTGCAGGCTGAATGCGCGGAACTCGCTCCGCGGGTCCGATTTTCGCATGACGCGAGACTATGTCCTGAATACATTGCAGCACGCTGTGACTCCTGAGGTCACAGATGATTCAAAGCCACCCGCATTGCCACAGACGATCAATATCCAAAGTGATATCGATAATGACTCAGGCGGTCCTCGATCCTCGTACACGGACGTGGAATCTGAAAAAAAATCATCAAGTGCTATGCCCCGCCTACATTTCCGCAGGGAGAGAGGAACGAAGGCGTCATGATATCTCTCTCGAAGGAGCAAGCTTCATCTCCCGGGCCGCTGCCGACGCCACCTCAAGCACATGTGTATGCGATCCATAATACAGCGCGCAGTATGCTCCGCTATGGACAGACCTTGCGTGAAAGCAAGAATAAGGTGCGCGCTGAATGCCTTACTGGGAGTCGACTGAGGGAATGATGAGTGATAATAATATAGGATGACCACTGGGGAGACAGTACCGCCTCTAATGTATGATCTATGATGTGGAACCCTAGCTAGTGACATACTGTCTGTCTGGTCTTGTCATTTTTTATGGTGACAGTGTATCGAGGACAAGATAGGCAGGTGCCGGGATTCTGACGAAGATTCCAAATGTATAACCATGAAATTTGTTGTATCATGACCATAGCGTTGTGTGCGGAGAGTCCGCTACCCATTCGTGCTATTCCTACACCTCCAGTATTGTGTCGCTTTACGAACAGCTTCTGTCTGTGAATCGAGCAAATACTACTGCCAGTGGTACCGTGGCAAGCTCGAGAAAACTTAGGAGAAAATTTGAACAAACCAACTAAGATGAGCTTGGAGAAAGCTCTGAGGTGTCCATGACATTATGACATTAAGAAGATGGAAAAGCCCTCAATTTGGCCGGCTCATTTTGAATTTGGTTACTATCCGCGTGGTGACGTCACGGCCCGCATGGTCCGGCCGGGCGGAGCCGCGGCGCAGTTCCCCTCCTCCAGGTTGTTATAACTTGGACCACGCTTACTCCAGGCTTGCTTTCCACCAACCTCCGACTTTGCATACCCACCCTCACACTACTCTAACATGGTTCGAGGCTCAGACGTTTGTCTCATTCTGGCGAGTGTTTTAGGACTTAGGGTCTATTTGGCGGGAACTGACTCGAGGTGACCAGGTCGCCATCCTGTTCCCGCCAGCTGCGGTGGCCTTCATTTCTGGCTGCGGTTGCGACCTCCTCATTAACATCTTGCTCACAATGTGCGTCGTGTTGCCTGAGGTGCTCGTGTCGTCGATATTGATCATCTCGTAGTTTCGGATACTTCCCCGGGCACATTGTGCGTTGACATGTCTACCAAGTTGTCGCAAGGACTTACGAGTGCCATTTTCAGCATGCATTCTGGCTGATATACAAGAAGATGAAGGCTGAGGAGATGTACGGGCGTGGTGGCTTCCGCTGTGCGTTCGCTTCCAGTCGTCGCTGCTGCGACCTCACTAAACTTCATTGCAGATGTTGGGAGCGGCACCTACGAGCCCTTGTACACCGGCGCCCCTGGTGTTGCTCCAGGTGCTGCGCCCAGCTACGGTGCCACAGCTGGAAACTACGTCCGGTAAACTTACCAGTTGATTAAGCTTCATGCGTCACGATTACGATCATGATACCTGATCCTTTCTTTCTTGAACGATTCGGATTGTATACAAGCTACTTGTATATACTGTTTGTTTTCGATGTGGCATGTACAGAAATACAGCGGCTCGCCCACCCCTAACGCTCCTCCAGAGTCAGCATCTATTTGCTGTACAGTTGCATACCTATTATGTTGTTGTTGCAGAATGGACATGCTGAGCAACAACGCAAAGTAGGATATCGCAAAAAGTGGATGGCATGCAGCGATTCCACATGCCTTCGTGTTACGTGTTTGCTCCTGAACTTGCTGCGGACTATCTTGCACCCGCTCTCGATGGCGGTGCGACTCCCGCGCGTTCATTGGCAGGCAATGTTCATGGGTTTCCTATTATTGTGCCCTGCTGCACAGGCTGCACAGCCATCAGATCTCGATGTCGGCAGCAATGGCTTGCCGCCAGGATTCCCCGCAATCACTTAAGACTCGGGATGTTTGCAGTCCGACCAAAGACGTTGTACCCTGGGTCAATTGGGAAAGGGGGTGTCAGTATTGGAGAAATTTGCAACACTAGTTTGCGGAAGGCTGGCGCTTGACCTCGTTGAAGTGATCTTAACTCGGATGTAGCCGGATTGTGGCGCAAGGATGGCGAGAGGTCTCGCATGAATTGGCTTGTCTCATGCTCGTCGAATTGAGCCTTTCGAACTCCTTACAGCAACGAGAAAAAGGGTTCATTGTACGCTTTGACCCCCAGCAGATTGATGGCACAGAACAGATGTTAAATATAACATATTGCCAGCAAGCCTCTTTTGCACACCCGCCGTTCCGGTTGCTTCGGTAACACAACCTTGGTGTCCAGATACCCTTTTCGAGAACATAGCTTCTCCTGTTTAGTATCCCCTTGTTGGTTTTGTATGACACGAACGGATTGATTATAGTTAAACGGCCAGGTCCTAGCCGCCTGTACACCGTGAGTCGATGCTTCCTTTCACCCTTCGCAGGCTCAGGATGTCCGTATCTGATCTATGTCCTGTCAGTATCGTGACACCTCGTGGAACAGTGAATCCAGCGAAGAAGTCGCTATGTTCAACTTCTATTTCGAGAGGCTGCACTTCTCGGCGCCACATATGATCGCGTGGTGGACGTTTCGAATCAATACAGGCACAAGGGATCTGTCACAAGAATCACACTATCCCACTCAAACGTATCGATGTTAACGGATCATGCCCTATATGGGCATTTTATTATACATCTTGCAGGGAGTATCAGCATGGTCTCCGTCCTTCTTCGAACCTCCGCTGATTGAGTGCAATTAGTTGCGGATGCTGTTCTGGCTCATTCACCTGCTCACTCCTCCATCATCTGTGAATCTAGCATCAGACAGTGACAGTACCGCAGTACGTGCCACGCCAGATGATCCACGCTCACCTTTCTGATACGCTGAACCACCCACTGTGCCCGCACATCTGGCTAGAACCTAGTATCTGCCTACCCGGCGCCTTAGAAGGCATTGCGGGTCAGCGCCCTCGGCAATTCTCAGGCTGATCGGTAGCAGGTCAGGATATAGTAGTTCATTTTAGCATGCCCGAGCGTTCTCCCCGGTCTGATCAGTTTGTCGAAAGGTATCACCACTATACCGCAAGAGCGAAACGATCAAATCGCGCTGAAGGTATGTCTTGTGGCTATCGATATCATGCCTGCGGAATATTTGTGGACCAGTGGATAAATGATAGAGAACTCCTTGAATCGCCTCTCGGATTGATGTTTGTTCCGAAGGGGGATTGTTTGCACACGCAATCAACACTGTCGCGTGGAGTACCTTTTGAGAGCTCGCAGGCACTCAGCCTATATAGCTGTGGGACGAAAATTGGTGTTAGCGCCGATTCACCGGCTTGCATAATTTGTCGTTGACTCCTTGCGACCATGACCGAAGACATCGAGTCAACGTTCGGAGCTCTGCTAATTGGAGTTCTTGTGTCTGCCATGTACGTGCTCGTTGCTCGTCTGTGCTTCTCAGATGTCCATTCAACCTTGTATTCAACCGATCTACAGAGCCTTTGGGGGTACGAATCTACAAGTCTATTGGTATTTCACAAGGTTTCCAAAAGACCGTGGCTGGATTAAGGGTTCCGTCTGCTACCTCTGGTACTGTCCATAGCACATTTACATTTATCGTCGACGCATCACTGATAGGTTTTTGTTTTCACAGGATGCTTGACGCACTCTGCGTTGCATTCTCATCCCATGTGGTCTATTACAACTTGGTCATTCACTGCTGTGATAACTCTAGGTTTCTGTCAATTGTATGGAGCTGGAAGGTATGGCGAACAGACATGCGTGTATCCTGTGATTAAAGAATCTTCATATTCTTCTATTGATAGGTTCAAAATATTTTAAGCGTAAGCAGAGATAGCTATTTGCTAGGACAGTATTCTGCGACATTATCCTATAGGGTACCATCATTTCTTCCGTCCAAGTGTGAGTAAATTTTACCATGGTATTGTAACGCTCAGTCACAGAGCCATGCACCTGGGTCAGATTATACACGGTCCGCATTTGGCTACGTAAGTACCTCTCACAACAAGAGTGTATCACTTACATGTCATGTTGTATATCTAGTGGTTGCGTCTACTTGCAGCTTAAGCTACTCTCGTCTCTACTTTCCGGGCATGATTGTAGGTCACAGATTGTGCTCGCATCAATTGTAACTAACCTCAACCACACATGTCCTCATAAAGACATTTTTTGTATTCGCTGGGTGTGGTGGGTATTCCCTGTGATCTCGCTGCTGTGAATGATCTACAACAGTTCTGCTGTTACAGTTTCCACCGTAGGTGAGTAGAATCGCAACTTTTAACGAAGCTTTTGAGATGGACCAAACCAATAACACTTTATACAACAGTAGCCTCGTATGAAATGCAAGTGATCGCTAAAGTGTGGATGACGAAAGTTGCTGAAATCCTGCCCAGGACGGACGTCTTATCACCGGAGGTCCTTCTTGGACAGAAGGTAAGCTCTGTTCAGCGTACTAGCCGATTATCATGAGGTTCAGGGCAACGTCTAACAGTGGACCTCATATTACCTGCTCTCCTTGTGGATAGTTACCGATTTAATGATCGCTGGGTACCTGTGTTACCTGATCTACAGCAAACGCACAGGCTGGCGCAGGTAAGTCTCCCCTTGATCTCCATTCCACAATCTACCGTCATGCGGTCTGTCGTGTACATGACATCAATGCTAACGATCACTGGCATTTCCTCAGGTCTGACCGCATGATCATGAATCTGGTATTCTACACCATTAACGGTGGTTTCTGTACAAGGTATGCCTGCCTGCCAATCAGATGTTTTGCATCATCATAAACAGAACTTGGACATCAGTCTCGGTTCGTTGTCGGCAATGATTGCCGTGAGTAAACTTACCCTCCCCCGCACGGAAGTTGAATCTTGGCTGAACGAACCGTATGAAGACGGTGGTAGGACCACGTACGTTTGCTGAGACCTCTGTCCAGATTGTTGTGACGAAGGGTGCGTTGGCTACGTTTTGTGCGAGAAATGAACATTGAGCTGATACGTTTGGATGTGCGGATCAGTCTACATCAACTCTTTTCTGGCTTTGTAGGCCCCATTATTGCTTTGTCAGTGTGATCTCACATTGACTGCACCTCGAAATCAGGCTTAATGCACGAGAATCGCTACGCGACGTAGCTGCTCAAGCTGAGAATACAGTCATCGTTCTCCACCCACTCAACCCCTCGTCACCCGGTTCGCGCTTTGAACGAAGATTCCGTAGTGTGCTCTCACGAGAGGATCAAGTCATGTATGTTGATTACTCCAATCAAAGTTACTTAGCCAATCCTCGTGAAATTCGTACTGACGGTCGCTATTACTAGGAGTGTCACGATTGAGGGCTCTGACTCAGGCGTTCCCGGTGCACAAGAAGAGGACATCACATCGGCTTCATCCTCGTCCCACCACGCATCCCTTCGGGGAAAGGGAGACAAGGAAGACAATTCTGTGCAACTGATCGCGAAGCTCGGTGCGTGATCGACTGTGCAGGTATTATTGCGCACTCAACTAATGTATCATACTAATAGGTTTGACGGACGCCAGCTTTTGCGAATAGAAGCGGCCATTGTTCGCCGCATGTTTGGAATCCCACAATGTCATGCTCCTCGTTTTGCTATCAGCTCCTTACCATCTTGTTCTCGTAAGCTTACAACACTAATGCCTCCAAATTAGAGCACAGTATCGTTATACATCACATATTGATAGGGAATACGACCGGAATTTAGTCTAATTATTCAATTTTTCTTGTAAAGACTGCTACATGTTCAGTCGTATATCTAGTAATGGCGACTGAAGATATTGAGATCGTGGTACATTAGGATCTAGTATCTAAATCATCAGAAATGTATCTCCCGTGACAAACACCGGCGCTGTAGAAGCGAACATTGACGATGTAATAAAGGAAGATTAACGATGAACGTTCAGATTAGTCTTGCACCGTAAATCCACTTCAGAGGCCGCGGTGGAAAAGCCGCTGCGTCTGTACACAAGGGGTGCGTTCACATACATCATAAATACCAATAAACAGAGTAGCTGAATCTGACGTCTGCCAGCTCAACGCAGCACATAGTTACGTCGAGCGGGCGACAGCGTATTCAGCTTTATAATGAGAGGGGGTGGTTGAGGATCGACGGAGGATACAAGACCTGACTAGATGGATGTGGAAGAGGAAAGAGCTAAGAGAGCAAGCAGCAAACAACAAATTTGCCTCCGTGGCATGCCGTGATCGACGTGGGACACGCCAACCTTATCCGGAAGCAATCACGTGACTGACGCGCGACGCGGTGGCTGAGGCCAAATGGCAAATGCACGCGACCGCGAGCGAGCGTGTCGACACGCGTGCAATTTCGCGACTTCTCTTTGTGCTGTATCCTGGTGATATTTCGCTCGCGAATCCAGGAAGCTGAACAACCCAAAGACGCGTCCTGTAGAGCTCAAGTCAGTCAGCGACAGTGATACGTGTGGACCACTGGTACAACAAGATGTCTCTGATGTATGGCAAGGAAAAGGACGCCGACCACGAGATAGGTACGCATAACCGGTCGTGATATAACCTTGGGATTGACATGCTTGAGTAGACAATGCGTCGCACCCTGGTTTTATCAGTTTCTTCGCAAAACTGCCACCCAAATCCCCTGAGACGGGCACGCTGCGCTTATTCTTCCGCAATGAGTGGTACTCAGCACACGGTCCAGACGCACTCTATGTCGCTGCGCACTTCTTCCGCACAAATAGTGTCATCAAATACCTTGGGCCCGGCGGAAAATCAGGTCTGCCGAGCGTGAACCTGACGGAGAGTGTAGCGAAGACCCTCCTACGGGAGGCGTTGACAGCAAAGCAGCTCAAGGTTGAGATTTGGGTTCCAGAAGCCGGCCAGGGGAAGAAGGCAACAAGGTTCAAGCTGGACAAGGAGGTATGTCGTCTATGACCAGCACACCTGTTCAAGCCAAACTGACTTCCGCCTCGCAGGCGTCGCCTGGTAATCTCCAAGCTGTGGAGGACATGCTCTTCGTCAACACAGATATTCTCTCTGCTCCTATTGTTATGGCTATTAAGATTATGAGTACCCCCGCTGCTGTTGCTGCGTCATCGAAGGCAAAGACGAAGACCGTTGGCATCGCCTTTGCAGACACCAACACGCGCGAGATCGGCGTTGCGGACTTTGTTGACAATGACTTGTTTTCAAATGTTGAGGTGTGTCTTTCATTGTGTGAATCAATATCAACCGGCAAGAATGACGTTACCTCGGGTAGACTTTGGTCATTCAGCTGTCTGTCAAAGAGGCACTGATTCCTACAGGAACAACGACCGGTACCACAGAGCGAGACATTGAGCTCAAAAAGGTGAAGGAACTCTTGGAGCGTTGTGGTGTTGTCATCACGGAGCGGAAACCTAGTATGTTATGATCCATCATTAGATTTTATGCACCTTGACCCATGTATGGTAGGCGAATTCACTGCGAAGAATATCAAGGATGACATGGCACAGCTGCTGACGCCCAGCTCATTACCATCCTCATCAAACGTTGATGCTTCGCTGGTCGTTCGTACGTCGAGTTTGTTGAGATGCGGGTTTTTACTTAACACTAAGATGCAGCCGAGTTGTCTCTGCCTGTCGCCCCCTCCGCACTCTCTGCCCTCGTGTCCTATCTTTCTTTGCTCTCGGATCCGTCCAACCGCGGAGCATATAGTATTCGCACGCACGATTTGTCGCAGTTCATGAAGCTCGATGCGAGTGCCCTCCGTGCTCTGAATCTCACTGAGGCTCCTGGTAACATCGTATGCTCATCATTTGCAAGTCCAACGAGCAGCTCTCATATCATTCTCGCAGGGCTCGAACAAAAACACGACCTTGTTTGGCCTGCTCAATAAATGCAAGACAGCTCAAGGCTCGCGGCTACTCGGGAGCTGGCTCAAGCAGCCGCTCGTGAACTTACATGAGATTCGTTAGTCTTTTTATCTTGCACCAATCCTATCAACTGAGTCATGAGATTGTACAGACAAGCGACAAAACTTAGTCGAGATCTTCGTCGAAGATACGAGCACACGAAGGACATTGCAGGTCAGTAGTTATAATGTTTCCTTATTAATTTGGTCTTTATGTATGTTTGAACAGGATGAGTATCTAAAAATGATGCCTGATATGCATCGCATCTGTAAAAGATTCGGAAAATCAGTGGCCTCCCTTGAAGATGTAGTACGCGTATATCAAGCGATCCTGAAAGTATGCACGAGCTTGTACCATTTGAGTTCCGTGTTGATACTAAAGGCTCTCGTTGGGTATGTAGCTCGAGGGCCTGATCGCCACGTTGGAGGGTGTCGAGACAGTAGAAGATTATAAAGCACTCATCGATGAAGCCTATCTTGCTAAGTTACGGGTATGTCTTCCTCAGTCATACACATCCCGGGCATGTTTTCACATTCTACATCCAAACAGGACTTTGACATAAGCTTATCGAAGTACTCAGAAATGGTGCAACAGACACTTGACCTCGATGAGCTTGAAAACCACAACTTCGTCATCAAGCCTGAATATGACTCGCGTCTCCAAGCCCTTGCAGATAAGCTCAAGGAGATTCGCGATAGCCTCGATGAAGAGCATCAAGAAGTTGGTCGGGACCTCGGGTTTGAGCTGGACAAGAAGCTGCATTTGGAAAATTCACCTACACATGGGTACTGCTTCCGGGTCTCAAAATCTGTAAGCAGAAGCTTTTCTTCAGCCGTTTATTCCCGTAACTAATTATGAATACGTAGGATTGGAACGTTGTCCATCGTTCGAAGAAGTACATAGATCTCGGTACCCTCAAAAGTGGACAGTTCTTCACGACAACGACCCTGAAGGAGCTGTCAGACGACCACAAAGAGACGACGCAGATGTACTCAAAAACGCAGAGCGGTTTAGTCAAGGAAGTTGTCAATATTGCTGGTCAGTCGCGTACGTCCACGTGCCTGAAATGTATGTTGATGGCTATCCAGCGACCTATACTCCCGTCCTTGAGTCCTGGAACAATGTTCTCGCGCATCTAGATGTCATCGTAAGGTGTGGTCGACTGATTACTCCTGCCTTTTGCCGACTCATGTATTTTCTAGCTTCGCACACGTGGCGGTCAATGCGCCAGAATCCTATGTCAAACCGAAATTGATGGAGAAAGGTCTGCACGCGAACCTTTTTCGTCGCAGATCCCTAATGATGTACCTAGGTTCCGGCAGCTTGATACTCAAGGATGCACGGCATCCGTGCCTTGAGGTTCAAGATGACATGAGCTTCATTCCCAATGACGTTGAAATGATAAAGAGTAAGTCTTGTCAGACTTTGATTGACAGGTATTGACAATATCGTGTAGACGAGAGCGAGTTCCAGATCATAAGTGGGTATCAAGATTGTGATGTGATAATTCTACTATGTGCTGAATATTCAATAGCGGGTCCCAACATGGGCGGCAAGAGCACTTATATCCGACAGGTGCGCGAATAGAGTGTTGATTATTTCCGTCCACTGACGTCGGTTTCAGACCGGTGTGATTGCCCTGATGGCGCAAACGGGCAGCTTTGTTCCCTGTTCAGAAGCGAGCATACCCATCTTTGATTCAGTTCTCTGTCGTGTTGGTGCTGGCGACAGTCAACTCAAGGGGATATCAACATTTATGGCCGAGATGCTTGAAACGGCTACTATACTTAGGGTAAGTTCTTCCACTGTATTGGCTTTAAAATACCATTCACCAATTCTTGTTTTAGTCGGCATCGAAGGATTCTCTCATTATCATCGACGAGCTAGGACGAGGTATGCGACATGGTAGTACTCCAAATGTCCCAAAATTGATGTAAATTCAGGCACGTCTACGTATGACGGATTCGGCCTGGCTTGGGCCATCTCTGAGTACGTCGTATCCGTTATAGCCTGAGCCACAGGCGAGTAATTGTGATTCCCGCAGACATGTTGCATCGGAGATCCACGCATTCTGCTTGTTTGCAACGCATTTCCATGAACTTACCGCACTCGATCAAGAGATTCCACATGTCAAAAATCTCCATGTCGTTGCACATGTCTCGAAATCAGATGATAGCGCTCGTGAACGCGATATCACTCTGCTGTACAAGGTAGAACCAGGTATGTATGGAGGTCTGGACTCCCCACGACAACTGTTCTCACACGTACGTATAGGCGTATGCGATCAGAGCTTTGGTATCCATGTCGCAGAACTGGCGAACTTTCCTGAAAATGTCGTGAAGGTATGCCGCCCATCAATGCATATCTCTCCATCCTGACATTGCTCCTCAGCTTGCGAAACGTACGGCAGACGAATTAGAAGACTTCAACAGCGGTACGTCACGACAGATGCGAACACCGAGGCGGTGATGCTCATGTGTGCTTGTAGAATCCAAGGCTGGAGAATCTCAGCTGCCTCCAGAGGTCGTCGAAGAAGGTACCCGCATTGTCGAAGAACTGCTACGAACATGGGCATCACAGATATCAGAGCGCGACGGCGATGATATCGTGATGGAAGACTCTGAGGACTCTGCCGCCACCGAACTGGAGAAGCTGAAGAGATGTGTCGAACAATTTCGTCCTCAAATTGAGGGTAATGCATGGGTTCAACATCTCTTGGCTTCTTTGTGAGTAACGGACGGTGATTTGAGCTTTGACGAGTTCCTCTGCTGTGCTTCTGTTCTGCCGTTTGCTACATTATGCTATGTTCTCGCTGTTATTGTATTCTACACTACACTACGCCCACCGTGCTCATAAGAAGCTCTTGTGCTTTGACCGTTTTATACATGGGACCAGTGTTTATATTCTAGATAGATACTCCCTTCGCCACATTGTCTAGCATGCCGTCTGGTTCGATTGTGGAAGTGAGGAACTAGTAGAATGGTATGGCATACTCAGTAAGCACTTTGGTATGCCTGCTTTTCAGTGTTTCGAATGGTACTGCAGAGATAGATCGCTTGTTTGGAGAACCGGAGGGCGTGATACCATGGGCCTTCACAGGATATTCCGTTCCTTTCCAGAAGATGCTTATGTTGTGCTTGTTCTTTTTGAATCTCAAGGTGTGATATTGGGCGTTACGTATGTTCACCAAACGGTGATGGGTTTCAATCTCAGCCATCAATTATGGCTGCATTTGGGGCGCCCGTTGCCGTTTCAGTCTATCCATCAGCTCGGGGAAAAGATGCCGACGTGACTAACAGCGAGCGAATTTACAAACACGAATCCTTTTGCATCGGTAGACATCCGAGTGCTACGTAGTGAACCTTAGCCCTGTAAAAGGTGGATGGGGAGGTAGAGGAGGAAAATCCGCATAAAAGTGTCTACTCCAATGTGAGCAATACTGAGAAGTCTAGTCAAGATGGGTGCAACCATAATAGCAATGTATACATACTATCGATTCAAATTCAGACGATTCAATTCTTCAGGCGCGTTCTCTGTGAGGAAAATATGAGTATCGAATCGAACACAAGGCGGCTGTACGCAACATATAGGATAGGGTCCCAGGGTCTACCACATCTCCGCGACCGTGAAGTTGATGTGGGACGTTGGAATATGTTCCGGCAGATGACGATGCCAGCCCATCCGCACCTGACAGGTCGACTCGCAAGGCTCCCATGCGTTTATTAGTATGTCCGTTCGAAGGTGCCGTGGACTTCCTTCTGGAGAAAGAGCTGTCCTGCGTGGAGGGCAGCGAAATCTCAATGCCTTGGTTCGCTGCAACTGCTTCCTGGCGGAGCGTTTGCCGCGCGTTAAGCCTAGTCACGGACGTATGTGAATCCTACAGTGATACGTCTGAGAACACAAGCAGCCCACATTGCCACGAAAGAGTTGATGTACACTAGGTATACCGTCCAACTCAGTGTGAAGCACAAAAGCAGACCTGCGTGTCGCTTACACTTTGCCATGAGAAGCTTGAATACGCCCATAACGAAGGTGTTCGGGCTCGTTCCCGCCTTTCCCATGCAGGATCAGCAGTGTAGGAGTATTACCAGGTAGAAAACACTCACAACGATAATCGCTGAAAGCGAAAATAGACTATCGACCGCCGCATCAGCCATGTAACAATTTTCCAGAAACAAGGTGCGTCATAACATACGTTGTACTGGCGCCGGTGGTGATAGCATAAAGCGTGAGCTTGCTAATCACAGTTTCTGTACTACAGATGCTCTGAGTGTGATGGCGCGCCAGGGGATCCATGCACATAACACTCACCTATAATAGCCAGTACGCATTCCGCGAAGCAAGTAACAAAGAGATACAGCGATCACCGCGTCGGCACCTGTCCATACAGACAACGGGTAGTCTGTAGTCCACTACGTTGGGCAGGAAAAGTCAGCGCGCGTTGTGTAGATGTCTCTGTTGGCGATAACGCTCACTTCACGCGATAGCACGGCGTTCGGGGAGGCCGTTGATGTACTTCACAATAGATGAGTAATTTCTCAACATCCGCGACTTATCGCTCCTATTGTAATTGCTCACAGTTCCCATGAACACACTTGCAAGGTTGTAAGCCTCGTGAACCATCGAGTTCAAAGATGAAACGGGAGTACTTACCTACAGTGGCAGCTATAATTACCCAGAGGTTAAGCGGATCATATTCGCGATTAGACGAATAAGTTACTTTACCAGATCCTGCCAATACAAGAACCGTCTTGTACACATGTTGAGACATACTTAGACTATCAGCATGGGCAGGTATGACTACATACCACGACGATTGGTAGTACATAGCGGCTATGCACATGTTGGTTAGGCGAAGATTTGACGACTGTCCGATGTAAGAATATATAGCGCTCGCGATGTCGCTTAATTGTGAATGCAACGCACGTGCCCAAATCCTCGTAGCATACAGCCTTCCATGAAATTTTGTTCGTTAAACTAGTCACAGTGGGTGCCTGGCAGATCAACTTACGCTTGAACCGAAGAGACTGTAACAGTCTAGAGCGTTTGAGTGAGCATGCATCGCGTATCACGGCAGTGTCCGTTCGTTCACACGTACAGTCAAAATAGCTTGGGCCTGATAGTATTTCAAAGTCAGCGCACCGAGACTGCACAAGGAGCATTATCGCACTTTGAAACTCCAAATGATCGTGTCCAAGCCAGAAGGATCGAAGTAGCAGATCACGAGGTAGTAATACATCATGTGGAAAGAAAACGCAACACAGAGGGCATCGATGACCCTGTGTAATCTGATTAAGTACTAGTTGGGTGTCCGTGCCTTGATCTCTGTGAGATACATACCAGAGGTAGCAGACAGTGGCTCTGGTCCATATGCGATCTTGCACATATGTCTGGAAGTAGATATACACTTGCAGGTTCGTCACCCCGAAGAAACTACAGGTGATTCGTAGGTTTCGAAAGTTAGTATGAGAGCATGAGTGAGACATACATTGCACCGATGAGCACTCCAACCAGCAGGGCTCCGAAGGTTTCCTCAATCCCGGCCATAGCGAAAGCCTGAGAGGACGGGTAAGTCAACTGAGAATGACAACCGACTGTCTGTCGGCCCTAAGATAACGGTGTCCTGTGGGACGCCTGCGAGAAGTACCAGGATTCTCGTAATGATATCAATCATAGAAGATGAACCATAATCCGCACTGTCAGCTTCGAGAACCCAATGTGAGAAAACGATCATGATCGGACAATGCTATGTGCGACAAGGAGTCTGCAATTGGCGTGCTAGTCACCAGGTCGCGAATCCCGCCTACTCGCATCTTTCGGCAGTTATGAGTATTCTCTCTCATATGGATCAACGTCAGTGGGAAGCTAGTGTTCTGTGCTGGCAAACCTCAGAGAGCTTTGTAGACCGAGCGTCGTTACCTTGCTCCCTTTCGATCATGCGTCAGTAACACTGGCTTTCACGTAGTCCAGCTTGTAAAATTGATCATAGTTTCCACTTACGCATGTAGTGACGTGCACCGATTCATTCAAAGTAGGTTCAATATAGAGGTGGGGGTGGCACGGCCTACGTCTTGCTCAAACATCTGGTGCGTAAGATGAGATCAGAATATTTGCTATTGAGTCACAGAACACTAGCAGCTTGTGAAATCCAGTGGCTATGAATATCACTCACGCAAATGCCCTCCTCAAGAACTGCTCCCTGAGGCGGGCTACACGGAACATCACGAATGGACAGAGAAGCCCGTGAGAAATGCAGAATGCGCTATAAAAGGATTCGTGAGCTTTCTGATCAAGAATGTGAGCGGGTCGTTGAGAAACAATGCGACCAGATTGACAGAGTTGTCAGTGGATCCCGCGATAGATATGATACATCGTGACATGGAACCCTGATCATGGGGACGACGGGCAACTCTACCAGCCGCTGGCACGTCTAACGCAGACGTCGCCCGCGCTGCGCGCATCCTGATCAACCACTTCCCCTGTGGCGAGTATCGCGCTCGTTTCAACATTGCGGGTCCCCAAGATTGCCCGTGCGGGGGCGGTTCGGGATCGCGACACCATATCCTGTTCCAGTGTCCCTTCTCGATCCGGACAAAAGCGCCGGGGGCCGCCACGCTCGCGCTCCCCCACGACGACCGTACCCGCCAGTTGCGTGCCCAATGCGGCTGGTCCGCGGTGGCGTCAGTTCTACCAAGGTCGTGGCAAAGTACCGGAGCTCGCCTACTCACGCAGTGACGACTTCGACGCTCTCACCGAGTGGTGCGCTGTGGAGACACGCGCTGAGAATTTCCTCATCCTCTGGGAGGCTCCCGAAGCATCACGCTCCCCCGTCGCGTCTCGCGCCTCCTCAAGCCTCCTCGGGAACCAACGGGCGGGTGGTAGGTGCCCCGCCTACCGCCTCTTTGTCCTCTCTCTCACCGGTCCCGCGCGCGGCGCGCCGCCTGCGCGAATCGCGAATCGCTCGCGCGCCACGCTGTTCGTGGTGCGCACCTTGTCCACCTGAAAACCGTAGGGCATTGACGTATTGCGCTGCACTCACGCTTGAGTGTCCCCGTCCAAGGGCGCGGAGCCGTCAAACTAATTAATTAATTAATTAACTCTGTAAGCCGGCAATGTCCGGTGGCAGTCCGGTGGCAGCCTGCACTTGCGGATCTCGCTACCGAAAATTGGCTTCCTTGGTACAACGTCTTACAGCAACACTGGGATATCACTTTTCAGGATATGATTTATTGGATAGATGTCCTCAAGCATGAAAATTTCCTCTCCTATGCACGTACAGTCTCGATGTGCATCTGAAAACCCTTGGTGACTGATCACTTAGGTGCTGATGTTCAGGCATCTATAACATCCTGATCCTCGATAATACTCCATATCGCGCTAATGCTGGCAGACATGAAAAAGTGCTTATCTTATGTCGATCGAGTGACTAGCACCTTGGTGACTCGTTGTTGCCTATCACTATGTGTGTATTCTCTCGAAACCCTTGCCAATATCTGTGCTGACTACCATTGAAGCATGATCACACGTAGTGGCACGTTCCCAGGAGGTTCTGTGAGGAAGCTTTTACGGCAATTATATTGGCTTCTTATGTCGTTCATGGAATAGTATGATATGCGGGCGCTGTAGGGCTACACGCTGCAGTGCTTTCATCATCCCGTGCACGGTTCCTACATAGGAGGTTGCAGTGAATGTCATGGCGCATGGATTCTGCTGACTCCGCACCAACGCACACAAAGTGCGGTATCACGCCGCCCGAGCCAATGGCACAACAGCATCGACTAGCGCGTCAATGCAGTGCAAATCATAAAGGATCTACGCAGTATAAATGATGGAGCATCGAAGGCGCGAATCAGTGATTTCTTCCTCACTGCCTTATGAAACTTGAACATCACCGCTGATCCTACCGCGTCCTCTGCAGGAACCTTACTAATGTCGAACTACAGCAAGCTCGGACAATTTGACTCCGAATATGCTGCTGTGTTGGCCAAGCTGCCTCCACCCCCTCCGCCTGAGAAGGAGAGGGTCCATTCTCGTCTGCGTGAGCAGTTTGATGTGCACTTTGTTGGGAAGACCAAGGACACTCTGAGGCCGCATCTTCCTCCGGGTGCGTCAGCCGCATTGCACCATATACTCTTTCCTGATGGAAATGGGCAGAGGATGCGTATACTGTGGCAGACCGCCATGTCCAGCTTGATGACGGGGACATACTCGTACGCTGTCTGACACCTCGCGGTTCCGGGGACATCTCCTTCCCTGTGTTATTTTGGATACACGGTGGAGGTATGACATTGTGCCCTTGGCAATACAAGTCGTTGATGTATGAGTTACGCAGGATGGATCGTGGGCAGTGTGGAACTTGATGATTATTATCTCAGGATAATCTGCGTGGAGTTTCAGATCGCCATAATCAATGTCGAGTATCGGTACGTCTTGCGTCTCCTCACAAAGATGATTTCAACTAACACAAAGAACCAGCCTGGCACCAGAACACCCATTTCCTATCGGTCTCAACGATTGTTATGCTGCTTTGTAATGGGTACTGTACTCGCGAGGTTGTGATCTGAACTATGGAGCTGACATTCGTGCAGACTGTCAACAATCAGGCGCTCTTTGGCGGCGACATCTCGCGCGGCTTCCTGATCGGCGGGCAGTCGGCGGGAAGCAACTACGGAGCGGTTCTCGCCTACCGTGCTCGAGACGATCCGTTCTTCGAAAACCGTAGGCTCAGTGGAACCATTTTGCAGCTTCCTATCGTGCTGCATCCAGATGCGCATCCTGAGAAGTACGACATAGCTGTATGTGTGGCAATCTATACATTAGATTGACATGCTTCTCTCAGGTACAAAGACGAGCTACTCTCGGTGGACGAGTGTCGCGATACCCCGCTGTTAAATGGAGAGCAGATGAAGATCACATGGGGTAAATACGTTCACGTCAACCTTGGATGGCGCCCTGATGTCGGTGATTGGTTTTGGTAGTGGATCTAGGCGCAGAGCCGCTCAATCCCGAATGCTCGCCCTTCCTGAATTCCTCACACGCGGGCCTCCCACCGACATACCTGCAAGTGTGCGGACAAGATCCGCTCCGGGACGAAGCCCTAGTATGCGAGAGGCTTCTGAAAGAGGCCAACGTTGCGACGAGGCTTGACGTGTGAGCATGTTTGCCCTCCAAATCAGATCTGGACCTAAATTATGTGCGGTAGTTACCCCGGAGCGGGACACGGATTTCACATTCATTTTCCCACCCTCACCTTAGCTGTGAAGTTCGATGCAGACTTCAAGGCAGGTTTGAGATGGCTTCTAGGTCGAGACTCCCAACAGTTGAGAGCGCGAGACATGCGAACAAGAAGATGCTAGATATCTATCTAGTATAATATACCAAGCTAATTGTCGTCGCCGCAAAGATCACTGCACCTCGCTGGATTGTTTTACGAGTGTGTGTGTATGCGACATTATATGTTGCGTGGTTGCCATACGACGCTGTATTCCATGTTGTCCCTGTTGATGATCTCACGGGCAGCTCGCACGGCGAGGGACACAATGCTAGAAGGCCGGACATTCACACGGTTATCCCAGCGTGCTCTTGCAGAACAGGGGTCGCAGAACCTTATCTGCCTTCAGATGTCGTTGACGAAGGTACCCGCATTTTTGAAGAAGTGCTACGAACATGGGCATCACAAATATCAGAGCGCGACGATGACGATGTCGTGATGGGAGACTCTGAAGGCCCACATAACCTGACCGCCGTCCGGCCCCCGTTTCGGGGGGTTTGAGATATAATATTTTGTTTTCAAAGGCCACCTTTGGGGGGTTTCGGGATCAGAACTCTTGGGGGACTAGCCGGGGTCCTGCGAGAACCTGCAGGAACACGGTCAATGGACCAACGATACCGAGCTTACCGCAAGAACCGTAACACAGCAATTTGGCTCGTTACCTAACTAACACGGCTCTTGTGCGTGTCTCGTGCGCTCCAACACAACGATGAACTCGCACAGGCCCACCACTGGTATTGTACCGCCATTTGGCGTTTACCTTGTCCTGTGGTTGGATTCGTTCAGGATGGTACAGCACTTTGACGACCCTCTTCTGCATGAGGCCGCGCGCCAGCTGTCTCCTGGCAAATACATAGCTTATGTGGCCACTGTGCGTCTACCGAACATTTGCAATAGTGGCAACAGCACTGATGTAGCTGCATAGAATACCGATCTCCCTATGCCCTATCGCCCATGGCATCGATGCCTAGTGCGGCTTGCTGGACTGGGTATGCCTAAAGACCAACCTGAGCAGTTCATCACCTCGGACATGTGCGTCCCGATCTTCCCCGCAACCGAGCATCCTGCAGGTCGCAGACCCTCTCGGCCTACCAAGCCTTTTCCATTCGCGAGCTTTTATCTGCATACGTGGGTCTACGCAACCGTCCGTTTTCCTCTCCAGAACGTTGATTATGGGGATGCCTGGGAAATTACGGTGGAAGACCAGGAGGATCATGGTGATTATATGACTGAGGACCAGGAGAAGCGTGACACGCTTAGAAAGCAAGGTCGAGATTGCTTGTTCTCGTTGAAATATGTTACATACTGACTGACTGACATTATCTTCAGCGAGTCCGCCGACGGCGACAATTGAACCTAGCATCACAGATGAAGTCACGCCAGATATCATTGTAGGATTGAACGTTGTCGCAAAAGTAGAGGACTGGCTCAAGACAACCGATCATAGCCAGGAACCCTTCGAGGAATTGCATATGGACAATGAGGTTGACTCTGAAGTCTCCGATGGTGATGCTCCCGACTCGCTGCTCGACGACGAAGTCTCGCCTTCCACTCCCCCTAGTGACTATGATGCCAATAGCCTGGATGAAGTTAACCAGCTCCTCGCCAGCGTCTTCTATCCTGATTTTTCAAACATCGACGTCGATGTGATACCTATGGTCGGCTTTTCGTTCGATCTGACCGAGGTCAAGCAGTTCTTGGATCCGCGTGGTTTCTTGGAGGAGGTGGAGGCCATGGCTGAGTGCGTCTTGTCTCAATTCGTTCCATATCACACATGGTACACTGACAGGCGTTTTGGCCAGACTCATTCGGAAATATCGCACAGGTGCCCTTGGCGGCGGTCCCGGCTCCCATGCTCTTCCAGATCTCCCCATAGCGTCCCATCCGGGTGACCATACAATTCCTGTAGATAGTCCTACAGCGGTTGCCCCGGCTGACCCCCTAGCGGTCCTTCCCAGCAACTCTATGGTGGTCTTTGTCGGCCATAGCTATGCGACAACGCCATCCGAACAGGTTTCCAACCCGGCACATTCAGTGAGTGATCGGCCAATCGAGAACGTGAAACCTACTTCCCAACGTGTCGCCTTACCGTGAGGTCGGTTTTTGAGGTGGCGCTCCAGATATGAATGCGAGAAAGCGGCAGAGGTCGGACTATTCGATCACACCTGTCGTGTAGCGAGCTTGAGCTTCTAGTACTTGCTCTTGAATATCTCGCCTCTTAGCCGCCGCACTATCGTTCATAAAAAGACAATCTTTGCTGCAGAGACCTCCGATATCTCTCGAGCTACCTCGTGCTGCCGGTGATGTGGATGTAGCCAGCTGGTTGATAGACTCAACACGATATGAGACATGCAATTAATCTGAATACCATAAATACATCTTCAGAAGCAGGTAGACAGGTAGATGTTATCTAGAGCATTGAGACGAAGGCCTCTCGTTCAGGATGGCATCGAACGTCCTAACGCAATGCGCCTGAGGTGCAGGCTGCGCGTTGCTTGCCTCTATTTGTGCACATGCGTGATATATCAGGTGGTGGGAACCTCAGGCGGAAACACAGCAGTCGAGCATTGATGCCGAGCTTACTATAAGACAGCAATTTGGTTCTTTACATAACTTCAACGGCTCTTGGGCGTGTCTCGTGCGCTTCAATACGACGATGAGCTCGTATAGGCCCACCAGGGGCGTCGTACCACCATTTGGTGTTTATCTTGTCTTATGGTTGGATCCAGTCAGGATGGTGCAGCACTTTGACGACCCTTGTCTGCAAGCTGCCGCGCGCCAGCTGTCTCCTGGAAAATACATAGCCTATGTGGCCGTCGTGCGTCTGCCAGATATTTGTGATAGTGGCAACAACATTGATGCAGCTGCATAGAATACTGACTTTCCTATATCCAATCGCCCATGGTATCGGTGTCTCGTACGATTCGTTGGACTAGGTATGCCTAAAGACCAGCCTGCGCAGTTCGTTACCCCCGATATGTGTGTTCCCGTCTTCCCGGCAACCGAGCATCCTGCAGGTCGAAGATCCTTTCAGCCTTCAAAGCCCTTTCCGTTTTTGAATTGCTACTTGCATACGTGGGCCTATGCAACCGTCCGCTTCCCTTTACAGGATGTTGATTATGGGGATGCATGGGAGATATTGCTGGATGACATGGAGGATCATCGTCATTATATGAATGAGGACCAGCGGAAGCGTGACAAGCTCATTGAGCAAGGTCGAGATTGCTCACTCCTTTCGGAAGCTGTCATTCACTGACTCTCGCATGAATTCTCTAGCTAGTCCGCCGGCGAAGATCGAGCCTGTACCCTCGGCGCCTAGCAGCATAGTTCAAGCCACGCCTGATACCGTTGTAGGATCGAACAGCATCATGAAAGTAGAGGATTGGCTCAAGGCAACGAGTCACAGCCAGAAACCCCTCGAGGAATTACATACAGACAATGATATCGGTCCTGACTTCCCCGGTGACGATGACCCCAACTTGCTGCCTGAAGACGAGATCTCGTCTTCCTCTACCTATAGTGGCAGTGATGCCAGTAGCGTGGATGATCTTGGCCTCCTCTTCGCCGGCCTTTTCTGCCCTAATTTCTCGCACATCGACGTCGATGTCATACCCATGGTTGACTTTACGTTCGACCTGACCGAGGTCAAAGAGATCTTGGATCCGCGTGGTTTCTTGGAGGAGGCGGAGGCCACGGCTGAGTGCGTTCTGTCTTAATTATACCGTATACGTGTCATACATGGTGTGCTGACAGGTGTTCTGGCTAGACTTATTCGGAAATCTCGCGCAGGCACGCTTGTCAGCGTTTCCGACTCCCATGCTCTTCCGTATCACCCCATTGCGTCCCGTCTAGGTGAAAACATAATTCCTGCAGATCATCCCACGGCGGTCTTTCCGGCTGATCCCCTGACGGTCCTTTCCAGCAACTCTATGGTGGCCCTTACCACCCACTCGTATGGAAACACCGCGGGCTCCCCTAGCTACGCCTGCTGAGCTGTTGTCCGAGCCAGAGCAGTTCTTTGTTACCGAGCAAAGGATCGTTCCTGAGGCTTTCAGAGGATGGCTGAGATGTTTCATCCGGGTCGCGCGAAAGTTCGTAGTCACAAATGCCCCTCATCACGTTGCTCATTAAAGATTCTCCGAACTGTCGTGAGGCAATGTGCGGCTCGTAGGACAATTCTATAGTACTTCCGTGAGGCGAGATCGAGGTTATCAGAGAGGACCCAAGTGCATTTTCTCTTACGCGGAGATTACACTCTTCAGTGGCATCAATATCGGTAAGAAGCATAGGAGCATAGAGGGCCCATCGCACTGCGCCAGAGCGATACGACTCTGCGCATGGTCTGCTGCAGCCCATTACACTACGGCGGATGGCGAGGACAGGGGGCTCAGACCCCAGTCTGGGCGTCGCTCCCCATCCATCGCCACACCTATTGGGTATCTAAAATTTGGATGGCGCATGTGTTCTCAGGCTGGTGCCGCTAGCACGCTCGTGCCCGCATTTGCCTGAGCTGTCTCAGAGGTCGTCGACGAGGGCACCTGCATTATCGAAGAATTATTACGAATATGGGCATCACATATATCAGAGCGCGACGGCGATGATGTCGTGATAGGAGATTTTGACGATCCTGCCACCACTGAATCAGAGAAGTTGACGAGATGCGTCGAAAGAGCTTGTCCTCAAATTTAGGACGATCGATAGCTTCAAGATCTTCTGGCTTCTTTATATGTGCCCGACGTGGATTCAAGCTTTGACGAGTTCCTGCTGTGCTTCCGTTCTGCCGTCTGCTACATTATGCCAAAGCGTGACGCCGCCATCAACAAGAATGTACAAGATGTGGGCGTAGTTCTGTGCGCGGAGAGAAATCAGCCGTCAACTCACTTTCGCACCATGAGCTAGCGTGCCAGTGTATACATACCACCGATCCATGTTCAGACGAATCAAACAGGCAACGGCGCCAGTTCACCCGACCCTGATAGGTCGATCCGCAAGACCTCCATGCGTTCATCAGCACCTTCAATCGGGAGTAGCGTGGACTTTCGTCTGGAGAAAGACCCGCTCCGTATAGGAGACAACGAGGGGATATCGATGCCTTCGTTCAACCGATCCGCTTCCTCACGGAGCGATTGCCGTGCGTTGAGCCTGGACCTCCGTGAACCCTCCAGCAATGCATACAGATAAGGAAAAAGCCCACATCGCCAAGAAGGAATTTATGTACACTTAGTATGCCATACGAATCAGTGTGAAGTAAAGAGAAGACTCGCGCGTCACGTACGTTTTGACAGGAGAAGATCGATAGCGCCCATGATGAACGTGTCGGCGCGCGTTTTCGCCTTTCCCGTGTATGAGCAGCAGTGTAGGAGTATCCGCAGGTTGGAGGATACGCACAATGATAATTGCTGAGAGCGAAAGCAGACTATTAAGGACGGCCACATCATCGATAATCCATAGAAAAGGTACGCCATAACGTACCTTGTACTGACTCCAGTGTTGACAGCATAAAGCATGAGCTTGCTGAGCAAGGAATCTGTCCTACAGACGCTCCGAATGTGATCATGCGCCAGGGGATCCATCTCCATACCACTCACCTATGAGAACCAGTACGCATACCGCGAAGCATATAACAAAGAGATGCGGCGATCACCGCATCGGTACACGTCCACACAGACAACGGGAAGTATGTAATCCACTATGTTAGGAAATAAGAGTCAGCTCGCATAGTGAAAGTATCTCCTCCGATGCTCACCCCGTGGGACAGCAAGGCGTTTGGGGAGGCCATTAATGCGCTTGAGGATGGATGGATAAGTTCTCAACTTCTGTGATTCATGCAATTGCTCACAGTTCATATGAACACACTTGCAAGATTGTAAGCCTTGCGGACCAACAGATCCAGGATGAAACGGGGGTACTCACCTATGGTGGCAGCTAGAATGAGCCGAAGGTTAAGCGGTCCATGTTCGTGATGAGACGGAAAAACCACTTCACCACATCCCGCTAACACAAAGACTGTCTAGTACGCATATTGAGACATAATTGGACCATTAGCATGGGCAGGTATGGCTACATACAACGATTATTGGCAGTACATAACGAATATGCACTTGTCGTCTGAGCAAGGATACAACGACTATCCGATGTTAGAGTATATAATGATCGTAGTGTCACATAATTGTGAATGCAACGCACGTGCCCAAATCCTCATAGCGTACAGTCTTCCATAGTTCCCGTTGATCACGTAAGTCACAGTGGATGTCCGGCAGATTAACTCACACTTGCACCGAGGAGACCGTAATAGTCTAGAGCATTTGAATGAGTTTTCGTAATAATGCGGCAAAGCCAAGTCCGTTCGCACGCACATTCAAGATGCCTTGAGCCTGTCATTTCAACATAAGCGTGCTGAGATTTACCATGCAAGGTGTTATCGCACCGTGTAACTCCAAACGACCGAGTCCAGAACAGAAGGATTAGAATAACGGACCACGAGATAGTAATACATCATGTGGAAAGAAAACGCAACACAGAGGGCATCGATGATCCTACGTATTTTGATAAGCACTACGTGTTCGTACCCTGAATGTCGCGATACACATACCAGAGATAGCAGACGGCGGCTTTGATCCATGTGCGATCCTTCGCGTATGTCCGGAAGTAAACATATACTTGTAGGTTCGTCATCCCGAAGAAACTACGTTTGAATCTCAAATTTGAGCAGTGAGCGTGGCTGGGAGCTTGAGTGGGACATACATGGCAGCAATGAACACGCCGACCAGCAAGGCTCCGAAGGTTTCCTCAATCCCAGCCATAGTGATAGCCTGAGAGGATGGGTCAGTTAATTGGGTGAAGGCAAGCGACTGTTTTTCGGTCCTAAAAACAACTGACCCGTAAGATCGGAGCGCAGTGGCGAAGTTGGACATTGACACCTGCACATGGAACATCAGTACTCTCGACATGACATCAATCATAAAAAAAGCGAATAGCCTGTAATGAGAGCTTATAGGACCCGATGAGAGAACGATTATGATCGGTCAACTGTGTGGCGCAAGGAATCTGTAATAGTTCTTCCTGGCAAATTGTCGAATCCAGTGGCTGTGAACCTCACTTGGACGAACTCTCAAGAAGGATCGTCTCATTCTCTCGCACGAATCAAGAAGGCAGGTTGCGGGAAATGCAGGCCGTGCCGCACGATAGTCCATGGGCTTTTCGGACATGTCGATTTTTGACAAATTACTGTTAGAGTCGAAGTTCCGATATCAAACAACATTGCCAGAGCTGTAATGTTCGTATGTCTACGCAGTGTTGGTGATTCCTATGACAGATGTGATGCCATCTGAAACTGCGACACTTGAAATTTCAAGAAATGACCGACATGATACGCACGGAACAATGGATTAGAAATCTCCTTTTCGTTGATCAGCATAGGTCTCGGAGTCCTGTGTGAGAGCCACAATGTTGCAGTCACTGGCATACGCCGCTGCCTACGGGCCTTTGCACCTCAGAGACTGCCGTACACATCGGCATGACACGGCCAAAGCCTGTTGTATGCTAAAATACAAGTCCAACGGCAGTCTAGTCTCAGTGCTGTGCAGTGTGCGTCATGAGTGCAGCGTATGTATATGGTTAGAAACAAGCCCCGGCGCTCAAGCGCTCAGCTCCGTCATAGCGTGCACATTTTCAAGGATGGACAACATATTGCCGTACCTGTAACCCCAAGCGCTACATATGCTACACATTATAACACCCGCCATAGCGGTTTAGCGTGTCTTAGGCGGCATCTCGCCAATTTTCGAACATTTTAAACGCGTCTGTCTGTGTCTGCTTTTCCGACGCTTACCACCATGGAGCCATCTCCGATCGACGTCGAGGCCGACCCGATGAGCGTGCGCGCCCTCAAAGACATCACATTTGGCAGTGTACGTGGTTGGTCGGGGCGCGGGAGAGCGGTTGCTGAGAGCGAGCACAGGTGGCCGGGATGACGTCGAAGGTGTTTGAGCACCCGTTTGACCTGACGAAGGTCCGTCTGCAATCGCAAGTGCTCGACGCGACCGCTCGCTTCAAAGGGCCCATAGACTGTCTGGTGCAGACATGGCAAAAGGAGGGCATACGGGGCCTGTACAGGGTGAGTGCAGACATCTGCGTCTGACGCTTGCAGTCCCAGTGACGCTCCTCAGGGCCTGCCTGCGCCGATCGTGGGCGCGATGGCTGAGAACGCCTCGCTTTTCTGGTCGTATCGTGAACTGCAAAACGCAATACGCGCGGTCAGCAAACAGCCCGCGCAGGAGCTGTCGCTCGACCAGCTCGCTCTCGCAGGTGCCGGCGCCGGCTTCCTGACCAGTTTTGTCCTGTACGCACGCTGGCACCCCAGTGTGGCCGCGCCGATCGCTTATTTATGTGCAGGACCCCCATCGAGCTTGTAAAATGCAAAATGCAGGTCCAGATGCTTATGGCGCCCGGAGTTTCGGCGGCAGAAGCTGCTGCACTCTCGCCCGCGTCCTTGCCCCCCACACCGCCCCCATCCCACGTACCCTCCCCTTCCTCGCACGTTCGCAAGCTTCCTGGCCCTATCTCTGTTCTTACATCTATCATCCGTACTTCTGGCTTCCGTGGTCTCTGGCTCGGCCAGACTGCAACGCTCATCCGCGAGACCGGCGGTGGTGCGGCGTGGTTTGCCTCCAAGGAGGCTGTGGCCACGCTACTCCTTGCACGGCGGCACGTACCTGCTCATGACAAGAAGGCACTAAGAGCATGGGAGTCGGCGGTCTCTGGGGCGTGTGCGGGCGTGGCGTACAACGTTGCGCTGTTCCCCGCCGACACGGTCAAGAGCGCGATACAGACCCAGGCAGAGCTCAGACCGAGGGCAGCGGGCGAGCCAGGCCCAACGTTCTTGGGTACGCTGCGGGCGATGTATCGTGCTCAGGGCGTGAAGGGATTATATGCAGGCTGCGGCGTCACGGTGGCGAGGGCAATTCCCAGTAGCGCCCTCATCTTTTTGATTTACGATGGATTGAGCAGTAGATACGGATCATGACATACCATACAACACGGAGTATAGAGCTTATTGCTTAGACGTCTATTGTACAGGCGCGAACCTGAGCGGTGAGAAATGACGTCCATTCAAAACTAAGTGTACCCTTGTTCATCAACATTGATGCGCCCACTCAAATGGTGTCATAAGAACGGACGATGTAACAGCCAGAGGCAGAGTTTTATTTGGCTCCTGCGCTCTTCTTGATGTCTACGAGGACCTTATCCACCTCGCCCAGGTATTTGTCGGTGAGCGATTGGAACTGCGACAGACCATGTAAATCCTCTGTACTCATGCCACTCGATACTACGACGCACCTCATCTAGCTCGGGCGAGTGCTTTGCATATTTCCCCTTCTTCAGGCTCGCCTGGTGCTGCTTACGTATTTGCACCCGCGAGTCCTCAGCCTGCCGCTGTGCGCTGGCCAACATGGCCTGCCGCGCATCCACTGTCGGCCTTTACAACTAGTCTGAATGGGCAGTGCATGCGTAGAGAGGGAGGAGTGCTCACTTTGGCATGGGAATCTTTATCGTGCGAGCGTCGACCTTCTGCGGCACAACGCCTGGCAGCTTTGCATCATACAGCGCGGTCTCGACATGTCGCAGCGTCTACTGGACCCGAGGTGAGCTCACGGCGTCCAGGGACTGCCTGCCACACTCACATGTTCCTCGAACACCGTCACCAGCAGCGTCGTGCCTTCGCGCACGCCCACTGTCGCGACTTCCTCGAGCCGCACACCCTTGGCGTCCCCGCCCTCGCTGTCAGGGAGCATCACCCTGACCGGAGACAAGATCGCGGGCGTGACTCGCCCGCTCGCGCGCATCTCCATGGTGGCGACTTCTTTGCGGAACCGCTCGACGATTGCCTTCATCTTCCCCTCCGCCTTCACGTATTCTTCGCCAGCCACTATGCGCTGCGAACCAGGTACCAAATTCTCGGTCGAGACGACCGGACTGTGCTTGCTCTTCCCTTCCTTAGAATCCCGCTCTTTGCGCTTCGAGGCATACGCGCGTGATTGAGTCGCGAGGGGTGCGCACAAGAGATTGCGATAGCATGTTCGCGTTGCTGCTCGCGGGCGAAGTGCCAGTGAAGACAAGGCGAGTGCTCGAGAGAAAGACATTATAGTCGAAAGCGAAGACGGCACTAAGACACGTCCCGGACAAATCTGGGACGTTCAATGAAAGAAGGGTCACGTGCACTACGCGTCTGTGGCTACGCGTCGCGTCCTCCGTCGCCACCAGCGGCGATTCATCAATTCGGCTTTGTTGACTTCTCCAATTTAAAGAGCTAATGGTGATACTGATCTTAATGTTCTACTCGGACCAGGGTGAATTTAAAATACTGATGTCAGTATAGCTGTCTCATGCCTGCTTCCTGTAGGTATGTGAAATGCCCCTGTCTCAGTTAAAATCAGAGATAACGCGAATCATGCGCATATAGTGCCTTGCAGCTCTATCAAACATACCAAACATAATCAGACCAGAGCCACGGTGGTGCAAAGTATAGGTGCCACATCCAACAGACGCCACGCATCAATGCATCATATTAAGAGGCAGAGCTCTACATCACCTATTTGAAGCAATATCTAGTACCCATTAGCAAGTGACTGGCGATATATACGTATTCTCTGACGTTGAAATGTGTCGGCTTGAAAGTTCTCACGGTATTTACCCGTGTATACAGGGTACGCTGCAGTCATTGCGACATCATGTACAGGGAAGGACCTCGGAGTTGTAAGCCATAACATTTCCCATTAGTCATTAAAAACACTCACGCATTTTATATGCTTGCGTGATGTTCTGCCCCTTAGCATGAACTGTGAATATCGCCCTCATTTGCTTCTGCGCAGCATTAGTGTGTTTCTGCTCGGCATGGCCTTTCTAAACTCACATTGAACGCCCGTCAAGGAGCGGAAACCCTGCTTTTGGAGTTTCGCCTCAGTCCGTTCTGCCCCCCTTTAGTCATCGTTCTTGTTCCAAAAACTAAGCAAAGCGCGCCACGCCGCCGTGACCGACGATGAATGCTATGCATCATCGGAGCCCGGCCTCGCGGCATTCAATACGGCGTCGGCCTTCGTGTCCTTGCGGGTGTTCAAACCCGTCAAACCTCCGTGTCTGGCAGACGCTTGCTAGTGCCACCCAGGGCAAATATGTATAAACAACGCTTTTGTTCGGCAAACAGCCTGCAATTGTTGTCCTTTGAACCTGCCTCATCGGCTGCAATGCCCTCCAGGATATCGTCATAACCAGATGTCTTGGATATAACCAAACAGTGTACGATACAGGCGTTGCTATCATTCCGTGTGCATGCTGTGGGCTGAAAACGGCTTTCTGAGGCGCTGACCCCGGCCGGCGGGTGCGTGTACTTTTTGGTGGTATTCATCGGATCAAGCCTGACCGGGTCGCCTAGCGCTATATCTAGTTGTGAACTTCCCTGTGCAATCGGTGCTGTGCGCGTTGAGGGGAGCTGGCGTTCCTTGCGTGCTATATCTAGCCGGTTCAGCTTGAGGCCTCTCGTCACTTGTCACTTCCCATATCTATCGCAAAACAGTCGGCGCAGATCCCTCTTCGCTGTACACATCGCCACCAGACTTGTGCACAGCTCACTCAACAGAAGTTGCCTATCCTGGCTTGACTGCCGCGATTGTACGAAGTGGGGTGGGTCTTATTCGTTCTTCCTCCCGGCGCCCTGTAAGTAACAAAAGCTTCTGCTTGTCAGTCATCTGGGTGCTATATATCTATGCTAGTGTTTCTGCAGACCTTTCAGCCCCCGGTCCCGAATCTAGCACTCGCTGATCATTCATCGCGCGCGACTCTGCTTGCCAGCTCCACGCTCCTATGTCCTGGGTGAATCCCCCACAGTATGCAGCTTGGCCGACGGTACATACCGCCTCTCACAGTTGGCAAGGCCAGTGGCCACCCACAGCCCCCGCTCCCTATCCAGGGCCACCCCCAGTTCCTGCCGGTGTCAATCCTCAGGCCTGGACGTCAGGACAATGGCAACTCAATCCAATGTTTCGCGGCGCCATGGTTGGGACGCAGGCCGCCTTTCAGGCCTGGGCGCCGCATCCTAGCTGGGGTGCGCCAATGGCAAACGCGCATGGAGGGCCAGGGGCGAACTTCAACCCGTACAAGCGTGTCCCGAACCCCGGCAACGCCGAGTACTGGAATACGAAGTTGAAGGAGAATGGGCTTGGGCTTGAGAACATGCACATCAGGTGCGTATATTCAAGACTTTGGGGAAGGACGGATCGCATCATTTGGGTTGGGTTGTAGGGAGGAGGCTCCGAAGAAGACGCAAGACAACGGCGTCACGCACACACCTTGGGTATGGGTCCCGAAAGAGCTCTGTGAGTCTCCCGAGCACAATGATTCATCCACGCTGCCGAATGGGCAAGGCGGGCCAGAGAAACACGGCTCTTCTCAGTCCAGTCAGAACAGCGCCGTTCGGACACAATCACATCCACACGAGCGTTCGTCGACCACCTCCGATGCTTATCGGCAGGTACGGCCGCCACAGGAACTAGTCGATGTGTACAGCAGTTCGTCGGCGACTCGAGACAAGCGGCCAACCGCTGGTCAGTCCCATCAGCGGCGGGATTCTGCGCAGCAGCCTGACCCTAGGGTTCGCGCTGAGGCAAACGTTGTGCCTGATCGGGTCGTCCCGCCGGCTGTGTCTTCATATTCTACATATTCTCAACAACAACAGCAACCGCAGCAGCAGCAGCAACAGCAGCATTATCAGCAGCAGTCCCAGCCGCACCACCGCCAGCCAAGCAGCGATGTGTCCTCACGAGAACATCAGCAAGCACGCGACTTACGCACATCTCCCAATCGTTCCGTGCCATCTGCTACATCGTCGGCTTCGGCGGCCGCGGCCGCGGCAAATGGAACGAATGCGAGCATGAATTTAGCAGCGCCCGCTCCGCGACCTTCTGCTCTGGAGGCTTTCAGCTCTAAACAGGATCTTCAGACAACGTTTTCTCCCGGTATCATCCGCACACCGAATCATTATTCATCGGCGTCCACCGGAAGCACGCCTGCACGGCGCTCAACCAGCGAGGGTATTCAGAGCTCGTCTACGACACCGTCCCGACGCACAAGCACTGATGATGCTAATGGCCTGTCTACAACGCCGTTGAGACGCTCAACTGGCGACGATGCGTATAGCTTCTCTTCCACTCCGACCCGCCGCTCAAGCTACGATGATGCAGGTCGCACGCCGTCTCGCCCTTCGATCTCACCTCAATCCCATGGGCCCATCTATGGACCACCGTCCAACGCACCCAGCCGCTCGAACAGCCTTTCTAAGCGTCAATCCTCCACGTCAACTATCCCATCGACGTCGTCCGATACCGCTTCTGCCCCTACCCTCCCGTTCCTTGCCAACTTCACTGAAGAGCCGGCTGGCCTGCTCAGCCCTCTCGTGGCCCCGACTCGGACGTCGAACGGCTCTAGCCCGAAGGAGCGCGAGCTTACGCGCCACCATACGTACCCTTCCTTCCCCGGCTTCGAGACAATCCCCGAAGACCGCGCCACGCATCCTCGCACTCCACGGCCGCCTGATCGCGATCAAGGCAGAGATCCAAACGCGACCCCTTATGCCAGTGCACGTTCACCGCCAAGATCGTCGCGCGTTTCGCCCGACACAGCACCCCGGCAGATCTCGCGGAGCCAGACGTATCCCCTCTTGGACGCCCCTGCGTCATCACGCGCGTCGACCACCCCGTCGCGGTCACCGAACACTAGTACCCCCTCCCGATCACCAAACACCAGCACTCCGTCCCGGTCGCCAAACACGACTTCCCGATCGCGTGGGCCCTCGCCATCTCGGACCACTCGTGTCAGCCATAACCCTCTTCCGCAACCCCCAATGCCGTCATATTATCCAACTGCTTCAGTTTCTGCCTCTGCCTCTGCGTCGTCCTCATATCCTACATCTTCTACTTCTGTGTCATCATCGTCTGCCTCGATGCCTGTCGTACCACCCGTAAGCCACCGCAAGACCCGGACGGGTTTCTGGAATCGACGCGGAGACCACCTGATCATGGAACGCAACGGACAGTTCATCGTCTACGCGCCACGAAATCTGGCCAATCCGCCAGAGCTGGGACATTATCCCTCACCGGTAGAGGGATTCATGGACCAGTTTGGCAAGAAGGTGAGGTATGATCCAACCGTTCCAGAGCTACCAGATTCGTTACCCTCGCATGGAGAGCCGCCAACGCGGCCATACGAACACGTATGTGTTCTTTCGATTTGGCGTCCTCAGCTCTGACGTTCTCTGCAGTTTGTACAATACGTCTGACACGAAGGGGCTATCTTTCGCCGTTCTGCAAGGACTCTGTATCTCAAATATGTAAACATGCACTATTATGTATTACCGTCCAATGTATTATCTTCCGGTCATATCTTGCACCTTGTGCTTAATAACATGGCATTCTCTCGAATGTATCTACTCGTACACGATATAGTAACACGCGAGACGTACATACAAGAACACGACAAGTACAGCAGGACATAAATTACAGCAATAAACCGAAGTCAAATATAGATGGGTGCTATACATGAGACAAGATCATCCCAGACCGATTCCTCCGTGGGCCGAACGCATGTGGTCGTAGACAGTCTCGCTCATGGTGAATGTCTCAAGACAAACCCAGCAAATATGCGTCCGACAATGTGCGCAGGTCATATGATTGCACCCCGCGAGTTTTTCGATCGGTACCCTACAAGAAGGGCACTCTTTCACGTCGTGGTTCTTCTTCCACTCCTCAAATAGTCTTTCATCTTCGGCGTCTTCCTTGTCTTGACAGCGGGAGCCTTCGTGATACTCGACGTGGCAATGGGGGCAGATTCGAGTTAGACATGAGGGGCATTGTAGCACCGTGTTTCTCGATCCTTTCCGGTATACCTGTGGGCAATCAGGGGTGGGGCAATAATGAAATTCGTTGGGCCGCGAATTGACATATGCCAGAAACGCCGCATGAATGACCGAGCTGAAATCATTCGGAGAGAGAACCTCCTGAGCGACATTAAGTGGTATAGCATGAGGGCATCTAGCTTCGTTTCCCAGGCAAGTCAGTGGGAAGACCTTGTTGTCGACAGAGGCCATGAGATAGTTAGCAAGACAAGTCTTGCACCACGTATGCCCGCATGCAAGCGACACAGGTGATGTCACTTCATCAAAGCATACAGGACATTCTACCTCGTGATGCTGCCTCTCACCGGTGTGGCGGTCTCGCGCACGTTTGATTGCTTGCTGTGCCACCTTGTATGCCTCATCGTCTCCGCGTACCGTAAGTACGCGTGCCCAGAGATCCAGCTTTACATTTTCGGCACCCAACTCGCTCTGAAGTCTGGCCAAATCCGCGCTCATGAAAAGGCCAATCATTCGTCCTTGGAGAGGCAGGACGTGGGTCTTCTGTGCCCGGAGAGATGCCACTCTGGCAAGGATGGTAGAACGAACGATACCGCGTTTAACGGCAGGACCGAAAAGGGCAAGCCTCCGTCGTCTGGGGTCTCGATGTATTATTATACCTGGGTGCCTCTTCTCGAGATCCTCGAGGTAGAGGATACCTCCTCGTCTGGCGAAGAAGCCATCCCATAAGATCTCACCGTTTTGAGTAATGATGTCGCCGCGTAGGAGTTTCTCGAAGGCCACTTTCATTCGAGTTAACGCTTGCATGTTTGTTGATCCGAGTTTGACCTTGACTGGGGGCGACGGTCCCGTACCGCGACGTCGGTCTAACACGGTGATACTGGAGCCGTTCTCGTTGTCCCAGACATATGCGCTGAGGAAGCGCAGGTCACTGGATAGCGCCCCAAACACATGCCGAGGCAGGTTGTAAGTTAGAGTGCGGACGTGCCTCGCGTATAATTTGCCGAAGCCGCAGAACCGCTTCTTCCTGTTATGCAGAGCTGCGCATACGATGTCTGCAGTCGTGGTGGAAGTGAAATGTGCCCATGCTCGAACAACGCCACGTTTGTACGGCGGTGGAAGGACATTGAACGACTCCAGTTCTCCGAGCTCTGACAACGTTTCCCGCAAGCGATTGATAGCTCCCTTCTGCGACTGATAGTTAGGGAGGTCCATCATGACGCCGTCATTTGCGCCGTAAAGATCGATATCTTTGGCTTGTGCGTCCGGGGGGAGTCCATGGAAGCGCAAATTGAAAGCACCAATATTGGGGAGACCCTGAAAGTATTCGGCGGTTATCCACGAACCTCGAAGCTCGGTGCCGTTCGCTTTGGCCAGTGCTTGTGCTGCAAGCTCTTCCGTTTCATAACCAGCATAGCCTCTCCTAGAGGCGGCTGGAAACTCAAGGAATACAGCAGCGTCTTCAAGAGATCCCTTGCCCACAGAGGCTGTCTCGAATGACAATAATCGAGCGGAGATAGGTGAATCAAATAGCTGACTGCCATCTAGGGATGACGCAGCCTCGGCGGCTTCTTCGTACGTTGCAAAGGTCACGCGGACAGCGAGTCCATCCCGGTGCTTCCCCTGCGTTTTGTGGACATCCGGCAAGCGGACGGTGACGACTTCTCCGAGATGAGATAAAGCATTCGTGATCTCGGCAGGAGTCACACCGTAAGGAATACCCTTCAGAAGCACTTGACGTGATTCGAAGCCAGTAACAAGCCCCTGGATATCAAACCCAGGTCCAAATGTGACCCTTGTAGCGTCGAGAACAGAGAGGGACATATTGACCGGCGGCTCCTTGCGCGCAGGTGCTTGAGCCTTCAGTATTTTCTGTCATGTGTGGTCAGCAGTCTAGTGCGAGCGATCTGCAGGAAACTCACATCTTCCAAGCCAAGACCAGGGGGTACGATGGGGGCGTTGGCCCACGCAATCTCAGCAGCCGTCATGGGGGGCGCACACGGGAGAGGTTCACGACGTCTAGTTGTCTCACGAGCGGAGGGTTGCCGGGAACGTCTAGCATTTGATTGAGATCGCTCAAGGGTACCTTCAGATTGTCCAGACAGCTGGCCCTGGTGCGAGAGAAACGACAGAGTGAGCGACCAGCTTGCGATGAATGAATTGTACAATTATACCTCCATCATGCGAACTGTTGGCTCTACAGCTGCCTCAAACTTTCGGTTGCGATCGGCGCTCCTATTGAATCTCTCAATGTCATTCTCATCGTGCGAGAATTTGCAGTAGTCCCTGACGCATCTTCCGTGGATATGATCCCAACAAACAGGTACCACCCTTTCGACAGGGGTCTTCGGTATGTCGAGCGAGGCAGCAGACGACTCAGGAGATCCCCATGTAGGCTCCTCGTCCTAAAGATTGCGATCTGGTGAGTAAACTATATATCTAGTTTCCCGAAGACGACTTACCCAAGAACCATGGAACGGATTTTCCGACTCAGAGCTGTCTCTCTGTATACCGGATCTATCAGGAGACCTGTCGTGTGACGTTGTAGCTAGCGGTGACGTGGATTGGCTACTCGACGGAATAATTGCGGAGGACTGGGGCACTGCCACACTGTCGACTTGACAAGGGTTCGCAGCCGTAGAAGCAGCCGCAGTGATGACCTCGACGGATTTTGAGGTATCTATCTTCTCCTGTTTCTTCTGTTTAATCCTATCAGGTATATAGAAACATGCGGAACAGAGAATACTCACGTTTCGTTTCGACTTCTTGGATGAGCCCTCGCCACGCGTCGACCTAGCAAGCGCATCAGTCCCTCGATTCATATATAATAAAGAACACATCGCTCAACAAATTCGCGTTGTCAGCGTCGGCAGTCCATTGCTCTCCTACATCCGCCGTCATTACTTCAACCAAAGGGGGTTCCGGTGCGGTGGATCTACTGGCTTTGGACTTGCCCTTCAACGACGCTGATGTAGTAGGCGTCGACGATTTTTGCGTGTCGGTGAATGACACCGTAACGACCTTAGCAACAGAGGAAATATTTATCGGATCGGAAGTTTCGGATGCAGCAGGCGCCGGCGGTCCGAGCTTCGTCGCGGCAGGTTCCCAGAGGGGGTGAAGTCGACTGCAGCGATTGCCCTTCTTGCACTTGTTGTTCATGTAATCCTGACATATCGGCCTCCCCGCATCGACGGTATCGGACTGGACGGACCAATCAGTGCGGGAAGTAGTGACATCAAGGAAGACCCACCGTCGTTCCAGGAACATTGAAACCTGTTGAAGCTGCAACCTCGGTCGCGATGGTTCCAGATGCAGTGCTCGTAGCTGCAGCCGACATGCTTGACGAAGACTGCTTGTGGGTGTCGTCATGCGGTGGATGTATGCGTCGACATTGAGAGCCTAGATGACAGCGACCCTTCGTATAATTCCTACAGATTTTCCTATCGTCCGAGGACGAAGGGACACTGATCTTTTGACATCGATGTAAACCATTATAAGGCCTCCGTGCTTATGGTTTGACAAAATTACGCACCTCCTTGTCTTTCTTCTGCTCTTGCGACCGTGCCGATGGATACGACACATCGGCACTGGTAGAGGGCTCCTAGAGAACACAATCAATAAGAGGGGGCAAGCAGAACAACAACGACATTACTTCTTCCCGAGCGACAGGTACAATAGACTGCTCGCAACGTGTCATACCCGCAGAATTGAGAGGTACAGGCGATCCTTCTAAAACTCCCTCTTGTAGCTGCGCTTCGAGCACATGTGCACGGTTGCACAAGTTAGCCCAAGCACAGTGACCTGACTGGTAAGCCCGACAGATCTCATCTGACGTCTGCACAAGACTTCAGTTGTGAACGCATCGCTGTGGGACGTGATACATACTCGAGACGATCTATCGTCGAGACGCGCCAAAATGCTCGACGTCATTGGGCTTGCCGATACTGTGGAGGATGCGGAGTAGTAATTCTTTGGACGGGGAAGATGAGTTTTGCGGCAATGTGCCCCATATTCGCAATGCCCTCGCTGCCAAAAATGGCAGGGGGTATCATATCGCTGAACAGAAACGGACGTTAAATACATAATGCTAGCAGCAGCAGTGGATATACCTTTGCGGGTCGGAGATCGACAAGTACACTTGGCTGTGAGACGTCTTCGCTGTCGTTACTCCGCGGTATCCCTTCGCTGAGAGCGCCCGTTTTCTTGTCAGTCGATGTAGCCGACAGCACCGGAACAATGCCAGAAGATTGTGGTGTGATGTCACTGGTACTTTCCACGATCTGCCAAAGCAAATCAGATGGAAAGGCGTGGAAGGTGTAACGCTACAATACCGTTTCTGATTCCTTAGGGCGTTGCGCTGATGCGAGCGGAACGTCTTCTGAGCGTTCGTGGCGCCAACGGCAACGAATACCGTATGAGCAATGACCAGAAAGAAACTGGCGACAGACGCCAGCTGCAGATTCCTATCGACGAAAAAGTATCAGCTTTATTGTTGTGAACAGCAAAGTGCTAGTAGCTGCTTACAGGCGGAGTCATCGTTCCAGCAGGAGCGGCGATTGAGCACTGAGGGGCAGGCTGATCGACGGCACCGATTATATGCTCACGGCCTAACCTATCGATGTACCGCAAGTTCGGAGATATTTCAGATTGCTGACCTTGTGGCGGCGGAGCCACCACCCGGGAATTCACCACCACATTGCCTTGTACCTGTGGGGCAGAAGACGCTGTCTCTGTTGACACTGGGTCCCGCAGCATGTTCCGCGGTAGAATATGTCTACGTGGACACTGGTCGCCATTCTTGCACCGTCCCTTGATATAATTCCAGCAGTGCGATCTGCGAGGCTGACGCGACGCCTTGAAGAACGACACGAGAAAATTATGGACTCTCAGAACTCATAAACGAGAACGGAAAAAGGTCACATAGCCTACCTCCGAGTCTTGTGGCGCGGTCTCGGATGAATCCTTGGAAACGATACTTTGACTGTCCTTTTGCTCGATGGTCATCGTCGGAACAGCTTTAGCTACGCTATTGAGAGTAAGGGTGTGTATGTCTGAGGGAGCGGATGTGGGTGTCTGAGAGCGGGAGTAAAGTTCAACTTTAAGTTGTGGTCATTTGGTTCTGGGCCAGCCAAGCGCCGACTCACCGGAAGCATAATCGCGGGGTTTTCTGCGTGAGCCACGCCGGACAATCCCTTTGCCTTGCTAGCGCTGGATGCACGAACCTGGCCATTTTTGACCAGCACTTGTGTTGTAACCCCTAAACTACGGTTTCTTGTCCGGGTGGCACTTGGCGCCATTGTGGTTTGCGGTATTTAGCTATCGCTTGTCACTACCTGTACGCTGACCTGTGCACGGAGTGCCCCTTCAGACCGTTATTCTGCATATGAGTCAGAGGCGGGAAGGGGCTCACCGCTACCGACGGGAGGAGCAGCATACAGTCAGCGAGTCAAGAGTACGCAACTCGGGAGCGCTGGATCTGCACCCATTCTGGTCGGCTTATCCCGAAAATATAGTATTACCCGATCGCTGGCGCAGCGTTGATGCCTCATTTTGATGGCAAATATGCTCAAATACAGCGCGATCTCAGCCGTAACTCAAACCCCGATTCGGCGGCATCCTCACAAACTCCTTTCGTCGAGTGTCAGTGAAACGGCCCTTCACACGAATAGCAATGCATAGGACTATGTTGAGCGAATAGCACCCGCGTCGGGCGCATGTGAGTATTGTTGTGATCTAGGATTAAGCGCAAGGAGAAGCACATCGCATTTCATGTGCCCACGTTAAAAGTCACGACGAGGCGTATTCTCAGATTCCATATCTAAAATACACAATATGAGAACAAGAAACACGGAAACCTTCCACGGAACGCTGACGTGAGCGAGAACAATAGGATTCCCAGGCTCAGGTTACCCACGAGGCCGATGTGCCAATGGGGAATGATAGGGAGACGGAGCATCATTTGGCAGCGACAGCAGAGGCCGGCAGCACCGGGAGAAGTCAGCAAGTCCACGAGCCAGAAGATCACGGTGGATTAGAGCCCAGGAAGGGGATTGCAGAGCCTGTCTGGTATCCGCGATATGCGCGCCCGCGCACGGTATCGCACCGCAGTGGGGCTGGGGTACGAATAAAAGTGCGTTGGGGAGCCCGGGAGGGATTGGTGTGCTGAAAGATCTCTGGAGAGCACGGGGTTTCGTGAATCAGTTGGGGGGCGGTGGTGGCCACTGGTCCGGCAGGGTTCATCCATAGGCGGTGATTTTGGTGGCGGGCGAAGACACCATTCGAGGTCTTGCGCTGGATTGTAACCAATAGGGAATCGCCAACGCTTCAAAGATAGCACTAGCACTGCTACACTCTGTGGGGCTCCGCGCCTTCTGGTCACCGTGGCAGAGCGTCACCCGAAGAGACTCACCATGACAGAGGAAAGACCTGTGCTGAAAAGCCAGTAAACAAGCCGCCAACCTACAGAAAGCAGACTCATGGCTGGTAGTTGTGTCACGTATTCTAACCAGGCCGGGTCGACTGGGCAAGAGTCAGCCATGTTTACGCGGTATCAAAGTAGCGCCACTTACCTCGTAAGATGATCTCTAGCATGTACAAGGCAGTGGCCTTGGTCCAATCCAACCATACACGATTTGCGTTTCCGGGGATCATAATGAGAAGTCGTTCGTGCAGCTCAGCCGCGGTCCCAGTCAGGTTGTGCATCTCTTCTTGCGCAAGTATCGTCAGTTCGGAGAACGTCTCTGTGAGTCTGGCTGCGGATTGGGTCGTCTCAACCTGTAGGGCGTGGGCTTCATATATTTGCGCGGTTGTGTGCTCTAGCTGCAAATGCGCTTGTGATACTTCTGAGACGAGTCCTACGACCGACTGCATTCCTGGTCTATATGTCATTAATGGAACGCAGAAGCATAGCACTCGCCTGTCGCATAAGACCCAGCTCGGTGCTGACGGTGCCCAGTTGTGCTTGTGCATCGTTCTAATGTGGTTGAGCTGGCAGCCTGCGAGTTCTAGCAGTAACACTTACAGCGAGTTCTGCCACATTTCGATATTGTGTCTCTATCGCGACCATGGCCTTGGACAAAGAATTGTGAAGAGAAGCCTCTAAAGACGGTGCTAGGGACTCGAGAGACACGGAATGCTTGGGTAGCAAAGTCAAATATTGGGATGTTCTGAAGCAGAAGGGAAGAACATACCCTGTTTACAGCACCTTCGATCGCAAAATCAACCTACAGCAAACATATCTTATCCAGCTGATTCAGTAGTCAGGGCTTGAGACCACTTACACGGGAAGCAACACTGAGTTGTGTTTCCTCGTTCCGCCGCCCGATGTCGAAGATCACGTCCCTCAGCATGTCTAATCTCTACGAAGCCGTTCAATCAATCCCAGAGACGAAAATTGCGAGAGCAAATGAGACCTACGTCCTGGAAGCTCTCTGAGATTCCCTGGACTATCCCGTCATATACAAGGCCAATTTCCGACGTGGATGAGCGGACTGCTGCAAGCAGACCACTTATGTCCTGCACAATTGAATGTCCTGCATTAGTCTCTGACGCGAGAAGGCAGGATATACCTGCAAAAACAGGTCGGATCTCCGGCTATATTCTTGTAGTTGCTCCTCGCGCTCATTGAGATGCTGCAATATTTCCACTTGTCCTATTGTAGCATTTCTGTAGATTTCCCTGGCTGTGTCTGCAATCACGATTGAGACAAAAGAAATCACCATACACCGCGCAACGCAAGTCACCTATATCGTTCCATCGTCGAAAAGCATAGCATAGTTGTGCTACCCAGAGCGTGTATAAGTGGAAGCGCATATATGCAACCTTTCAGCAAGTAACCACGTACAGACTTCACGGAGATAGCCTGAATAGCTTGACCAGTGCTGTGTACTCCGGGATAAAGCCCTTTAGACGTGTAAATGTCGACAAACATTATATATATATAGTGAGAATGAAATCACTCTACGCAGGCCCCGGGTGGTCCATTCGGGATATTCTTGTCAGTAGAGCGCATCTCCACTGCAAATGCAGCGCATTCCAGTGGGGGCGAATTATGTTTTGCAGTGCCAAGCTCGCAGAGTGTCATAGTGATGGCAGCTTGAAAATATTCAGCATTCATCAGAATGTCAGACTTTTTTGATGTGCAGCGCACCTCTAACCCTCTCATTTTCGTTCATATCGAGTTCACCACACGTCGTTCGAATAAGGCCTGCAGCGCGCCGAAAGCAGTCTGGCTGACGATTGTAGTTCTGCAGAATATCTGAATATCAGGTTGACATGCTTCAATCCCTCCGAACTTCATATGCTATGTGATTCATGAAGAAAACACCTGTATTCTGCGTGATCATTGCAATCTCGTCTGTCACACGGATTGTCAGAATTAAAGCATTCATCATAGTCGCGACACTCTATGTTCGGCACACACCTTCTTTAGTTTCTAAGTTACCTCTCAAAGTATCTCGCTGCAAATAGGCAGGTTTATGCCAGGAGAATGCGCGACAAACTGATGCCATTGCAAGGATGGAAAGGATAGCCAACATAGTGCGAGGTGATTGGTTGGTTTCGATATATGCTCGGCTTATTCTTTGTACAGCACCCCGTGATTAAGACGAGTATAAATGCAGCACTGTGAGTTAAATGCAGAGGAAGAGGAGTTTTGAAACGTCAATGGCAAAGACGCGAGATAAGCGCCAATGACGCACGACACGTGATCGCGTTCGAGGAATTGGACGCCAGCTGCGGCTCCGCAGTGCGCGTACCGCGCCCTTTGTCTCTGAACATCACCTACTGTTTCTTCTGCAAATAGACTCTTGAAACCCTTCGGAATATACCTGTATATCATTTCAAACGTTTACTTAATCCCTAGCCGAGCTTGTACAAATTTACAAATCATGGCCCCAACGGCGAGCGAAATTGTAGTACACCACCTGAATGACTCACGTTCACAGCGTATACTATGGCTTTTGGTGAGCAATCCGATATATCACACATGTTATGATCGTCTTACTGACCGCGCGTCCGCCGAAAGGAGGAGCTCGGAGTGCCGTATACCATCAAGAAGTATCAACGTACACCCAGCCACGTTGCGCCTGAAGAATTGAAGGCGGTCCATCCGCTTGGAACAGCCCCAGTCATCACCGATGGCGCGGTGACATTGGCCGAGAGCGGCGCTATCATAGGTACTGAATCCTACGCAGTCACATCTGAGGCGACAATGCGTCTGGAACTGACATTTAGCGCCTGGTACGTTAGAGTATATCGTCCGTAAATATGGAGACGGGAAGGTACGACCTCCAGCAAGTGGTGAGGTTGATGACTTGTACTGTGAGCACCATTCTAGTTTTGAGACCGGTTACTTACCGAGGAGACAATTGGTTAGACACTCACTATGCGGAGGGCTCCTTTATGCCTCTCATCGTGAACCGATTGATATTGAGTATTCTTGTGGACAAATCTCCATTTTTCATCCGTCCTGTCGTCAGCCTCTTGGTTTCGCAAATCGCCAGTAGAGGCATAGATCCTCGCCTGAAACTGCATACCAAGATGGTGAGACAAGTTGGAGTGTTGTGTCCAGGAATTTGGGAAACGCTCATATTTTACCCTTGTAGATCGAGGAACACATCGTTGGAAGTCCCACCGGATGGTTCGCTGGAGGCGAGGGGCCAACCACTGCAGACTACATGATGATCTTCGCACTGGAGGCGCTGTCCAAGCAGAGTCCGGAGCTGCTGGGGCCACATTCGAAGGCCTACGTAGAAAGGGTTCACAATCGGTATGTGAGCTTGATTTGTCGCAACGTCGTCGTCTTGTTTATATGCTCTATATGCGTGCTTTAACCCTCCAGACCTGCATACCAGATAGTAAGTGTTGTATCATAATTCACACTGTTCCCATACTGTATACGAGGTACTCAAACCCCTCTGTTACAGGCCATAGAGAAGGGCGGTGAATATTCATTTGCCCGCTTGTAGGCGGTCCAAAGGATTGAGCGCCCAATAATACATTATTGTACACATTGGACGGTGCCGGACCGATTCCTTGCAGCACCTATGGTTGCCTTGGCGAGAGCTAATGATATTGTACTTCTGCCCTTGATGAAGCACCGTCATGATCCGAGTAGGTTATAAATCCTGTCGATGCGGTGGTGATCAACATGACGGGACCGTCAATGTAATGACGTTGTAACCAGGTATTGCTCGCTGCAACGTACCAAGGCAACGAGGGGGGCACAGGACGTTGATGGACCGCTGACAGTGGCTACTGCGCCTGTCGCCCCAAACACAGCGTCTGTCAGATTCAGGGAACTCACGCGGAGGCGAACACCAACGCCCAGCCAGGATTATTGCGAATGACCGCATTTATATAGTAGAAAGAGGAGATACTAGGGATACAGTGGGTGGAGACGTAGACTATCTCACAATGGGGAAACCAATCAATGATACACGGCAAGCAATGCAAGGAACGAAATGAAAAAAGAATGCAGGGATACCATGTATGGTGATGTAGATGTAAAACAAAATGAGGGGATTAGTTGAACATAGGGAACGAGAAATACAGTGGGGTGCGAAGAGTTCATGATGCAGAGACAGAGAAATGTTTATGAACACAGAGGCACTCACGAAATCTATGGTGTGGTGAGGGTATTTTCAACGGCGCTCTTCAGCGCGTGCCCTCCGGGAGTTGGCTGCACCAGCAGCGAGCTTCTGCTCCCAATACGTCGCATCTTCGCCATTCTGCCATGTGCGCGTGACGGGATCAAAGTCGAAGTCGCCATCGCGGTAGCCATATCGTTCTTGGAGCAGCTTGAGCAAGGGGTTCCGGAGCGCGGGATCCATGCGCACGGACTCGCCCGGGTGGTAGCTGCCGACGTTGTGGCGCGCCAGGCTCTCCTCGAAGAGCGCCTCTTCGAACGTGCAGCCGCAGTTAAGCATGCCTAGGGGCGCATTGCGCGGCGGGAACGCACGGCGCTCGCGCCTAGAGTCATGCCATGCGCAGAGCGCGTTGCCTGCGCGGTTCACGGAGCAGAAGATCTTCCGGCGGGCATCAGTACGTCTGCGCCAGCTCTCTTCGAGTGCAGGTGGGTATGTTGGCGTGGGCAGAGGCGACGGAAGGGCGCTGCCACTAGCGGGAGCGGAGAGGCCGTACGTGATGCGGTTGAGTTCCTGCTGTAAATGATGTGTGCGCTGTACCTCCACCTCTCGCGCGTTTTCCAGCTCCATTACACGCTGTCGCAGGCGGTGAATCTCGTCTTCCAAGCTTTCCCGAGAGGGCCGGGAGGTGCGATTGATGGCAGGCATTGGGTTTGTTGGCAAGGTCATCGCCGAGGAAGGCGTCGTGGGTGAGGGGGTCATAGCATGAAGCATCTGTGAACGGGCTTGCTGTGACGCAAATTGCTGTTCCGCGTATATAGAGGGCGAGGGTATGTTTTGGCCGTAAATATCATGATTGGGATTAGGCTGATTATAGGGCTGAATAGAATACACTGAGAACGTTCCGGATGGGCTGGCTGATGCTGGTGTCGGAGGAGTAGAGATGTATGAGGCCATCTGAGCTTCGTCTGTATATGCACTATGTACAGGCCATGTCATGCCTGATGGTACTGTACCAGGCATTTGCGACGTGGAAGATATATGAGCGTCTCCCATGGCGCCTGACAAACTCGATGTGGGGCTCGCAGATGAAGGTCTGATGTTCCCACGGGGATCCTGAGAAGGCGGGTCATCAACGACATGATGCAACTTAGCGAGCAATCTGGCTTACTTGGGAATAGCCGACGTAGGCAAAAGACTGCTGAGCGCCTCCACTGACATGTCTTGGAGAGTCACCACCCATTCCTTGAGATGGGTCAAACTGTCCGTGTTCCATTTCGGTCTTTGGTGACCACGATGCGTGAGGATACGACATGTCGGATAAATGGAGGTGGTAGAGGCGCACAGGGGCTAGAGCAGCCACAGAGTCTATACAAGAAGGCAGGACCCGAAGACGAGGGACGGAGGAAAGGAAGGGAGGAGAGACACCAGCTCAAGTGAGGGCGAGCTCGTTCTCGGCAATGGAGAGCAGGAGTCCAAGACGACAGTCATATATAACTGAAACAACTCGCATCTCAGAGGGCAGTGCCTCACCGTAGGCAGGAAGCGACTCGTCGGCGGAAACGGACGGTTGCAACCAAAGCGATGTGTCGTTCGCAGTCCGTGGATTATCACATACGTCGCGAGGTAACGCGATCTGAGGAGCGGATGAGATGAGAACAGGTCGGTTGTGCGTACTGAATAGATGCTGGATTATCGCCAAGCGAGGCGCTGGACTTCCCCTCATGTTCTGAATGTCCCACAGTCGGCACAGGTGGGTACAGCAGATCAATCACATGGAGACGAGAGACAGGACGACACCGCAAAGCTGATGCGTCGTTCCTAAGATATTGCACTGCCTGACAGAGTCAATTAAAACAGATATGATGACTAGCAATTAGCCACACAAGTTCCTGACAAGCCAAAGCACTAGCTTTGGGATATGTCAGCAGACCATAATACAGTATCGCATAAGCTCCGTAGCATTTATTACGCGTACCTCTATGCATGGCTATGGCGTGTTTGATGTGAGAGATCAGGAGTGTGGTGGCAAGGATCAAAACCACAGAACTGATCGTTGATCACTGCTGGCTGCGGGATCACGGTCACATGACACGTGAACGCGCCCATCGCGGTCGTTCTTCGACGGTGTAAAATGTACATGAAATATCAAGCTCCGCTTATTACTCTTACCGAATAATCAGAATTGATGATTGAGGTTCACCACACTGGCTACACCCCGATTGAAAATGCAGCACGTCTCACACACTCAATCGCAAACACTTTTGTCTGAAAGGTCCAGATTGGCTGTTGAACTAAGTATAATCTAGTTGTGTCCCCAAGTGCATCGCCCTCCGGCACGGACTTCGAAGAGGGCCGGAATATGAGAGGTAGCCTCTACGCATAGCCTTGAACATCACAGAAGGAGCGGTTTCAAAAGGCGCCGCTAACAACAGTAGGCATGTGAGATGCTCGTGCGGGCTTCTAATACGCCTGAGTTTTGAGCGGAAACTAATATTTACACAGTTGATCCATGTAGACTCACGTGGATCGCACATGAGGAATTCAAATGCACATTGTGTGTGCGACGATCTATTGGCAGCGCGCATGACGCGCTAGACCGACCAGGTTTGCTTATGTCCGGGTACTGCTTTGTAGATATCAAGGCTCCTTCCTGCAACGAGTCCAACACGACAATACGACCTAAAGGATCCAAATGATAATTTTAGCCGGCCAACAGTGAGTAACCATGTCTCCTCATTCGCACAGACAGTAAGCGGCACTGCCACATGCTGATGATCTGCACACATGCTGATCTGTGCGCATTACTACGTCCGAAACAGCAGTACGCCGAGTCCGATCACAAGGAACGCTGTGCCAGTTGCAAAGCGGCGCTCAGGCAGACTAGGAACTATGCCAGGGTTTGCCGACAGCGGATGAGCCTAAGGGAATTGGATTACATAAATAGTATTAGAGCTCCTACCTAGCTCAGCTGCGACGATCACGCACGACAAGACGACGTTGCTAAGCACTGGTCCCTGTCGTTATTGCGGTGGTCATCTTGCATATGATGCACGCCGTCGGTCCGAAGTCACGAAGGTCTTAAGGATCTCAAATGCGCCCTCTTGCTAGCTCAGAGTTGATCTGTCGAAACAAACGAGGAAGAGACCCTGACTGAGACCTCTCACAGCCCCTCCCAACGAGCAGATTTTGTCAGCGAGCGCATTGCCCCTGTTCTAGCTCCACAGTCATCATGAATGTCGACCGCCGCACGTCTAGACCGGCGATGGTATGCATGGGGATGGCGCAGATGGGCAATTCAGTCTGCGTAATTTGCCAGTGACAAGACCATTACCTGCATGATACTGGAAGTCTCAAGGGAGCATGCCTAAGCACGTCATCAATGATCATGCAGCGTTAGTAGCGGTTCTTCATCTTTGAACAACATAGTTAACATTACGAAAGGGACATCAACATTGTTCAAGCTATCCACCTGGGACGAAGAAGGTCATTTGCAGGTCCACATGCGTGTGTTTTGATTTTTGTCGGATGCCATTAGCAGGCGCAACATTGACCAACCATAGAGGACGAGCCCTTCCTGTGCTGTTGTGACGTGGCGTATAAAGTCCGTTCGGACGGTGGTTTTCGAATCTCCCGTGAACGAACACAAACTATCAGAGGGTAAAGTCCGAGCAATGCAGTGCATACGACGAGGAACAGACCTAGTCGCAGTCATCCGATCCGGCCACAACCCCCGCAGCCTTGGTCACCTACCGATCCGCCATCCCCGGCAATTGGTCGGAACTTGAATGGAGGTCAGAGATGTCCATCTCCGAGTCGCGCCACGGGCGTCTTCGCTGTCGGGACTATACCAGGTGCGAGATTTATCTTCACCAGGCTCGTGATCTTACCCCTTGACACGAAGAGGTACATCATATCCGCTCGTTCCTGTGCTGCTCCAGGGAGTGTTACCGTGAACAAGCTACATCATCGAATGATTTCAGCGGTCTCGGGTTCAGGACCTACACTTCGCGCGGCCGGCGAAACATAAAAGGCGCACTCGCCCCGCTTGCGCTGGATCCGCTTTATAACATCTATCGAAAACCCCGCGAACTCAGCAACAATCATAGACCATGGCGGAGAGAGGCTGACATCAACCCCAGGGAACTAAGTATACCTTCAATACCTGAGCCCTACTGTGATGCGCAGTCGACATATCATAGCGCACTATCTGCTGTAGAAAAGATCGGGGTAAGAATGCGCCTGTGTGGCAACTACGAACACTTCCCATGTCTAGATCCCCGCTCGATAATAGGGACCCTCGGCTGCACATCATGCCCACTATGAGGTAATTCCTCGGTATAACTCGCTAGATGACCTTGGGGCGCGGGGTGGGGGCGGCAAAGCCGAATTAAAGGCGAGCGACATATGGGTAACTTCACACGACGGTGCACGCCCATGTAAGATGTCAATTTAAAGGTCAACATAGCGATTGCAGGCGGTATCGGTATGCAGCGCTACCCTTGACGGTCTCGCAAAGGAGCTGGAGATAAAGAAGGTCGCAGACAGACTCTGCTGACATTAACTTGTGATATCGAGCTTTAGCTGATAGTACTTGTAAGGAGGGCACTGCAGCCCGCGAAGGTGATTGTAGACGATACGAAGTCGTCGTGCTGAAAAGAACTGAACAGGTTTATACTGTCTATATGCGTCACTCACTGCCTGAAAAATTCACTGTAAAGGGACGGCTTACTGACCACTGAGAACACTGAATTGACATCCTGACAGTCACCCAACGCCAACAACCAACCATGACATGAACCTAATCAGATGTATATCTCGTGGATCTAGTGACGATGACAACGACGGCTAGAAATGTGGCTGTAGACCTTTGCGAAAATTACGTGTTCACAGCATCTCAGATATTTTCTCTTCATAGCAACGAACATCTCGCCATGGTTTCCCTTTCGGCAGTGTTTGACTACAATCGTGTCAACTTAAAGACATGCCCTGCGCCGTGCGGGAGGTGCACTTACCTCGCTTCTGCTGGAATGCTGATTTCGCCGCTTTGAGTGTCTACGTCCACATACCTGGTCATTTCAACTGCAGGTCGACCAGGACAACTGTCAATTATCCCTTATGAAACCAGCATGGGCCAGGACCCGGTTCGCGATACGAGACTTACATTCGGAATATACGGGGGACCGGCCAACAATGCAACTGGGGCTGCCCTTGGTTGTTTTGTTCAACGTCGCATTTATATTGTACAATTTCAGCTAAGCGGCATTTCGTCTGCTCGCTCGATGCCTTATCCTGTGAGCGAGCAAAAGGGGCCATGGCAGCAGAGAACAAGTTCGGTTGAGCGTTCAGCCATGACACGTGCGCCTTCTGGGGAACATGCAGTTGGGGCAATAAAATCGACTATCGTATCGCACCAGTTCTCACCCTCCTTCCCCTCCTTCCCTCACCTCAAATCTTAGTCGCTCGCATTTGCTGTCCTGCACAATGGTCTTCAAGGTTGCTGGTAAGTGGGCTTGGGTGCAAAGCCCCAAATTTGCAGCTTAAAATAGCGCGATAGACATCTCTCTCGCTGCTTTCGGTCGCAAGGAGATCGAGCTTGCTGAGGTGAGCTGAAAATACTTGCGAGCTCATTCCCTCGACGATCTGACACGATTTCGTCTGCAGAATGAGATGCCCGGGCTTATGTACATGAGGGAGAAGGTACTTGTTGATAAATTTGGACGATGTGCTGTCGATGCGACCATCTCTTTTGCAGTACGGCGCGTCGAAGCCCTTGAAGGGCGCTCGCATTGCCGGATGCCTGCACATGTAGGTACTTCGTAACTTGCATCTGGATACGGATGCTCAATTTATTTTCCAGGACCATCCAGACAGCTGTGCTCATTGAGACTCTGGCGGTACTCGGTGCAGAGGTATCCTGGTCGTCTTGCGTGAGTTTCTTTAGCCGTGAGTTCACAAGTGTGTGGGACTCATCTCCACGGTCTCTAGAACATCTTTTCGACTCAAGACCATGCTGCCGCAGCGTAAGTCTCGTGGCTGACGATTGTGGGAAATTTCACTGACCCTATCGTGTTCAGCATCGCCGCCACTGGTATCCCTGTCTTTGCATGGAAGGGTGAGACAGAAGACGAGTACAACTGGTGCATCGAGCAGACCCTGTGCGCCTTCTCCAACGGCCAGCCGCTCAACATGATTCTCGACGACGGTGGTGACCTCACCACCCTCGTGCACGAGAAGTACCCGCAGTACCTCTCCGGTGAGTACCTCCCGATTACAACGCCTGTCGTACTGGTTCTGAACGAACGCTCAGCTGTCCGCGGCCTGTCCGAGGAGACGACCACTGGTGTCCATCACCTGTACCGTATGATGAAGGAAGGCAAGCTCAAGGTCCCGGCTATCAACGTCAACGACTCTGTGACCAAGTCCAAGTTCGACAACTACTACGGCTGCCGCGAGTCGCTTGTTGACGGTATCAAGCGTGCGACCGATGTCATGCTTGCTGGCAAGGTCGCAGTCGTCGCCGGGTTCGGTGACGTTGGCAAGGGCGTAAGTAGAAGTAGCTCTTGACCGAATATCTGGTCTAATGATTGTTTCTTAGTGCGCGCAATCACTCACTGCATACGGCGCTCGCGTTATCGTGACTGAGATTGACCCCATCAATGCTCTCCAGGCTGCGATGGCTGGTTACGAGGTCACCACCATGGAGGATGCTGCTGCCCGCGGCAACGTCTTCGTCACCACCACCGGTAACCGTGACATCATCACCGGCAAGCACTTCGCAGTCATGCCTGAAGATGCCATCGTCTCGAAGTATGTTCCATCAGTCATGTCATGGTACATGATACTGATGATTTGAACAGCATTGGTCACTTCGATGTCGAGATTGATGTTGCGTGGCTGAAGGCCAACGCTAAACAGTGCGTTAACATCAAGCCCCAGGTCGACCGTTACACCATGGCCAACGGTCGTCATATCCTGCTGCTCGCTGAGGGCCGTCTTGTCAACCTCGGGTTTGTCTGTTTGTCATAAGCCAATAGTCAGCAGCTGCTGATATGCTCTTACCAGTTGTGCCACGGGCCACCCGTCTGCGGTCATGTCCTTCTCGTTCACGAACCAGGTCCTTGCCCAGATCGCCCTCTGGACGAACAACGCTGCGTTCCCGCTCGGCGTTCACATGCTTCCCAAGGAGCTCGATGAGGAGGTCGCGCGTGCGCACCTCGAGAAGCTCAATGTGAAGCTTACTGTGCTCTCTTCCGAGCAGTCCAAGTACCTCGACATTCCTGTCAGCGGGCCGTACAAGCCTTCGCACTACCGCTACTAGGCGCCCGCTCGCTGCTGGGCCCGCGTGGTAAATATCATTATTAAAGACAGGAGACGATCGACGGCCTCAACGTGCCCTCGCCAGGAAAAGGTTCGGGAGGGGATTCTCAACATCCCCAGTGGTTGATGGCTGGTTGCGCCTCCGCGCCCGGCGGTAGTGGGCGTGGTGCGGGCCGAGGAAGGGTAGTGTAGCTGGTGTGCTGTACCCTGAATGATGCCTGGTGGCTTGAGTCTGGTGCCTCAACGTGCCCCTCTCTTGCAATACGATGTATTCTCTTTCAAGGACAGTCTCGAATGCCGGCATTGTAGTCTGTGTGCATGGTAAACGACGACTGGGCATGACGTGAGGTGGGAAATGAATACATTTTCGCAGGCTAGGACGGGAATTGCATGTAGAAGGTTCCCAGCGACCGTGCTTTAGCTAATGTATGATCAATCATTACGAGCCGTCGTCCCCAACCGAGTGGCAGCAATGCATATTTATATAATCCTAGAGTAGACACTAACACATGTTGCGATATACTATTCGGGTATCGAGAGAGATGGGTGTGGGCCCTGTGAGTGTGAGTGTGGTCTGGATGCAAATTGAGTAACGGATGGATACCGCGGGATGAAGAGATGCTTACCGCTGAGCTTGCCGAACCTGGCTGTACATGTTGTAGCTGATGGTCAAGAGAGAGAGAATGAAACGGTGTGAATTAGAACGACAAGCTGGGTCAGCGACGGGTGATGGGGAGAGAGAAGCGATGCGGCGGGCACCTATGGTCTCACTGGTCAGTAATAACCGAGCATTGGGAGAAAGGGACATCTTACGTTTAGTGCGCGAACACATCATGAGCAGGGCATCCACGGGGTTCAGTTTGTGAGGTCCAATCAAGTCGGGCAGAGAAAAGAAGGTTGGTAGCAGATGCGCAGGGTCTTGATGATTGAGTTGACTTGTTTGTTTCTGGGGAAGTGCAAGAGAGGCAGAGACATAGGCATAGAGCAAAATTCGTCGTTTCTTGAGGACATCCAGCGTAGAGAACCAGAAGGTAAGACTGCTGCTAGAGACAACGCGAGCACAGCCTAGAATGCCAGTCCCACGGCTCCGAAGTCGTCGACCGAGGAGCGCCACGAGGCAGAGGAGGTGAACACAGGCTCAGGCTCAGGCTTGACGTTCTTTGTCTTGACTACTATAGGAGACCGAGGAACACGTGTGTCGTAGGTTGGCGGCGGCGGCAGCGAGAGGAGGAAGTCGAGGTAGGGCACGCCCGTCTTCGTGGTCTCCTTCGAGCATACCGGGCCCGCGTCCTGCGAGCATGTCGAAGCAGCGTCCACCGAGTGCACCGAGACGGCCTCTATCGAGTACACCGACGGCGAGTCCGCCGAGCATGAAGAGTCGGAGTCTGCATAGCTGAGGGACGGGACCTCCACTGACACCCACGAGGGCTCGCGCGACGGGGACGAGGACACAGATGCCGCGCAGTCGCTGTCAGCCTCCCAGTCCTCATCATCCGTGGGGTTGTACGCCAGTTTCGCCTTCGCTGCCGCGAGGCGCTCCTCGTCGCCGGACATGAGCGCGCTGAGGAGCATGTCGACGAGGCCGGGGGAGGAGCAGGAAGGCGACAGGCCGCCCGTGGACTGGGACGCAAGTGATGCACTCGAGTCGGTGGAGGAAGAGCCCGCAAGGGAGGGCGTGCAGCTGGAGTCGAGAGTGCCAGTCACCGGGGAGCCAAGGTCTGCGTTGGCCGGAGAGAAATCCTGGTGTGCCATCGCGGGGGACTGTGGTTCCTGTTGCACAGCGCGGTCGTCGTGCGCGGATTGGGCGTCAAAGACGACTTCATCAGGGCCAGGTTTGTATGTCTGTATGCCCATGTCAGCCGCTGTCAGAGTGATCGGCTACGATCGTGCTGTACCTCCTCCGTCACAGGCGGCGGCGTATCATCGGTAATACTGCAGGATTTGCGCTCGGTATCGGTGTCAGTGACAGAGGAAGCCTCTAGGTCCTTGGCTTCACTTGCGGCAGCGGCAGACGCCTCACGATAGTATTGCACAGCTTGAAAGACCAGATAGGAGAAAGAGAGAAAGACGACGACCCCGAGAACTACAAGAAGGATATCAAACCAACGATAGCTGAGATCAGAACGAGGACTGGGGACACCAGAGACAGGGGAAGCCGAGACAGCACGAGATGTTGAGACCGGTGCCATGTCCAGAGGGGTCGAATGCTTGAGGCGTCGGGGCTTGAGAGCAACTTGATGACGGTACAGAGCAGGAAGGAACGAGAATCAGAAAGATACAGCACCGAGCATATATATCTTGTGGTGGAGCATCTGGTCTGAGACTGCCAGCCGATGGAGAGGCGGCTTGCATGACGGCGTACAACGCCAGCCGCATAGTGGCTCGTATCGTAACGCCTCCAGTTCTACAGAGATCATTTTGAACGCATCTGTGTATTTCAATACTGACTCACAATTTGTACACACAAAGGAGACGTTCGAACATCGTGGATGACTGGGTACTTCGTCATATTGAGCAGCATACGTTTCGGTTTTGACCAGGCCCATCACTGATGTGGAGGCCCACTGTTATCGAAAAGGCAATGCACAGCTGGACTTTCAGTGTCCTCTTCAATCGATAATGCAATGGCTTACAGACAGCGCTGCATGAGCAACCCAAGTCTTCCAACTCAACTGGAACTAAGCGACAGAGCTCAGGCTGTAAGCGCTGAGAGCGATGAGATCTATACCAGGATCTTAGATTCCCCGTATGCGTGGACTTTAGCGCGGAGTCCAGATGGTAGCACAGCAGTCACAAGTGTTCGTTCTATTACGTACCACACCCACCTCTCTTTATAGTACAATATGAAAAGGTGCGCGACTTTTTCGCTATTTAGAAAAATGACCCATCCCTCAGCACACCAATGCCCATTTTCAAGCTCATAAGCCCCGCGACAAATAAATTCAAGAAATAACTATGCGTCTTCACTGATCGGCACTCAGGTCAAACAGAGGGGAACAAGCCGCCTGTACATTCATCTCGGTCGTGACGGACATCATGCATATTCGAAAACATCGACATCTATACAGCCGTCCTGTGCCCACCAAGCCACCCCACCAAGCTCAGGACAATATCCAAGTACTATTTTACAGACAACCCAACACACCAAGCAAAGGCGCTTTTCTAACGCACTCAACCGAGGAGGCCCTCGCCATCCGACCATGCAGTCGACGACGCGTTGCCAGAGCCGAGTTCGTTATAACGTGCGATGCGCAAACGCTGCGACGGCGGGACAGTCTTGTCGTCGAGGCCGTGTTGCGTACCACCGTGCAAGACACCAACGCGCATCATGGAGAGCCACTGAAAATGCAGTCAGTCACATGCTCGCCGAGGTAAGGGACAGAAATGGACGAACGTTGTGCGCAGCATTCGAATGGTCGTACACGCCACCGAAGAATGCAGTCGTGGCGTCTCTGCCGATGTTCTTCGCGATCAAGTGATGACCGCCAGGATGCTCGTCCATGAAGTCGCTGACATCATGAATGAAGCCACCGATGACGATAAGCGGGCGTTTCGTGCTTTGCTCCTGGACTGGCATACGCGTTGGTCAAGAATGACATATAGTCTGTGAGGTAGCACTCACAGCTTTCCCAGCTGATTACGGGCAGCTCATTCACATCCGGCGCAAACGTGAGACCCTCCTGCGTCTCGCGTAGACGCTTCAGCTGCATCGTGAGCTGACCCTTGCGAACCTCATTTTCAGGAAACACCTTCAGGTGACTCGCAAGCCCGAGCTGCTGGCACACCCAAATGAACCACTTCGTCGGGTCATACTGATACCACTTGATTGCATTCCGGTAGTCCATTGGGAACTGGTGGTGGAAGTTGTGATACCCTTCGCCAATGGTCACAAGGGCGGTCACGACATGGTCGCGCGGCGTGTGCTTGTCATCAAAAGGCGACTCGCCGAGCCAGTGGGCAAGTGAGTTCACGCAAAAGGTTGACTAGCCGTCAAGTGTCAGCGAAAAGCAAATAATTCGACGTGCCAAGTGGACGCTACTCACGTGGTGTACGAAGCACAGGCGCGCGGCGCCGGCGTAAATGAAACCGCCAGCCCAGTCGCCCCAACCGAGACCCGCGACGGCCATCGGAACGAGGAATCCCATGCCGATGATGAGCTGCAGGTACCAGCGGTGCTGCCACCGGACAACCTCGTTCTTGCTCAGGTCACTGACGTCAGCGACACCAGGCTTGCGACGCGGCTTAATGATCATCCAGCCAACGTGCGACCACCAGAAACCCAAATGCGCGTTGTACGGGTCGAGCTCGGTGTCGGTGTATCTGTGGTGCGCACGGTGACCACGGGACCACCACTTGATCGAGCCTTCGACTGCACCGGCACCCGCCGCCGCGAGAGCATACTGGAGAGGCTTAGACGCGTTGTACGAGCGGTGAGCCCAGAGGCGGTGGTAGCCCGCCGTAATACCTAGCAACGCATGTTAGGAGGGTTGCAGGCGGGCAAAGGAATTAGACTCACCGAGACCGGTCACAAAGTAGTATAGCACACTCCAGACTGCCGTCTCCCAGCGCAGCTTGACATAGCATGCGCCAATGATCGCAATGGTGGGAACAATAGTGAGGATGGACAAGCTCAGGTAGTTGAGCTCCTTCCACCAATTGTTCAACGTCACAGGAGGCAGTGGCTTCTGAGTCTTGAGGGTCCATGCGACGTAGTTGTCGGGAATGTTCATGTCGGCGGGCTCTTCCTCCTTCGCCATCTTGAGTGGCGCAGGGGTTTTGAGCGGGGTCGCTGTTCTAGTCTCGACGACTGAGGACATCGTCGACGGAGAGGGTGAGGGATGGCGGAGAGAACGGCGAGGGACCCGCGGAGACTTTTATGCCTGCAGATCGTTGGGGACGTGCTTTTCGGGTGCGTCACAGGGACCCCGGACGCCGCGCCCACACCTTTGCATACCGTTCACCACTGCTCACCACCCGACTGCGCACTCCCCCCAACACATCTCGACATCGACATCATCACCAGGTAAACTCATAGAGGCGTCTAGGCACCCAAGCAAACCGCCCTGGAAATAACGCACAGAAAATATCCGCAAAGCAACGAGCAGCCTGTGCCGCAGGTTACGTGACGCGGGGTATCACGGGTCCTCGCAGTCCCCACTCCCCAGCTGTTGTTACCACTCCTGTGCGGAAAGACATCATGGTCGCTCTGGATGATGCGGCGCACTCTGGACTCGTCTCGTGAAGTCTCCTCTGGCCTTGAAGACACCAGGCGGATCCATCGTCACGTCCGAGGACGTGGAATCATACTCGATGAGTGCACCACGTGACCGTGAATCCGTTGGGGACGGCGCGTAGCGCCGCGTCGAGCAACACCGTGAGCTGCGCCGAGGCTGCAAGTCCCAGGCAGTGGTGCGCCTGCATACGAACTGAGCCTAGTAACGAATATGTCAGTTGAGCTCGGCGGCCTCGATGTTTATGTGATAGATCACGGTACGCACCGGTTTGGCGATTACTGATAGACGACGCCCACAATAGCTCTGTCCGAGTACATGAAACTAACTCCCGCTTCATCATACACCAGATCGAGGGCGACACGGACGGTTGATTTTCGCTCACGGCGCGACGAGGCTGAAGGTAAAAGTGCCTCTGGTCAAATGCTGTAGGGAGTCCTTATATCTACGGCAGCTATTCGCATGGAACTCAGAGCTTTCACCAGCGTCACTGCACCCCAGAGCCATCGCAGGGAATCCTGTCAGACAAGTATGTCTTCGCCAGCCGGATTCGGAAGGTGTGTTACCACGAATGGAACTGCAGCCGCTCGCGGCAATCACGCTGGGGCAAGCTATGACGACCTAGAATGGCGGACGGGGCGTTCGCTGTGGACTCCAAAAATATACTGCAGTCCCTCCACAGCTCGCCTGATTTGTATACAAACATTCTCTGTGCTGACTTATGGGAATTCAATTGTCTATGATATCTGGCTGCCACCAGCCCGCCTCGTGCCCTCACCCAGCTTTTCTTGGTACGCTCCACGCGTTTGATGATATTTGTAGCCCGCCTCATGAACGTGTTGAAGACAGCTGGAAACGGCTGGCGTCGAGTTAACTTTCGCGACCCACGTGACCGCGAATGTACCTAGACGCGTTGTTGACGATATCAATCCTTCTCTCCGAACCCCGGACTATGTCCTCCTGAACAAACACATGTACTATGAATCCGAACATTCTATTATTGCGATCTTCGAGCGTCACAAGGCGTGCAATTCAAGTGATGCTGGCCGATAATCCCGAACCCATCGGCCTTCCACCGACGTGGAGTAACCATCGCCAATGCGAGCGGCTCTGTGAAGTCAATATTTCATGACGCATACAGACAGTACATAAACTGCCACCGCCAAGACACACGGGGTTAAAACACACACCCCTTGCCGTCTTGCGCCCAGTGTTCCACGCCAGCATTGTACAATGTCTGCCTCCATATCCACCAAACTGACCAAGCTCCTCAGTACGTATTGTGTTGCACCTTCTCTCACAGATAGCCTAAGAAAGTTGTATTCCGTCAGACATCAGATCTCCGATAGTGTCGGCGCCCATGGCCTACGCCGCCACACCTGCCATGGTCGCAGCCGTGATCAACGGGGGCGGAATCGGTTTCCTTGGCGCAGGTTTGTCGCGAGCCACCAGTCCCTGCACACATCACATGCTCAACATCGCTTTAGGTAGGGAGCCCGCTGAAAAGGTTGCGGAAACCCTTGCAGAAGCCCGCGCGGCTGTGGGCGAGTCGAAGGCGCACCTCGTGGGCGTCGGTTTCGTCGGCTGGGTCCTCGACAAGTTCAACACCGCAGCAGACCCCCGGCTCCAAGCGGTACTCGATCAGCAGCCGGGCGCTATCTGGCTGGCTTACGGGCAGAATCTTGGAAAATATATCGCGCAGGTGCGCGCACACAACGCTGCACACGGTCGCAACACGCTCGTGTTTCTCACTGTCAACACAGTTGATGAAGCCATCCGCGCCATGAACGAATGGAGGGCTGACGTCATTGTTGCGCAAGGTAGGCACCTGTCGTCGCACATTTTGAGTTTGCTGAACACCATGCTCTGCAGGTGCCGAAGCCGGCGGTCGGGGAAGTATCCACTCTCCGCCTATACGGGAATTTTTGAAGGCGGCTGTCGAGGCAATCCCCGACGGCCCTCCAATCCTTGCTGCTGGAGGGATAACCACCGGCGCGCAGATAGCGTCGCTCCTTGCGATGGGTGCTGCGGGCGTTGTCGTCGGCACACGCTTCCTATTCACGCATGAATGCATGTTCTCCGACGAGATGAAGAAAGTTCTCCTCGAAGCCGGCCCGGATTCCACCTCCAGAAGCTCCGCGTACGACGCTATCTTCCCTCCTGGCATTTGGCCTGAGGGTATCCAGGCTCGGTGCATTACCAATGGCTTGGTGTCCGACTATGAGAAGGGGGCAGGTGCCGAGGACATCAAGGCCAAGATCGCCAGTGGAGATAGAGATCATATGCTTGTGTATGCAGGAACAGGGGTTGCGGACGTGAAAGAGATACAAAGCACGGCGGTATGTGCCTGACTACTTTGCTACTTTACAACGAGTGCCCTCACTCACTAGTTGCCATCGTACAGGATGTATTGCGAACCCTGCATCAGGAAACCGTGGCGGGATTGACAACTTCGGCTCCTCACCTGATCGTCTAGGATCTTCGTGCGTCTGTAACAGTACTTTCTGTCTATGAGGAACAAAATCATGTATGTACACTATAGCGATCGTCTTTTGTCCTGTATGAACAACATCGAGCATGACTGCTGGCATTCTTCTGTCTTCAAGAGCATTAAACACAACCCAGGACGTTTCCTACCTTCAGAGATATTGCCCCAGAACCACTACTTCATGCGGTTCTGTGGCCAGAATCAATGAGTGCAACCTTGCGGACCACGGCTTTTGAGCGCAGGTGCATCAGCAAAACCGGATCCGGCGTGTAATAGTATACATGGCAGCGCAATCAATGCAATCGGGCGCCATTATTGGAGCACGGGGGCTGAAAGGTTATAAAGGCGAGTCCGCTTTGGCCATAGACACAATCATTGCAATAACTGGCGGCTATTGGCAAGATGACATATAACTTGCGTCACCTGGTATAATCTTATAATCTTATGCTCGAATGGCAAACATCGACTGCCTAAACAGGCTTGCTTATTGCCTCATCGCGGTTTTCCGGGGTCCTCACAAACAAATCGGGGTGCTCATAAAAATACAGGTACTATTACTACGGGTGCGCCGGTCTACAGGTTCTCGCGCCGCCTGCTCCCGTGGACGTCGAGCCGCAAGCTGGGCTCCTGATGTGTTAGCGGCCACACCTACCATCTCAATACTTTGCCTCGATGTGGCATCAGCAGGACATTCAGGTCGCAGAGAGTATGAGCTTACCACTTATACCACTAAAGCAGTTTGGAGCTGTGCTGAGCTATGCAAAGTTGCAACCTGTAAATCGCACATGGTGTGAGTGCGAGATCGTAAGCCCGATGAGACACGGCCGGAAGGAGGATTCCGCAAAGGGTGTAACTTACCATCTTAGAGTAAGAGTAGAATCTGGTGATTCCATGAGATTGATGAAGACCTCAGGCCAACAAGAATGCTGTGCTCATATGCGCTCATATGCGCCATTTTATCTGCAGTTGGCCAAGGAAATTTCAAAATAATGGGTGTCTGACTCACCAAATGATCTTGAGCCTCTCCACTCGACAATTCACTGACTATATTTACTCCGGCGTCGACATGTCAAGCGGCTGAAAGTAGCGCACCACTGGTCAGCGACTCATCTTTTTGGCGGGACACTGGAGGACTCACACTCCACGACAGTCCTTCCCATCACAGCCACTAGAAGACGATGGCATATTTGGCATGCCTAGCGGATCGCACCCCGAGTATGAGCGACTGATACATGGATATCCGGAGCCTGCGTAGGCTCAGACTAGGTTGAAGGAAGGAAGTGCATTAAGACGTGCGAGTCTGTTGATGACGGTGCTCTGGATAGTGAAAACTCGGACTTGAATGTCTAGACGATGCAGAGAACCATTAGACAAGCTCAGAGTGAGGATGGCGAGGACACGGAGGACAAAATGATGTTGTTGTACTAGATATGCGTAATGAATTGCGAAGTCTTGTTATCTGTGCGATGGGTAAATGTGCACTCTTACTTAGTTACTACATCGTGTCCTGTATCGCATTGGTCAGCAAACAAAGTCGGAATGCATACAATACACAGTGTGATTGTGATTAGAATATTAATGTTGCTGTACTGCATGCCCGTACCAGGCCTTACCACATATCGCAATCTCTGCACATCCATACAATCAAGTAACATTCTGACGACGAGTCTCCAATCTATTATCACGTGCTACCATCATGGCTGTTAGATTGCACGCGCTCCACCTGCCTGTCGACCACTTTGGAATCATGTCCAGTATTGGGACAAGCATGTAATTACACGTCAGCTACAGACAATTACGGTGAGTATACATAACTAATATATTGTCTTATGCGTCGAACTTGGTTTTGCTGATGTGCGAGGCATTTTCGAGCGCCGAAAACGATGAGATCTGTTTACGTAACGAAATCCTTGGGCCAGCTCCAGTTCCAGATTCACATCGGCATACATACCAGACTCAATGGCAGCTGGCTCGTCCGAGAGATGCTGCACGCACTTCGGGGTGTATGCACTGGTAAGGGAATCGCGTTGTAGTTGTGGACTACCAGGTAACATGTCAAGGTGTCTGCCAGAATAGAGACATACTTTCAAAATCCCATGGATATTGATTCGTGCTCATTTGCCTCCCGGCGTAGCTCACCAGGTCCTGTAAATATTTGACGATATCCTAACCGCGCACTGATACTTTATATGTGGCTGCTGTATTAGTTCGTACCGACACTCTCTGCCTCCCAGCGTTGACGTGGTTGAGATTATGATCGTACTGACTCCGCGACAGGCCAGCCTCTCGTCAGCCCTTCCCTGGTTATCGCTCACTCGGACAAACAACGGCATCTTCTCCTTGTCTATTTCTCTATCCAACAAGCTGGAGACTCAAGGCAAGTCAAGCGCCCGATCAGCTTCCCTTCATGGAGTCCCAGACCAGCTCTGCCTCGACCACGGCTGCAACCGCCGTGCCGACATCCAGGACCTATACTAAGGCAGACGTGTCCGTGTTTTCCCCCTCGCTTATAATTGCTCTTGCAGTATGTTCTGGTGCATTCCTACTCGTGCTGTCTGGTCTTCTCGTCCTCAGGGTGTATCTCCACCGCCGCTGCCGGTCCGCTCAGAGCAAGTACCTCCAATTCGATATCGAATTTCCCCGCGCCCTGTCTCTTTCCGGCCCCCATGACACGTTCACCGGAAATGACACTCAAGGTCCGCGAAAGCTCTTCCTCCCGGCTATGGCGGCCAATAGATCCTCGCGCAAACAACCGCCCTCAACGCCCCTCGGCAAGCTTGTTGACAAGTATAAGCACTACAAGTCCCGCAAGGTATGCACAATCCCGTCCATCTCTCCTCTCTTTATCGTCGAGGCGTCATTGTTGGCGTGCGGCTGACACCATGTAGGCGTCTCCGGCGAGCTCGTACGACGGCTGGAACGACTCGACCCTCCTCGATAGCGACGTCGATCTCAAGACCGGATTCAGCCCCGACTGGGCGCAAGAGCACGTGCGTGCGTTGCGCGCCGCGCAGGACGTGCATCTCTTTCCCACACACGACGACTTCCTCGAAGACGCCTCAAGTTCCTCGCTAGACTCCTCAGACGACGGGCCCGCCCCTGACGCGGCTTCGGCTGACACGACCATCAATGTCCCTTCGGTGCAGCGCCCCCCGCCGGCGATAGTGGTCGACCACTGCGAGTACCTGCCAGTCCCGACGCAGGGCGTGGCCAGTGCGCTCACCGGCCAATCCGCTGGCCCAGGCCATCTTCAAGTTCCCAGGGATACGTGGACGGCGGTCGAAGGGGCAGAGTCGGAACGCGACCCCCGCCAGTCTGAGGGCAACTCATCGGATATCTTCACCCCACTACCGCTCCCGCGTGGCCTCAGGGCTCAGTCCGTATCTGGTGCTCGCGTCGACGACTCTGGTTCTAGTCTCTTCGGTTTGGGGATCTCAATACCGTCCTCGGTCCCGCCGCTTCCTCACCAGCCGTGGTCTTTCTTTTAACTGATGCTGGATCTGGATCGAGCGTGTTGTGCTGTGCTGTGTTATCGTGCTTGTGCTATTCCCAGATCATGCTACCCACAAATTTCTGTGTTATATCCATCGTCCTGAATTGCATCTGCTGTCTTTTCATCCCGCACGCCTTCCTGTTGCATGAGAATATGCTGAGGTGCGAAAGTGTGATTGTGGAGAGCTGAGCATCACAGAAAGACGTAACAGGGCCTCGACCCTTGACAGCGCGTCGAACTCATCTCAGGTGTGCCGTGGTCAGACTCCCAAAGAGGTCGTGGAAGCGTACAGAGCTGCACGTAAGGTGCATAGCCCGAATGTGTCCAAGGGGTGCTCGTATCACACATACCAGCGTAGCGTAAACGATACCGGAAATGCTATATAGCAATTGTATAGCCTTTGCTCCCTTGCCTCTGTGTACGCGTCTTCGAAGCGCATCCGATTTGGCAGAGTTCATAGCACAGCTAGTCTGTGTGGAAGGAGAAGCAAAAGAGAGGGGTATCTCGGGTAATCTCGTTAAGGTAGCGTGACTGTCCAGGAGCGTTGGTATTATACATATTCGCTCGAGATCAGATGGTTCATGATAATAGCCTCCTTGACTGTGCAGGTCGTCAACATGTGTTGTCCATCTAGTGGTCGGGGACACTTACCACGGGTAATAACAATGGCAGTGGTATTGATATCCTGGTCGCGAAAGTTGTGTCAGCAGAGTAGCAGCCAAGACGAAAGGTCTGCGCCGCTCACGATTGCACATGTGAAGTCAATGTGGAGCTGTCGCCTTTGTGATGAGGCGTGCTTGTGTATTGATACGAACTTTCGCTTGATATCTGGTCCAAGGCGGGGTACAGAACATGTGAGGGTTGGAATACACCGGAGAGGAAAGCAACAGACATTCGCATACGAGTTCGAAATCGAACGGATCGTCCTTGTAGCTCCTGACATACTGGCTGAAGGAGATCCCGGCTGCGAGCTTCTCCCTGAGGATGTCGGTTTTGTTGAAGAGCAGGATAAACGTCGTCGACGCGAGGAGGCGACTCGTGCATATAGTCTTCCACAAATTGAAGGAGTCTAGCTGATGGGAAATGCGTCGCGTTCAGATAATCCAATGGGTGTAGTGGTATGCGCACGAACCAAGCGATTGACGGATCTATCCTCTAGTAGGACTTCGTTGAACGCGGCCACCGGACAGAGGAAGAGGATGGCATTCACTGTGAGCGCGATGAGCTGCAATTTTGAATACCAAGGGTTGGACACGGACCGTCCTCAAAGTACGGCACCCAACCAGCTGACGTCAAGCATGAATAGACAATATGTAGCGTAGCGGTATTGCGCACCTCGTTGACCTCTGGCACCTCCGACGTCGTAAAAGACCCACTTCTGTGCTGGGTCACCGGCTGGAACCGTGGATTAGGACACAGCAAGAAGGTAGACCAGTAGACCGACATTGCTCAACGCTCATGACGTGCTCTTCCGCGCCTATCGTCTGCAATCGCGCCTTCAGGATGTCTTCTGCATTGGGGATGAGAGACTTGGCCAAATAAGCTAAGCTGGCGGCGCGTACGGTAAGTGGGCACGAAGTCTGCAGACGCAACACGCGCTGCCTCGTCCAAGAAACTGGGCAGAGAGTACCGACATTAGCTGGCATGCCCACACATTTCCGGACGAGCATGAGGGACGAGACATACAACCCTGATTGCTGCTGTAGAGACACGCCTTCGTCTTGCAAGCCTGCCTGGGCATCGGGATCCGCCCACAGAGTGACGATGTCATCTCTGCATGCATTGAGGATCTGCTGTGCATCGTCCAGTTCATCTTGGCGCGTGTCGATGGTGCGCGAGCCCGAGTTCACGTTCCGTCGCAGACGTAGAAGCGACTTCCACCCAGACCCACCGCGGATCGAGACCTCGGAGGCCCGGCCGTAGACCCAAGGTGCCGCTTCCTCGACTTTCAGTGTGCTGCGCGAGGGGTCGTTTGCGGACAGACGCTGCACGAGAAGCATTTCGACCTGGCGGAGAGGGGACAATCTCATTCGTAACGAGCGCAGGGTGTCCTGGCCGCGTAGCTGCTGTATTCGTTCTGGGGAAAGCACATCGAGGACGAAGTTCACGGAGCGGGTGAGATTGAGGTGGATCACCGCACGCCATGCCTCCGTTTCGGCGTTGAATGCCTCGGGAGAAAAGTGTAGCTGGAAATTCTTCAACATTGTCGACTTGCCGGACTCGGCTTGTCCTAGATGTGGGCGTATGTGTCACATTCCGATTCTCCGCAGAAGGACCGCCAGACGCGCAATTCGATCATCATACCTAGTAGCAGAACTCTGGTCTGATGTCGACGCCGAGCACGCATTTCCTGCTTTTCCAGTTCCAGCTCATGGTCAATTGAATCCGACACTCGACGGGCTTCCTTTTCTTCTTCCAGGCGCACGGCCTTCTCGAGTTCTGTCTCTGCATTTGGGGGGTAAGGTGGCCATGACTCGGGTGCGTTGAACGACGCGGATTTTCGCCAGAGCATGAACGGACCCACAGAAGAGGAGGTAGGAGAGAAAGTCCAGCGGAGAGAGCATGCGTAACCGACTGAGAAGAGGACTGCATGGTCCATATGGCAATCTCGGCGCGCTAGCGCGGTTTCTTGGTGCGTCGGCGTCGGAGAGAGATCACCCCGAGATTGGCGGAAACAGGTATACATATTATGCCTACATGGGGTTGCAGACTCGGATGCTCATCCGTCTGAGTCCTCTATACAATAATGCACAACAAGTGGGCATGAAGGCCGCTTTGTGCTCGATGCTTGCACATGCAGTGAATAATTTGGGCGAGGTGGGCTGCCTGTGCGAGATATGCCGCCGCTGTGGTATATATGATCTAGTCGCCAGTGACGACCGGCAAGTCGTGTTTTGCGGGGGACGAGTTCCTGGTACCTGCCATGATCCGGAAGTATTCCTGCCGATCGGCCCTCGTTCAGATCGGGCCAGGGCCAGATGCAATCAGACAGGGAACACAATCGACATGTAGTATTAAGGGGTATCTACTGTACAAATGCCGACGCAGATATCATTTGCACCTCGGTCCTTGACCAAGTATTAAGTGACCAAGACCCAGACTAGAGCATCGTTGTATCGCTAACTGCGAAATGATGTCTCCGCTAACCTTCGCTGCGAGGCCCGGAGAGCGACCGGCCAGATATGCAAATGCCACGAACACACTGTTTCAACCAATAAAAGAGATCCCCACTTTGCTCGTGACCGACAGGCATCGACCAGCGCCTTGCAGACGATGCGGTATACCCTCGGTCAACGTTCAACGACCGAGGTGCGAAGTTCAGACGTGGGATCTGCTCAGAATCCGCGTCGGGATCTCGTACTGTGAATACCCCGATCAAAGTCCTGAATAAAATCTGTGTCCGAATTGCAAATGAGTATATCCACTTGCAAATCAGCTTCTGGTCCAAGGTGGTGCCCGTTAACACGCAAATGTCATGTTATTGTTATTGGACAGTAGCTACTAGTAGAAACAGCTAGAGGAGAGTTGCAGACGAGCTATGTCCTCTGCAACAAGATGAGCCATGACGCTCGTGTCGATGGGCTACAGATGTGTCATTGTTCTGCAACAATCAGCAGACGATGCGGAGGATTCGGAAGTTGTCGGAGACGCGAACAGTGACTGAGGGAACGCAAATTCTGTACAGACAGCATTATCATGCATGCAGGCAAGCCTGCGTATGCGAACAAAACGTAGAATACTATGTATAGGGTTGGATGGCGGAGCGTCATAGCGTATGAATGAGCCCAAGAAAGGGGTGGAAAACATTTTGATCGCGGTCATGATATGCGTTATGTGTGCAATGAGATAGTGGTCGTGGCCAATAATAACCTGTGAAAGATACGATAGCAAGCAGAAGAGAACCGATCGACAAAGAACGAAGTACAGTGCAACCATGTACTGGTTGCGACGAACCAGGCTGACGCTAGCGTCTGCAATTCTATCAGCCGCACCAGAGATGCGCAATTCATTTTGTGCCTCCGGAGGTGCGTCCGGAGTGCATACGGAGTCGTTGCTCGTGTGTTTTAATTATGCTGCGTGAACTTCGGACGTCCACGTCGGGTGAGCGTCCTTTCCAAGGACGAATACAACGTCCTCCTCCTCGTCTTCTTCCAAATCCATGTCTTCACCGTCTTCGGCCTCGGGGCTATCGTGCGTGGTGGATGATAGCGCCACATACGTGTCCTGAGATGGCGGGGCGTTGCTCGGATCTTGTTCCATGTATACCGTGCTAGCTGGGGCGGTGGGCAGCACATAAAGCTTCCAGTCCCGCATGCGGACCCAATCGCCATATACCTCCACTAAGCTCGACAAAGTGAGAACGTCCTTGACGAGCTGCCAGTCCTCGGTCAGCCGTTTCACGCGGTTGAATGATGACAGGAGGGATATCTCGATCCACCCTGCGGAGTCCATCTGGGACCGAGATGATCAGCAATAATCTGATACCGTAGACAGTGGAGCGTACCTTCTGCCGCAGGAAGAAGTCCATAGCCATGTTCTGGGGACTGAGGTAGTACTCAAGCTGACCCAGCAGGTGATATCTGAGGGGGTCCAAGGGGAAGGACAGAGGAGATTGGGGCATCGGAAGCGGCGGCTGCGCTGGAAGGTTTTGCGTCGGAGGGGCGTAAGGTGGGTAAGTGGGAGGGTATGCCTCGTAGCCGTGCGTGTAGTATGTAGTCATGGAAGGCGGCGGCGGAGGATAGAATCCATTGAGATCAGCCTGCAAAGGCTGCGCTTGAGGAGGCTGCACGACGAAGGGCGGCTGCTGTCCTTGTACATGATACGCACCGCCACCCCTCGAATGAGTGCGTGAGTGATAACCACCCCGCCCGTACCCGCCGCCACGGGCTCTGCGCCCGTTGAAGCCGCCTCGTTCGTGTCCACCGCGGTCGTAGTTGTAGCCTCCCCTGACCGAGCCACGTCGTGGACGCCCATAGTACTCTCGTTCTGGTTGCCATTCTCGCCTGTTAGAGCCATCCCCAGATATCGCAGGCTGGTATCCGCTCTTCCGACCGAAGCCAAAGCCGTAATCTTTGACCTTCCAATCGTCGGCAGAGTTGGGCTCAGAAGCAGACTGCGGCGGTAGAGCAGAGGGGGCGTAGACAGGCGACCGGCTCGATAGTGCGCCGTTGGTTGTCGTCATGATAAGGGGCGGACGAGGCGGAAGTGGATGAGCTAGGACTGGTTGCACTTGTCCCTCAATGACATCCGACGCTGATTCCTGGCCTTGGGCGGCGCCGTCCGACTCATCAGGATGCTGCGTCGTCCCGAACTCCCACTTCGTCTCCGTCAAGTCGATTGCCTTGACGGCAGCCTCAATCTCCTCAACGGCCTTCTGTACGCCGCTTACAGCAGGATCCGCTGCTTCGTTGATTTGCGCGATCCCTTCAGACTGTTCGGAGGCCGTCCGGGCAATACCAACCACCGCTTCACCCATCACCAATGTCCGGCCTTTCGACTGTGTGCGCGTGCGCGATCGTATACGTGCGGGGCCAGCCTCTCCGGGAGCTACTCCAATGACGAACGGAGGTATTGGCTTCTCACCATTATCTTCCGGGTTCTCCGCAGCCTCCGCCGGTATATTAGCTGGCGAGCCACCGACATCTAGACCCAGCGCATCTCCGTGCGCAGAAGCAACGGGACTCGCGCTTGCAGTGACCACGACGTCTATGCTCCCAAAGCTGAGCTCCCTCGCGCGCCTGCCCCTTTCCATGTCCCTTGTTCCTTCACTCTGACCCTCGGGTCCGATCGCAACTTGCTCCTCAGGTCGGGTGTATGTCGCGGGAGGCGGCAGCACAAACTCGCCGTCCCTATAACCGGCAGCAGCCTCGCTCTCGCCAGGAGGCGGCGGTCGTGCGAGCATTGGTAGAGGCATGCCATCCGGCGCCGCTGGTGAGTGTGAGACGGGCTGAGGGGCCCAGTATACATACGGCGGGTATCCGTAGTAGGACGAGTACATGGGATATGGCGGTGTTCCTGCGTAAGAATGATGTACGGGCACCTGGCTCCCGGGAGCTCCGTAAATGTGTGGAGCAGGGGCGGGTGGTGGCAATCCATACGGAGCCTGCACCGGTGACCCTGACGAGTGAGGAGAATGATATGAACGTTGAGCACTCATGGGTGGTGGGACGTGAGGGAGAGCGTAGTAAGAAGGCATAACGCCATTCACGCCTGCAAGCTCCTCGGCAGGGCCCGAACCCCTAGAGGCAGGTGGCTGTCCACGGTGTGCCGCTGCGCCAGGAATGAACTCGGGAGGCAGGAACGCAGGCAAGAATGCCTGCGGTGAGCTCGTGCGCGACGACCGCATGCTGATGCTCCTGCTTGCAACGCTCGCCGCTCCCGGGCCCACAGCAGATCTCTGCGTAACAGCGCCCTCCTCCGGTAGGCGCCGTCCACCACGCCCAGGCGCAGCCATTGGGCTGGAATGTGAGCTACCCGTCCTGCTTTGTGCCTGTGATTGCGCTACCGAGCTTGTGTGGGAATTCGACACTGAATGGTGGGCACCCGTTACCGAATGCGCCCGACTTTGACCTTGTGAGCCAGACCCGGATGCCGAGGACGGACCAGGATGTGGAGGATGTCGAGAATGTCCATGGTTGTGTTGATGCATGTGGTGCGGGCGATGGCGAGGGTTCGGCGGGCGAAACGCGTCAGCTGCTTCTTGCATCTCGGCGGCCGGTATTGGCACCCATTTCGTCTTCTCACCTGTGGATCAGAGAGAAAATGACAAACCACGACGGCCAGGATCAGCATCCGTCGGTCAAGACACCCAGGCAATGACCCATTGCCTCCAACGAATGTTGAAGATGGACCAGGTGCGGGGTGCACAAATAAAAAGACGCACTCTTCCTCGAAGGCCCTTGGCCCTGCGAACCCTCCCTCGACGCATCTCGCTCATGGCCTTGCCCAGCAGGCTCGCTCTCTGCCTGTCCACTCCCAGTGCTTGTATGGCTCACTGACTTGCCAACCTCGGGCCAGCTCTCCGTGTCCTCTGATGGTGGCAGTATGCTCGCGCGTGGGCGCACTACAAATGCGTCGTCTTCTCCATTGGCGGGACTTCTACCGGGCACATTTGTAGAGGGTCGTTGATTCGTCACATTTTGCAATGCGTTCGAGGAAGATGCGACTTCTTCCAGCGTCTCATTATCAGCTTGATGAGGACTTGGCGAATTTTGTACAGGAACAGATGCGGTCGTCCCCTGGCTGGACCGCACCCGAGCCATCTGTTCCTTCCGCAGACTCCAGACATTGACCGCAGGAGCGGCTGTCGACTTGACAGTAACGTCGCCTTGTGGCTGTGGCTGCGATACTACAGAATCACGAGCGGTAGAACTTACGTCGCCGTTGACATTAGCGGACGATCGTGAAGGCGAGGACGGACCCGAGATAGATTTGGCTGACGATAGTGCGGAGGGCGCAGAGTTACCATCGGCACGGGCAGTTCTGGCGACGTTCATGCTAGCATTCGCTGCTGTTGACGGGCCCGGATGAGGTGTTGAGGTGCTCGCTGAACTCGACGAAGGCAGTGCTATGCCCTGCGAGCCAGCTTGTGGCTGAGCCTTTGGCCGCGTATTCTGCGCTTTTTTGGCACGGTCTGCATAGGAGAGTGGTGGATTCGGGGCGGCTGACGACTGCGATGAGACCATCCTGGTGGCCGACGAATGCAACGCGCAAGCTCTGCAGCGGACCGAAATCGATTGATGGAGCGAAACAGACAGAGCGGCGGCTAGCTCACGACCACAGAAAAGGCCTTGAGCTTGCAGACAGATACCGTAAGACGGTTTGAGTTTGAAAAATATCGCCCAACGAAGGGGGAATAGGAGTAGGTTGCAGTTTGGAAAGGAAGTTATGTCGTTGGTGGGTGAGCTTACATAATACAACGATGCAAACGAGTAACGCCGGGTACAGCACAATGATCAAGCATTTATCCGACTAGATTAGATAGAGCAAAGATGATCCATCGATATTGTAGCTAAGATACAAAATGTATTCAGGAAACTGAGTACTTGTATTTGCAGAGGTCATCGGCTAGAACTTTTGACTGGCCCCTAGGCGCTTGATAGACTAGCCATATCGTGATCTTAAACCTCTATACGATCACCGAGGTCTCTGCAAGTACACCCTAGTACCCCATCAACATAAATTGCCGTGCATTCCTCTGGGTGCTATGGAAGATTTCTTGTATCTTTTGTTGCCGACTCGAAGTCCATGTGCGTAGACACAACATGCCGATGAATGAGCACACTTACTTCGGTGCTTCGCTCAAACAGTCGCTAGCGCTTGTCTCTAGCCCAGTCGACAGACACTAGCTTCGATGAGACGTTCTCCACAACTTTGTTCTGCTAACAGACAGTCAGAAGCAGGTTTATGGCTTATCGCTACTGCGCCTTACTTTGACAAGCGTGCCTACCACTGACAGAAGCGCAGCTACTCAGAACCATCAAGGGTGGTATATCAGGAAATGGACGTAGGAGTAAGCTGGAGTACTCCCGACCTCATCCAATGGGCATGGACGCAGGAAACGCGTAGAGCACCGTCTCATTGACTAGAGAACGCGACAGGTGACGCGATCACATGACCGCGTATATTCTGCTTGCCAGAGAAGTCACTCACGGTTCCTCTGCTGGGAATTGTCCCACCGCGACGAGGCTGGGCGCTGGACATGGATCGTGTGTATGTACCCTCAGGAGTGACGATATTATGACTAGTATGACTGGCTCCGTCGCCTCAGAGATACCGGATCTTAGGGGCAGAGTCTTTATCGTCACTGGGGGAAGGTGCGTAAATCTTCGCATACTTACTTATCCATTTGACGATGCCTTGCTTAAACAGTAGTGGGATTGGATATGCGACTGTTCAACATCTCGTCCGACGGGGCGGCAGGGTTTACATGGCAGCGCGGAATGAGGAGAAAGCTCGGACGGCAATCGACCATTTAGAACCGGAGCCAGGAGTCGAAGAGGTATGCTTCCTCAAGCTTGACCTGAGTGATCCCCGGGAGGCAAGAAAAGCTGCCTTGGAATTCATTTCAAAAGAGAGGAGACTGGACGTACTCAGTGCGTAGGGGAACGGGCACAGCACATCTTCAAATTGAGCTCACACCCTTGGCGAGAAGTTAACAATGCGGCGATGTAAGAGCTTCCAACGAGCTCACCTACTCCACACTCATTATGACGCAGGCCGCGCAGTCCGTACTCGAAGACTCACGAAGGTCAGTCTTTCACCCATGTTCGAGCTAATTTTGCATTAAGCTAAATGCGACCCAGGCATTCAAGACATCATGATGGTCAAGTACGGAACTTCTTGACTGCATCCAGGATACTGGCAAACTAGATGCACTATATAGCCATATAAGCCCATTTGTCTTCACAATGAGTCTGCTCCCTCTCCTTGAAGAGACAGCTAAGCACTCACAAAGCGACGTCCGAGTTGTGAACGTGGGCAATGTGCCGTTTGTGGGACCATTATCAATTTGACACATAATGTCGTCGCAGGTGTCCTCTGACGGTATAATGTTTCTCAAACGAGGCATTCGCTTTCGGAACCTGGACGACTTCAATGACGAACACAACGGGGAATTTGCTCCCGACTTGGCCAGATACTGTCTGTTTCTATCTTCCCTGCTCTCTATCGTGCTAACGTTCAGCTCATTTGAGGCCGTAGCAAACTAGCGAACATCCTCTTCACCATGGCGCTGCAAAAGAGGCTGGACACTCGAAACGTACCCATCCTAGCGCTGGCCCTCAACCCAGGCCTAGTATGCACAGGTCTGTGCTCCATTGCATCACCTGCACGTCCGCTCACGTCAACCCGGGCCCGTCCCCTCGGTCCTCAGACGGCGTGTTGAACGACGTCAGGTCGCAGCCACCAATCATTTCGCACATTTTTACCATGGTCATTCGTGCGCTGTGGGCGGCTCCCTCGCGCGGAGCTCTCACATCTATCTTCGCCGCTACTGCGCCTGTGGTCCGTGACCAACCGCAACTATATGGGGGTGCTTATCTGCAGCCGCCTGGCAAATTGGGCCGCCCACCGAACGCCGACGCTAGGAGCCTGGAACTGGCGGAGGAGCTGTGGGACACTACTGAGAGGCTGTTAAGGGATATTGGGGTTGAGATCGAAGGAGGAATTGCTGGAGACCCGGTACTTCGCGCATGATCGTAGAATCCGTGCGTTTTCCTTCGGTCTTGACCGAAATGACCTACGAGATGTTAGTGCACATGGCCACACTCGCGCTCGATGATACCTCGCAGTGCACAGAGATTGGCTGGTATACATAGCTAGATATTCCCGTGCATAGCTGCAAGAAACAACACCGCCCAACTGCGAATCGAAGACTATCTCGGACATACATGCTAATAGTAGAAACGTACACGAGAGTACAGCTAGTCCATTAATACCTCGACTCCGGGTAGGCTATCTATAGAACACGCACACCGTAAATAAATCGTAGACCAACGAGGCAGAGAACGTGTAGGGGGATGAATCCGTCGTAAGCCATAAACAGAGCATAAGAAGTACGCTTCAATTACGTCATAAGTCCACATTGTCCCAGATACCGAAGCCAGTCCGCGACGAAGCATCGCCTTCAAAACCCTCATAGCAAACGAAGCAGCATGTCAGCGCAGATTGCGGCGATGGGAAGGCCTAGCCACCACCGCCACTCGGCGCGTGTACTGTGTGCGGCGTTGTGCGGCTGGGGACTAGCCTGGCTTGTCTGTGTCGTTGGGTCGCCGGTCGTCGAAGGCGTGACGGGGCGGTCACTGTACGTGCGTACATAGCGCACCTCGAAATATGCGTCGTCGTAGTTGCTGCCGTCCCCTACGACACAATCGAGGTACTGTGCAGGGCCTCAGTTGGACTGAGCAAACGGGACAAAGGTATAAAATTAGACGCACGCAATCGTGATTAGGCCCCGCGTTGTAGCACTGCGAGTCATAGATGCCCGGAACACCAGCCCTGCAGAGGAAACGAGGCACCAATGTGAAATTGGGTTAGGTCAGTGGACCGATGTCTCGGACAAGCGCACAGCATTGACGCTTACCAGTCGCCGCACAACGTGATGTCAAATATCAGCTGCTGAGGCTTGTAGAACTGCGTGATGTTGCACGACGTGTTGGTGGGAAAGCTCGCTGTCGGAGTGCCGAAGGTTGAGACGTCCATGGACGAGTTTGCACCGGCATTTGCGATGGAATCTGGAACATCCGGTCGCTATATGCGCGTAAGATTACTGTACTGGGTCCCAAGGACGCAACGTACACTCCAGAACCACATGCTGCGTCATGGACACTGTCAATGAAGTTCCTCGACATCAAGGCGGGGAATTATGCTTACAAGATGCCTGACTCATCAAACCAGGTGGCGTAGACGCCTCCGCCCACGGAGGCAAAGCCGGGGCCATAGCTGTTGTTAGCAGGTATCCCGACAGTGCAGCCCGACCCTGTGCCACAGTCTGTGTCGATGTTGTAGCCGGTCTGATTGACCTGCGGGTAGTGTGTGCATCCTGCCGTCGTGTGCAAAGCCATCTGGTTGCTCGTCGCAAGGTTGATGGCCTCGATGATATCTGTCACAATATGTCAGGAATATGACTCGCCCAGACGCCGCCCACTCGCTAACCAATTTCGCCGCCATCAGGCCAGTTGGGGGCGGTACTCCAGAAGGCGGGCCACACGGAGCATCCGTACGGGATATGCAGGAGGTCGATGATCCAGAGGCTGCCAAAGTCGTAAAATTCGGAGGACGTCAGTCGCACCTGTGGACGTCTTACTTTGACGGGCATACACCAGAAACAAGGACGTACTGAGTTCCGCCTTTCTCCGACGCTGACAGTTGTGCGGTTGTCCACTCTTATGATGGCGTTCCCAGCTTCATTGACAGATACCAGCTGGTATTCGGTAGCCAAAAGCGCGGTTTGGTAGGTAACGTTCCCTGTCATAGGGGTCAACCCTGTGGATCGTGCTGGGACAACATGTCTCACGAACCCAGAGTGAGGTTGTCCCACTTTCCGTAGAATTCCCAGCCTGAGAAGAATGTCAAGCCAGAGTAGTTGTGCAGAAGGTCAAAGGCGGTGGCGAGGACTCCAGTCCGAAAGAGGAGGGCGAAAACAGAGAGGTACCAAAATAAGTGCATGGCCAGACGACGACCCAGGGGCGGTCAGCTCGGGTGCAGAAGGGGGATGGTGCGTCGGAGAGGATGAATGGTGTCGGGTCAGAAGAGCATGTCCACAGCGTCAGGTCAGCCTCTGCCCCTATAGCGCTCCCTATATCAGTTCTCGGCGACCCATGACGGACGACAATGACCGGGAACGCGGATGCCAAGGGGGAAAGGGCGCTTAAAGCTAGATGTCCTAGGCATCGAACTCGAGATCTTGCCTGCCATGAGGTCCCGTCCCCTCCAGCAGGCCGGAGTCCTCATGCGCGATCACGTGGCCCCGGTAGCGCGCGAACCCAAGTGGCCTCTCTGGCGCGTGACTGAGAAGCAGCATGGCCGTTATGGCAGTCGCGCGATGCTGGTCTTGCGTGTTCGTCTTGCTCTCAGGGGGGAGAGCAGAGACGCGTCGTAGCGCGTCGTGTGTTACCGCGCGGCTTGCTCTCGCCGTCAGTCTCGGAGCGCGGATCGGCACCGAATCTAGTGCACTTTGGGGCAGTGCAAGCTGCCACAGATATGGGACTCTGGTGCCTGCATTGGCTGCTGCATCCGATCGCAGTCAATCAGCCTGCTGCTGTTTCATAAGGCAGGCCACACAGCCGAAGAGGTGAACGTCAACATACCGCAAGCAACTGGAGTCGAGTCAGCTGTAGCTTATGGCCCCGTTGAAGCCAAGACGACGTCGGCATCGATGGCACCTGATGCTACGCCTTGATTCGAAAACACGACCTACTAGCTGAGCGGCGACATGACGCCTTGTTTGGATCGTACCCGAAGGTCGGTCCGCTTCGTCCCACATGCTGTCGTGGATGGGTGCCGTTCCCATAGGGCGTCGGCACTAGAGACAGCATGGTCGTGACCCGGGTCATGACATAGTTCAACAAACGCAAGGGAAAGTCGTTGATCGCTACGTCTGTCGCTATGACGATTGCGCGCGAATGAAGGTGACTGACAGTGTTGAGGGCTGGAACACCGAAGGGAAGACTCATGGCTCAGGCCTGCAGTAAGGCGTCATGCATGAACTCAGAGATCGACGGCATGTTCTCAGGACTTGGTGTTCCTCCACGGCGTTATCCATCGAGAATTACACGAGAACGCACCTGAGCATGTCCATTCAGAGTAGCACACGCTGACGACTGGGCTGTATGCGCATCGCGCTCATCGAGTCAAAGTATCTCGAGCGCCAAGATTCCAAGGCACCGAGTGCAGTATGCCCAGTTGACAGAAGTTGGGTAGCGGGGTGAGATCGCCGTCCAGCTGTTCTTACTCAGTCTCAACAGTCCGTTGTTGCTGGATACCTATTCAAGACCAAGACATCACAGACAGCAGATTCCAGCCCGCATAGTACAAAGAGATTCAGAATAAACTGCATTGGCTGAGATCCATGAGTTCGCAGTAACAGGCCGACTTGATCAGGCGCGCTTGAGCGCGCGCCACCCGGAGTTGCCCGAATGGCACGCTTTCGCATCCTCACCGCGTCGGCCAGCACGCTCACACACCCAGCTTTCGTTCTGCCGCCATGTCTTAGTACGCCGCCGTCTTCGTCCTCCTGGCGCACCTTGTATGCTGACGAAGACGCTCGCAGCGTGATCCTCGGCCGTGCCATCAAAAACGAGTACCTCGCCCTCGGTACGATCTTCAGCGCGGTCAGCATCGGGATGCTCGCCTCGGGCGGGAAGAAAGAGACCCCCGCACCGAGTGCAGGCAAGTCGGTGCTCGAGCAGGCGAAGGAGAGCGTGAAGTTCAACGCGGGCTCGAGGTGCGTCGAAGCAGAGTCGTATTTCATCACATTCTGACGGCTTACACGTCCGTATTCCAGCGAGGAAGAGCAATTGTGCGTGCATGAAACTTTTCTAGCTTTATGGAACGGACTGTCGACAACTAACCAGGATGGACAGCATTAAGAAATTTGTGGAGGAGGCGGAGAAGGACGCGAAGCACTAGCACTAGCACGGCTGTGTAGCGACTATTTGCGCTCAATAGACCGCCGCAAACCTCCGCCCCGGAACTGTGCTAATCATGCCGTGTGTGCTGCATTGCCCAATCTATTGTAATAGTGCCCCGCACTGGTATTATGCCAACAAGCTGTGTTTCTAAATGACTGACAAGCAAGATGCAAAAATATGAATGCCGAATGCGAATCCGCAGGAAGAATATGCTGGGTATGAACTATCACTATGAGGTACCAGACTAACAATGAGAGGATATCATATAGACTCGTGGATGTCAAGAACAGACAGATATGCAAAGGGGAGACGCGAACTGGCTCTACCAGTTCCATTCATCGTCGCTCTGGTCTTTCGTGTTTACGGATGGTGTGCGACTACTCGTCGAGCTTGAGGAGCCCTTGGAGTCGGGGACCATAACGCTGCCAAGACCTTGCGCCTCACTATCATCGTCTAAGAGTGAATGTGTACTGGCGGAGGATGCCATCATAGGAGGCGGCGTGGAAGCAGAGGGCGATGTGGAGAGGGGGGAGAGCGTAGCGGCGAATGGATTGGAGGAGACGGATACAAACGTGCCTGACGAGGGCCCTGGCGAGGTGAGGGCAGAAAAGAACGTCTGCGATACGTCCGAGAGGATAACCGATGCGCGTTTTTGACTCTTCGTGAAGCTGTCCATGAAGTTAAGAACGTGTCCTGTTCATGTTAGGGCAAAGAGGTGGACATACGTTTCTCCCTTCTGAAGCTCCTCCCACTTGCGTCCAACACTGCTGCCCATGGTCTCCATCCATGAGGACATGGGCTGCCCAGCTAACACTCCGATGCCAGGTATCGCAGGAGGCGGCAGGCCCGACGACAGATTGAGACTTGATCGCTTCATAGCCCGCGTTCTTGGCGAGTCTGCACCCAGTGTAGCAGACGTGTCCGCCAACGGCGAGCACAGCGGAGATGGCTGCTCGCGCGACTTGCGCCGATGCAGCTTAGCTGCGCGCAACGCGCTCGAAGGTGAGACCTCCACGCTGCCATGCGGCGACCCTTCGCGCTTCTCGTCCACCTCTAGCAGGGGCTCGTCGAACGCGAGGGAGGACGCAGACGACTGCGACAACCGCGTGCTGGTCGTGTGCGACGAGGTCGACGTGCCTGTAGTGGACACGGACGACGTACTCTGCGTATTGGTGTGACCGCGGACGCGCCCCATCGTTGAGCGCGACACGGACGCGAGCCCCGGCAGTACCTGCACGGGCACGGGGGATGCAGGGGACGCAGAAACCGAAGTCGGCGAGGAGAGGTCGCCGAGGCCGGAAGCAAGTAAACGCACGCCCTCCTTGATTCCTTCGAGTGCGCCGCCGTTCGGCGAAGTCAGTGGGGACGGCATAGACATGCGGTCCATGCCTCGGCTGACGATGCGCTCCCACTTGCGCTTGAGCTCGGCGAGCTCCGCCTCGTGCATCGCGAGCTGGGAGCGCAGCTCGAGACACTTGGACTCCTTCTGGGCGATGAACTGCAGCAGATCCGCGTGCCTGCGGGGACGGACGCTCGGATTGCTTCAAACATAACGAAGACGGGGCGGACGTACTTCTCGGTCAGTGTCAATGGTCCTCTGTCCGCCTTGGGCGACTGCACGTCCACCGACCCCAGGCTGCGCCTGTCGCCCTTTCCTCCTGGGGTGCCATTGGCCTTGGGACCGAGAGACAAACTACGCTTGAGCGAGGGCGCTGCGACGATCGTTGGTGACCGCAGGTCCCATGTCGGCGCGTTATCGCTCGGGAAGTACGAGATGGACGACTGGCGGCGGGATGCCTTGATGCTGCGAGCAGTCGGGGGTGGCGTAGAAAGCCCAGATATTGTCGGGGATGGACATGAAGACGTCGAAGGTGAGGCACTGGCTGGGACGTTGCCATCAACCAGCTGTAACGGCCTTGGACCAGATAATGAAAGCGGCCGCGTGGATAGTCGTGGCGAACTCATAATAGTGGGAACAAGGAGTGAGCTGCCGACATGAATCGTCGTTGCAGTGACGAGAGGTAAAGGATTGATGGTTGACTCAATAGTCGTGTTGGTTGGACGGAATATGGTGATTGGGCGCTTCGTTGCCGGTAGAAATAATTGGATAATGCAAGATCTTAGCATACTGTATCGACTCGACCTAATGTTAAGTCACGGGTCACGGGCACCATTGAACATGGGCAGTGCATTCGGGGTGCACTGCAGGCTCCTTTCCGCCGTCTTCGGGAGTTAGGATTTAGCTATGAGGACCGCTGTCGGATGAAGCCCCTCCTAAGTAATGCATCTTAGAATAGATCTGACGCCACATATCACGTGCATATCATGTGGAAGTCACATGTTTTCAAACTCCGCAATCTCAATCCCCTCCAACTCCCTACGATGGCTGGCACAAAACATTTGTAAACAGCGGCACTCGGAGGACAGTCACCCCGATTGGGCAGGCGGGCGCTCCACAAAATGCCCCACAAATCTTAATAAACACAATCACATGAGCCTGAACCCAATGTGTCTGAGGTGCATTGGAATGTACAGCCTCCGCGTGTTAGAGCAATATGAATGTCAAAGTTTGAGCGCAGCTTCTCAATGTTTTTGCAACACATATGACATCCTTCTCTACCTTTAGGATCTCGGGTGCAACCTTCACCTGCCATTCACATGGGTCACAACTTAGCTTTGCAAATGTATTTGTTTGGATGGTAGCGTCGATGGTCAGCAGGAGGGGCTTGTTTAGGGACATCACAAATAGCAAACATGTTGCTCTTGACCCATACTGTCACAAGTTGGCACAGTGTCTAGCCATTTTTTTATTTTTTCCTTTTCACAGGCTCAAACCCGCAACCTCTATACTATATGCTCTATGCTCGAATGGACAAGCCTTGCCGGCACATCATATTGCCATGTAGATAGATTAAATCAGATAGGATGGCAGTGCATGGCACAGCCCGGGCTCCGCTGACACAGCCATGATGACTCACCGGCCTCTGGGGCTGCGTCAGCATACTGCACATGGACCAGCTGTGCATGGACCAATGTGCACAGCCTGCCCTTATCTTCCCCTGTATATAAGCCTGCCTCCACTGCCCTAGGGACCTCAGTTTTGACCTCTTGTCCCTAGATCAGTAAACCTCTGTACATACTTACTTTCCTATACTAACTTAACTTGTACCTCATCCTCTCCTCTTGATCCCTCAGCGTTATCTTGCACCCTGTCCCCGGCTCCCACGCGTACCTTGACTGTCGACTCGGCTCCCTTCTTCTTCAACTCCGGTGCCTCAACTCATCTTACTCCCTGCAAAACTGACTTCTCGGAGCTCTCATCCATTGCACCTCGCAGGATCCGTGGCGTTAATGGCTCTGTCATCTACGCTTATGGCGTGGGCAAAGTCTGGCTTCATCTTGGCAAAGGTCGCTCGCTCCTGCTTGACAACGTGCTCTTTGTCCCTCAGGCCACAGTGTGCCTTCTCTCGATATCCGCGCTCTGCGGCTCTGCCTCACATCCGCGTGTCACCTTTGATCACGCTACTGTGCGTCTTTTGGACTGCTCTGTGTCGGATTCTGACTTCCCAGATCGGGACGTTTGACGTCCGCGGTCGCGATCCACGCTCCCTACGTCCATCCGATACCTTAGCTCGTTGTCTGTCTACATACACGTGATACCTACCCTTCCTACTTATACCTCGCTCCCCCCGCTCCCCCACTTCTTTCCTCAGTCGTTCTACCACCACGGCTGAGGTATGTTCACTCCATCCCATTCTCCCGTACCTGTACTGATTCAATATGTAGTCTTAGACTTACGTGTATTCGGTTCAGGTATAAACAGTCGTTCTACCACCACGGCTGAGTCTTAGACTTACGTGTATTCGGTTCAGGTTCCTAAAGGTTATGAGCCCCGCGCTCTAACCAAGCGCACTCACCTAGGACCCTCCGATTCCGATCTCGTACACTGTGGTCACTTTGCGCCTGCTGCGCTCAACTCGTATCACCTTCGCTCTCCATGGCACCTCCTCGGTCTCCTCGTCGTCCATCTGGAGGAAAGTCTGGACGCTCCGCTCCCACTACACCTGCATCTGGCCTTCAAGCCCCCCTTTAGTTGGACGCCCCTGCACCTCCGATTATGCCCACGCCTACTGCACCATCGTCCCTTCCACCGATCCCCATTGCCGCGCTCCTCATCCCCTCCGCGCTCTACACCGGTGGCGTGATTCTTGAGCGCTCTGCCGGAAATTGGGTCGAATGGCATTCCTGGATCATGCGATCCCTGGCGACCTGCGGCCTGGATCAATACCTGCGTGGTTGTGTCCCGCGTCCCGTTGCCTCCGTCGACCCTGTCTCCGCTCGCAACTGGGATATGAACGACCGCATGGCGCGCGCGTTCATCACATACAAATTGGGTACCTCCGAGCGCAAGTTCTTCGAGATGCATGAGGCTCTCGAGACCCCCGCTGCGGAAACCTGGGCTGCGCTCGTTACTCGCTATGAGCATGAGGGGGCATATGCCCAGCTTCTGCTCCTCAAGGAGCTCTTCAGCCTTCGTTTCACCCGCAACGAGCCCTTCCCTGATGTCGCCGCCCGTGTCGCCAGCATCAATGAGCGTATCTTCAAAATCGGCACGCCAACAGAGGACTCCATGCTCTGCCTCGCTCTGCTCCACTGCATGTCTGGCGACCTCGAGTATCTGCAGTCGCAAGTCAGCACGTCCCTCTGTCAGGCGACTCCCTCGTCTCCTTACACATCTACCGACATCATGACCCGCTTGGAGCTTGAATGGCAGGTCACTACCGGCTCCATCATCGGCTCTAATCTTGGCGCTACCTCCTCGGCCACGGCGCTCGTCGCTAAAACTCATGGCCATAGCGGGAAACCTCGCAAGACCTGTTCGAACTGCAGCCTGACTGGCCACGATGTCGCCGACTGCTTCCAGCCGGGCGGCGCTATGGAAGGCAAATGAGCTGAGGTCCTTGCGGCCAAGCGTGCTCGTCGTGACAAAGACCGTGGCAAGGCGCCCGCAGGCTCGAAGGTTCTTCGTGATGCTGCTGGTCACGCATTCATGGTGTCCGATGCCGGTGAGATCCATTATGTCGATACCTCCATTACTGCTGCCTCTACTGCCACGCCTACTACTGAGTTTGCTGGCCTTGCTGTTGATACTCCTGCTCCTGACGACCTTTGGGCTTCTGCGCCGCTCTCTCCGGCGGACGCGTTCGAATACAGTGCGCTCACTGGCTCTCTCGTCGACGAAGATACCGCGTCCATCGACTGGGCTGCGGATCCCGCCGCGTTCTCGGCCTCTTCCAATCCTGCCGCTGCTCTTGGCGCCGCTCCCTTCTTCTTCGACTCTGGCGCCTCCGCCCACCTTTCCCCGTGCAAGGAGGACTTCTCTGATCTTGTGCCCATCGCTCCTCGTGGCATTCGCGGGGTCAACGGCTCCGTCATCTACGCACGTGGTGTTGGACGGGTCAAATTGCATCTTGGCAAGGGGCATTCGCTTATTCTTGACAGCGTCCTCTTCGTTCCCCAGGCTACCGTCCGGCTTGTGTCCATCTCCGCTCTCTGTGGTTCGCTGTCCCGCCCTCGCGTTGTGTTCGACCACAACTCTGTGTGCCTTCTTGACCGCTCCGGTGCTCTCCTCGCCTCCGGTTCACTTTCCGCCCGTCGCCTTTACGCCCTGACTGGTTCACCTCCTACCATCGATCATGCCTTCTTCACTTGTCGCCGCCCCGATCTCGTCTCCTGGCACCGCCGTCTTGGCCATACCAATTACCGAACTATCTCGGACATGGCTCAGGCGGACCTTCTGCCAGGTAAGCCCGCTGCCCTTTCTGTCGCACCACCGAAGTGTGACTCGTGCATCCTTGGCAAACAGACCCGGACGTCCGTTCCTCAAATGCGGGGGGGTGAACGAGCTTCGCGACGGTTGGGACTGGTTTACGCGGACTTAATGGGTCCCGCTGATGTACGCTCGGCTTCTGGCAATCTGTATGCACTTCATATAATCGATGACTTCTCCTCGTACTCTTGGTCGATCCCCTTGCCATCCAAATCGGTGGCGCTTTCCTCGTTCTGCGCCTGGGCCATTGCGCGCACCAATGAGACAGGCGAACCAATCGGCGCCGTTCAAATTGACAATGGCGAACTACTATCCAAGGAGTTCCTCGCATTCCTTGCTCAGAGGGGCATTGAACTACGGCGCACCTCGCCCTACACGTCGGCTCAGAATGGCCGTATTGAACGCCTACACCGCACGCTGATGAATCGCGCACGTGCTATGCGCATTGCGTGTGGGCTTCCCGCCGCTCATTGGGACGAGTTCCTACTTACGGCTAACTACCTAACAGTACGCACAACATCTCGTTCCTTGTCTCCCGGGGTCACCCCATATGAGCTTTGGTTTCGGCATCGCCCTGACCTATCCCATCTGCGTGAGATTGGGTGTCGTGCGTTCGTTCTTATCCAAAATCGCCATAACCCCAAGATATATGAGCGTTCTACTGAGTGCGTCCTCATAGGTTACAGCCTCACTTCCAAGTCATATCGCTGTTATCATCGTGCTTCTGGCAAAGTGTTTGAGTCTTATCACGTTTTATTCATCGAATCTTTCGAAGACGCTCTTCCTCCTGCAGTGCCGGCTGCCCCTGCTGTCTCTTCTTCTTCCCCTGAGTCTTTGCTTGTGCCTCTTGCACCTGTTGACAGCTCTCCTGCTTCCATTGTGGCTGATCCTCTGCCTCTTCGCCGTTCCTCTCATACCTCAATCATCTCAGAGCGTCTGGCTGCTGCCTCGGCCCTGCCGCATCCTTCTGCCGTCTCTCGCGCTGTCGCTGAGTCTGCCGCTAGTGGTGCTCGTGTTCAGGCTGCTCGCGCTGCTCGTCGTGCTGGTTTGCCCGTCATTGCTGAAGAGCCTGATCCCGACGCCCCTTCACTGCCTACTGCGCCTGCCGTGCCTTCGTCTGACGCTTCCATCCCTACGCATCTGTCCTCTGACTCTGCAGCTTGGGCCACTCTACTTGACGCATTGTCTGCCTCTCCTGTTGGACCTGCTGTCGACGTCGAATACCCTGGCGACCCTGCCACGCTAGCTGAAGCTATGGCCTCTGCCCATGCTGATCAATGGCGACAGGCGCTCCTTGACAAATTTCAGTCTATTCGAGACCTTGGCGTATACAAACTGGTTCCCCGCTCCTCTGTCCCTGCTGGTCGTCGCATCATGAAAGGGAAGCCCGTGTTCCGCCTCAAATGAGACAAAGACAACGTGCCTGTCCGCTTCAAAGCTCGCTGGGTCTGTCGCGGTTTCGAAGCTATCTATGGGCAAGACTACAACCGTACCTCCTCTCCTACTGTCCGCATGGAATCCTTCCGCGCCCTCCTTCATCTCGCTGCTGCTCGGAACTGGGAAATTCATCAGATTGACGTCAAGACCGCCTTTTTATATGGTTCTTTGCCTGACGACGAGATCTGCTACATGGAACAACCCCCGGGTTTTGAGGAACCAGGCAAACTGGACTGCGTATGGGAGCTCCACAAAGGCCTATATGGAATGAAGCAAGGCGGGCGTGTCTGGAACAAAACTATGGATGTATATATGGTATCTATCGGGTTCACGCGCATCCCCTGCGAATATTGCGTCTACTTCCGGAAGTCTGATGTCACGAGTTGGCACGGCGCCTAGCCGTTTTTTAATTTTTTCCTTTTCGCGGGCTCGAACCCACGACCTCTGTACTACCTGCCTGATATGGACGCATCGTTATCTACTGTACGATTAGATTAGATAGGACGGCAGTGCACGGCACAGCTCGGGCTCCGCTGACACAGCCGCTCTGACTCACCGGCCCCCGGGGCCGCGTCAGCATGCTGCGCACGGACCAGCTGCGCACGGACCAACGCGCACAGCCTGCCCTAATCTCCCCATGTATATAAGCCGGCCTCTGCTGCCCTAGGGACCTCATTTTCGACCTCTTGTCCCTAGGTCAGTAAGCCCTCATTTGTATTCTTTCTTACCCTACTAACTAATATACTTTCTTGTCCCTAGCCTTAGGTTTGAGCTTAGCTCACCATCGCTTCGGTGAGATCTAGTCGAACACCCCCCGCTTTCAGGTATTCCCCTGTCGCTTGACCTCAAGTCGCGACATTAGGTTGAAACTCCATAGCGGCCGGCGTTCATTGGAACCCAAACACTCACTTCCTACAGGTCGGGTGGTGCGCACCCCTACGATACTTCACGGTACATACGATACGTAAATAGCTTTACCATACATCGCCACCCCTCGAGGAACGAACTCTTCAACACCTGCACTTCAGTGGGCGGTGTTTGTCCTCACGGACGCGTGGACTAGGTTCCTGCTGCATAATAGTCAAAAGCAGTACTGGGCCCCACGTGAACTGCGAACCTCAGGGTCTTCTCGGGCGCCGTAGCGTAAGCTAGTGTAGTACGGCCATTTTTAGTACGCGCACCTCCCCGTCCTCCCCCCATCCAACGTGGCTGCCTGCCAAGGCCAGATCCACGCATTCGACTCCCAGGACCTCATCGACGTCTACATCCCAGACGGCCCTGAGACTGTCCTCTACCGTTGCGAGCAGCAGCCGTGCCCAAATCGGACA